GTGTCGCATGGTCGTCGTTAGGTTCACCTCTAAACCTCTTAGCCGATACTCGGGCTCCTTGCTCCTGAGTATGCCGTTGGGACTCAGACACCCCTGTCGTCTGTCCTTGTTTTGGGCAATTGCAATTCGTAAACTGAAGACTGCCTGTCTTCCAGTTGATTTCTGGGTTGTGATCCCTGAGCCATGGGATCCCCAATACTATATCGTACCGTCCTAACCGTGTCACGTCGAAGTTTATTCGTTCGAAATGACCGAATACAACCATAGGAGTCGGTCCCGATTCGACTGTAAGGTGGTTTCCTAAGTTTTCACCGTTCAGTCCTGCGATAGGTTCTGGGTTGGCTTTTCTGATGCCTTCGATGCCCAGTTTCTGTTGGAATTGAGGGTCCATGAAGTTGCCCGTTGCTCCGGAGTCAAGCATCACTTTGGCTGCCTGTCCGTGCACTCGTGCAATAAACTTGATATGGGTTCCCCATCCTGTTGCTGCGATCTGTTTTTTGTTTCGCCAATTTGGTGCTCGCTCGTATGGCGGTAGTTGTGGTAGGTAAGTGCTGATGAACTTGTCGTCGTAGTGCGTCCTGCACTTGTCATCGTAGCACTGCATCCATGCCATGTATTTGTGGTGTGGGTGATGCGGGTAACTCCTACAAGAACACTGTAGGTCCCAACATGGGCACGTTGTTCCCCATCCATCCACGCTCTTTGGCATTTTTGGCGAGTATCCTGACGCTGCCTTTTCTGCGTCATGCAGTCGGCAATGTTTGTCGTAGCACACTATCCATGGTAGTTCCTTGTGCCGTGGGTGCGTCCTAAAATGGGCACATAAGCACCATTCATAGTCGCAGTATCCATGTGGGTTGGAACGTCGTTTGTGCTCGAGTTTCGCGAGTTCGTCATGGTACCAGGTGTTGTCTTTCTGACACTGCGCGCACCATGTTCCTGAATGTTGCGCGTGCTTCCATCGGTGTGTTTCCCATGATTCGTTGGTTTTTTCCCAGCATTCTAGGTTCCAGTGGGTGCAATCCCTGACCCTGCTGCGGATGTTTGCCTCGATGGCTCCGTTGAGCTCTTTGATTCTGTTGGTCACAATTGATTGCTTCCTTAGCTTGACCAATGCTCGTGCGACGTCCCGTGCGTCGGCTTCTTCGCAATATCCTTCTGCGGTTTTCTCTGGTTCTAGGGGATTTTGAGGTGTATCAGTCTCTAAGCTCAGCCTTGGGCCTCTCGCTTGAGTACCGAATTCTTCGTCGAGCGGATCGATATCGTCCCAGACTATACTAGGAAATTCGTCCTTTTCGACTGGCTCATTTGTGCTGATGGCTTTATCGGACCCATCCGTTCTTGCGTGGAATTTGTCGCTTCCGCTGTTGGACTCCACCGTCCCTTTCTCTTCGTTAGGATGGCTTTGATCCTCTATGTCGTAGTCGTTGTCGTCGCTCCACCAATGATCGCTTAGATCCGTGGGTTCGTTTGACCAATCGATTTCGTAGGTTGCGCATAATTTCTTGGCTGGTGGGTCCGCCTTGGACCTTTTGCCCTTATCGCTGTTCTGAGCACCTTTGGCTCCTTCACGGGTAGCCTTCAACTGCTTCCTTGGTTCCCTATTGTTGTTTTTCTGTTGTTGGCCCGATCGGCATTCCCTTGCCATGTGGCCTTGTTTTCCGCAATTGTAGCATGCTCTGTCGTTTCGACGTCGTTCCCTTTCTTCCTTAGGGATTTCTCGGTGTTGAGCTGCGTCTAGCTCCATTGGTTGTAGCCCATAAGGATCGCTGTATCCTTGGCTCTTTGGCTGCGCTTGTCGTTTATCATTGGCGTTGTACTGACTTGTTCTCTGGTTGCCTTGGTACCTGTTGCCTGACTGATTTTTGCGCCTAATGTTGAAGTCGAATAACTTGTTGTCGATCTTAACTGCTTGTTCGATCATCTTGCTGAGGGTTCCTGGCCGTTCCATCCAGATCAGTTTCTCTTGAACTTCTGGTTTGAGCCCTTCCTCGAATCGTGCAATATAGGTGTCGTCATCCCAATCCAACTGAGATATGACCTGCTGAAATTCTGAAGCATACTGGCTGACTGATTTGAACTGTCGTAGTCGCCACAATCTTCGTTCTGCGTTTCGAACCGCATCGATGTCCCCGAATGTCGTACGGAGTCGTTCCTTGAAGTTGTTATAGCTCTTGAACACTTCTTTGGTTTCGTCGCCTCGATCGTTTTCGGTGTTGTCCTGGAAGTCCCTGATGTAGGGTTCGAACCAATCGAACGCTGGACCCTTCAGGTACGTGGCGGCGAATACAATTTTGTCGGATTCGGCGGCGAGTCTCTCTCCGTTCATCTTCATGTACATGTCCATTTGCGTTAGGAATGCACGAAGCTTAGAACGAGTGCCGTCGAATGCCTCTGGTGGTTTAACCTTGACAGTGCGGGTCGCAAGTCGCCCCTCTAAGGTTGCGATATGCGCCTGCAGTTGCTCGATCATGCCAACGACATCTGCTGGGGTTGGTCCTGCGCTGGCGTCTCCCTGACTGCTTCCACTGCTAGTCCTAGGGGTTGGCGCGGCCGTTCTGTTGTTGTTTGACATGATGGTGTTTCGATTTGTTTTTAAGTTAACCCAAGACTCTACTCGTGCTAACTGGCGTTCAATGTGTCAAGACCCTAGGATCCCTTCTCGCTTCTGCCGTCCTAGCGTTGGTGACTTGGGTTATTCGGGGTGAAGAGCGCCCTGCGGTCTTCCTATCAGTTATCGACGAGGGGTTCTGTACTAACCCGAGGCCTCACACAGTGGCCGTGCTACTGTATCGATCGACGAGTGACCCGATGGTCCAAAGGTGACTAATAAGCGATAAGAGAAGTAAGGTGTGTCAGGTACGAAAACCTGATCACTTAGGTTGAGTGTGGGCGAGTAGAAGCTAGACTTGAAATGTATACTCAGACTTGAGAGTGTTATTGAACGCGACTAACTAAACTGTAGATACAGGCGAATGAGTGTTCTTATATATCCTTCCTTGGCTACTCCCGTGGTGACTCCTTTGTGGTCACTTCCGGAGTCGCTCCAATTATGTGTTTCCCTTGGTGCCTACTCCTCCGGCTACTCCCTGGGGGTAGGCGTGGAGTAGGTGATCGCATCACGTAGCTACTCCTCTATCTCACGTTAGGAGTAGGTGATCGTATCACGTGACTCGTAGTCATCTTTGTGCAAGGGTTCCGATCCTTATGTCAATCGATTGGCGTCGGGCTTCTGCCTGGCTGTGCCGCCTTTCGTGGGGTATTAACCTCGTTGGGTTTCCGTAACACCTAGATTTAGATCTTAGCCTATTTCAAGGGATTCTCTAGATTCTCTAGATCTAGGCTAGGGAATTATACATAGATAATTAGATTATAAAACTAGCAGTCTTTCAGATACCCTGGCTACCTAGTTAATTATAGCTATAAGTTAGTTATATTCTACTTAACAGGCTTAATTATATAAGACTTAGGCTACTAATTCTAATAACTATTTATCTTAATAACTAGTCTCTAGCTATAGGCTCCTAGCTCTATAAGTTCTAAGCTAGACTTAAGCTTAAGACTAGATAATATCTAAATATAATATAAGTTATAATAATTTAAAAAAACTTACTAGCAGGTTACTAATCTAGTAAATCTTTATATATTTTTTATTATTTAATTCTTATTAAATCTTTAAGATTAATTATAATAAAAAAAAGAGTAGAATTATATTTTAAGATAAGTAAAAAAAAGATATATATATAAAAAATAATAAGAAAAATAAAAAATCTAAAAAAAAAGTTATCTAAGTCTTATCTTAATAAAAAAAATTCTCTTAATCTCTTACTTTTAAAAATCTATTAAAAATTAAAAAAAGATTTAATAATTTTAAGATCTTAATATATTATAAAGAAATACTTAAAATATAATATATTAAAGTTTAAGCTTAATTAAAAAAAATATTTAAAAATCTAATATATCTATGAAAAAATAAATATAGTTTATATATAAGGATTATTAAAATAATACTAAATTAAATTCAGGCTATATAAACTAGATTTATTATTATTAAATAAAAGTCTTAACATACCCTATTAAAAATTTTTTTGAGATTTTATCTAATTTTAATTATATTTTTATAATCTTTATACCTAGTATTTTTAAATAAAAATAAGTTTATATAATAACTTAAGATCTAAATTATAATCTTCTATTTTTCTTTTTTTTATATTAATCCTAGATTATGAGAGTATCTTATCCTAAAGATAATAAAACTCTACAGGATTCCTCTGATTTTCTAGCTAATCACAAGCCACACTTAGCTCTCTGGAACAGAACCATACTCGAAAATGGGTAGGGTTCCGTTCTACCCACTTATTAGGCCCCACAGCTGTATCCTATCTTCCTAGTACTTCCTGATACTTCTAACAAAAATCAACTGTATAGTTGCCGTGCAAGTATCTAGCTCGACGGCCTCAACACCCATCAGAATTTGCTTTCTATCATGAATCAGGATCGCCCGCTTAAAGGTTAGACATGACTCTAGCAAGTCCCTGATGTTGTATAGTGCTTAATACCAAGTTTCCAGCTATAACTGGCGATTCTAACGACACTCGACACTATCTAGCAAATCTATTGATGCTTTTGATACAGGAGCAAAAAGGTCGATTATATAGGTTTGCACCCAGTAGAGGACGTTTCAATGTGCGTATGCCGTGGCATTTGTTGGGGCGTTATTTGTTGCACATAATCTCACAAAACTGCCTAGATTTTTAGTAAAATCCTCCCAGTCGTAGAACCCGGATTAGCTACCGATGGAGGATCCGTGGCCTAAATAGAGAGACGAGAAATTGATAAGGATAGGTTGACTATTATATTGATATTTAACTAGAAAAAGAAACAAACACCATGGCTCTTCATGATGTATGCACCAAACTGAGAAAGAGAAAGCTGTCATAGGCTCCATGCACGCTCCATGGGGATTGCAGGAGTATATATGGAAAGATCCTGGCTGGTCTTTACTTTTTCGCATAGTCAACTCGACCATCCGCGTTGAACTTTCCATACCATTCACGGCCTGCCTCCTGGCCCGGGAATTCATCCAGTTTGAATGATTCATAGCTGGCTCCCCAAATCGGCGCCCTGTCTTGTTTCGAACCTCTAACAATGGGAATTCCAAACCAGCACTTCGGTAGCGCCAACCTATCTGAAAACTCAGAGTTCTCAATGTCAGGCTTTCCAACCTTTCCATCATTGTCAACCCAGCACTCATAGGCATTTTGGAACGTCTCCTTCACATCGAGATTGTATTTGCCATCATTCCCCCAGAGCTTGTCATGAATATCTTGGGGCATGTACTCGAACGTGGCTTCACCATCCGGATTTTCTTCAACCTCCATGAGCTTGGCACATCCTGTAGCACTATCACTGTAGAACTCCTCTGATTTGTCGCCGTCACCATCACCACACTTTTCTTTATCAGCGCCGGTGTCAAGATAATAAAACGCCTTGCGTCCAAATCGGATCATTGTCCAGGCCAAATATTGCTTCTGTAAGGATTGTTAGATAAAAACCGGGGAATGAGAATGGGGGAAGGAAAACTATTTTTTAAGAGGAAAGCAAAGAGAGAGTATTTGACTCACATGTCTTGTGTATGCGGTATCAAGGCTTTCCTTCACTCCTTGGCCTGGATCATCACTTAGCCACTGTCCATCAGCAAGAGCGTTAATGGCAGCATTGTCAAATGACTGCTTTTGCATCTCCTGTGGAATCAAGTCTTGATCCTTTCCTTCCTCGCCAACTAAAGCACCAATAATATCATCAACTTTGTTCTGTGCTGACTGGAACACTTTCAGAACCATGTCTGCAAGCCTGCCCTCAAAGTCTTCTGTTTTATCTGGCTCCGGGGAATCAAAAGTGCCCGCGGCACTAAGCATGCCCGATGCAAATCCAGCTACTCCAGCAGCTGGTGCTATAGGAGCAACAGCGCCACCAACCATAGCAAAGGTTGCTGAAAGCAGGGCAAGGACATCGGGCTCTTCATCACTGGCCTCCTTTCTAAAATCATCGGTAATCTGAGGGACATTAAGATGTTCCTTAACAGCATCCTCTACCAGGTATTCACGGACACTGCGCATAACACCAATAGCATTCTGGAGAGAGAGAAGCAGGTAGTATGCACCCTCCACACCTTTGTCTGCAAACTCGTCTATAAAACATACAGTTAGCAGAGGGTTTTCCACACATCCGTAGGAAACATGGGTTTTTAGTAGTAGGTTGGCAATAAAATATCATGGGGTTGGGCCCAAAATGAAAGTTGAGATTTGAACTTACGGCACTCCTTATCCACCTCGCATGTTGTGAACGGGTCTTCACAGAACCAGGAATTTTGAGGTTCATTAAAGACCTCCTTATCTAACTCCAGTGCCCAGCGTTTCAGGCCATGCTTATTAATAAAGTCATCTCCAATCACTCCTGCCAAACTGTCATGCCACAGGTTCTTCGAGTCTTCCTCGCTATGCCATGGCTGGCAGTCTGATGTGGCGTCATATGTGTCAAGACGCTTAACAACCGAACTCCGAGGATGAGCTTGGGAGCCTAGCGCGAAGGACAAGGCAAGAAGCGCTTGAAAATTCGACAAGAGGAACTTCATGGCAGGCTAAAGAATACCACCAAGTGAACAACACTAGAAGGGATGAGAGAAAAGAAAGGAAATCCAATGACAATTACTTCAGGCGTTGGTTGACACCAGTGATACTTGTGTTTGAGTTATCTTTATTTCCAGAGAGGAGACTCTGGTGGTTTATATAGAAACCATTTCCTGGGTGAAATGCTAGTGAAGATAAGGCACACTGAGTTATGAACAAGGAATTGAGGCATTTATTTGAACACTATGCTACTCTTGGAAACTGGTGGATGGCTTAGAAGTCCCCACGATGGGATCGCCCAGAGTCAATGTTCACCTTAACCGGAATGTGGAGGCCTGGAAAATTGGGGTTAGGATTGGGCTGTGTAGGAGTATTAGTATTGGGCAATGTAAAAGGATTTGTATAACTCATAGTCCAGCATAGGAATTGGTTATAGAACGAAGTATAAGTGGAGAAAGAGGTTCGTGAGGCTACGTACCCGTCTTGGCAAGTCGAATAGATCACATTCCTATTCCGTTAACAGGACCATCACTAACACTAACAGGGTAGGCATCTCCATGCTATTGTGTCCTGCTATTCGTGCCAAGATACGCGCTATACCACTAGACCATAAGGCCACTAGGTCCAGCCACCTTGGCTTGACACCCCCGGGCTCTTCTATATATACTACTATATGATAGGCTGCCTCCCGCAGTCTAATACTATCTTCCCCTTTCTTGGGGGGGCCGCAGCTGCGGGATCACCACTCTTAGTGGCAGGTCTTATTATGCCCCTTACACCATAGGATCGCTATCCTAGAGCCTCGCATATAGTACTATATATAGGGTTAGCCCCTAAACCAACATAGTGGAGTCAGCCACTAGGGCACGGTGAGCAGCCAGGGAGTCCCCTGCAGCAGCCGCACTTGCTCAGGTTTAAACTAACGACCACCCCAGGTAACTGGACATATTTGTTATATCACGCTCTGGACTCAGACCATAGAACCGTATCCAAATCGATTGGCAGCGCACGCAGTCTTTCATATATATATAGAGAGAGAGAGAGAGATTTGCATTATACTTGAATATATTACTGTTTCCAGGGTCCTTTCAAGACACTGACACCTAAAGGGCCCAAGTAGGGCCTGTCAGCTTGCATCAGTAGTGTGAGCATGTGATTATAATTATCTTGAGTCCATGATATGAAGATAAAAAAGTAGCAATACTAGCAGGCTACCTAAGCCTTCTTGTATAGTGCTAAAACTATGATTCTTAGTTTATTCTAGCTTTATAGGCCTGGAGTTAATAATAAAGAGAGAAATACAGCCTGCTGGATTTATCTGAAGTCTTAATATTTTATATATATTCTAGATCAAGTACCCGGGATAGAAGACTTCTTTGTAATCTAAGCCTATTTGGCAGGGATAAATCCTTTATGAGACCTCTAGGTAAGTAGCTAGGTAGCTGGGTAGCTAGATAGCGAGAGGTAGTTAGAGGTAATTAGGGGTAGCCAGTGGTGTTTAGGGGTATCCCTAGTCCCCTGAAGGTATTGAAGTAGCTTTCCTAAAGATACCAGCCATGCTTGTCGATTTGAAGAAGAAGAGGTGTAGAGATAAGCAGATATATAGTTGAAAAAATATAAAGAAGAAAAGATATAAAGATAAGTAACTGCATGATTAAAAGAATGTAAAGAATAAGAGATATGAAGACAAGTAGCTACATAATTAGAAGAGTATAAAGAAGGAGAAGTGTAGAGTCAAGCAGCTATATATTAAAAATTATATAAAAATGAAGAGATGTAGAGACAAGCAGCTGCGTGATTAACAGGATGCAAAGGAGGAGAGGTGTAGAGACAAGTGGCTGCGTGGTTGAAAGGATGCAACGGAGGAGAGGTGTCCAGTCTTTCATATAACTTCTATATAGTTGAACCGGTGCAGTAAATATACTGGTCTCTACCTCCTCCAGAGCTAATTCATTATTAATGCTGTGTTGAACCCACCCCAATCAACTCCACGTCGCTATTCGTCACCGACCGCGACTCGTAGTTTACGGTGTAGGTCACAGACTTGTTGATATTGTCGCTTCCTGGTGGCATTTTATTGTATTGCCCAGCTGTTCCAGAGGCATAGGTTCGCTGAGTCGTGTTCCCTAGCAGGGCGGGGAACCATTGGCTGATGAGTGCTCTGAAGGCGGGTAGACAAGCGCACATAACGGCGATCTGGGTTTCGATTACGGACCAGTGCATAAGGGGGTAAAGTCCAAGGGTATCATTGAAGCCGGCACGGTGGTTCCAGAAGACAACGGCTCGGATGACGGCGATTATCCAGAGACTATATAACAGTCAGTGCACCTTGAAACAATGCGTAGTGGAACAACCAAAGCAAGATGGGGAGCCGTACACAGAGCCCATTAGAAACATCAATGCCACGCTGAGTTTCTTCAGCCGAGGTAACTGCAACTGGAGGACTTCAGATACCGGTACCACGATGATGACGAAGTCGACGATGATGTTCACCAAACAGTTGACGAGAACGGCGGCCTCAAAATTGATGCAGTACCCAGGCTCCTCTTTTGTCCAGCCGGTGTATGTTAGGTGAGCCGGCCAACAGCGTAAAGCATCGACCAAAGCCCAGGTGATACCAACAGCGCTGTTGATACCGATGAGCGCGTACGTGAGATACCGGAATGTGCGTGATTGAAAGATTCGAAGAAGGAAGAGGCATACGGAAATCTTTGCGAGGGAGATTTGGGCCTTGTAGATAACTGCTTCGGCTTGGAAATACTGATCTGATTAGAATGAAACCGGACTGCGGAGAAGGGGTCGAACCTGGTAGAATTTGGTGATTGTTGGAAAGGGGAGATCCCAGATATTCTGGCCAAACCCATGCCGGATCACTGATCTGTTAGTTGGCGTTCTGCAAAAAGCCAAGATACGGGGAGATTGTGGCTCACGGTATAAATGCAACACATATATAGCGACTCCCAGGATCTAAAAGGCTATTAGTACCGTGCAGGTGGATATCGCAAAGGAACATTCACATATGAAGCAATAATTGTATAATCATCCCATCCCCATCCACCCGCAAGACCCATTGACTTGGCGATTATTCTCGCGATGAAGAAAAAGGAGGCCAGGATAAGAGTAGCGAGAACTTCGCCGGTGACCACCTGAGGGCCTCTACGCGGAGTGATCCCGCATTCTTTTTCGTATAGGCGTACCGTAGCTATTGTAGTTAGGATAGCCATAAAGGGTTATTCATATGAGAGACATACTGAAGAGCTGCTTTGGGGTGCAATTCAATTCAACGCAATCCAGTAGGGTCTTAGGGCGTGAGCTGCTGGCACAGAAGCACGATGTAGCGTTGCTCAATGAGCAATCGGACGACAAGTCATTGTCACAAGCAATCTTGTACCTGCTCATTAGCAACAGCCAGTGGTCTTGGGAAATATACATACCGCACAAGAAGGGAAGGCGGGCACATCCGAGGGTGCTCCATGAACCCCGACAATAAGCAGAGACAAGAGCGCGAAAATGAAACAATGAGCCCGCATAATGGCAATGGATGCGTTCAATAAGCATGTAAGGTTGTTTCTGATCTACGGGGGATTTCTTTTTAAACAATATTTCAAAAGCTAGATCTAGCTAATTCTCGCGTGGTGAGAACCCAACCGGGGTCTCTTCTAGAATACCACCCCCTGGTCCATGGATCGAGAAGCACGGCCACGTTGTTGATGGGTGCTAGTCAGAGACATCTTCGCTAATGAATAGACTGTAACCATGGTTTCATGCAACAAGATACTGGTCCACTTGACTAGTGGCCATAAAATCCGATCGCCAAGACAGGCGGGTCTCCAGGGCATCTTGGATTGGTGGCTGCACGCAAGCTCATGAGACAGGGATTGGTGTTGGTCCCACGAGATCAGGACCACTAATTAATACTGACTACTATATGACTAGGGCCTGCAGTAAAATCCCGAGAATTGGTGAGCTTCGCACTGCTACTAGATTGACTTGAAGAAAATCCACTGTCTGGAATTGGAAAAAAGTAAGTGTGAATAGATTTTATTGCCTTAGTGGTTGACTGTATATAATGTACAGCGTGCACGAAGGCCATGATCACCTAGTAATACTAAATCCCAGACTCGCTTGCTGAGCTATTGAAATATGGAACTCATTAGCTGGGAAGATCACAGATTCTGTTCCTACTCCATGTTAGGACCTGTTTTTTTTTTTTTTTTTTTGTTCTAGATACGAAATTGACAGAAAAGAAAGGACGATGTGGGGTTGTAACCGCCACCTTCTAGATGAGCATGATTGGTGTGGTCCCCGGAGCTGGCCCCTCAAGGGTCTCAGCGAAGTCCTAGATCACAAAATTTGGCACACCGAGTCATGACACACAAGCTATCCGGAAGTCTTTGTTAAAGTAACACTCCTGTATTCTATTAGTAAGTTGTGAATCAAAGGGGCTGAGAGTTATCGACCCTTTTGAAAAATACCTTTGCAGTTGAGAAAGTCTGACTGGTCTGTTAATAATATCTATCATTGGTCTGAAAACTACATATATTCATGGAAAACAGTACTCGGGGATTAGGAGCTTGGTTCAGATGAGCAAGCCAAGGCGTTCAGTATTTGGTTCCATGGAACAGATTGCGGGCCCTTCGGTAAACCACGGTCGTTCCGATAAACTCGTCATCCCACACGATCTGACCCTTCAGAGGCCCTGCGTATGCATATCACTATTTTACAATACAATGTTTGTCTTGAGACACAGGTTGATATAATGATATAAGATTATACTGCAGTTGTTACTGGTGTATTTTTAGTCGCTGATCACGAGGAGGATAGATTCTTTTATATTTATACTCATGGGTGTAGTCCCCGGCCCTGTAGTATACGGATACTAGGGTAATTATTCCCCTTACAGTGCGCGGAACAACAAAAAATTTTACAGTGTCGTGGCTGGCGTAGCCAACAGCACAATAGCTACGTGGAGTACTACATCGCAAGGAATCTAAAGAATATCAGTGACCAAAGCGGGGTCTGCCATCTATATTAGCATCCGCTGACATGACTCTGAGGGATGATCACTTCCAGGAGCAGAAGATAGGCATTGACTCTGTATGCGATAACCAGTTTCAAGTTTCTGTTGTGTTCTGCGGAGCATTACTTTTGCCATTTAGCCGCTCTGTATGTGATAACCAGTAATAAGTTTCTATTGTGTCTTGCGGAGCATTACTCTCACCATTTAGCCGCTCTTCCATATCACATCACAACAGTGTACTAAGTATGTTCTGGTGAACACCAGTCGTAACAAGTATGAATACAAACATCGAAAGCTGTAAGATCCAGGTCAGTAGACTTGATATGAGATTACACCCAACTCCCAGATTATTATGGATACTCCCATGCTTGAAAGTCTCCTCCCACTTGATGGTGTTGATTGAAGTGTGGAGGCAAAGCCACTGTTTCATCCTCAGAGTCCTGGGTTCTACCGGGCATTGCCGAAGCCCTTCGCCGGAAATGTCATCCGATTTTGGTTGGCTTCGGCTCGGTGCACAACCACTACAATTAAGCAAGTCTAACTAACCCTCGGGCATATTGTTCAGTTGGTGACCCCGCCTTTTCTCTTGAATCCCATACAAAAGTCCGTCTGTATCAAATCAATAATTCGCAACAAGAGATCTTTCTTTGCCGCCGTAATAGCCTTTCTTCCTCTTGCAGGCCGACCTTGACATACCGCCCTATAAATCTATCTGCTAGAGCCGAGGTGTTTGCCCAGCCGAGGAGCAAATTCCCATTATTAGATGTTGTCGGCGGCCTGAGGCACCCGGAGACGAATCCCGATCGATCGTCACTCTGGGGGTGGCTGAGAGTGCTCATTACCCTATTAGTTCGCCATCGACCGCCATTCTTTGACATGTGTGGATGGCTTTTCCGGCCCCCATCGCCTTCGAGACACATTTTTACGGCTCATCACTCGCCATTTCAACCCTGCCAACCCTGTTCTCAAGGACCAGGTTCTAGTTACCTCTGGTGTGGGCCAGGCAATTGAGGTTTGCGGTTTCTCGCTCCTAGATAGAGGTGATGGCGTCTTGCTTGCGCGCCCGTACTACGGCAATTTTCCCATGGGCTTCAGCTACAGAGCCCAGTAAGTTCCCAGAATCAAGATCATCATCATACTATATCCGCTAATTTGAATTAAGAGTCGAGATTGTTGACGTTTCCTTTGGTCTGGTCGGTCCTTTGAGACATATTATTATCCGGCATGATCGTTCTTACCAATCCATGGATGAGACCTGGGCCAAATGTCAAAAGCCGCCATTTGTTATTCAACTATGGATTGTAGCATCGTTTCACCTGTCAATGGATCAATGATCCCCTATGCGGCTTTGCCATCGTTGAACGAAGCCACTGCCCACTTTCCCGTCCATGCCCAGGTACGTGCTTTGGTGTCTAGGTCGCTACCATGCTCACGCTGAACTTGTTCATCTTGATTCTCGGCCAAGCCAACTACGACATCGGCCTTACAGGTCCGTAAGGCCAAGGTACGCACACCTGATCCTAGCCCGAGAGGTCCTATTGCTTTGGAATATGAGGTCGTTGAGTCCCATTTCACCTTGAAAAACCATGTTAGCCACTGAAGCTGTTTATGATCGTCCGTGCGGAGTAACGATAGGGAAAACCGTACATCACCAGTGAGCTTTCGGTAATTCAAGTCACCCTTGAAAATGACCAAGTCACTTTCTTTGAGCTCCTCAAACAGAGCAGGAGCTTTGTGGGGCAATCGCCAATAGCTTCCTGCGGTGGTCCAGAAGGGATCTTCTTGTAAGATCAACTTTCCGGATTTTTGGAAGGCGGTCCAATGCGTGCCTAAGGTTTTGAGATCAGTTTTCTCACTTTCGGTCAGAACATGCTCTGTATTCCGTAGATTCTTGCTATTTTGCTCCTCGAAGAAGCTTTCCGGTTCCGACAAGGCCAAGAGTAGATCTGTGAGATCGGCGGCCACCACATCCGATACAAACCATGGCATTGACTTCGGATGAAGAATCACCTTTGATGCAAGTCCAGTTGAGAGAAGATAGCCGGCCAGAAGAAGGTCAACGTATAGCTCAAAGCCAGAATTATCCAGTACAAGGTCCACTCTTCCTCCAGTCCCCCTTTCCCCCCGAACCTCGTTCAAAACATCGTATGCTGCGGGAATATCATTGACAAGGATGTTTTTCTCCTGAGCCTTTCTGGCCGCAGACCCCTGCAGCTTTTGGATATCCTCATATGTCAGGGATGTGAGAAGGGAAAGATCAGTGGCATTTCCCCAAAGACATATTTCACACATTTCCTTGAAGCGAAATGCCTCCAACTCGCTGTGGTTAGGACTAGGATTATTGACAATGGCCTTGTACCTGTTAGCCAGCTCGACAATTGCCGTTTTCGAAGACTGGCATGTAGACTTCTTCTGCCGTGCAAAGACGTCATAGCCTTTCCATTTCGAAGAACGTGAGAAAAAAGTATTGATTCTTCTGTCTGTCACGGACTTCAGGTTAGTAGATTCACAGCAGCGAAAAACATTGTACTACGCACACAGGTAACATTCCCCAAACAGCCAAAACACATTCAGCCAGGTAGGATCTCTTTGAGCGAGTTCATCGTTGTAGTCAGCAATGTCCGGAGATCCATCATCCCATAGTGGCCTTTATTCCCATTAGTGGTGAGTAGAGAGGAGCAGTCAACTGGTATAGACAAACGTCAATTTCCCGTCCGACTTGATCTCCGCCTCCAATTCTCGAAATTGCTCGATTATTACCCCCGCTTCAGCGCTAGCCTCAGGATCCTTTAAGGTGGCGGATGAGACGGAAATATCGGCAATCGCCCCTCGCTGAGCCAAACGTCATGGATTAGCCTGTTCTCTGGTTAGATGTTGTGGAACCAAGGGTTTACCAAAATGCTCGGCCACCGATCACGAGCAGAAGTATAAGCAAAGCTCGACTCGTCTGAGGTGGAATATCCCGCTAGTGACCATGTGGTTAACCCAAATGCCTAATCTCAGAATAAAAGAGTACCAACCAATACTCGGATCAAACTCCATTTCGTGAGAAGGGGTTTATACGAGAGGGTTCAGAATTGTACAATTGGCGACTGCTTGGACTATTATATTGTCTTGTTGATGCTAAAATACCCCGCGTCGAGGGGCTTCCAGCCGTCCACGGTTCAGGCACGGAGCCGGAAAAACGACGGGCGGGGTTCACGGAATGACTTATCCCCTGACCTATGATTAGCTATGTAGAAAGTAATTTTTAGGTATTTGAAATACATATATTCACGTATTTAATTTCTCTATGACATGTATCCATATACTTAAAATCATACTCCAATACAAACAAAGGAGTCTTTCCTTCAGAGGCTTATCAATTGTATATCTCCATGTTAAAACATTTACAACCATAGTAATTGCACAGATGGTGTCATGCGTAGCCTTGAGTAGGGGGTAAAAAGAAAGACGAAATGACAGGTGGGGCGAAGGGCGCATAAAGCAATATAGACATTATGCCACTTTCTGAAAACCCTGCTGCTAATTGACTGTGTGCCGAACGACATCCACGTAAAAATCAATCCAAACAATGCAGATGGGCGGGGAAAACAAATCAGAGAATGGGCTTCTGAGTATATATTCACACTACACGTGTGGCTGCCATCACATATTTCTATTGTAAGGAAGAGGCCTAATGACCCCTCCGAGGTCCTACGGACGAGAAACCGAGCTAGAAAATTATGGCGAAATAATTAGGGCTATCGAGGCCATCGCTATCCATTCAGCTGTTGAGCATAGTATTTGCTCCTATACTGCGACTACATGATTCTCTTGGTGTACACACTGGCACAATGTTAACAATCACTTATCAGTAAGTGACATGCAATCAATATCAACCACACTTATTGACAAAGACTAAATCTCCAGCGCACTTAGTCATCTCTTTGATTCTTGCTAACCTGGGCTGCTCTTGTACGGCTGTATACTTTAGTTAGAGGGCCTCCGCCGCTTTCCTGCTTCATTGGAATGGGCCGCGTGTACTCCATTCTGGATGTTGTGGCACAACTAGCGGTACAAAAGATAATTTGCCATCCATAAAACTCATGAAGTCTTTAGGCCTGTAGTGCGAATTGGGCACTAGCATGGCTGCAACAGAAATGGACATTGTGCAGATAGTCCTGATACCAATATCATTTCTGTAGTGTCCTTGAGTACCCCCAATGCCTTTTACCACGTTTCTGGCCACTCTAACGGGCATACCATCAAAGACAAGTAAAAGCACCATATCTCAGGGTACAATTGCACCAAGGGCAGTACACGGTTCTGCGTGGAGCATAGTGAAAACCTCCGCGTGATAGCCAATTTCTTCTTCGCGGCTAGACTAGCAGGTTATGAGCCCGACATTGTTCACCTTACTGAGCAACTGGCTCTACAGTCTGGTGTGACTTGAGCGCATATCCCTGGCGGGGATATTATATGAACAATCTTGGGAAGTGCATCCTGTTACGACATAGATCTGATCATCCTTCATCCGGAATTCCCCGTTGAATCTGATCACCATTTAGTGAAGATACTTGCCAGGGGCGACCCCAAACGCCAAGAAAGGAGGCAAGAAGAGCAGGATACTAACATCTGGGGAAGATGGCAAAGCCGCGCCTGCCCAACAACTGGACAGCGGAGGGGGATGAAACCCTGCGCAAGGAAGTCGAGTCAACGTGGATGACCTGCCGCTCTCTAGTCTAAGCCCCCCACCTGTGATATGCGATATTCCCGATGGGTACGATGGGCTAATAGAGAAGGCTGCATGAATCAGCAACCGCACCGGAAGATTGGGACTGGTGCCAAATCGCCGAGAAGCTATCGGGTCTGACCAACAAAGACTTCAGAAAGCGATGGTATAATGCCATGGCCGGAGATCCTCTCAGCCGCTACTGCCTCCAGGGTCGGTTCGAGATACTGACCCACAAGTACACGTGATCACAACCTCAAGGACGCAGTGACGGCGATTGGCCGGCAATGGACCCAGGTCCAGCAGAGTTATTTTCAAGTGCGTTTCAAAAATGCTATTAAAGATTGGTAAGAGACCTGCAGCTGGTCGGCATTGCTTGCTAACTCATGTATAACGTAGACACATCATCCTATGTCGCAAGCTCCGGCGACAGGTCCAAGACAAACAACACAGTAAAGAGGCCGGCCCATCCGATGAGAATCCCCACCGCCGCAATAAATATGGGATGGAAGAAGGCAACAGCGATCAAGAAGATATAGGGCTGGGCTGGGCTGAAGGATTGTCACAGCAGACCTCGGCGCAGAGCATAACTCTAGGAAGTCGGCCTACCAACTCCACCATTGGGGACATGCACGCTGTTCTGTCGAACTCATCATGGAAACATTTGGACCTGAGGCTACACAGTACACTCCCTTCAATATACAAGCTGCCCACGGGGTCATCCTCCTTGTCAACGACCCCTTGAGTGTGGGACCCGTCTGCAATACCGGAAATTCACCTTTCCTGGACGTGGCGTCCGACACGCTGATGAAAATCTCAGATTCTCCTTTCTTGGACTTTTTGATCACTGACCCGGGCAACGCGTCGACGAGTTGGGACAATCGATCACTCCCGTCCACCGGCGTAGACTGCGCGATGCTGTGGGAATGCCCGGGTGATATCGAGACGTCCTACGAGGATATCGTGGCCGTAGGAACTTTTGAGTAGTTAGAAAACCGTCGGTGTCAGCCTGGCCCTAAACAATCCAGATTCCGCCATGATGCAGTCTTTTATGGGGATCGCGATTTAGGACAAGGTGAAGAAGTTTCGGATGGAGTGGGAGTGAACCATGGATGTGGACTGACTCCACAGTCCTCGGATCCATCATACGGCTCCCTCTTATTTCACAATTTTTTGTCCCTTTTCTTTTCTTTTCTTTTCTTTTTTTTTTTTTCCCCCGTAGAATTGGCATCAAGTTAGAGATCGACAGATGCGGTGCATCTGCTCGCGTTGTAGGAACTGGGTGTCTCGACCCTGGGCCAAAAGAAGTCTGGCAGTTATAACAATCAAAGGCAAACACCAATTGGAAGCACTCCTACTCCACATATTGTCCACCAAACTGCGTCGGGTACCAGGCTGACGTGGCATGGGAATGCGAATTAATATGGAAGAGTTAACGACGCCTTGAGCCGGTATGGTGAGATGGGTATCACTACTCTCATATAGCTTATTGTTGTAATAGCAAGAATCGATAGGAAGAGGTCGCTAACAATATAGATTCTCTTACATACAGGGAGCTCTACTGCTTCAACGCCAAAAAATTATCCATGCCGCGTCCATCGATCATCGACCTGTTTGAGAGACGGCCAGCGATCACACCATTCATCATGGAAATGCTCGACAGCAACCCCGCGCTTTGTGACAGCCTGGTACAGCTGCCCACATGCATCTTGGGCGTTGTCAAGCAAGTCAATTGGCGCCCTAGCAGGTTTCTTTTTGGATGACGTTTTATCCGGGGCTTCGTAATGTAGATCAAGCACAAAACTGAGCCGTTTCAAGTAGACGCAAACGACTCGACCCAGGTGTCCCACTGGCTGGATCTCACCAGAGATGCGGGACCTCGAAATCGCAATGTCGTGATACCAGCGGGAATAGATGCATAGAGATTTGGAAGGGTGTCTTCGTTCTCAAAAACCTCGCCAACCGAGAGGACCAAAGTTTGTAGCTCTGAGAGCTGTGGAAGGAGTGATATAAACAGATTTTCAGCCGTAAAATGGAAGTCCAAGGCGTGGGTAGAGCGAAGATTGAGGGTTGCAAGCTTTTCCACGACATGTGGCAGGGCCATCGCCATCCGATTGAATGTATCAATGGCATCGTTCTCGATAATCTCCAGCTTAGCCATGTTCGATTGTACTTCTCTTGGTAAGCACTGTAGGTTGTGGTTTCCTTGGCTTGTTGGCAGCTGTGCTGCCCTCGTCCCCGCATACCTCTTGTTCATTTGATCGACGACGAGATCCGGTAGCCATATTAGCTCTATTTTTCTCTCCTCCGGTGTTCCTTCCTGGACAGTGACGTATCTAGGTTCTTTGTCTCCCCGGGAAACGGCATCCCCGTGTGTACGATATAGTTCCTCGCTGGTCGGCCCCTCAAACCGTAGCCCGGATGTTCCTAGTAGCACGAGAGACTCTACCTTGCCTTCGAGTACGAAAGGGCTGCGAAACACCTCCGCACAAGCGTCACTGATGAAAAGCCGTCTCAATGGCCAGTGTGCCGGTATTCCCTCATCAGTGAGTTCCTCATTGAACCCAGTATGCAGCTCAAGGTCCCGGACATTCCTGAAATGCTTGCTAAGCAGGCTCCACTCGATGTGTGGTGGTGTGTCCTCGGTTATACGCAGGCAGTGGGTGTCGTGGGGGATGTTTTCCAATTGCGTCAGAAGCTCCTCTCGATGGTCATTGCTTTCACATTCGTGTGGGCCTTTAACTTTTACTGTGACCTGATAGTTGTCAGTGTCATCACAAGTCACACTGTAACTTCTCGATGACCATCGATGACCCCTGGTAGCTAGAACGCGAGATGCCAGAAATACTCCAGGTTTGAGGAACGAACCCCGGAGCAGGAAACTCAACGAGCCGTGAGGATATATCCGACCCCCAAACTATTGCCAAGTAAGGGATGATCTCCCGGAAGATCAAAGAAAAGACGTACCATGGCTTGAGTCACGTATTAGCGATGGAGTTGAGTAATACTAGGGCTTTTCTAATGCGTGATGATGTTATCAACTCTGAGCAGTCGCCACATCCCCTGCCTGATGATATCCCCTAGCTGGTAATTATCTCCGAGGAATAATCTGATAGCTTCTGGTAGCAACACTCAATTCGAGTCGTGCAAGTAGTTCCATCCAAGGGTCACAGACGGCAAGAAATGTAGACGAAAAAGGGGTGCGCGGGTGAGGGTGACACGGGAGTTACAGCCCAGGTCACATGGCCAGAGAACCCACGGTAAATGGTTGGCTGTGGCTGTCCAGCGTCGAACAATTACTGAACATTGACTGAAGTGAGTTTACAATGCTTAATATTGATCCAGTATGTGACAGTGTCAAGACATGGACCAACTATTCACTATGGATCGGAGTTAGGGCATCTGAGGTTTTTTGGAATTACCCTTGCATGGAAGCTAAATAAGCAGGCTTCTTGAGTATTCTTGATCAATTCCTGTTAGCATGATCGGCTAATCGTTAACTGTTGACTCCTTTTTAGGCGGAGTGACATCCTTCATTCATCCTCGAGTTTCTAATAGATGTGACCCAGTGTTGACACTTCTTGGTCACTACATCGCGCTCGCCAATGTCCATCTCTATCCGTACAATGCCCTTTTGTGGTCCACTGTCACCTACTTGACAGACCGTTTAGAACTAGTAACAAACCGCGGCTTCGGTAATTCTCAATATTTGAAATTGACAGGACGACCAATGGTGTGGGGCTATTGATCAATACAAAGCAATAAACTTACCTTAGGTCAAAGTGAACGAAGGTTGGACGGCATCTGGTAACTATGTTGTGGCTTGTGGGATCTCCCAGGTCACTGGGGTAGCTTCAGCAGCTATTGGCACCACCAAGATTGATGGTCTACGCCATCAGCCTGGCTAGTAGGATTCTCTCATCGCCTAGAGTAATATAGCTCAAGTGTGTCATTATAGGTCATGTACATATGTGGTTATCTCAACTAGGATCTGTTGCCGACAGAGACCCTTTGATTATCATACATGATTGCAATTGCAAAATTCGCCAAGTGGTTAACAAAAATGGCCGCCTTGGGTGTCATGGAAACAACGAAGCCCAAGATATCTCAAGTTCCATCCTAAAGCTAGATATCAAAAACGATGGGTCCATTATCGGTTGTAGATGTTCCCCATGTACACCCGGCCTTCACTCCCACTACGGGAGACAGTCGCCAGTGGAAAGGGCCGATCATCGCCCTTTGATGGCGGTCTGCTCTCTTGGAAGACGTGGACTTCAGTAGTCTTTTGAATTCCAGGCCATCCCATGGCCTCGGGTGCTAGTATCTTGTCCTGGCTCGAATGCGGCCCAAAGGCGAGGGATGGGTCATCGTCGGCGCGCGTCTCCAGTAACGAGGCATCAACCGGACGACGCACGAGGGGAATAGGCTTGTCGAGTGGGTGGGAATCGTAGGATTGCGAATAGGCGGAGATCTTTTGTGAGCGGTGCAGCACAGTCATGTATGACTGTCGGAGGGTGGGCAAGGTGGCGCAGATAATGATAATGTACATCTGTCGTTTGATAAGTGAGCTAATACAACACGTCAGTTCAGAGCAAATTTATGAATACCTCAATCCTAGGAACTGTCAGCATTCAGGACAAAGGGCAAAGTGTGAGATACTTACGTGTACCAGGTCGTGATGTCAGCCCAGGACGCTATCGCAGTCAGCTACAAATGCTCTCCAGTGCCGCCCGGGTAACTCACAGGTAATGTCTGCGTGAGCTGGAAGATTCCTCAAAAGCACACACTTGACCAACGTGGCAGCCGCTGCTCTGAAGAGAAAATCAGTCAAGTCCACTATTGCAACAACGAGTATATGTACAATATTCCCGCCCCCATGACAGCAATGATGGCGATCTTCATCTTGGTACGGAGATGGACACGCCAGAAGATGAAGGCTGGAAACACGGCCAGGGCCAGGTCGTTGAAGGCGTTGAAGGCCGCCTGGGAGGTTCCCACAATCAATTGGAACCGCAAGCTAAAACACTTCCCGGGCACTTTCTGATTCCAGATGCGCTCCACCGGTCGGCAAAACCCGATGATAACGACGATGGCCATTATATTCCACACAACGCACAGAACCATGAGGGATATAAAGGAACCATCGACGTGGCGCTGTTGCTGCCTGGCCCATCAGGCGTAGCAAGAAAACAGTGACGCTGATCTTCCCCGCTGTAGTGCTGACAACAGAGAAGTTGGGCGCAATGACGGTGTATTTGAATGCCTTCATCTTCCAGTCTGGGTTATGAATGTCATTTATGTGCCGTTCCAGACCATAATAGACACCGACCCGAGCCAGCGAGGAGCATACAATGGCGCTGGCCAACGACAGTGCAATAAAAAAATCATCCCAACCGGCTCTGCGCAAGGCAAAGACGCGAGTATATAAGCGCACGCCGACGACCAGGATAGCCACGCTACCAAATGACCATGAGACAGCTGTGATAGCAACTGCTTTGGGCTCCATTATCATAGATAACAAGACCAGGCCACGTACGACCAGTTTTCAGTTGATTCATACCGTAGTTTTGGAAGCATTTCGCGGAGAGAGCAGGAAGAATTACATTGTACTACCCGTCATTCCTGATAGTACACCTGGCACATTATTCCAGGCTTCAGGAGAAGCCACCCCATGCCATTCCGTACTATCTTCACCCTATGCCACAAATATTACACACGGAACCATAGTTAGCGGCCGAAATGGACCAAGCGGCACAGCAAATGACGGGAAGGGGCCTGGGGATCATGCGAGAGCAACTAAATTACGGTGCCAGAGATTGATCCATCGAATCGGCTCTTAGATTTGCACCCCTAAACTGTCCGTCATGCCCTAGCTCGGACCGGCGCGATGGGTTGGGGCGCCATGAAAATGGCATTAGTATAGCATCGTGGACTAGACCCACCGAACCCTTGCGAGTTTAAACAATGTCCCCCGTCCACCTACTTCTCCACTTTGCATGCCACTCTGATTTGAACTGGTCCTTGCCCGACCAGTTGTATGTCTAGAACGTCTACTCCGTATACACCTCCGGGCCCCTGTGACCACAAGGTGGGGAGGGGGGCCAAAGGTGTAGGGTCGGAAGTCCTATGAACCGGTCCTCGAATGGTCAGAAATGACCGCGCCGCCCACTGAGATCTCCTGCGATCACAACTCCCCCCCTTTCAATTATCTCTTACTACCATCCATCACTTTTTGGTGTTATTACCTCCCCGTCTCGCCACCGGCTACCGCCATGTCTGATCTCGTCGCTGCCGAGGCAATCGACCATCTATATGGCCAGCTGTCGCACTCTCTTGGCTCGTTCCAGAAGCAGCACCACGAAGCAGACCGGCTCAAAGCACTGAAGGCAGCACAGGGCGTAGTTAACGCCCTGCAAAAGCCTTAGGATGCCGCCTACCACTTGGCCTATTCGGTACGTACACTTAGGTCACCAAAAATGCAGAATCATGCCCTGAGTGATGGCCGTTTTGGCCCAATATAGCCAACCCAAGTGATGTGTGTACGCATTGCCATTGACATGGGTATCTTTGTCACTCTTACCGAGCGCAATCGTCCAGTGCCACTCGCCGAGCTGGCAGCACCCAGGGGAGCAAGCCCCATCCTTGCCGGTACGTATTCACTGCACTTTGGAGATATATTAGCAGCGTCTGACCGTCTTCGGCTTGGATAGAACGTGTCTTGCGTGTCTTAGCCGGCATCGGCTACGTCTCAGAATGCGGAGAGCGCACCTACGCCCCGACGGCCATGACCCGACAGATGACAGTTCGGCTGAGCATCGTTATGATGATGTTCATCATCTTTGATGTTGGGATGCCGACGCTTGCCAAGGTTCCCGAGTTTCTGCGCCGCATTGATTTCCACAATCCTGAGGGCCCCACCACCGGGGCGCTGCAATTCGTCGAACGCACGGACAAGGTGATCTGGGATTGGATTCCGGGACACCCAGACTATATGGAAAGCTGCAACACCTTCAAGGAGGGCGATCGAGGTTCGCGGCCTAGTTGGTTAGAGTGGTTTCCCGTGCAGGAGCGCCTGCTCGATGGCGCCTGCACCGAAGGGGATGGCGCCGTCCTCATGGTGGACGTTGCCGGTGGGCGGGGTCATGATTTGGCAGCCTTTGCAGCTAAGTTCCCCGACGTTGAAGGACGCCTATTGCTTGAGGATTTGCCGCGTGTTCTGGAAGAGAGTTCAGTAGACGCGACATGGATTGAAAAACTTCCCTTCGACCTGTTTAAACCTCAGCCACTCCATGGTATGTGAAAAACATTTCCCCAGAGATCCGAAGATCAACGCTCACCCAAACCAGCGGCCCGTGTCTACTATATGAAGTTCATACTCCACGATTGGTCCGACGAGGACAACCAGCGCATTCTCCAGCAGCTGGCGGGCGCGATGCAGAAAGGTTATTCCAAGCTGATCATAGAGGAGTTTGTCCTGGCGGACCGCGACTGCGCCATGCTGCAGGCCATGTGGGACTGGGAGATGCTGGTTTTCTGCAACAGCATGGAGCGGTCGCAGGCGCAGTGGACACGTCTGTTGGAGTCTGCCGGTTTCCGGGTGATGAAGTTCTGGTCACCTCCCGGTGATGGACAGGGCATTATCGAGGCGGAGGTCAAGGAATGATGTACAAATCTGTTAGTCTTCCCTGTACATAACACATTGAGTTGCACTATGACGTTCTTGCACCAGATGTATCCTAGATACGTAAGTTATATTGTTCCTCAATCATGGTAGTATTTTAGACCAGTGTTCTGATATTGCGCCCGTAGGTATGTGATGTTATGTAACGTGGATTGTTTGCTTAAATTGCAATCCATCAGTCAAGTGACTTAGCCAGTAGAGTCGCCATATCTCTACTTGATCCGGTGGCACCTCCACCAACACTATGTCTCAATGATATAGACTTGGTCAACAAGCGCGATGGTGTAGTTATTGTTGTCTATCAGAGAGTTACCACAGCATTTTTTAGCTCATTATCATAGAACAAAGATAATATCTCGCTGAAATATTGATAAACCTATAAATTTTGTATTAAATATCACATCTGAAAGATGTTAACATCTGTAGAACATTCCAATAGATGAATGATTGTCAATAAACTGATATAATGACCAATTATATAAGATGTCTCCTTTGTTATTTCAAGGCAGTGATGCCCATACGCCCATTGACTATTCTCAGGGTTTCTAGTAGTGCAAATGATTCTGAGTGCAGGTGAAAGGCATTACTGTGGGTTAGTACTATCCAGCCCCCGTGCACTGGCCCAGCTCAGCACAGTGTACACTGTTGTGGTATTGAGAAGTTACCCCCCTACTACAGTTCTCCTGAGGATCATGAATCTCACGCGGACTCGTAAGGTGTATGTCGACGAAGAACAGATGTGCTGGCTTCCTCTCTGATATCTATGCGGTGTCCCCAGGTGGGTAATGTCTCCCAAACCTGAAAAACTATCAATAGATTTGATGAGCTGGGGATCTATTATGGCTCGGCCATCATGGGTGGCCTGAAATCCAAGATCTAGCCTATAAGGCGCCTTGGCCCGTGTGACTGTGTTACTACCCATTAAATGCACTCCACAGCCTTATGGCAGCTGCATGCTTTTCAACCCCCCTCCACATCGTCCGTGTCACAAGGCTGCATTCCCGTTGTCCTCGAATGGGGTCTGCTGGATCCGTAAGTCTCCTGCAGTGGTCTATATGACAGCCCCGTATTCGTTATTGATCGAGGGGCTGGACTGTCCTTCCTTATTCTTTCGTGCCACATCACTTGCCCTGTTTATAAATCATATGGTCAGCATCCAGCTTGTATCCATGACACGGACCATGTGGATGTAGCTCCGCCCCGGCGTGTTGATGTCTCCACTCTTTCCGCTTTTCGTGGATGCATTGGTTCTCACTGCTACAGCAAGGTAGATTGGACAGTACAATTGAATGGATTGCTCTTGTGAGTTCGGTGTAATTCATTCGGGTCGTACATTTCGTATCTTGTGAGATATCTGGACCGTGTCATTACAGTCTAGCGATTGACAACTTCGGGGTCGTCCTTGTTCTCATAGACGCAACCGTTCCAAGTCGTATCACGCGGCTAAGGAGAAATTCCATGCTTTCAACCATGGATGGACGGACTCCTGTGTGTAGTCGTAAACTACACGAGTTACTTGATGCTCGGCAGGGAGTTGGGGTGGACATGGTGATGACAGCTTTGGGCATCATACAATTCGGGAATATATGACTTGGGTGCGGATTACTGCGCGGGCGGGACCTGATACCCGAGGTATGGAGTGGCACATGTTTGACCAATCAAATATCCGGGTTCAATCATAACCGGAGATCAAGAGATCTAGCCTTAGACATTATACGCGAACCTCGACGTGTCACACGAGGAGTAGGAGTATTGCAGACCAAAGTGACGTCCTATTGCCGAAACTACTATGTCAGTGTTTCCTCGACTGCGCAAGGCTCGTAGAGGGTACTGGTTCCTAGTGGATGACATTACTATGCTCCAAAGCATAAGATATGATCAGGAAGAATGATGAGTCTTACGTGGTACTTGTAAGGCGGATTAAGTAAAATGGATACATTCTTGTCTCCGTGCTTTCGAGGAGGTGCATAGTCGAGCAGTAGCCACAGATCGACTACATTCATGGACAAAGCGCTGCACGTGGTCTATCACCTGACTACGAATCCGGGGCTATTTTTATCGCGTTTGCGGCGTCAAATCAGCCTTACAAGCCTCCACAACTTCCGGTGGGTTCAACGCCATCGACTTTCCATCAATCCTTAGAAGAGAAGCCAACAAAACAGATGCTATGCCACAGATCCACCTGGATAGCAGATGAAGCGGTGAATGCATCCCAACAACAGGGCAAAGATGACTTCGACTTGTATGTGCAACCTTGTCCGACGCCGTCTGTCCGTTTTCTGGAGCCTACTTACAACCCAAAAATAATGGAATCAATGAAGCTGAATAGGGTGGACGATAATGTAAACACATTATGCTACGGGGCGTGACTTGGATGCTAGTGACTCAAGTCTTAGTGCGTTTGTATTTTCCTCAATTCGATCATTCGGGTCCAATGTGTATCGGATCATCTGCCGCGTTCCTTGAAAAAGCCGCTTAAGATTAGGCCGAAACCGATATCTCGAACCAGGCCAACGGACGTACAGATAATGCGTATACAGCCACCGCCATCCGATTTGGCGCATGTCGGGCGATCCCTTGTCAGTCATCGAGCGATCTGTGTCATCGGCGATTCGACCATTGGATCGTGCATTGAAGGGTGGGAATCTGACATTCGGCTTTTGCTTGCGCTATTTCTGGCTAGTGCCAACGAAGAACCAACAGCGGGCTGCGGGAATGCCCCAAAATACTTGAGACATGGGATCTCGATGTGTTGGTCTGACAGCGACGAGTTGATGCGTTCATCAGAGTGCGGCTGCGTCTGTTGCCAGTGAGCGATTAGCCCTGCTATACGGGGTCGGAACTCGGAACGAACGTGGTGGAGGCGCATATGGATCGCCTAATGCCCGTTCGGGGGTAAGAACGAGCCATGAGCGGAAGAAGTGTTGAGGTATCACCTCCGACCGTACGAAAATGGCAGTCTCCCAACGCGCGAGCGTGATAGTTCCATCTTGGCGACGCCAACTTTCAAGGCAGGACACCCAGAGATTCGCTGGGCGGTGGCTGCGCCCCACCTGCAGGGCGATGATCTTACTTTGGGGTCGCACTACGGAAAGTGTTCCTTGGCTGGACGTCCTTACTGGGGCGCAATGCCTTGCGTCCCATATTTAGACCATACCGGCTCTGTTTAGGGAAACATAAATAAGTCCGCAGCTGGCACGGTGGATATGTCCGCATCTCAAGACATTTAATTCTCCATCTCTCCACACACCTATCTCACCCCCGCAACGCGATAACCTCTCCCGAATCACGACATTATCTATTAATTCCGACAATAATCATAATGTTTTCCCGCTTCCCTCTGTTCACCGCAGCGGCAGGTCTTCTGTCGGTGGCTGCTGCTCTCCCCGCCTACTCGGGTTCCTCATTGAGTGCCCGCGATGACACCCAGTGCCCCGTCGGCACCGCCTACTACGTCTGCTACATCAATGACTTCCGAGGCTGTTGCTCGGTTGACCCTTGCGCCATGAAGGACGGGTGCCCGGATACCAAACCACAACCTGAGGAACCCGAGATCTGTCAGCCCGGAAAGAAGACCCAGGTCTTCCAGCCCCAGATGAAGACCCTGCAGGAGGGCAAGCCACCCGTCTCGACCCCGAATTTCCACATCCTGAAGTCGGCGACCGAAGAACAGCAGCAAACCATGGCCTTCGACTTGCCCCAGGAAGCCAAAGAATGCACGCTCACATGGGTCGTGCCCGAAAAGAGCAAGCGGACGTTCCGGGCTGGCAGCAACGCCCTGGTGGATGTGTACAGCGTGGGCGACAACTCGGAGAGAGTCGGACAGGCGGAATTCTCATTCTGGCCGGACTCGGAGGAAGGCCACGAGGCGTTGGTGGGCAGCATGGACTGCCAGCAGGCACGGAATCTCCGGGTGGAGCTGGTGAAGAATGACGAGGTCTACATCGAGCAGAACAGCTACACCGGATGGGCGATCGAATATACTTGCTGAGGGAGATGCGAGCGACGTAATGAGTGACGACGTACTAATCTGGTGCCTGTTCCGCAGCCTAATGGGTTCGGATGACGATTCATGTAATCTTTTTTGATGATCATTCTTTTGTATCTAGGGATTTTTAATTTTCTTTCTTTCTTTTCTTTTAATATCGTTCGAGTTCAACACTCGCTTCATAGCAATATTCATTACAATCTGCTTTTTGGTTGATCTGCACCTTCTCGTGGATTTACGTGCCCTTTAACATCCTGTTGCCTACTACATTGGACATCAGGACCAGCGGGTCCGTTGCCGGGCCTGCTACTGTGGGGAGTAGCACTGCATATGCTTCAGTAGATGCAACACTGCCAGTCGCAAGGGGCGATCCACTCTAGCAGAAGGTTAGCACAACTTGGCTTTGAGTATGAAGCGCCACCAAATCCACAGATGCATGACAAGAGTGTTCTTAGTACACAGTCCGAAGCTGACGTAGTGAAATTTGTGGTCTACTGATGTTTATTTTGTTCTCAATTTGATCTGTGTTAACTTGTTATTGTTATTCTTTTGTTCACAGGGGATCTGTCACTAGTAAAGAAACCCCTGAGTCAGCAACAAGTCACTTGGATTATCATCTTGAGGTATTTACAGTGGGAGGGTGAGACATGCAATGGGCTAACATCCACTGACTTGCAATTTTTCCCACATAAACTTTTTGTTGATTTTTCAAGTTCATTGCAATACTGCAACTACTCGCAGTCTTTTCATAGACCCATGACTCTTGATTTTATCAAAATCTTGACCATTCTCATTAGTTCTCCCACATTTCCCTTCCCCAAGACTTCAATGCTTGAGTTCCTGAAGGAAACAATTCCACTAGCTTTGCTGGACCATTCTGAAACCCATACAGTCATACCAAATCAATGCGAGACAAGCAAGGGATGTATCTACCGTCTTTGTCGCCCTGTCACGGAAATATGACCATGCATATCACTCGGACTACTTGTAGTGAATGCCTACGGCCGGGAATTATGTCTAGCAGCGCGCCAGCATTGACACCTCGAGATGCCTTTTTGCGTGTTGCATATGTCCTCCGAGATTTGTTAGTTTGGTCTTCTGCTTGAAAATGGAAACATATATCTCCATATTTCCAATGCAGGTATCAACATATTCATCCGGACCAAATACCGATTCTGTATTTTGTTGCAGTGGATGTCATTTCCCCTCCAGTGGAATTGTTCAGAAGGCTCTTCAGGTAAAAGTCGATTAATCGGATGTATGTCACCATACCATAGCAATCTACCTAAAAGGACAGGGAAGTGTGAGTGGGAAAGATGTCCTGCAAAGTTATTCCCACCGCCGTGATCGCTTTGCTCCCTCCCTCGGCCACGCTGGACAGTGGACCCCGGATTCCTCATATCATTGACCACCACTATCAATTACTTTTTGTACGCTCGCTACACTTGTATTAACACCCAGACCCGACACGGTGCTGCATAATGTCGACCGTGGGGGATCGCGGCCACTGCCCAAGTTGGAATCTATCAACGGGACAGTGCACACTTCTGTCTCGAAGAGAGGATACCAGCTTAGTATCCCTACCTGTGCAAGTCATTCAATAGCGACATCCAGGATGCTCCTGGGTGATTGTATTGGAATGGTCATGTCAACCGCAGCAATCCTCCTGAGCTTGATCGCTTTGTTGTTGCTAACAGGCTGGGTGAAATTTACGGTTCAACCACCATGCCTGCGATGCCATTTTTGAACCCTTATCAGTGACTCAGGCTACACTGTTTGAGATTTGGTGGCACACAGGCTATTATCTCTAGCCCCGCGGTGCGTCCTGATCTGTGGCTCTATAACTCGATGACCCGGTCTCCCTCTCGCATAATGAAGGCAGCTCGCTGTTGGCGAGCTCAAAACATGGTGGACGATGTCCCTGGAATATAACCAGAAACGTTACACCTTCCATATAAACGAGTTCTTGAAAATTCTATCCATTAGTCACCTTTTCAGTGTCCTCAGCTGGCCCCTAGTTGAAGGTCCCGGCTAATCTCATAAAGGGCAACCCATCAACACATGAGGTCGTCATCTTTCAGATACGGCTTTCTCTCGACATACAGGATCACTTCATATGACTTGACGAGGATGAAACGCACACATCGCATGACCCTGGGCTTGTGGTAAAACCCAATGGCTTTTTGGGGCCGATGCACGGTTCTGTCCGGCAATATCGCTGGCTTCACTGGACCTTCGCTCCTTGTTTCATTTCCTGGTTCTACCTAATACGCCGAAGCGGAGGGCCGAAACCAATGGTTTTTTACAAGACCAGTCTGACATGAAGATATCAATAGCCCCCAGACGTAAATAACATAGACAACAGAAGTGTATTTCTATAAGTAGTTGGTTTCGCCAAAGCTCCAACTCCGGGCGCACCAAATATCATTCCAACCCCTGGATGCTTCTTGTAAACGGTGATTTGGGACCATTAAATTGCGAAACACAGCTAGAAGAGTACGCATGAGCTCTGCTGGCAGTTGGTGTGACTTTCCCACGATTGGACTTGGGCTTCCCCATCCCACGGTCACTTGAAAGATAGTACGGAATCCAGCTTCGCTCTAGGATTTTCCAGGTTGTTGGTACTTTGGCGCAATTCCAAGGAGACTTTAGGTTTGGTCCCTGGTCTATGGACATAAAACAAGAGCAGAAGCAATAAATGCTAGCTGGCATACCGAATGGCGAATTCGTGTTGAAAGTCTCTGCGCAAGAACCAATGACAGCATGTCGTAGATAGTATTTAGCATTGTCTTCCGGCCATGGTGCATTTTTTGCCTTTTTATCATATTCATCTTTCCCCCGGGTGGCCGTTATCAATAAGGGATGTTGAACAAATATGTCAATGATCAGCTTCTGGAGGTCAAACATTGTTGAGAGCCAAGAGGTGATTCATGTACTAGGCCGTCCTTGATGTTGAGATGTTGTGGGTGATGCGCAGCTGAATATCATCGCCCCCTACCCTGATCAAGTGTAACCAGGCAGGTCATCCCATGGCCTCGAGTTGAGATCCACGACTCGGACCCGAAGAAACGGATCCATCATTATGGATTGCTATGCCAAGACCGATCACCGCTAGAGACCAATTGTATAGTCTGTTGTAGGCTTTATGTTCTCTCATGGTCACCCTGTGTAGCAACAACCAGGAGTTCATACGGCGCCAGTCCAACATCCACTGGGAAGCTCAAATCGGAAAACGAAGATTGAGAGAAGGATGGTTCATAATCTGCCCAATCTGCACGCGGCCCGAGCCACAGTATCATCTCGACAGTTTGATCACCATACATATGGATGTACCTTGATATTAATTTCGGGTCGCGTGGGTAAACAAACATCCAGGCTGCGGCATGCTGCGCGCCCGGATAGACGCCCCAACCCCCGTTGACAACATGCATCCGCTCTTCCGCAATATATCGATTGATGGAGGACTCAACCTCCACGCCCTCCACGGATACTTCCGGGTGGGCATACATTACAAGCCCTTCAAGTAGACCGCATCCACTACCGACTGAGATGGTGAACGCGGGTTGTTTGGGGAGGATTGAGGTCATGTAAGTGAGTAACCTGTTGGAGATAGCCAAGCAGCAGCCTGGAAGTAGTTTTGGCGAGGCATTGAGCTCAGTATAGAGCCCGAAAAGCTCCATGATGCAAGGGGCCAGAGTCGTCAACCGGTAAGCAAAGACGCGCTAGTTAGAATATGTTCAGTTCGCACCCGCCGGAAACTAAAAGCTGTGGATGGAGAGACCCAGATGGGTTATTATTGTTCCGCTTTACGTCACTTTGAGAGTCCCCGTTACGTTGGCCAGTCTCCACAACTCCCCCGACGAGAGCGAATAGCAATATTCCTCCAGAATGCCTACAAAGGCAATTGATTTACCTTTTCAGTCCCCAGAGATTTTTGATCATCAGGATTTTGTTATGTACATCGTCTCGAGCGTTCACAGACTAATATCAGTTCGTTCCCTACTCCTTACTACGGTTGTTTGAACACACAAGTAGGAGATCTCGATTCAATTTAAACTGAGCACCTAGGTTGCTTTACTTCGCGGACCGAGCTAAAAAAGCAATGATCGTTCGCACAAACCATTAACACTATGAAAATACAGCACACTTACACTGACACTGGCAAGATTGCCACTTCGTAGTAACACCTACACATACTATCTCATAGTCCATCCTTGATCTGCTGGATCCGATACCTGATGTCACTTTGTGCCCACCCCAGAATGCCTCCATTTCCCATGGCACAGACCAAATGTGGGATGTGAAATTGTATCCACACACCGCCTGTCAGCGCAGGAGACGTCTCTCGAACAAATGTCAGGGCAGCCACCGTTCCCCCCGACCCCTTGGGTGGAGTGGTCCTGTAAATCTCCGCAGTGATGGCGTTGTCGATAAATTCCATCAAGGCCAGTTCATTCCCCACCGGGTGATTCACTCCGGTGATGAACAAGTACCGGATTGAATCGTCAGAGTACTGGGCAATGACATTAGGGTGTGTCAACCTATCAGACTTGGGAAACAAAGCAGCAGGGTCGGTGCCCTCTTCCCAAATAGTGATGTAGGAGAACATAGCTTTGGGTCATAGGTTTGTTAGTAGATGGTGTTATAGGATGTAGACGTGACTGGTATTTTCCGGAGTACTAGTGTTTCTCACGGCATACCGACAACGAATGTTATATACTACCGACTAAACAAAGAATTGTTTGGTCTTCAGGTAGATACGCCAGGCATGTTTGTAACTTCATACAGCCCATGGTCATTGTTAGATCAATTGGCATTGTTCTGCCCTTTGGGAAAGTTTCGCAAAATAAAGGATACGGTGTCCCACAACAGCACAACAGGGGTCCAGTATCGTGCGGCTGGATCCATAGTCAATGAAATATAACATTACAATGGATTGAATAATCCTATTTTGTTGGCAGACAATTATACGTGACATTAAGTCTGGAGATATCCCAGTAACGACTGACCTTTCAAAACAAAGTACGTTTATGGCACTATCCCAATGAAGACACCACTTAGAAGTCACATCGTCTAAAAGGAAACCAGGCTCCCTAGACCATGTTCTTTTCATTCTTCGAGCATCTAGCAGGACGATGCTCACATGGTTGGCATCCTAGGCAAACTGGTACCCCGAGGCCTTCTGAGGCGTACCAACCACGGCGCACCGGTTACAAACGTGTGTTGGGTAGATTAGGGGCAACAGATTGTATAGTATATGGGTGATAAAGTGGAAACTTTCTTATAGATATTGCTCGGTCATTGACCTATGTCAGATATATCACCAGATAACCCAGGCCCTGGTTTACCCTCAACTGGACCCCCTTTGTGACTGGCGATTGTCATGGGTTTCATTGACAGGAAGGCCCCACAAGAGCTCGCATCTGACCAACCGGGGAATCTCCCCGGTGCATCTATTGGTCTGGGTAAATTGGCCGATTCAGCCGATATCAATATATGCGGGGGCACACACCTGAACAATACGCGACACACGTTATAATGTCGCCGGGGAATCTCCCCATGCAGCTGACACTACGCTAAGCTTGTCATGGAAGAGAAATTCACTTTTTGAACCGCGTGTGTTCAATCTTCACGCCGTTAGTTATATTGTGGCGGCCTTATTGCGGGGTAGAATCCTGTGATGGTGGCGGCTCGAGTTCACAGAGCCAGCCTCTGCCAGAGCTGAGATTTTGCAACAATGGCCATTGCAATCATGAGCGCCGTCGAGGTATATTTATCGTCCATACATTCCGGCGGCGAGACTACTTCTCAGGTGTCGCTTTCAGATGAGCACCACAAGAGCCATCCTTGAACAATATGGTCGCAATCGCCAAGTCACGAGGAGAGAACGTCTCCGAGCCTGTTCTCGAGTCCCTTCTTGCCACTGATCGTACCCCGTGGTATCGAAAACCCAACCTCCGGGCATTGTATTTTCTCATGTTTCCCGCCTGCATGGGGATTGAAATTACCTCTGGCTTCGACTCCCAGATCATTAACACCGTTCAGATCGTTGGCACCTGGCAGAAATGTAGCCCACCCTTGAGTTTTCCAATATTGACCTTAGCTAAATCATTCAGTCTTCGGAAAGCCAACTGGCGAAGTCGAAAATGGTGTCCCGGTCTACGAAATTGAAGCGAATCTCAAGGGCTTTTTGGCCGCCGCGTACTCTCTCGGTGCTGTCTGTTCACTTCCCTTTGTTCCATGGGTGAACCAAAAGTTCGGTCGGCGATGGACGGTTATGTTTGGCTCCGGCATCAGTCTGGTCGGTGCATTGATTCAGGGTTTCTCAAACGGGAGTATGGTTACCTGGTCCCAGTGTTTTCGATTACACGTACTAAGACTGTGTAGCTGCGATGTATGTGGTGGCGCGTATCCTGCTCGGATTCGGCATTCCATTCTGCATTGTCGCCGGGTCCTCCCTGATCGGAGAGCTGGGCCATCCAAAGGAAAGACCTATTCTGACCTCATTGTTCAACTCATCATATTTCATCGGTCAGATTATAGCTGCCGCCGTTGGCCTGGGAACCGTGACTATCCCGTCTGACTGGGCTTGGAGGATTCCGTCGCTGTTGCAAATTGCTCCGGCTATGGTGCAGATCAGTACCGTCCTGTATAACTCCTTCACCTTCAATTTCCGCCATATCCACTGACGCTGTTTGTAGCTTCCTTCCGGAAAGCCCCAGGTACCTTATCAGCCGTGACCGTCGGGAGGAAGCCTTTGATATCTTGACAAAGTACCATGCCGAGGGAGACCGAGATTCGGTGTTCGTCAAAGCAGAGATGGCGCAGATTGAGCGAACAATCCAGATTGAACTCCAAGAGGCAAAACAGACATGGGGTGATATGTTTAAAACGGCGGGCATGCGGCGTCGTTTGTTTATTACTGCATTCCTGGGGCTATTCACGCAGTGGTCGGGAAACACGCTGACATCGTATGCTACTTTTCCAACCAATCGCCCTTTGGATCGCCAAAGGCGACATGGGAAATACCAGAGTGGAGGGACCAGGCTGACAAAGAGCATAGATACTACCTAAGCGATCTCCTCAGCATGGTCAACGTCAAGGATAGCGTGGTCAAGTCGAAGATCAATATTGGTATCGCTTGCTGGTCTCTTGTCAATGGTACAACCTTGGCCATTTTCGCCCCCCGTCTTAAGCGTCGGACGATGTATCTCACGTCCGCTGTGTCCTTACTCTGCGTCTATATTGCCTGGACCATCTCGATGGAACGCTTCTTGACTACTCAAGTCAAGGCCGCTGCGGTTTTGACCATTCTCTTCATCTTTCTATACTCACCCGCGTATAACCTGGGGTATAACGCACTCACATACAGTTCGTTGCTCAATTATCATCCGTCCATCATATCGATTGCCTGGTCTTTGCTGACTGTTCAAATCACAGCCTACCTTATCGAAATATTCCCATACTTTGGTAGGTCGCGCGGACTCTCCTGGTTCCAATTCTACGGCCGCGGGGCTACTTTCTTCGCCACGTACGTCAATCCAATCGGGCTAAAGCGAGTTGCCTGGAAGTGGCTGTTGGTGTATTGTTGTTGGTTGGTGTTCGAAGTGGTATTTATATACCTTTTCTTCCCCGAAACATCGGGCAGAACCTTGGAGGAGCTGTCATTCTGTGAGTCATTAGACATTTTCGCTCGCTATACTACGACAATGTTGTTAACCAATACTCAGTGTTCGAGAACCGAGACAAGGCCGATGAAATTGCTGCGGTCGTCCGCAAGGAGGTCGAGCATGGGACTGAGCATAAGCAGAGTGTAGCACATATCGAGGTTCGTGAGGAAAGGAATGTAGTGTAAAGACATACGAGAAGTGCTGCTATCGCAGTCGAGGGATATGTTATCATAGTACGGAGTAGCGGACAGGACATTGATGGCAATGAGACTTAGCAGTTAGCCCCGCAACCAGAAAAATACTACCCGGTACGTTCCATCCACTAGTAGACGTAATCGTTTCTTTCATGCAATGGATAGGCCTGATAAGTGATTGAACTGCAGCAGGCCCGCCTTACCGGAAGTTCAGCTAGGATTGATCATGCACGCTGTCAGGGTGGGGTCGGGGAGTCTCCCCGTTGTTGTTCTGGAACTTCGCCGGAGTGACTTCGACGTAGGGTGCCCACACTATAAATATAAGACATAAGCGGGCGGTGCGCAGCTGTCGATGGGCATTGACTGATATAGTACATTTTGACAGATTCATTATTGTGTCCCCTAAGTCAACCATGGCATTCGATGTCGAAACCGTCCTCTCCCAATTGACAGAGCAAGACAAGATTGCCCTTCTCTCGGGTACTTGTCCTCTAGCCCCGCCATTTTGTGCGATCCCTGACCTATAATACAGGAGCCGATTTTTGGCATACACACTCTATCCCCTCACACCAGGTTCCACCAATTCGTCTCACTGATGGCCCTAACGGAATCCGCGGAACCAAATTCTTTGCCGGCGTCCCAGCGGCCTGTCTCCCCTGCGGAACGGCACTGGCCGCAACATGGGATGCCCCTCTCCTCGAGAAGGCTGGGGTCCTCCTGGCCAAAGAATGTATCTCCAAGGGCGCACATTGCTGGCTGGGACCCACAGTCAACATCCCTCGATCTCCGCTGGGTGGCCGGGGGTTCGAGTCCTTTTCCGAAGACCCGCATCTCAGCGGCATCATTGCCTCGGCAATGATCCGAGGATGCGAGAGCAAGGGAATCGTTTCTGCCGTAAAGCACTTTGTGTGCAATGACCAGGAGCATGAGAGACGGGCTGTCGATGTCCTGGTCACCCCGCGGGCCTTGAGAGAGATTTATCTGAAGCCATTTCAGATCGTCGCCCGCGATGCGAGGCCAGGGGCACTCATGACAAGTTATAACAAGATTAACGGGAAGCACGTGGTGGAGGATGAGAAGATGTTGAATGGACTGTTGCGAACCGAGTGGGGATGGGATCCTCTGATCATCAGCGACTGGTATGGCACCTACTCCACCGTGGATTCATTGAATGCGGGAATGGATCTGGAGATGCCCGGGGTGTCGAGGTACCGCGGACGATACATTGAGTCGGCTTTACAGGCCCGATTGGTAAAGGCTTCGACGGTAGACGAGCGCGCGCGCAGGGTCTTGTCATTCGTGAATCGCATGTCAGAGGTCAGTGTGTCGAATGTCGAGAAGGGAAGGGACTACCCTGAAGACCGGGCATTGAATCGCGACGTGTGCGCCAGTTCGATCGTACTGTTGAAGAATGATGGTGGTCTCCTGCCTTTGAAGAAAGATGCGCAGACCATCGCCCTGATCGGATCTCACGTCATGGCGCCGTCTATATCGGGTGGAGGCAGTGCCTCCCTTCGCCCGTACTATGCCGTGTCACTGTACGAAGCTGTACGAGAGGCCGTTCCCAACGCAAAAATCATCTGCGAAACCGGCGCATATTCACACAAGATGATGCCGGTTATTGAGAGGTTGCTCAGCAATGCGGTCATTAATTTTTACAATTCTCCCGTGTCGGATGTCGGACGCGAATGTCTCCACACAGAGCCAGTCAGCACCACCGGTTTTCAATTTATGGACTTTCGCGCCCCAGGCCTGAATCGCGAGTGCTTTTGGGCGACATTGGTGGGCGATTTCACCCCTGACGCGACGGGGATCTGGGATTTCGGGCTGAGTGTGTTTGGAACAGCGAATCTCTATCTGGACGATGAGTTGGTTATAGACAATACTAGCCATCAGACGAAGGGAACGTCGTTCTTTGGCAAGGGCACCGTTGAGGAGCGTGGGTCCAAAACGCTGGAATCCGGGCGATCCTACAAAATACGACTGGAATTCGGTTCTGCCAACACTACAACAATGAAGACCGTGGGAATGGTGAACTTCGGCGGCGGTGCAGCCAATCTCGGAGCTTCACTACGCTTGACCCCCGACGATATGCTAAATTCTGCTGTGAATGCTGCCACTGAAGCGGACTATGCAATCGTCTGTACTGGGCTGAACCCGGACTGGGAATCGGAGGGATTCGATCGTGCATCCATGGATCTTCCCCCGGGGGTGGACAAACTCATATCCAGTGTACTTTCCGTGGCAAAGGATAAAACCGTCATCGTCAATCATTCCGGGACGCCCGTCACTATGTCATGGGAACCTCAAGCCCAGGCGATTATACAAGCCTGGTATGGGGGAAACGAAACCGGACATGGCGTGGCAGATGTCCTGTTCGGGAATCTCAGCCCCAGTGGAAAGCTGCCTCTCTCGTGGCCATCTGATGTGAGACACAATCCAAGCTATCTGAATTTTGGAAGTGTAGGAGGGCGGGTTCTCTACGGGGAAGATGTATACGTCGGGTATCGCTTCTACGACAAGACTCGATGTCCTCCTCTTTTCCCTTTCGGGCATGGGCTTTCCTATACCACATTTGAGATATCTCCAACCGTCGAGGTGGGCCCAGTGTCACATCATACCAGCCTACCAGCTGCGGTCCGCGTCTACGTCAAAAACACCGGAGACGTCCCTGGAGCTGAGGTTCTCCAACTCTACGTAGCGGTGCCACAGCCCGCAATAGGGCGACCAGACAAAGAGCTGCATGGGTTCCAAAAGACGTTCCTCCAGCCCGGTGAGGAGCGTGCTGTTGATATCACCATTGATGCCTACGCCACTAGTTTCTGGGACGATATTGAAGACAAGTGGAAAAGTGAGGCAGGGGAGTATGAGCTGCTGGTTGGAGTTTCGAGTCGAGAGATCGTTTCCAAGGGGAGTTTTATCCTGAGTCAGACAAGGTATTGGCAAGGCCTTTGATTGTAATGATTCTGGAATCTTCCAAAAATATCAAGTTCAGCCACAGGAAATTCAAGTCCGACGAGCGAAGTCGAGGTTGGTGATTGGTGGAATAGCGCGTAGTCTCCAAGCCACATTTCACCGGACCAAAAACGAGCACATCCTTTCCCCGCACAATCTGGTCTCCCGAAGGTCTGACCCTCACGATGGACACCTTAACTGGAACAAAAAGACATACCCGCGTGCTGACGGCGTGCGAGGCTTGTCGGCTCAGTAAGACTCGATGTGACTCGGCGCGGCCGGTTTGCGATAAATGTGCCAAGCGAGGAGTGCCCTGTGTGTATCCAGAGACGGATCCTCTATCCGTGTAAGACCTATCAATACAGTGCTGAGCACATGATCAATTGTGAGTTACTGACCTTGGGATAGCATAGAATCATGGAGTTCCAAAATCCTGAAAGCTGTTGAGCGCCAGGAGCGTCGTCTGGAAGACCACCTGCGGTCTCTGGCACCCTGGGACAGCGAAAGTCCCGAGTCAATATCGAGAAATGACACGTTGAAAACACCGATTACAGGATCAGACATGATCCTTAGCTGGCCTATATTTCCCCCGGAGAAGCCTGTACCGACCTTTCCACCCACTGCATTTGCGGAGAAGCATGACCCGTATCTCCCAGGTAAGCATTACATGTGGGCTCTCTTTTGTTGCTAACTTCGGATTTATGTAGATATCCCGAATATTACCCCCCATCGCATATGTGAACTACGCCTAATATTCATGACCCGAATCCGCACCAAGAATCCCATTGTTGATGCCGACCAGTTAGATGAGTGTATCGAGCGTGTACTAGAAAGCGGATTCGACTGGTCTGTATCTTCCTGCCTGGCCCTTCTGGTCTTTGCTCTGGCCGCGATATGGGGCAATTATCCGGAACCTGATGCGCGAGAGTCGGCCCCTGGATGCCTAACGATGGAAGTGCCAAAGCACCGCATAGAGGAATCCATAGGATTTTTTTCTATGGCACGGAAAAGGATGTCATCAGCGTATCTAGACGGGTCGGTCGTGGGCATTCAGTGCTTCTGTCTGTTTGGGTAAGCTTTTCCAACACGACGTTTCCCAGCATCTAACGAGACATTGACAGGATGTGGTATCAATACAACATCGAACCTATTGCAGGATGGAAAGCATTTCGAACGGCGTCAATGTTGTGGCAAACATATCACTTGAGGCATCGTGATGGGTCCATTGCCCGATCGGAACAAGAAGAAAGTAATTATTCGGATGCTTTTCCCCTGCTACCTGCGCGGGCATTGACGTAAGCCAGGCTTGGAACAACGGCTATACTGGACCTGCCTCAAATCTGAATGGTAACAATCTGTTGATTCCCAAACCACTCAGTTTCTAACACGACTCGCAGCGAAATCCGTTACGAATTGACCGATCTTCCACCTTGCGATCTGTCTTTGACGGACTACCCGTTCTCATTGCCCAATTTTCCCAACCACGAGGCCGCCTCCCCAGGGCCACCGGACCATGAGACTCTTTCCTCATACTACTACTTGGCGGAAATCTCCCTCCGTCGACTTCTAAATCGTGTGCGCCACGCGGTTACTGTCCTGAGTCCCTCCATTAGTCGGTCAGGAATCCTCCAACTATCAGGCACGCTACACGACCTAGACTACCAGCTCCAGCAGTGGGTCGATTGCCTCCCCCCCGCATTACACTTCAACAAACCCCTTCTCCTAAAGCCCCCCAGTCACGAACCGGAATTGATGAAGCTGGCGCGTGAGCGCTACGTCGAAGTCCGCGAACTCCTCTGCCGCGCGTACCTGTATCTCTGCATTCATGTACCACTTGATCAGGATCTGCTCGGCCCAGTTGGAGAAAAGGCAAGTGAGGCCCTACAGCTATCGGTGTACCGAATCGAAACCGAGCTACCGTTCTTTCGACATCCGGGGTCGTGGGGAGCATGTCGGGTTCGGTTCAACCACGCGCTCTGTCTGATCGCGGCTTGGAGGGCAAAACGGCAGGGTGCGGTGGGTATGGCGAATGTCAGTTTGCCAGATGAGTGGGCAACATGTGTGAGGGTAGTTATCGAGCGGTTGCGGGTCTGGGAAGCGGAGGGGGCGGGAATTCGTGGGCTGCGACTTTTGCTCGATTGGTTGATGGGCTTATAATTTCGAAGATATATTGCATCCTACGGGAACATCATTGGCTCCAAGGCGTATGTAGGACATGTGCCACTGTGTAGAATCGCGCAAGTAATCATCTGTAATTAGTCTAGTAGGGCATTAGTCAACACTTCACAATACATACTCTAATTGGAACTATATCAACCCATACACCTCCTACCCATGAGCACTGGAATCGATCTATACTCTGGGCATCTGCTAGCTGCTTCCCTTGTATTACCATCTCGTTCGTGGTTGCTGTTTGTCCAAAGGGGCAAATGGCCAGGTCCAGTCCCTGGAAACTCGAAACACGGTAGCAGGGTTGAGGGATGGGGTTCTGAGCATAGTTCTCCATCGGGGGAAATCAGAAACCTTAATAGTAACAGGTCTCGACTTACAAACTTTCCCCAAACTCTACGGCAGGGATATCCGATATATCACGCACTCTGCGTGAATATACTCGCAGCTGTGATCATCCTTCCTAGAGTAAAATACCAACTCCGTGACAATGCCAACATGGAAAAGGTATACAAAGGTGTAAATTGATATCTTGCGGCTAGATCCAGTTCATGTCACTCTTCTTGGAGTGATGTCTATAATTCAGCCTAAGTTTCTAATTCTTTATTCTATTATTTTGCTATGATTTATACAGTTTTGAAGTACTGTGCACAATCTCATCACTTTATCAATATCATTGCAAGACTAAACACACTCGTGTGCAACCTCTTTCCTAAATCTGTAACTATCCCCCCACTAGCAGCCAATGGCTTATATTCCGTACCATGAATCCTCGACCACTTATGAAGAGATTTTCACGGAGTCATTCACTAGGAATTGGAGGCAGATGGCCCGTGACCCTATAGTTGAAGGGATTAAAGCAACCTTCCTACCGTGCTTTTCGTTCTTTCTCTTGTTCTCATTCCTTTTCACAGCTTGTTCTGACTCTTCCTTACGGCAATTGATCCTTTCATATTCATCTTGAATTGCTTCCTTAATCTAAAAGGTTTTCACTACTATTTGATCATATTATCAAACAACACCAGGCCGCTCATCATGATGCCCATCCTTCTCCTCATCTTGTTCCTCTTGCCGGCTGTGTTCGCACTTCCAGCCAGCCCCATCAATGAGGACTCGTATGGTAAGTTATCTCCCTTCAGAACTCATGATGTGTCAAGATGCCAGCTGCAGTCATTTGTCTATCCAACACGACACATCTTGCTGCCAACACCTTTGATGCCCCAGACAACTAACGATATCAAGACTTAGACGCCTCAACCCACGCCGTCACCAACACATCGGAGGGCATCTGGCAGCCCCCCCTTGGCATCGGCTGGGAAATCGTGCTCCTCGCTCCTCCGACCACCTACGACGACAAGATCCCCGTATATGACATTGACGTATGGGACAACCCGAAGGAGACAGTGGACAGTCGGCATGCCAAGAAGCAGAAGGTGGTGTGTTACTTTTCAGCCGGTACCTGGGAGAGCTGGCGCCCCGATGCCGGCCAATTCCCAGACGCGGTGCTTGGCAATAAGCTTGGGAGATGGTCGCGGGGCCAAAATGTCGAACGATGGCTGGACATCCGGGCTGACGTCGTCCGCGCTGCGATGAGTGCTCGTATCGCCAAAGCGCATGAGCAAGGATGCGACGCTGTCGACCCGGACAACGTGGACATCCACGACAACAACAACGGGCTTTCGCTGAGCGCGGACGATTCCCTGAATTACGTCCAGTGGCTGATTGCTGAGTCCCACAGCCGCGGGATGGCATTCGGGCTCAAGAACGCACCAGACCTCCTCCCCTCCGTCATGGCCAACGTCCAGTTTGCTGTGAACGAGGAGTGCGTGCAGAAGGGGGATTGTCTCCTCTATAAGAAGTTCGTCGCCGCCGGGAAACCGGTACTCCATATCGAGTACCCCAAGGGCGACGACATAAACAACGACCCTGTGCCCGATGAGCAAATGGCGGCAGCTTGCGCGTTCATGCGATCCCACCGGTTCTCTACGCTCATCAAGAATATGGACCTTGATGAGTGGGTTCAGCATTGTCAGACCGGTGGGAGTAGCGGCGGAAACACCACGCTGTCTTGGGGGTACAGGGTCAACGGGGGTACATTGGCGTTGGCGTGATGGGTGTTGGTTGTCTGCTCGGTTTTGGTGTGGCGTTCCTATATGATGTTTTGTCTTTTTTTCTTAGGTAATTTATTCTCTCATTAGGCCAGTCCACGCTCTGCGTATATTTTCTGTAGGTCGAACCATGCTCTCGGTGTAGCCTTCGAGGTTGCACGGCATAACAGTCCACCGAGGCTTGGTCATGTAAGAAATCATTGTAGTTTCAACTACATGTACCGAACGTAGGACTAACGCCTGTTCATCCAGGCCAATAATCAAAATGATGTCGACTAGTAGTAACATCAGTCCTAGAAGAAATTTCGAATAAAGTCGGTCAAGCCCTGCAGCCTCTGTACGATTCCCAACCGTCCCGCCATCTGATGGTCCACCAGCCCTAGGGCAGCAATAAAAGCTAAGATTTGAAAAAATCGAACCGGTAGGCGGAGCAGACCTCCCTGGCGTGCAATACGCCGCTCATCATCTAGTGTCCAACCCCGCCGAATACCCAGGTTTTGGCGCACGCCTATCCACTTGATACGATCGACGGAATATGGCGGGCGCAGGAAAGAAGTCAGCTTGCCAAAGAGTGGGACTGGTCGTGCAATCGTGCGCAAGTGGGTAAAGGCCTGGAATCCATGCTTTCCATGGTAGTATCCATGTCCTGAGTCACCGACCCCGCCGAACGGGGCGCTAGGAACAGAGGAGTGGATGATGGTGCCGTTTACAGTGACGCCGCCGGAAATCGTAGATGAAATCACTTGGTTTGTTAGCTTTTTCTACTGGGTGGCGCAATAGATCTTACCGTGGCTGATTTCCCGTTGGTTCTTGCTGAAGATGTAGATGGCCAGCGGGCGGGGTAGACTAGGGTAGTAAGTATCTCGTACGGTTGGAATATGGTGCAGGAGATAGCATACTCGTTGATGGCGGTGACAGCCTCCTCGGTAGATGCTGTCAGAACTGGACAGATGGTTCCAAACAACTCCTCAGATAGAAGTGAGTCATCCATCGTAACGCCAGAGACAACTGACGGGGCGATCCGATTTTTTGACGCTTCCAAGGTCCCCCCACACTCTATCTTGCCCTGGGTCTTCTCAATCAGACCCTTCAGTCGCTCATAATTCTTCTGGTTGACGATGTGTGTCATCTCGTCAGCCCCGTTTTTCGCGTACTCAGCGAAGTAGAACGCCATCCGCTCGATGAGCTTCGCCTGGATATCCGGATGGGCAAACACATGATTGACAGAGAGACATATCTGCCCGGAGTTGAGGTACTTGGCCCAGGCAATATCACGAGCAGCAGCATCCACGTCTGCGGATTTGGTCACGATGGCCGGGCACTGGCCACCAAGTTCGAGAACCGTGGGTGTAAGGTGTCTGGCTGCAGCACGGGCGACATGGCGAGCAACGCCGACAGATCCCGTGAAGAAAATGTGGTCAAACTTGCGTTCCAGAAGTGCGGTTGTCTCTGCAGGGCCTCCAGTCACGATCCGGACCGCGGAGGGGTCCATATACTTGGGGATCAGCTCGACCAGCAACGCCTGACAGGCCAGGGTAACCTCGGAGGGTTTGATGAGGACAGCACATCCAGCAGCAATAGCAGCAACCATGGGCTGCAGGACCAGGGAGACGGGGAAGTTCCACGGCCCTATGATGAGGGCGACGCCAAGTGGCTCAGGCCTCACGCAAGGCCGCAGCAACGCTTTCATAACCATATTAGCATCGACGGGCTGATCTGCGGCCCAGTTGTCGATGTTCTTGAGGTGGTCAACCACGTCAGTCTTGACGGTCATACAGTCGGCGAAGGTAGTCTCGAAGGCATGACGATTCATGTCCTTGTTGAGGGCATCGATGATGCGTTGCTGGTTGTCTTCCACGAGCCACCAGACCTGCTTCAGCTGCCACTTCCGCCAGGCCAGCTCCTTGGTACGCCCGCTGCGAAAGGTTGTCTGCAGAGTCTTATAAGCCAGATCGACCTCTGGGATAGGGGTATAGGCCTCCATTGTGAAAATGTTGATGATTGAGGAGGGGCCAGGTCTGAAAGAATAGGTTTGAAAGGGTAGGTCTGAAGGGGTAGGTCTGAAGGGGTGCGGTGGCTATTGTTGACACAGAGACACAGAGGTCCGCAGCAAACAGTGTCCGTGATACAAAGCGGCATGCAAATAAGCCATGGGTCCAGCTTCCCCGCACGTTAAGCCCAGCAGGACTTGCATTATTTACAGGGGTGTGATTGCGGCCTGCCGACTCGCTGTTGACTTTATGTATGTCGTCATACCTGTGCCCACTCTGACTATCCTTGACTCTGTATCCGCTATTGGCCTCTGGCCTGACTCAGTTTCTCTATTCAGCTACCGCATCAAGAACGCACGACATTTCGAGCTGGTACCTAGACTCCTAGCCAGTAGCCACTATCATGGCCATCAACCGAGCCTAGTCCGTAGTCTGTCCGAACCGTTGATCCACCTCGGTTGTGGGGCCGCGGGCCGCGGATGTCACAGGTCCGTCCTTGTCTACACAATCCAGTACTTCGATCTACTTTATGAGTCGGGGCATATGTCGTAAGACTATAAGTCAAAGCTACATCTTTATAACGCGAAGCAGGCCATGCAAGGATATCCTATCCAGAGGTATAATAAAATACCCACGGCATGAAAGTGCCCTGCCGCTCAACCTTCATGTGGACTGTAGAGTGGCAATGGCTGTATGCCGATTGCTGGCTAACCAATCACCAGCTGCCCATATAACCCAAGGCTAGCTAGACTTGTTTCATGAAGATTCTTGAGCCAACAAGCAAATGGAGTATATGTTAGGGCACGAGGAATCATGCTTCTGGTGTCACAATCTGCAGCCTGGGGCAGGAAATAGCTGGGCCTAGGCACGTGACATGCGCTGTTGGCATTTCTTATGCACGGTGTTATACATTTACATTATTCACCCGCTACTGTTGTACCTCACAAGAAATGAAGTACCAAAAATTGTATAACTAGGAATATATCTTCCCTTATCTTCAAATGATTAATACATGTAATACTATTTTCCCGAAGGTTCAAATTATATATATTTTTTTTTTTCTTTTTGCAAATTCAATAAAGAGATAATTAAAATCTGAGATACATTTGCTCTCTAGCGTCTGGAGTTAAAGAGGCGAGCTGGTGAGGACTGCCGGATATATATATTGGGCGGGAAGGGCAGGGTCTACAAAGAGCATACCACAAACTATTTGGAGCAACACACCACTCAAAAAGATAATCTTTACTCTGTCTAAATCGTTGATCATGAATCATAAAACTATATACAGATGCTCTGTTTATACAAAGCAGTCGTGATCAATGCGTCATCCCCCAGTCATCCGGGAGTTTCAAGTTCTTCGGCAGGCTGTACTGCCCACGACAAGTGCCAGGACTGTTGCAGTTTTGCAATCCACACCGCCCATATAACCGACAATAGCACTCGTCGGCCCGTGGACACGCCTGCTGGTTGAGACGCTCCAGGTCGATACCCGCCGACTCGGAGCCTTCATGAGCGATGAACAGAACGTGCCACAGGTAGGATAGGATGCGACCGGCGACCCGGTCGTCGCGCGGCGCCGCACCCCTGACGAATGGACGGTCGCCCGCCCCGTCCAGCAGCCACTGCCGCAGAGCGACATACTCATCCCGTGAATGCTGCCACACACTCTCCCGGGAGACCACAAACTGCGCGCAGCACTGCGATCGGAGGGTATTCGTACGGTCCAGCTGTACAGGCAGGGAGTCGCCCCCACCAAATAGCGTGGCCAGGGTAACGGGCAGGGCCTTGTCGGAGGCGGTGCGGGCGCTCCACGGCTCGATGACTGCCTGAAACGAGTTTTGCAGGCTACCTTGGGGCGCGACCGACGAGGGACAGGTGCTGACGCTCCAGTCACACCGCAGATTGTGGTACCCGGAGGGTTCGAGGGCGGCGGGAACGTTGAGGGCGGCAAGGAGTGCGGCGTTGTCGTAGTTGGGATCGTCGTTATGCCAGGCCCAGCGGGAGCCGTGAACGAAAACCATCCCTGCTGCTGGGAGATGGTCGTAGTTGTCGATGAGGAAGGTGAGGTAGGTCATGGCTTCGTGGCCGCGGTTCGCGGGGACTTGGAGCTGGTCGGAGCGTGGGTCGGCGGGTGCATCGACGGTGTAGACGCAGAGGTGGTATCGGGAGGCCAGGTTGTCGAGCCAGGAGGGATCGCCATCAGTAGACATACGCGATACCACCAAGGCCGGTTTTGTGGTCTTGGACAATCCCGGGCAGACGCCGCGCGATTCCGGTAGTGAGGCGGCGGGAGTACGATAGCGGATGTGGCGCCAGGAGAAGATCTTCTGGCCGTACGAGGGACGGTTGAGGAAGAGGAGAAAGCAAAGGATGACCGCAAAGACGGCCAGCTGGACCAGGGCTCGTTGTGCCTTGCGCATATTGGTCCGTATCGACGAAATAGCCAGACCCTGTCGCCAACAATAGCTGGACCCGGGGTAGTTCGAGAGAAGGCATGAGATGGCGCGGAATCACGGGATGCCGATCAATACAGGGTCATGAAATTGCAAAACCCGTATGTATTATCACGTGACCCAGCTCCTCCATGTGTAGTCTTTCGCTTCCATGACAGGGTCTACTGAGATACTGACGTGGTAATCCCGATGTAAGAGCTACAAAGTACTCCGTATTCAACTCTGTTTTTAACCTCAACAGCCTGCGCCTCTGAGTGCAACTCCTGCCAGCGTAAGTACCATCAGCTAACACGAGATTCGAAAATTGCGTGTAAAATAACTTTGAGAGCAATATCCTGATTGGACCCATTCCCGCCCCAGAGGCTTGGCACTGTCCCTTTCTGGTTAGCGTAGTCGCTTCAGACAGAATTGCAGCCTGAGGTTCTGAGAGCTTGAGGTTTGCGGAGTCTGGACAGTGGAGCATTCTGCCGTCATGTTCACTTCTCCAAAAGTTATAATTCCAATCAATGTTTCAATGTTCCATACTGTTATAGGAAGGACATCATAACAGTACTTTCCTCCAGAGGAAAGCGTCTCTATGAACTCCGAAGGCCTGCATCAGCTGTGCTTACTGCTTAGAAACAGGCAACGATCATGGCGAGCTTGCTTTTAGCCTGCATATCACTTTATAACCTGATAATAGACAATTACAGCCACAGTAAAAAGGTAACATCGCACTAATCAGTGGTCTTGGGTAATTCATCTTGTTTTTGGTTTACAACATTTGAAGACTCTGTGATGCATCCTCATTTAACAACCATTTGTTCGCGAATTGGCTGTCATCTGAGCCCATCAGCATGCTAGATGTAGATACAGTGACCGGGTTGCCTGTACTGTTCATATCAAAGCAAGTATCGACCACAAGTGACTCTGCATGGGTTCATGCCTGCGGATTTGTTCCCCCGTAGCTGAAAGCACTCGCGATAACCAAGCTTCTCCCTTCTCGTATCAGTTCTTCAAAGCTAGTAGCGGGCTAATCCTGTCCTGGATAGCACGACTCCACTCGACCTGTCACGACCCCGATTAGGGTCCAGGAATATGAGACATTGGACTTTGGGCCGAGAAAGAGCGGCACAGCCACACCGAGGATAGTATTGCGCCTGTGGCCAGTAGCGCGCGGCGGCGGTGTCGTTGGGTCGACCGATTCTGGCATCTGGTCTGCTCGGGGTGTAGAAAGGGGCAGGCCAACATGAGGCTGCTCAACGTCTACACTCTTAAGCTGGAGGAATTCCTCATCAGCGCGACGCCAGAGTACGCCATTCTCTCACATACGTGGGGAGATGACGAAGTCAGTTTCCAAAAATATGCAACGGCAGGATGGCCCCCCTGCCAATGGACGGGCAGGGTTTCGCAAAATTGCGTACAGCTGCACGCAGGCTGCCAAGGACGCTTTGGGATATGTGTGGATTGACACGTGCTGCATTGATAAAACGAACAGCACAGAGCTGTCGGAGGCGATCAACTCAATGTACAAGTTCTACTCTGGTGCGACCAAATGCTATGTCTACCTGGCCGATGTCCCGGGGGAGCATGGCTCCATCCCCTAGGACCAGGAGCCGACCCGGGACTTCTTGGGCGGGGCGTTTGCAAATTCCCGCTGGTGGACACGAGGATGGACGCTGCAGGAGCTGATCGCCCCGAAAGAGGTCATATTCTACGGCTCCACCTGGCGATTCCTGACCACTAAGCATGAGATGGCAAGTGTGATTTCCGCCATCACCGGAATCGACCGTCCGATCCTAGAGGGCGCGAGGGACACAGGGTTAGAGCTCGACGACGTCTGCGTGGCGCGGAAGCTGTCGTGGGCGGCCAAGCGACAGACGTCAAAAATCGAGGACCAGGCATACTGTCTCCTCGGTCTGTTCAAGGTCAACATGTCTCTTCTGTACGGCGAGGGGGCAGCCGCATTTACGCGGTTTCAGGCGGAGCTCATGAAGCAGTCGAACGACACGAGTCTTTTCGCCTGGGAGGGAGATATTGGCACGAGGGATGAGTCACTAATCCACTACCACAGCAACATGCTGGCGCCGTCGCCTGCGTACTTCGAAAAGGCCAATCGTATCCACCGGTGGCCACAACCACGAAGCGCCGAGTCATACACCACCACCAAAAAGGGCTTGCACATTACCCTCCCGGCATTGTACCTCCGCAAGGGGTACTGGCTCACAACGCTGGGATGCCGGTGCGACGATTGCCCCCCTGGGTCCTTGGCAATCACAGTCAAAGAGAATGCGGACGGCACCTCCGAGGTCCTCCACCTGTCCACGCGCCTGCGGACCGTGGAGTACAACGTTGAGAAAAAGGCCAAAAACCGGTCGTTCTTCATCGCTATGACCTGCGAGACGCAGGGGGGCTCGGTACGGCCTGGAGTGGGCACTACGGCATGCTATCTACGTATCCACCAGGGCCCAGGGCCCCTCCTCTCAATTGCAGACCCGCCAGACCGTCTAGGAAGATGGATCCGAACCCATCACTCGGGGGTTGTTCGGGACCGATCTGGATGGGCATCTGATGTGTATATTCTGTTTATCGACCCGGACCTCTGGGACTTGCGCAATTTCAAGGAAGGGTTCTGCCTAGACGTTGGCAGCGAGAGATTTGATATCGTGTGCGGGTGGTGGTCACGGCAAGAGCGTGTGAACGGGCCGATCAAGCTTAGCGGAGGGTCGGTGGAACTAGAAGGGGAGGATCGACCGTACGCCGTGACTTCTCGGAAGTTTCGACTCAGTCAATGGAAGCGGGTATCTGTCAAGTTGAGGTTTAAAACAGTCTATGGGGAGTCCTTCGTGGTCGTGGACGTTTCTGTCAAGAGCCATCACCCAAGAGATCTCCTACGGCGAGTAGGTGGGCATCTGGCGGCATATTTACACCGGCGTGGAGACACGCGCGATTCCTTGGTACCCCTTTGGCTTAAGTAGAACGATGACTGCCAGCACAAGGGTGGCCCACGTGGAAAGGAGCTGCTATAACTGTATATTACTTTCGGGTGGCTATAAGTATAAGTAGGTCAGGAGCCATTCATTTAATAATCTAATCATATGGGGTTACTTTCACGGTCTAGTAACGATGCCCTGTGGGCTAGATAGTAGATAAAATATAGTTATTAACTGTGAACCGGTGCATATATCAGTAGGAGCAAATTTTCGTCCCCATGTTTTCGTCGCTACTCACAGCGCGAGGATAGAGAAGGAAATAATAATCCAAGAATCTTCTAAACAGTGTGCAAAGTGGTTGACAGCTGGTTTTCTATATTGAATAAACATCAGGGGCGGAGACCTTACTCAGTAAGGACCGCGAGGCGGATCTGGCTCTTTGACTAGTTCGAGCTTAGCTTGGACATCAAACTGTACCTGAGAAACTCTACACCGTGCACTTTTTTGTCGCCAGGGGTCCTTGGTTTTCCTGTTGAATTGAGAAACATGCAATCAGCCGCCATCTCAAATATCTTGCAGAGCATTTCCCTACAGGTTGATTTTGACTTTTCACATTGTGCAACTATTAGGTGATCTGCTTCATGGCTCTAGGGACTGCCACCCCCATCAATAGTTTGACCGTTTTCATAGACCCTTTCATCATGGCAACTAGGCTGTTGTATGGACCTGACCATGGACAGTGGAGTCTATGAAACCCAGATCTCGTCTATACGATTTGAGGCTACAACAGGCTTTTTCAAATGTTTTGACGGCCTCTGTAACACGCGATGTCACAGAGATCAAATTTATTTGAGCATGGAGAGGACGCTATATAGAGTTGGCCGATAAGTGTTCATTGCTGGGGCGACATCTTCATATATCATGCCGCAGGATCAGACTAACTTAATACGATTCCATTCGCACCATTGCATCGTCATGAATGAATTAAATAAAGACAGTGATCATAGCACCATGATATATGCGTCACAAACCAACGGATCCTGGTTATCCCCCAACAATCCATTACTCCTGGGGCACATATGGATTGAGAACCACATCTGTGTTTTGGGTATTCTCAGAGCAGCACAATTCGTAACTCCCATCCCGGCTCTTGAGGCAGTTGTTGTCGAAATCCAAGTCGCCCCAGTTCCGAGGCCATTCGGCGACAAGCTTGCATGGGGGAGTCACCCTATCGTGCATCGTGTCCTCACCATCAAATCCAGCATAGATCGTAGCGGTGCTCTTCTCCTTGTTTTGATCCGCGACGTCTGGCAATCCTGTTAGTGTCCGCTGGAGGTCCATTTGGGAAGAGAACTTACTGTATGCTCCACCGGTACCCGTCGCGCATCGCTTGGAATCATTGATCACAATACAACCCTGTGCAACATTCTGTGGCCAAGGTAAGTGACTGCCTTGTGGCAATAGGGCCATGATGGAATCAACTCACGATGTTGGTGCCACTACTGGAATAGCCTTCGGAACTATCGCATGGCCACGACGGGTCGTTACGGTTGCCAGACGTGAGCTTGACCTCGATGCCATCTTCATATCGCCCTGTGCAAATGGGAAGATTGAAGAATCCGGCCATGCTCAGGTCGATATTTTCTTTGCCGAATTTGCCAATGATGTCGTCCATGTTGGGGCGGGGATATCCGTTTTTTTGGTTGTTGTTCTTCCATCCTGCGACGCTGCTCGCAACGATTTGCTCGAGCGTGATTCCACCCCAATGAGACCCGTCCAGCGTGGAGTGAACACCACCAGGCAGGGGGGCTAGCCCATAGTCCTTGTATTTCCTGTAATAGGCAGAAACCACATAATGAACCTTCCCATCATGGCAGACGTTGACGTCCACGGCGTCCTTCTGGGGGAGAGGATTGTGGAGTTCCTCTGGGAGGCTCTTGGTATTTTCATCACAGTCCCCGTCCGTTCGCCTGGTTGATGGTATTAGTTTTCTAATTCAATTGAAAAGCTTTCGATACACGGAAAGTCTGACCAGATAATTGGGCGCTGGTCCCCGGGGGCAACACTCCAGGCATAGGGGATCATCTGGCCGTATATGACACTCTTCATGTCTCCCATAGTCTTGTTCAGATTAAGGTTGTTGATTGGGTCGCCCTTCACGCCATGGTGGATGATATTATATAGTTGCTCGTTGCTGTCGTCTGAACCGGAGAATATGGACTGCAGATACTGAGACTCCAGGCCCTTCCAGGCGGCCATGGTTTGCCCTAGATAACCGGTGATCTTGTTCTGTACCTTCAGGCCCTCGATCGCCCTGTCTATAATTAGATTTTAAACACAGGAGAAAGGAGAAGGTTCAAGTTCAAAGAGGGACAGAGCTGCTTTAGTGTGACTTGAGACTCACGATTTCATATTAGTCTTGTAGAAGGCACCCGCGGAGGCTTGGCTGGCCATGATGAAGTCATATGCTACCGCTTTGGCTGCACTTTCCACGGCGCTCAAAGCTATGAGAGGGGGGAATTAGCTTGGGACTCTGTATCGGTGGGGCTGTTATCTTGCGACATACCGGCACTAAAGAACAGAGACTCCGCAAACATCATTACCAACATGATGGAGTCAAAGAGGTTCTTCTCGGCTTTGCTGTGGTCCTCCTCCTCTGGGGCAAATGTATCTCGGAACATTCCAGCCTCTGCCGTAAGGTCGGCTTCAAGGCTATCGATGCCTTGGTAATTCGAGCCGTGAAGCTGTCCGGGTATGTCAGCCTCATACTTAGTAGGAATTTACGACCGGAGATGCCAACGCCTACCTGGTGGATGGCCGCAAACCCATTCAGAATCACAGAACTGTTACACAGTTAGTCATTGCGAATTACCGAGACGGAAGGGTCCGACGGCTTGACTTACCCAGCAGGGATAATGTTGTTCTGACATTCAACGGGCATGGCGCAACGATTTTCGGTGGCGAAGTCATTGCAACGCATCCCGTCAGGTCCGTGGAGAAATTCGCTCACAAACTGGGGGAAGTCCGTTCTATTCGAATTTTGCTGGCGCCAGGAGGCAGTCGTAGTATTCCAGGCGCTATCGCCATTCGCAGCTTTCCAGTCTCCTGCCGCGTCGCCCTGGAGCTGTGCACACTGCATTGTTTTCCAGGAATCGGCCTCATCTGTAACGCCATTGGAATTCTGGGGCTGATTGTTGGTTTGAGACCCATTTGAATGTGTGTGCTGTGGGCGAGGGCCGCTTTGGCCTGGATAGCCAGCTGGCCCAGGATAAGGAGACCACCCAGACGCATGAGGAAGATATTAGAGAAGATGCAATGACCGAAAATGGACAGAAGTAAAACCTGATAGAATTTTGAAGCACATGAGAATGAAACCTGAAAGCCGTTGCGCGGTGGCTCGCTCGTTTATATACAAGCGTGAGATCAGCTATCTCCTCACAGACACCCCAGCCGATCCATATCTATGAGTACAGATGGTCTTCCATGACGATACCTTCGCCCAACTAACTTTCTCCCACAAATGGCTGAACATGTGCTCAACCGGCCCGGTGAACAGTCTCTGCGCCCTCCTGCAGGGGGCCGAGAGGCAGGGCTTTTGCCGGAATGGGGCGATGTAGATGGGGCCTGATAACTGCAGGTGTGTAAAACAAGGGAAATAAACCTGCAGATTCAGTACGCAGGCTTGTCCAGGCGGGGCGCCTCCTGCAGGATAACCTCTAGGGCTCGGACCACTCAGGAACGTCTCCGGAGAGAAAGGTATGACGTGGAGATTCCAGCCAAATAGCCCCCACAAGCCGAAAACGGTCCGGAATCCATTTAATGGGCCGTCAGAGGAAGGGGATATCAGGCCGGGGGTTGACTATGGCGTAGCCTGTTGGTGCATGTTACTATACCCATCGGTGACCCCACTGTCATCATGTTTCCTCAGGCATATCTCATCTATCTTCCCATTCGTGCTGCAGCTATTCTGATATGATAACGATGTCTGTACGGAACTCTTATTCTATCGTTCCCTCTCAAGGATCACCCTTCCACGGGAGAGTGGGGCACACAAGGTGTAGGCGCACAGTGCAGCTCATGGCAAGAATCAAACCTTGACCGAGGTCATCTTCCGGTCCCAAATGCTAAGAACTGATGTACAGGCTAAGGAGCGGATATGTTAGCTTCCTTTCGTGGTGATCGACCTGCGTAAGACACCGGGCCATTCGCTGATATATCCCTTCTACTAAGCTAAATCTTTATCAAACCATGACCGGTCCGGTCAACTTGACCAGCTCCATACTCAGATTATCTACGCTGGTCGGGCAGTAACGCCAGTCAAGACATCGAATGGGTCAACGGGATATCACCCTTGCCCCTTCGCTACAGGCAGGATCAATATCCGACACACCAGCGCCAGGTAGCCCCATCAAAGGCGACACCCAAGTGGCATCCGATGTCAGTACCAGTCACTCCACCAGTAAAGTGACACATTGCAGTGTTTGCACCGCCTGACTGTGGAGGACCAACTTGGCAGACGAAGACGTGTTGGGGCCGAAATATGGAGTCAGCGTTGTGGGGGCCGCGACAGTAACGCAGTTTGTTGGACAAACATGCCTTGGCCCGCTCAATGTTTACGGATTAGCCGCGTTCTACGGCACAGCTCCTGTGGCTCCTGCAAGGTTGAACTACCCAGCGCGGTCGACGAGCTGTGATGGGTTGGCGGTTTTCCGGGCTGGCTTATCGAATGAGGAAGAATCATTTTGGGGGTCGTTAAGAACGAAATTTCCGTCCCGTCTTCGAGACATGAATTGCTCTCTTGACACGGGGCTAAAACAGAAGGATTCAACTATCGTCTGAGCGGTAAATCTAATTTGGCAATCTCGACCAACGGGGAGAAAGAGGGATTTTAACAATGGCCTGGGGTGCGCCGAACGGCTGATGAAGGATGGCCGGTTAGGGTGGGGGTTGGATATGGGTAGGGGCGAGGCAGGACACAGAGAGACAAATACAGAGATTTGGAACTGTTCCTGGATTTTCATAAGGACCTTCCCCCCCTCAATGTGTTCCCCAGTACTTGAATGTTGATCATGTCACCAGAGGAGCCAATGCGGGAGCCCGTTGATCCCCACCGACATAGCCATCATTCCATGTGCGGAGTCTCCGGCTCCACTTAGCGTTCAGAAGTCTAGTTTTACTCTGTTATAGTTTTCGGTGATACGAAACCATACCTTTACCGTGTCCAGTTTGGATGGACATTTCCTGGTCAAGCGGGGTCTTCTGCTGCTGGCGGTTTTTCTCGATAGCTGAAACACATGAACCTACATCTGAACATTTCTTGTGGCTATGCAATGGAAACCCGGGTTATCACGTCAACCACATCCTCTGACCATGAGACCTGTTCTGGGTGTCACGGAATGGGTCGCGATTAGGACGCGTGAAGTATCACGATTTTACATGGACAAGGGTCAAGAACAAACAGCATATTAGATTGCCACATTCTTTCCCCTCAATGGGAAGGGCCTGCCGCCAAACCATATAAACCGCCCATGCACGCAACAGTGGCGCTGCATGAGGTGTTGGAGGATCAAAAAAATCGAAATCCATTATCAGCTCCTTAATTGGCAGGGAACGAGACAGGATCGCTTACAAGACGCCGAGTCATGGAATCCACTGTGGAGTCGGGCAACAACCATGCTATAGAGTGGAGACTATCTGGCGAACAGAAACAGGGAATAAAGCTTGTTCTACATGGTCCCCTGTAACAGAAGCATATTTGACTGAATAAGAAGGTCCAATTATGTTACTCATTGCCTCCTATGCATGGTCTTCAACGTGCGTAGCTTCGTTCATGAGCCCAATGCCAGCTGTATTCAGCATAATGTTGCTAATACTGCCATCGCTGACCAAATGGGTCACCAATCAAGATAATACATTACATTCGGTTATACGCTTCGCTTCCTGAAATTTCTGTTAGCTGGGGAGTGTCCTCTCTCATTTCATCGACAGGCATCAGGCACGTCCACGATCCCATTCAATATTACCGCCTGCAGAATACGCGGACGTCAGAGCCCTCTCTGTATACATACAAAACACTATCCAACTCACAATTAGATGGCACTGGTCGGAGAGGCAACAGATGAGAGTCCAACGGTAATAGGACATGGACAACCTTCCAATTCAATACAGCAACCATTTCGCTCTCCGGGCTTTAAATTCGGCCAAATCATCCTTCCAGCTTGCTCTAATTGCATCTGGTGTCAATCCAGCGTCAATTCCCTCGCGAATTAATGGACTTCCTGCCAGGATATCTATATTAAACTGCCTTCTGTTAGAGGTATTCGCCAGCCACTCGAATGCGGTCCCATTTTTGGGAATGTGATAAAGCTGCTTGGCTGTCGACAACAAAGCGACGCCCAGGTAGACCGGATCAAATGCTTCATAGCCCGCTTGGTCTGGTATTGAGACATAAGTCTGAACGCCGCAAGCCGTTTCCGATTCAAATTTGGAAGTCGTCGGGCTAAAGCACGCGAAACGATAGTTCGTATTGGGAACCTCCAGGGACCGCATGTGCATGGCCCAGGTCTCATTACCGAACGTCGCACCCAGCAACTGTTGCAATCCATTATCAACATAAGGAATATCACTCGTCGTAAGGTGCAGACTAACCTCGAAGGGTCGCGTAGTTCCCCGTCCCTCGGACAGGTTGGTTCCTTCAAACATGCCCGTCCCGGGTATAGCAGGGCCGTTTGAGGGGTTGGCATATCTACACCAGGTTAACATCGGGCCGGTTACAATTCCGATTGGAATACGTACTAGGGCTAGGCATGACCCATGGTAAACCGGTGTCTTCCCATGCCATCTCTCGCTTCCATCCCTCCATTGGAACGACGTCAAGGCGTAAATTTGCCCCCTGGGCGGCATCCTTGATCCAGCCTTCACCGACGAACATACGCGCCAATTCGGCAGATGTCATACCGTGGGCTTGGGCAATTGGTCGGCGTCCGACGTACGATGCGTACTTCTCTTCCAGCACGGGACCGAAAGCATTGAGCCCGGTTATGGGGTTGGGTCGGTCGAGAACAACGTATGATACGTTGGATAGGGCAGCGGCGACCATCGTGTCATACATTGCCCACGTATCTTGATGGAGCGTCAGATGGGCAAATACAACAGGGGTCTAGGCGTACATACATGTGTAAAACCGCGCCCCAACGTCCTGAATGTCATAGAGAACCGTGTCCGCTCCTGAGTCTCGGATATACCCCACCAGGGTGGACGTGTTGGCGTTGTATGCATCCTGTCATACCCGTATGAGTACCGCTCATATTCTCGCATATTGTATGGACAAGGGATTCAAACATAAACCGTCAAACCAGTCTTTTCATCTGTAAATGTGCCCTCCGACCCCCCGGCCGGTGCGGTACCTCGAAAGCCATGTTCAGGGCCCATGACCCCAGCAAGGTTGACCTTGCCAGACGAGGCCATGACGTCTACGCCCAAGTCAAACTCAGGGGTAATTCCGGTAGGATTCGTCAGGATGATGACTTTGCGCCCTTGTAGTTGCTTGTAGTCCGCTCCACGCAGGACATCTAACCCCGTGCGAACAACGGGCTCGGCTACTGCGGCGTGGACGCAAGCTGCAATCAGGCATAGCCTTTTGATACCGGATATCTTCATGATGCTCGCCCGATTGAGTGATCTAGTGTTGAATGTGCGCTGCACGAATGGGGATCATTTTTCTATCCCTGAGGGATATCGAAAACTTTCAATGCATTTGGCTACGGCCGGATGGCACGCCGGAATACCACGTCCCATAGCTCCCCTGTGGAGGTTTGATTGAAGGATGCCCCTGAGCGAAGGCCAGCCGATACTACCGACCCCGCATTGCATTGGGGGATCGACATGGTACTTGCAGAATGAGGGTTAATGCTATTTCTGTGTAGCGCTCTACCCAAAGGTGTGGGATCTTTACGCTCAGTGATGAACACAGTGATATGTCTCCGCCATTGATCGGCTGGTGATGAACATGGAGCTCTAATAACAAGTTTGAAACATTATATATTAGTGAGTCCAAACATGACCCGACAATCACTTTTTCATAGCAATATCCCACCAATCTGACTAGCCCATCCGTTCGATCTCGAGACTCGCTAGAACGAAAGCGCTCGTGCCGATTAAGCTGTTTGTCGTGACCGCCAAGTTGACATAGTACTAGATCACGCTCAGATTTTTTCAAACAATGGAAAGCGACAGAGGAACCTTCACACACCTCGTAATCAACCTTGGGCTGGTGCAGACTAGCCATCGCACTAGTACCGAAATAGTCCAGCATGCCTTGTTGATTGTGCCCGACGAAACGCTCCACCAGATCCTGGTGCATTTTTCGGACAAGAACCGACACCCGGCCATGCATATCTCCCATATAACCCAGGCGCAAGCTCTTGGCTAGAGCAAAGGTAATCAGGGCACCAGCACTGGATTCAATGAAGTTTCCGGGGGCCCCGGGCTGGTCTACGACCTGCCAAATGCCATAGCGGCCTGTTTCGCTCGCAGACTTGTCCACAGCCTCTATCTCAGCTACTACAATATCCCGGAGCAGAGCCTGTATGCGATGGTACGTGACGGTAACCACGACCGCCGGTGACTTCGTGGCAGCCAGTTCCAGGGCGTCGACCAGACCAACAGTATACCAGGCCAGACTACGCCCCCAGATAACGGGACTAGCGCCCGTAGCAAAATCGGCCCAGGAGGCATTGCGGGACAGCTGGTACCCGTGCTTGACAAGACCAGTTGTTGGATCGCGCGCATTGCGATAGATCAATTCCAGCTGTTGAAGGGCGGTATTCAAATCCAGCGACTCATCACCGGTAATCGATCCCCAGAGGGCGGCGTACGGAGCGTATCCATACATACCATCACCGTAGGACGCGTCTCCGTAGTAATTATATGGGGCGGGCGGGTTGGCGTAGTACCAAAGGCCACCTAGTGGTGGCCGTCAGTGACGGGAAAGGAATAGATCCTTGAGTATGGGAATCAAGATACCTAGGGCATTGCGAGGTTGCAGCCGTATCGATTCCCGTAGGGCTTGCAGGGCTTGTTGATCATACTGGCCATTGGGGGGCAATTCTCTGGCGAGTCGTCAGTGGGAATGCGGACTGTGATAGCGACAAGAACATACAGAAGCGATCGGGCTAGACATAGTCGGTCTAGTCCATAATCTAGAGCATCTTTGGACGCGTTTAGCGCCTCCTGGATGTCTTGCTCCACACTGCGATGATGATATTTAGTCCACCGGCCACGCTGGGTAGCGTCATCCGACCGCTCGATAGCGGCGCGTAGCGCCTCTTGGAAGATGCCCTGTGCGAATCAGCATGGGCTACAGGTGATCAAATATGTGAAAATGACATTTTCAATTTGTCTTGTCATCGCCCCTGTGCTGGTAATTCCATCCTGCCGCGCGAGGATGCTGTCCAGCATCCAGGTCGAAAAGGGTTGCCCTTGAGCTGCAGTGACAGCAGTCACGGTTAGGGCTACCCATGGCAAGAAACGGATGCCCATGATCATGGTGGAAATGGTAGATGACCGACAAGGCTCGAGACTTACTGCAGATTTTCAGAAGATTGACACTATTTATTACGATGGATCGAAATGCGGTCAACCTATTTTGGGAATGGATCGTCGTTCCCTGCGTATTTAGAGATTGATCGGCATCCGGGCTCCACAGGCGATATGGAGCAAGGGCCAGCTAGATTGGGCAATTTGACCAGGTTGAGCTCAAGAAGTATGCAAAGAAATGGAATGTCCAAGAAATTACATGCAATTTATCATTGAAACCAAGCAATCTATGGTCAAATTAACTAATTTTCCAGGTATTAGATTTACTGTATAGAAAGAAGTTTATGTGAAGTCATCAGTGGTCATTCGCGGAGTCATCAAAGCATAATTTCAACTCAGTAAACTTCGTCTATTCCTTATATTTCCCAACCTCGTCTCTCATCTTTTTCTTTTACTTCTCACTTCTTTCGGGGTTTCATCTTTGCCATCTACCCCTGTCATACCACACTATCTCAGAAGCCTTCCCTACCTTGGAAGGAAAACGTTCCTTTGTCGAAGAGGTCAAGACGTTAGTACGTCTTGACATTGAATGGCGGTGGTCTTCCGGTTTTGCTATGGGCGTTGATGAGGCTTTTCTAGGGATCTCAAATAGCAATTCTGTCTGCACCTTTTCTTTGTGGGATGACGGATTTCTTTATTAGTTGACAGGAACCCCCCCCCAGCCACCGAAAAAAGGAAAAGAAAAAAAACCCTTACTAGCTCAAATGACCATATACCTGATTATTGATCTACATCTACATTGACCGCACGTACTCCGTAGACAAGTAGATTATAGATTATCACCGAGAACATTTCTACCGGGGCTGACTCCAAACCACCCATGAGAGTAGTGGTGTGTTTTCTATAGTCCTCCTTTGTGCAATTCCTATTATTGTAGTTCGTACGCTGTTAGATGTATATAGTATTCTAGTAGATACCCATCATCTGCAAGGAGGAATGCTATATTACCAATATCCAGAGCTTACGCCCCCGCGTCTTTAGACAACATGTGCCTAGACCCACGCAGCCCATCGTCGCCATTAGAACATATGCACCTCACGCCCGGCGTGGAACATGGCCGGTAATAACATCTTGTTGTGATCAAGATCCTTCACGGCTGTCTGCAAAGGTATTGGCAGGCAGTCCAGTGCCCCTTTCTCAATACGCGATTCTAAACAGTTGGCCCACAATTCGACACCCGCCCCGGCAAAACCTAGCCGTGCCATTCTCCCCATGTTGATTATCTTGTTCGACGAGAGGTCTTGCACAATCGCCGCCGCAGCGTCCCAGTCGATGTGGCCTTTGCTCCTCTTCTTTGCATCCTCTATGCGCTTGAGCTTATCCATCTCACTGCCCGCCTTTCTCCAAAGCGCTTTCCGGAGGATATACATCTTGAGGGTTTCGCAGGTCCTGGCTTTCTTTTCCTCCGTAAATTGGTGCCAGTATTCGGAGAGACCCTGCTCGGGGGCGGCATTCTCAAAGCTGAAAGCGTCTGTAGCAATTCTCTGTCCGTAGAAATCATTCCCGGCGCCCAGCTCCAGCTGGCAGAGGAACCATCTGGCCCCCGGTGATCCCGAGAAACGGGCTAGCACCCATTCACCGGCAATGTTATGGGGATCGGAGTTCTGAACAAAGGAAACCATTCGAGATACTTTGCGTTGGTCGGCGCTCCTTGGCCACCGAGTGCTGCCGCGAGGCTCTTCGGGATCCGTGACTGGACCACGATACTGTTTAGGATCAATGTCTTGCGCGATGACTTCCATCAGATCTAGCTGCTTGGCTAGCACATGCGCGTCGCAAGTGAAGGCGACCAGCGTGAGAGACAACCCGGTGCTGATGGTACACCACCCCTCGATCCTTTGTCCGGGAACTGCAGTTGTGACTTTAGATCGTAGCTTGTTAGGGTCGATCATTGTGACAACGACCCTTTGTATGTCGAAGATGCCCCGTATACCAGCAGTGCTGACCACAATCGGATTTGGACAGACCAGCCTCCCTTCTTGACCTTGTTGAATGTTTGCGTCGCCATCCTGGGTATGGTTGTCGTTGATTTCCTCAAAGTGTGTTGGCAGAGGGTAATTCAGCTCCCCGATGATGTGCTTTATTGATGCGTTGATCGCTTGGAGATCGGGTTCCTGGTCATCTGTTTCCTCGTTCTTAGAATTCGATGCCTGGTGTTGCTGTCCTCCCTGGGATGACCGGGGCGTAGCCTTTTGTCGCCGAAAGGGTAGCTTGGGACTAAATGCATGGTGGGGAAAAGCCGATTTACGAACTCCATCTATTCGCTCGAACGAGCCAAATCTTCCAGAAATCTTGCTGGGTGCGTCTTCTTCTACTTCCGTGAATACCTGGCGAGACACAATAGCTTGAATGGTCGCGACGATGCCTTTCAAATCGTGGAAAGTTGCTTCGAGACGCTCAAATTTGGCAACCTTGATTGTGTCTGCCAGGTCGTCCAGCTCGTACAGCGTTGAGCATTCAGCAGGGAGCTCCTTCGCTAGGACGAGCATGTCAGCTAGTAGGTTGTTGACGTCGCGGGCGATTTTACTCCGTCGCGCTCGTCGAATGTGCAAAAGTTTCAATATATTCTGGCTGGCATTGACCTGGGTGGTGGAAGTCGGATCATTGGTTGGATCCACGAAAGCATCGATGCTGGCAGGATATAGCGATCGCCCGTGGAGAGGGCTCCCGCAATGCTTGCCCGTCCAATTGAAGACCGAGACATCGTTATACGTGATTACAACCTCGTCTAACAGCCTGGATAGTGCTTTGGGAAGTCCCTCCGCAGGAAAAGCGGAAAAACGAACGCCCAGGATCCCCATCAACGAGTATGCCTTATCCGTCAGAACGGTGGTTTGCCTGTCTGAGGCAGTAATCAGGACGCTGCTGGCGGAAGAGTCCAAAAGGCCAGTCCCTGCAACCCAATTGCGTAGATGCCCGATCTTGCTAAACGCCGATATTCGTTGGCGATCGTTTACTATTTCTGCACCAGTAATACTGACTAAGTCAGCAAGCAGATAGTTAACAAGAGCTATCCTTCCACGAAGGTCGAGGTAGTCGCTGCTTGGGTCGACAAGGGCGTCCGATGTCAGTTCATCTAGTATGGTTGGAGACATCCTGGCAGCGGTAAGCACGGCCTTCCCAACCTGCGCTTCAGCCGTCGTGTCTCTTAAATCCCTGGGAGGCACGAATCCAATCTTTTCAAGCACAAGGACAAGCTGGCGTTCTCGGGGCATTTCGTGTTTCGAATTCGACAATAGGTGTTGTTCCAATTTGTGTATTACTTCGACGGGTGGTTTCCCTAGTCCCCGGACGAAGGGATGTTTCAAGTACCTGTGTATGAACGGACAAAGGAAATAGAAGGGTCCGATGACCTCAATAGGCCTCTCCAAGTGCTGCCAGTGGGAGTTAACAAAGTAGGTCATTTTGCTCAACACCAGCTCCTGTAGCGTCCATCCACGCGTAGCCCATTCCACCTGGGCCTTGACTGTGTTGTCACCGTCTCTACCGTTGGTGGCAATATCCGTAAACCGATTTATGTTTAATTCTACTGGGACGTGGGATGGCATCTTCCAGTATTTCCACTCCTCGATCCACGACGCATCGGACCGGGGAGTATCGAGATGCACGAGACAGAAGTCGGCGTTGGCATACCAGTCTCCCATCAACGCCAGGGACTCGGTCATCTCGTAGCTATCTCGTTTGTTGATACAACAAGTATCCAGCCACACGTATCGTTTCCCTCCCCGAGGGAAGTGCGCTTCGAATAGCTTCTTTGCATGAATAATGGACTGTTCAATCTTGCGTGTGGACCGTATGCGTTGTAGGGCAGCCAACAATGCCTCGGTACCGTAGCTCAATGCCCGATTGCTGTCAAAGAACTGGGCCGTGGAGGAAGCCTCCGCCCAGGCTTTAGATGCCGCATTGAAGTTCTCTTCTGCTAGGGCTTGCTGATCCAATGTCCCCGCAGTCAATCTATCAATTGCAGATTCTAGCTGCCTTGACCCCGGGTCGTCGGACGATGGTATTCTCTGGCTGGTGTTTGTGTTCGAGGGGGTGAGGCAATCCACCATAGCATTCCACACCGTTCTATAATACGCTGCGCGCCGTTCAGCGCTGGAACGAAGGGTTGCGGCGTTGTGGACCTCTTTCTGCCAACGATTCATTCCGCTCTCGGCCTCCCTTGCATCGACATACCACTGAAGAAGTGTCTCTATATCCTTGGGACGCTCTCCATCATGTCTGGGGCGGGCTTGGGTGAGTGCGGATGCCACCTTACGCTCCAACGCCGTGATATCCGCCTTGCTCTTCTCGATAATTTTGCCCAAATCACTTGATTCAGGCACTGTTTGGTGCAGTATTGAATCCTGGCACATGCTTTCCTGTCCCTCGATAGTGTCTTCCCATGACTCCAATGATCTAGCGTCTGCAAAGTACTGGTGATCGATCTCAGAGCCCTTCCAGCTGTGGGATACAACACAATACTGGTCGTTCAGGCCTAGATTGGACGTACTGACCATGTTCTGGGTCTCGACATCAAACATGCGAAAGGGCGTTTTCAAATCTCCGTCGGACGAGGCGAACCAATCATCAGGAATATTATCCTCGGAGTATCCTTCGAAGGTTCTGTCGTCCACAAAATGTATCTTAGGTTTGGGAATGAGAAGGTCGTTCAAAGTGATGCGCAGCTGATTTCTCTCGGATTCTTTAAGAGCAACATCCTTAATGTGTCCCGCGCGATCGATGACCAAATGGGCTAGGTCGTGTATCTCCTTGAGTGAGGCATGGTGGGTGAGACCACCTTCAACGCTTGACCTCAGGGCCTGCAGGGGATCCATATTCATTCAAACCCTTGAAATGATGGGAAATGAGAAAGCTCTGCTGCTCATCTGAAAGATATATATACAGTTGGGCCATATTGGGACCCGAACCATGTCTCGCCACTCCCTCTGAAAGGTTCTTGGGTTTCTAGGTAACCTATCACATTGTAAACCTCACTAACTTGGTCATGCAAGTGCTTCCCCCACTAGACAAGATAGAGAGAGAATGACGCGTCTCATGGAGCCACGTTGCCCGAGTCACACGCTTTGCTTTTGACCTGTTTTCCATTTGGTGCATTGTCACTCTTTCTCTCTCCCGCCAGCTTTTTCCCTCTCACACCATTTCGGCCGGATTTATCATTCGCGAAATCGGCATGTCGCATACACTGACGTGGAGGCGACGATCGCAAATTGATGACTTAGCTTGTCACTATCAGCCGACCCTCCAGGGACTCAGCTGGGGTATTTGATCCTGTTAGAAATGTATGGTCTGCCCGACGACTTTTGTAAACTCTCGCAAAACACTCATCATGGCATCCTACCACCGGGTGCTAGAAACCTTTGGCAGATCGGTTCAGGACAATACTTTGGAATGTGACTGGTATGTCCTCTGTTGCATGACTCTGTGACCTCCGAGATAACAAAGCAGCGATATACACCCGTGGGAGATCTCGATCAATGGAGAGCAATGGGCGGGCAAAATCCGGCTGATTGGGTTTATCGATGTATTCTTTCTCATCTCCTACTCGGCCAACGCAAGATTTGAGCATGGGATTATTGTCTACAGTTAGCATCTCCACGCGTTCTTGATAACCACACTACTGAACAATATGCAGAGGAGAATGGGGTCTTCGAAGCCGTTGCTGGGTACAAGACCGATCGATTGTTTTCCGGCAGGGAGGAATCCAAACCAACCCATGTTCTGCCCCAAGTCGATCAGAACACAGAGGATAGCGAGATCTCCGAGACTGAAGAAGGTCAGGCTCGTCGCAATGCCGGAAATTAAAATCCTAATGGTCATCAGGTCCCGACAGTGCCCGACACCGACTCCCGAAGACGCCTGCAAGTCATGGGGAAAATTCCAGTCGCATCAATCAGCAGAAGGGCAGGCCCAACGACGGGCAGGAAGATTCGGGTGGCGTTATTGAGTTTTACAGATCCAGTACGTTCACGACCAAGGGTCTGGGCCATCAGATCGGACTCAGGGCTACCTATCGCATGTCGTCTGTTCGCGAATACACCGTCGAGATCGTCAAGCAATGCAATGGGGCATTGAACAGTGAGTTCATCGCGATAGACCCGCAGAGTAGTGAATAAGCTAAACCCCCAGCAGAGCGTATCCGACGCGGCATAAAACCACATAGCACCGCCGAGCTGATGAAAGACGTCGTACGCTGCGGGATCATAACGCAAGGACAGCTAGCGGGTCACATCATCGAAGTTCTGCTTGCGGGCTCACGTCTCGACGACACAGCCAAGAAGTATTTGGAAGAGTTGAAATCAGGAAATGATGCAGGGAGACATTTCTTGTCGAACGAAAGGACCTAATCTTTGTAGATGGATGCAAGAAGATTATCATCCGCCCTCGGGCACCATTCTACTCTTCATCCCAATCATCCACACTAGGGTAGTCGCGCTAACCCCAGCTTGATCACGCAAATTATTCCTCGTATTGGCCAGTCGCTTCATTGGCTCACCCTGCGAGTCACTAGTCGAATTCATCCATCAGCAGGAGGCTGGGTTGTTCTCCCCAACCGCAAAAACTGCGTGACAGGATAGCCCCGCAGATTTGCGTTGTCCTTTGACCGTGATTGGGCTTGACGCCGGGGCCCCACAGTTCAGCTCGTCAACCCAGACAAAAACCCCCTGTTTAGATGGATATCATCGACAGTTCATCCCTCCATAGAGGGGTGATGTACGGGGCACCAGGCAGTGGAATGATAAGTAACACAGTAAAACGGGATCTTCCGATGCATGCACTGGATATGGGCTGCGTAGCGATAGGATTTAGGACCCCAGTCAGTGGGGGCGGCTGATTGTCAGTCTACACGTTGTGTCTGACTGGTTTCTCCTGGCGATTCCTTTTTTTTCTTTTGTTCTGGCGCTTAAATTGTTGCGGTCTGGCCCTCGCTTGGTGAATCTGCAGTATTTTACCTGACTCTCTACCGGTACAGACTAATCCAGCAACCCTTCATTTCGTCAAGTTCTGTTTACTGATATTGTTTTCGCATCGTCGTGCACCTTCCCCTATTCAATTGGAGGCACCACGACAGATACCAATACACAAAATGGGTTGGTTTCCGCTCGATCTCGCGTCGGAAGAGCCTACCTGGAGCTTCGACATTGTCGGTTTACTCGCTGTGGTCGGAGGTTCATCCATTGAGAAGCATGCGCAAGCAATCACAGCATCACCCTTTGGGGGCTTTCCGCGTCTCCTGCCCGCCCCGGAGACAATGCTCAACACCGATCGCCCCGTCCGCCTCCCCTCCGTCAAGGACGTACACGTCGTGGGTGTCTTCTCCGGTAATCACTTCACCGAGTTGAACTTTTTCGCCGATGTGATCCACCGGGTAGACTCGCTGGAGCCGTACGAGTTCCAGTCGTACGAGATTACATATGCCGGAAGTAGTCCCGAGCGGAATGGGCCCCCGGATGACAAGAACAGCATCCCACTGCGCAAGATCTGCCCACTCAATTTGGTAACGTTGGTCTCCGTGCTGATGACGGTCGCACTATTCGTCTGGGCCGGCGTCAACCACGACGCGGTGGCTTTGATTGGCCTGGGAACCATGACCTTATCCACGAGCACCGCGTGCTTATCCTCCCAATGGCGACCGAAGCTGTCGGTGCGGAAGTCCAAGGCTGCCAAGGTCCCGCCCGGAGACGTGGTCATCCGCACGCGGTCGGGAGCTTTTATCGTCGTCAAATGCAACGAGGACATTGCTCGCGAGCTTTATGGTGGCACGGAAGCTTGCGATTATGTCTTCAGGGGGCGGGCGCACCAAGTCCTGCTGGCACTCAGCACGGTGCTGCTGATGGCCTCAATCATTTTCTTCAGTAATTGCGGGTGGAAATCGCAGATCGCCGTCGGTTTAGCATACGTGATCCTCAACATCGCTTACTGGGCCATGGCGTTGCTGACGGAACCTCGGCAAACCTGGGATATTGACTCGCGGTACAATATCAAGCAGATCGAGCGTAAGCTCACCGACAATTATACACAGGTTCTGTGGCACTGTATCCGAACGACGCGGAAGGTCCACTGGATTCATAAGGGACAAATGGCGCCGTCGACCCTTAACTGGGATGGGTGGTTGAAGGAAGCACGGAGGCATTCTGGTAGTGAGGACTGGAACCCTGATGAGGCGCGGGATCGATGGATGGCAATGAAGCTGGAACCTGAGGCAGATGACAGCGAATGAGGATGTTCGCAAGAGGAGTTCAAGACCTAAGGTCGTTATATATATGTGTGTATATATATTCAGTCTTGGTTGATGATTGATAGATGAGACACAGGTTGATGATTAGCGTTGGTGGTCATAGACATTCTGACTAAGTATTAATAATAGTATTGTTCTTTTATGTTAATATCATTAAGCAAGGGGGAAATATCATAGAAAGGAGAAGATGGATTTTTGAGGTTGTCTTTCTTCCAAGAGACTCTCCTGCTCTAAGACCCACAGATCTAGACCTTTTCGCGATCAAGATCTCGTCCAGCACTTGGCAACGCCTTGCAATCTGATCTTTACCCTCGCGTCTTGCAGATTGCCATGTCTGTCTCCCTCGGTGGGTGGAATCGGAAAGGGTGCGGTGTTGCCAGAATGATGAAAATGTCGCATGAAGGACTTCAAGCAGACCGGCTAATGTAGGTGTTATGAATAGCTTATGAGCAAATGACTCAGCTACATAAACTTGACTGGTCATCCAAGGTCACCTGACGAGCTGACACTGTGATCTGATCACGTGGCGTCGGCATTTTCATTGGCTAGTCGGATGGGATGCCTGAGTCCGCGGAGTACTTCGTTATCCTCAGGTGTCTCCGCTCTCTCTCCACTCCTCCCTACTTCTACCTAACATACTACTGGTCTATGGACGACAATACGGTCCAATCCACTCAACAACCCCTGTTCTCGTCATTCTGTACACCAAGGTGCTGGAATATCAATGGCAGAAAGAGCTTCTTCTGCAGCACGTAGCTCTTTCCGAGCCCGCGCCGTTCGTGTGCCCTCAATCCCATGTCCAGCACTAAAACAACTTACCTCGAATAGTGTGATAATTGTCGAGCCCGCAAGGTATAGCCTTGGACTATAACGGATGTATATGGGCTTTCCGCTCATAGTGCAATAGATCAAATGTGACAAGGAAATTCCCTGCTCTTCATGTGGAGCCTTGGGCATTCCTTGTAGCGGAGTGGGAGTTGCCTCCCCCACAGTCCAAGAAGCGCCGAGACAACGTATTCCTCACGAATAGTTAGTTTGGGATCCGACCTAGGTTAGTAAAGGATTATCGCTAAAATACAGCTAGTGAACAGAAGGTGGACGGCATCCAGGAGCAGCTAACTGCTCTGCAACAAACTCTCCAGCAACTCATCCAGTCCTCGACACCCACCACAGTCCTTCCATCAGCTCGCCCTGTCCACTCCGCTCATACAGCTCCTCCGTTCGAAGGACCGTCTTCATTTCATCACGAAACTCTTGTTGCCAGAGATGCGGCCTTTTCTGCTGTCGCTACTTCAAGGTCCAGAGAGCCGGATGATCATGTGTCTGCCGCTTTGTCGTCCCTTAGGCGTCGCCTTGATCACTATCATGCGCCAGACGCGCCTACCACTGGGGTTGAAAGTCCCACATTATATCACGACGGACAAGAACTTCTTCCAGTCGAGCTGGTCGTTGCTTTAGTACGGAAGGTCAAGGCCCGACCGCCCTTTTTTTTGGTGAGCCAATCGTGGGCAAGCCCCCTACAGGTCGAGTCGCTTTGCCAGTCCATTTATTTTCCTCTACTACCCATCCCATCTGGATCGTTGGCCTTTTTACACGGTCTGCTATATTATATTATCCGAGGTTACCTTCACGAAGAACACCGCGATCTGGCACAGTTTGACTTGCTGGCCCATATGAAATTTTGCGAACGTCACTTCTCCGCCGCCCTGAACAGCTATGAGATGGTCATGGCACCTACCGTGGAGAAGGTGCAGGCCTTGTTTATTGCTATCGTCAAATCACAGGAAGAATTCGATATTCAGCGATGTTGGACCTATCTCTCCATTGCCTTTAACATGTGCCAAACACTGGGCCTTCATAGGAGTCATGCCATCATGAAAGACCCTTTTCCGATAGCGGAATCCAAACGTCACGCATTCTGGTCCCTTTACACGATCGACAAAAACCTGTCCTTAAATATAGGCCTGGCGTCTCATTTCCAGGATCATGACATCGACGCGGACCTGTTCACCCCGTCGAATGACCCCCAGCAGCGTCCTTGGGATTTGATGAGTCTCGTCACGGTGGAATTTGCAGGAATTCAGGGACGTGTATACGACCAGCTGTACTCCACCGCCGCCTCTAAGGCCGCACAGACCACTCGCATGAAGGCGATTGATGCCCTGTCTACCGAATTAATCGCTGTCCGTGATAAACTTCTGAGCATTGATGTCAGCCCTGCCCTGTACTCGGACTCCTTGCACGGAATGGCCGCTTGTGCGGACTTTATCACCTATTCGGTGTTGACGGTTATCTACCGTGCGCAGACAGGGCCAGGGGACGGAATGGGGATTTCCTTAGAATGCTACAAAGCCGGTAGTATGGCTCTTCACAGTCATCTCAAGTGCTTCACTTACTTCCGCGGTCGTCAGACCCATAAACAAATGGAATATGTCAACAGGTCAGTCTCCCATCCTAACATCTCGTGACGGATGCTAAGTTGAATAGTATCCTGTTGTACCCTTCCTTCGCACCATTTGCGATCGTCTTTACCCATGCGATCACCACCTCCAATACTGCAGATCTGGCCTTATTGCAAGAGACGCTCGGGTCGCTCGAGTTAATCAAAGACCTGTCTCCGGGGGCAAAGCATCTACATGCTATTTGCGAGGCATTCGTGAGGACCGCGCAGGTGCTGGTTGACACCCAGCAGACTCTTACCGGACTCGAGCAGCGCCAGGATGGGTCCTTGTTTATGCCCCCAATTGTTGACGGGCCAGCCAATGTCACTCTTCCGGATGTCTCGTGGCCCGAGAATACGTTTGATTCCGCCATGAATCAAGAGGATGTGTCTATGTTTTTAAACGACTTTCTCGGCACGAACCGCCCGGTTATGGATATATTAAACGCTAGCTACCTAAATTATGTTCCAGAATGAAATGATGGAGTTGGCACAATGTCTGTCCCGACTAGCCACGACGCGGCGATCCACTTCCCTGTCTGCTCGTTCTCAGTCCGCCTTATTGTCTATCTTCGACTGTCACGCCGTATCAAAAGACATACTGTCCTATCTGTTAGCTCTATCCTATCCATGGTTCGGTCCCGGAAGGCCTCTTACCGGAATGAGCAAATACGGCACCCGACGCTCGTACTCCATCCACGCTTCACCATACCGCCCGCGGCAACGCTCGATGTCGCGCCACGCGCGGTGGGAGATCATGGTGATGAAAAACAATGGATAAAACCATGGAAATGGAGAATCGAAACCTGTGACCAATCCCCAAGACACAGCAAAGAATATGTCACAGGTATAATGGACCTTACGGGCGAGTCCATCTGCAGTCGTCAGAAATGTTACTTGTAGAGGGCTCCAGGTCACTTACACCACCCGCTGCAGAGGATATCACTTCCAGTGTTGGTCTTGATAGTTTCGGGATTCTTGATGAACTTCCACGGCAACTGAGGGAATGACCTGCGGTCGAAAGCGCTCCCTCGCTCCTGAGCACGAAAGTAGTTCTTCTGACTGTTGCAGGTATCCCATACCCAATATACGAAGAGATATACCACCGCTAGGAGGCCCAGTGCGACCGGGTTCCAGTGATATGTCGACGGGTGATGCGAAGCCAGGTACAGCGTACAGTGGCAGTAAATCATCGGTACCCCGGCAAGGTTCCAGAAGATCAACATGAACCCCCATTTCTCATAATACATATCCCTGCCGTTTGTCAGCGTGACATCTTCAAAGAAAATCGACCGACTTACCAGCTGGTGATGATCAGCTCTTCCGCCTTGGAACAGGCGTTGGCGTACAGGAAATGGGCCATGAGCAGGAAGGCGGCTTCACCGGACACAAAACCATATTCATCCCACTGTCTGAGCGCTGTAGCGAGCGACAACAGGAACAAGATGTACCAAGGGATACGGACTTCGAAGAACATCTTCATGTCGATCCAGCGGAACATGCGCGGATTAAGCTCTGCACCCATGAAGAAGTCGTACACATGGGATCCTGTCATGCGGTGCTGTGCCCCACGAGACAGTGCCGACAGGTACGCGAGAATTGACACTACAATCCCCGAAATGATGGCCACGGACATGATCGGTCCGAACTCATCAATGAGAGTACTCAGCCGGAACAGACCTGAGAAGTGTAGGAAAAGAGCGCCACTGATCGTCAGATACCACGACGACAGCGCGGAACAGTAGTAGTCCAGCTGCTTGTTGCCAAGGTGGGGCAGGGCCTTCCCTTTACCGTACACCCCTGGCAGGTACAGATATCCGAGGCCTTCTAGGATCAAAAAGGTCCAGTAGATGATCCACGCCTTGCGGTGCGGAAAGGCATGGGTATAAACCAATTCGACGAGGTGACCTAGGAAACCGATGATAGTGTCTTCTCCCGCACGAGCTGGAGTCGGCAGTTGGCCGTCGAAACACTTCACCCCAATGAACATGTAGTACATGAGCAAAGGGGATCCCACCATGATAGCCGTGACTCCCAGCGGTCCGCCAAACTCAAACTCGGTATTCTCGGAGTCGTGATCATGCTGGGGTGCATCGGCTGCGCCGTTGGAATCAGTGTTCCCGGCATTATGGCGTACTCTCTTCGACATGGTGACAATGTGAGGGTGCGTGTGTTTGCAATGGGCTTCATATTCGAACAGAGGGGGGTCTCGTCAATATATACACCCTCTCGGAGTAAACCATAACGCGAGTGGGGGCGAAAAAAGTTGGATAACCCCTTTCTCGATCGAATGCAGTAAATACTGTCCACTCATTGGGAGATCGCGTCTGATTTCTACCACCATTCTGCCTGGAGCTTACAAGGTACACATATGACCGCGGACTCCGCGGAGAGCACGGAATCCTCGCCTCGCCCGGCCGACCGAATTACGGTCACAACCAATCATTGGTCTAATACAGATCCACTAGGTGGGTTCTTCAGAGCATCCTCATAACAGCTGACATGCCACGCAACCATGTATAGTACCGTGGTCCTGATCAATGGAATTTGTATGGTGTACGTACATTAATAAGCACATTATACTAGATTTGCCACTGTTTGTTACATGACGAATGAGGAAAATCTGACATCACTCGCGTGTGCAAAACAAGATGCAGCATCTGCCCTGTATGTTTCAACTGATCGTCCGGAAGGATTAACCGGCAGGTCATCTCCCTATATAATTCCCCGACGTCACTAATATTCTATTCCTGGATGCATGATTTTCGTAAGTCTTCTCGGTCGACTCTACAGCGACAGTAACAATGTGTTGGGGGCATCATCATTCGACGTAATCATGACCATATGGAATGGTGTGATGACTCCTGGGCCTTCAGCTATGTTAGCTCATATCAAAAGCTGGAGGCTGCGGAAAACAACATCAGCTACATAATCAATGAGGAGCTGGCGATGCCCTGCTTTGTGAACAGTCATGTCAATTCCAGGTGGGCGTGAAATCCCGATCAGGTAATATCGTCATCATCCTGATCTCATCCACAGAAGTGCTCGACCCCCTAACTGGCAGTGGGAGGGTAACGGCGCTGGGATGATGCGGTAAATTGAATGATCATCTTGCGGTCGTTGCAAGGAGGAAGCTGGTTCCGCTTGTCACGGAGGGGAATGGGGGGCAGGAATTGGAGTGAGGGAGCTAGACCTTATTTCGATTCACCCCATGCCCGGAACTAACTAGTATAGGTCTACACCGATGCATGAACCGGTTGGAATGCCGTTCGGGGGTTGTGGGATCTGCAGGGTTTGGCTGAGACTTGTTGGGCAGCACAGACGGGGAGTTTCCGTGTGGCCTCGCATCGTTTCATGTTCTTGATAGAGGTGCCCGTGGTTTCTCTATAAGTGGATAGTGCGTCTTTCATCCGGTTTGGGTGATATGCGATCCTGGTCAGTTCACATGCATACAGAACTCAGGCGGGTTGCCACGAGGTCCGCTAGGGCGATCGATAGAACCCCGCCTTCCTTTCGGCTCTATCTATCATGACTCCCTGATAATGCGAAGGCGGTGCTATGTGTATAACGCAGTCCCCGAAGAGCCTCTGGAATAGGAGTTGGCTTCACTTGTCTTTGTCACGCACATTTTATTCAACTATCAGTACCCGTTAGTCCAGTCGAGCCTTTCCCTGTAGCCTCCACGCCCCGAAAAAAATATCCATAATGTCCACTCGTGTTACCGGAACGGCCTTCATCACCAGCAGCGCATCAGGTACGATCACTTCATTTCCTTGGTGGAACGCAGCTAACACAACCAAGGTATCGGCCAAAAGACAGCCTACACCCTAGCGCAGAATGACATTACCAACCTCGCTCTGCTGGATATCAACACCGCCCAGCTTCAGACCATCCGGGATGATCTGGCCGCCAGCTTCCCCAACCTAGGGATAGAGATCCTCACCGCCGACGTCAAGGATGAAGCCTCCGTCGAAGCCGCCGTGCAAAGAACAGTTGCCCGCTTCGGCGGAATCGACATCGCTGTCCACTCGGCTGGGATTGGGGGAGAAGCTCCCAACTCGGATGAGGCCAGCTTGGCGAACTGGCAGAAGGTGATTGATACCAACCAGACGGGGGGTGTGGCTTTGCCAGCGGGCAGTGGTCCGGCAGATGCGGAAACAAGAGTATTTCCTTCCCTTTCCTTGACCTTCTAGTCCCTCGCGATGACCAGGATGGAAGTTCCTGACCGGTATAGGGACCGTGGAGGCAGACTAGGCAGAGGGGCCATTGTGAACTTGTCTTCCATCTTCGGCGTTTCCATCCCGCCGACAGATATGGGGCTCATCCCGTATACGACCGCCAAACACGGTATGTTTCTTTACATGTTTTTGTTTGGAGCAACGCTAATGCAGAACAGCCGTGAGAGTCCGCACTGACAGACCCAGTGTCGTGGATACCCCTATGACCCACAAGGCCACCGCACTCGGATTATTCGACAAGACGATAAATCAAACTCCCATGGGCCGCTGCGGGACGTTGGAGGAGATCGCAGACTCGATCCTGTTCCTGGTGTCGCCGATGAGTAGCTATGTGGTTGGTGCGGCGCTGGTCGTGGACGGAGGGTGTACCGCGTAGCTCTATCTAATTGTTATAGTTACCGATGGAGTTGTCGGTGTAGTCACCGGTTCTCCTATTGAAATTTTGCCGTATGTTCTAAATAGAAACAGATGCAGATATTAGGGTTAGGATGGTCACGAGATGTGCTCAAGATGGCTCGCTACGACCGACAGCACGCTACAGTACGCCCCTAAAATACTAACTCTATATTATAAACGTACTGCCACGAGTACATGCAATTATCCACATATGTCTATGCCTATATACAATCTTTAAAAGCACGCACCCATTATTAAACTAAATGCGACGAAGAGCCACCGATGCTATAACCCTACCAGCGCACTACTCCTGCACCTGGATCTTGATATCCAGACTGGGGTTCGCAGGCAGATAATCGATATAGCACTTGGCATTATCCTCGAACGGTCCGTAGAAGCGGCTCCGCTCGTACGGAGTGAACGGGACGCCGGTGCGCAGCCGTTCCACCAGGTCGGGGTTGCTGGTGAAGTAGCGGCCGTAAAGCAGGGCATCGTAGCGGCCGGATTCGAGGACGCCGGACGAGTTGGACTGGTCCCAGCCGCCAGCGGAAAAGAAGGGGGTGGAGCCGAAGATCTGGCGGAACCGCGAGAGGTCCACGTCACCGAGACCCCAGCTGTCGAGGAACTTGTCCTTCTCGGACTGGCTGAAAATTTGTTCGTATCTCTGGATGGATATTAGTTTGTGCTCGGGCATATAGGCTTATAACAACGGTACATACCGGCTCGATGAAGCTGACGTACGACAGCGCAGGGTGGGTCTGCTTCAGCTGCTCGCACAGATGAGACCAGGTCTCCAGACGCTGCTCGCCACGAGCCTGGTTAAACAGGCCAAACGGCGACAGGCGGATGGCGAGGTTCTCCTCGCCGACCGTCTTGGCCAGCTCATCCATGAGCTCGAGGACAAAGCGGCAGCGCTTCTCGGGGGAGCCGCCGTACTCGTCGGTGCGGTGGTTGATGTTAGAGCTGAGGAACTGCTCGGGCAGGTAGCCGTTCCCGCCGTGGACCTCGACGCCGTCGAAGCCGGCCTTCATGGCGAGGGCGGCCGAGTGGCAGTAGTCGGCGATAGTCTGCTTGAGGTGCGGGATGGTGAGCTCAATGGGCGGGTGAGCGGCCAGCCGCTCCTGCTGGGTAGATCCGACCGGCGGGTAGGGGAAGACCTCCTCGGGGGAATCCCAGACAGCGGCGGAGGCCGACACGGTGGGAGAGCCCGTCAAGTGGGGGATGGTGGTGCGGCCAGCGTGCCACAGCTGGGCGAAGATGTAACCACCCTTGGCGTGGACGGCGTCGACGACCTTCTTCCAGCCCTCGGCCTGCTGGTCGTTCCAGAGGCCGGGGACGCCGGGCATGCCGTTGCTCTGGGAGGCGAGTCAGTCGACGGTGTGAAACCATGGATGCAGCATGATGTCGGGCATGCGGGCAACTAGTTCTTTAGGGCCATGAGACAAACCTCTAGCGAGGGCGGAATTCCTTCCGAGATGATCAGCCCGCCGGGGGTGGCTCGCTGGTTATAGTACTCGGCCATCAGGTCCCCGGGATACCAGACGCGGTTGGGCTTCTCGGGCGTACTGGTGGCATTCTCCGGAACGCCACGATTCCGCGTCATCGGGGCATGCACGATACGGTGGCTGAGACGGATCTTGCCATTGTTGATCTCGAGGGGCTCAAAGAGCCGCGACTGTTCGGTGGTAGCCATGGTGGATAGATTATACGATTCAGAACAACAATCAAGTTGAATCAATTGGACGCGACGTGGGGTGAAGTTAAAGGTCGAAAATCGGTTGAGCTAGAGGACAGGAACCAGGGACACATGCAGGGATAATAATAATCTTATTATTACTACAACCACAGACCGAGAATAGCAGTGAAACTGCTGTCCCCTTATCGCGACCCATCGTGGAACCATTTGTCACCATTTGTCCCCCCCCCCCCCCCTCCCCCCCCTCCTCCTACGGACCCAGACATCCCCCGTTCCCACCGCCCAAAAGGGGGAACGGGGAAATTGTGGTTCTATTGGAGTCTTACTGAATTTGGGGGAAGGGGACTCCAATCAGAGAGGGAGAAGAGAGGGGATGGGATTGGGGATCCGGCGGGGTGAGGATATGCCAGAGTGGAGGAACGGGTCAGTCGGACAGGCAGAACTGTCGAGACGTCTGGCCCGAAAGATTCTGGACCCCTGAAGGATGTCTCACGCAGTACCAGACAACGATCATTTACGCCTGAAAGCTATTCTTATCTCGCGCGGGAGAGGATATGCCATGTTGGGTATCCAATTTCCTCGCAGGACTCGGGGTGACAGACGGCCCCCGGTCTGCAACGGCCTCGCAGGACAATGAGGATCATCCTGTCGCCCGCGATATTCCGCTGGATTGACAGTGCCTGTGGCGAGGATAGCAGAACCTGCAACCGAGGGCGTGGGTCTCCCTAACGGTGGCTGTTCCACCATTGCAAGCGAAAGGTTAAAATGTCGAAATGATCCATGGTCATGTTAGGGCTTCAGGCGCTACTCAGCTCCACTACGGTGGGTCGCCCCATTGCCGACTCCACGGTAACCATTGTTCTGGCATCCGATTGATTCGCTGAGTGCCGGCATTATTCATCTCCTGCATGCCTCGTTTTGGTCTATCATCCTTGTTCCGGTATGTGATCGGCGGTTTGATGCCGATCCTCCAGTGCCCCTCGTGCCTTGCACCCCATCTCCTCTCCAGGAGACCAGGGGAAACAGGCCATATGGAAAACTCGGATAGGGGTAATGATAAGAATAGAATCCATCCCAGCTCTCGATCGCATGGACCAGGTCCAACCAGGGAACGAAAACGTCTACCCGGATGTTTGGGCCAGCTATCGCGGGATGGAGAGGAGCACCTTGAAAAGGAAAGAAAGAAAAAGAAAATATTAAGATCAGTCCAGAAGCTCTCGTCCAGCCAATCTCTCGGCATCGGGGTCCCATTTCGCTTCACATGAACGGTGCGATCGTGCAGAAGTAACTAGTGCCAGCCTGGCGCCTTGGAGGCCGCAACGAAGGAATTAAGGGGCAGATAGGCCATTCCCTAGTGTTCCGTCGCCCCGATGAAAGGCGATCGATAGCGTCGTAATAGGGCAAGTCTCTGATGCCTATCGTTTCTGGAACAAAAAACCCGTCTGATCTGGATCGCCCTTGGTGTTTCATCATTCATGCAACTATGTGTCCTCGGGGAGGTCGGTCATTGCGCGTGCGCTGCTATTGCGCACATCGATCTGACGTCGTGGTATTGCCAGGGTCGATCGACCAAAATCAAAATAAAAATAACAATCACCCTGGATTTTCTAGTCTATTGAAAAAGACAGTGATTGGTAGCTTTATTCAGATAGGATCTACAGCTTCAGAGGGTGGAAGATAACAGGGAATTGCGGGCATGGAAAACCTTCCCGGCCATGCCACCACCAATCCTAGACTCCCATCCAAGATTCTGAAAGGAATGACAGTTAAACTGAGTTTGGCCTCCAGTTTCTTCTTTCGGTTTTTCCCCTTGGTAAAAATTCTTTCTAATCTCTTCCATTGGATGTTCCCCTGCGCACTGGGTTTCCCTCGAGCAACGAAGCGGGTCCACCGCGAGCCACTCGGGAAATCCATCTCCACTTCTGCGCCGCAAAACCTCCCAGGGAGAGGCCATGCATGCCAATCGTAGTCCGAGAAAAGGAGAACAAGACCAATAATGCCTACGCCATCGGGGAACGCCAGACTGGACGGGGTTCGGGAACGACGGGGCCAGGGATCGTGGACGGATCGTAATTTATCTCGACTCGCTGGTCGGTATTAATATAGACCAATCTATTCCACACTCGCCCGCGGACTGCCTTTTCGATCTTCCTGCGCCCTCTTCTTCTCCTCCCCCTCCCTTTCGTTCCTTCGTGGCCCCATGTTGTGTCGTGGCGTCCCTCCATCATGACCTACGAAAATGCCAAAGATGAGTTGAACACGGTCAATCTGGTCACCCAATGCCTGTGTATCCCCATCTGCTCCATCTTCGTGATCCTGCGGTTTGGGATTCGTATCTGGTATAAACAGTTCGTCTGGATCGAGGATACGGCCTGTCTGTTGACATGGCTGCTGTTTGTGGGGTACTGCGGTGTCAGTATTGTCGGTATGTTCAGATTCTGACCTCTTGAGGATCCACACCCACTGATATCATCATCATAGCCGGCAAATATGGTGGCGGGTACCACATCACAGACGTTCCTTTGGATGATCAGACTCTTTTCCGCAAGGTATATTTCCGAATGCAACTTTTTAAGGCCCTCGGAGAACCAGGAACAAACACCCCCGCTGACTTAGGAACATATAGTTCGGTTATATCGCCACCGTCCTGTACTGTCCGATGGCGCTCCTGTGCAAGGTCGCCCTGCTCTCCATCCTGACGCGCATCTTCACCCCCTTCAAATCCAAAGTCATCTTCATCTATACCTTCCTCGGATGCCTCTGTGTGTACTACGTCATCGCCTTGGTCATCAAGATCCGCATGTGTGACCCAGTCCCCGGATACTGGGACTTGAACATCCAAGCTACATGTCTGGACCAGCGGGCGGCTCTGGTGGCCGATTCGGTCATTAGTGTCATATCGGATCTGATTATCTTGATCTTGCCCTTGCCTATGACTTGGTCGCTACAGATGTCGCGCAACAAGAAGCTGCGGGTGACGGGCATGCTGTCTGCCGGAGGGCTGGCCACCGCGTTCAGTATCTACCGATTGGTGCTGGTGCTCAAGGAAGGGGATTCCCCGGATCAAACCATGGTGTTCATCTGCGTCATTCTGTCCGGGTATGTTTTTCAATCTTCTCTGGTCAGAGCGTCATACTAATCGGGCCCCTACAGGAACGCCGAAGGTGGCGTCGGTCTCATCTGCGCCTGTCTCCCCACGCTCAACATCCTCATGTCGAAGCTACGCAAGGCCGCCTACAGCTCGGGACACTACTACAAGCAGGACTCGTCCGTGCCCCTGAGCAAGGTCAAGGGCGCCGGCAAGGGCACCTTCTCCGCCGTCGCTTCCAAACACTACCCGGAACCCAACGAGTTTGCCTCCGACCAGAGCCATCTCATCTCGTACGCAGGCGCCGTCTCGACCGGGTCCGCCGGTCACGACGGTATCCACAAGACGGTGGACGTGTCGCAGACGGTGGAGGTCGTGCACGACCAGTCGCCACCACGCAATGGCCATCTATAAAATCGGTAATGCACGGAGTACGGGAGGGTTACACTCATTTTGATCGTTTCTTTCTATTTTAATTGTCTTTTTCCAATCCTACATTATACCACTCTGCCACTCTGCGGTATATCCATTGTCAATCTTCTTTTGTTCTGGTATGTAGGGAATGTCCATTCTGCCAAGTATTGGGACGCAAGGGGAAGATCTGCTCGGCGAACAGATGACGCTTATGACAGTTTTTGCTTGTTATTATATCATTTCCATTTCTCTTTCTGGCTCTGTGATTTATCTTTGTGTGTTACTCTATACCCAGGCTGTATGTTGGTAGATAGAGAATTGAAATGTGAACTCTAGACATGGTAGTATTTCGCAGTAGCAATTATTATAGGTTTGTATCACGCCAACTTTATAGAAAGGATTACAACTCACTCTAGCTAGAGCAACTCCAGTCGTGTTTCAACTCTTTTCTTGATTTTACTGAAATCATTAGGCACTGGCTAGTCATTAGGTCAGGATATGTCAGGATATGTCACGGTGTGGTTGGACCTGGGCAGGATATATATATACACCACGGCGGGGACTGACCGTGTTTTTCCACAACCATTGCAACAGCTACATAGACATAGGCAAATAACCACTCTACAAAAGACAATACCTACACGAACAGCACGACATGGGTGACCTCACATGTGTGAAAGAGCAGTAACTGCCACCGGCTTATCGCTCAGCTGACCTGCGGTCCTTTCCCACACTTTTGACTGTTTTGTATTTTGATCATTCCAACCATTCGCAACCTCTTTAGGAGAGAACATCATCAGTTGTTCTCCTTTTCTGACCTCTTTTCATCGAGTGTCTCCACAACATGGTCCGCTTCTAGGTTTGTTCACAATTGTCGTATTATGATCCTCCCGCGTGATGTATTTTATGATAGGTGCCTTAGGCAGCTAGTCTGGCCTTTCTTTCCCATAATGATGCATGACGTGATATGCATCAAATGATATCCCAGTCAGTGGCTGATCTGGTTTTTATAGAAGACTTGAAGGAAGCAAACCCTGCGAGCGGCAAAAATGCACCATGGGTCTTGTCCACAGCTACGCCAACACTCATACGCGCCGACAAGGCTCCAGCTGATATGAAGGGCTGTGCAACTGATAGGCTGTCGACGAATTAGTAGAGATGTTATTCCCTGCGGATAATCGAGTGACAGTACACATATATATTCGTCGAAATGCTATAATTTTCCTAAATTTATCCTTCAATTCAGGAGTAACAGACCTCAGCCATCATGCCTGTACCCAGACACCACCACTTCATCCCCCAATTTATCCTGCGCAAGTTTGCCGCCGATGAGCAGCCCCCAGCAGGCCCCTCAAGAAGGAAGACTCGACGTCGTCGAGATCGAGATTTCCTGGTCAACAAGGTCGACTTGACGCGAGGGATTCTCACGCAGCGCCCGGTGTCGCGGGAGTACGCTCTGGTGGATATGTACCGCGACCCCGGCTTCGAAGACAACCCCAACCACCTGGAGGAGAAGCTCTCCCGTCTCGAGAATGATGCCAGCAAGATTCTACGGCGTGCATGCGACGTCTTTTAACCGGAATCAGCGACTTACGCTGACGCGACTCGAGCGAGACACGCTGCGTAAGTTCCTTTTCCTGATGAAGTACCGCAACTCCCGCATGTTCCAACGATACGATCACGATCGTCTGGAAGACTACAACGAAGACGACAAACATCGCATGGTGATATACATGAAGCATAAGAAATTCTCGCGACCGCGCGATGTGTGGTTTTCCAACCTCCGCGGCTTGCTCGAGCTGGATATGGACGCCGGCGGACAGTGGCGCCGGACCATCTTCAACCACGTGTATCCCGACGACGCGATGATGTTCGTGGCCCACGTCCAGACCTTCTTCCTGACATTCTGCGAGCCAGAATCCCCCCAGCTTGAGTTCCTCCTGACGGAGAACTCCTTTGGAGTCTATGAAGGGCCGTCGGACTGCGGCTTCGATGCTCGCACCGGCAAGATTGTCCCGGGCCTATACACGAAATGGCACATGTTCGCGCCCGTGGCGCCGCGATTGCTCATCATCCTGCGCAGCAACATGCTGTCCGCAGGGGATTCGGAGTCATCGGCGGACTCGGCGCGTCTCGGCGCGTATATCCGGAGCCTGCATCAAAATCCCGAACGGGCGGGCTCGATACTGGATGACCTCCCTGTGCGTCGGTGCGCTAACTCGTATAGCGCCCAGGGGGTTCCCAACGCGACCGAATGGACAGCATGCGCCGATCACCGGTTTTACTTTGAGTGCTTCAGGCTGTCGTGCAAACATGTCGAACTGATCAACACGCTGTTCTTGGAAGAATCACACGCAGTGAGCTCCATTGTATACCACGCACAGGACGCGCTGCGGGCCAGCCTCAAAGCCTATTTGCTGGACAGGCGACCGGGGTTCAAGACAGCCAGTGATCACCCGCTCGACCAGCGCAAACTGCACATACTAGCGCTGGAGAAGATCGCCCGGGACCTGGGTATGACAGAGAAGGCCAAGTACACGCTCCAAAAGTCTTCACCCCGTGAGACGCACATGTCCGCCTATGTGGCAGGGATGGTCGGGATAGAGCTCATGAAAAATGTAACTGACGACACACGCCTGCCTGGTGGATACCGCATGCTGAGACCAGGTAAATACACTATGATTGTGACGGAGGAGTTTGCTGATAATCGCGCATCATAGATGCCACGCCCTTGGACTTCTTCGAAGATCTTAAACAAGCGGGCCTTCTATTGCTGCTGCGGATCAAAACCGACCGCATCCTGCAGTTTTCGCCCTTGTCGCTGTCGCAGAAGAACTGCGTTCGGCAGAATCGGCAGGATTTCTCCATCGGAATGACTCCATGGAGGGTCTGGCTGTATCTGAAGGTCAGTCGGAACTTGCCGAAATATTCCCCGAGCGATTTTCGGATTCAGCTGGCGCCGTTGGAGGTGGAGGGGGTTGAGGATGGGTTTGTCGAATGTGAGTTGTCATCTTCTCATGTGTCTCCACCTTTTTTTTCTGTTCTATTTATGTTCGGGTTTGTCGATTTGTTCGTTACCACTGTGGTGGTTCATCGTATACCTACTCCCCGGTGAATGGGTCTGACTTAAATAGTGCTGGCACGATATCCCGAACGGAGCGAGGACCTAGTACGTGGGATGTTTCTTTCTGCGATGACTTGATATCAATCTGTCATTAATTGATTAGTTTAATTGATTCTTTGTACTCCAACCCCGTTGCCAATCAGTAACTGATAAAAGTGGAGCTTCGATGACATCACTGATCGATCTTCGATCAGATCGATTAGGCATTCACTCTGAGACCGTTCAATATATACAAAAAATAGATCTAGCATCTGTCCCTGACCAACTCCCAATGTCTAAACGAATCAATAGCTTCTTCCAGCCCATTCCATCCAAAAAGCCCAAGCAGGAACTGGTCGAAGAATGCTCGGTTACCAACCATCCTACCTACCCCTTTGCTATCCGCGACCTCCCCTCCAGTATCTCCACATCCCTGATCAACAGAGATAGCCCAGAAGGCAAACACATCGCGAACCAACCGCACCTGGATCTCCTTCATTTCAACCCATTCGTGCCGGCCCCACTATCACGCCAACTGTTCCACTTCCTCCGACGCGAACTCCCCTTCTACCGCGTCCACTACACCATCAACCGCGGCGGGCTCTCCACGGAGGTCAAGACCCCGCGGTACACGACCGTCTTCGGGGTAGACAGTACGTCGCGATTTGCCGCCGAATGGGGTTCGACCACCTTGCTCGATTCGGCGTCGAACCAGCCCGCCCCGGAAAATAAGTACAAGGTCCCACCACGACCGATTCCCCCATGCCTCGACACCCTCCGTCAGTGCGTTGAAGCGGCCACGAACCGCCGAGGACACTACAACTTCATCCTCGTCAATTACTACGCCACAGGAGACGACAGCATCGCGTACCACTCCGACGACGAGCGATTCCTCGGCGCGCAGCCCGCTATCGCGTCGCTGTCGCTCGGTGGGACGCGTGATTTCCTCCTCAAACGCAAGTCGAGCCCCCCCGGGAGCACAGCGAAGGTACCGCCACCGGTGAAGTTTGCCATGGCATCGGGCGATATGGTCATCATGCAGGGCGAGACGCAGGCGCATTGGCTACACGGGGTGCCGAAGCGGCGGGGGTCGACGGGTGGACAGGGGAGAATCAACATCACGTTTCGGCGGGCAGTGATTCCCGAGGGGACGAATAATTATTATCGGTATAATGTTGGTCAGGGAGAGATGTATCGATGGTGTGAGGCGAGGGGAGAGATGGTGCCAGATCGAAGAGAGGCTGGGAGGAAGACATCAGAAGAGGCAACAGACAAGGCGGATAGCCGACCATGCTGAAGATGGATCGAGAGGCGAAGTGCATCAACTAGCTATCGAACCACCGAGTTGGCTCTTGAATTAGATCACGATTTCCGTCGATGATCGACGTAGGCGTAGGCGGACTGGATGTGATATTTTAAGTGTAGATGCCACGTGATACGAGGCTGTGTCTCTCGTGACCTCTTCCTTGCTCTTCCTCTCCTCTCTTTCTTTTCTTCTTCTCTTCTTCACCTTTCTCATCTATTGCTGCCTCCTCACGGACTATGTCTCCTGAAACTTACGATGACAACGTTGGATCCCAGCCTCTACTCCGTGATTTGGTTTGCCCCGCTCGAGATCGAGGCCCAGGCTGCGGTCGCCATGCTCGATCACCTCCATGATGGTCACTTCCCCCTGGGCCCCGGCGATGACCATGTTTTTCGCGCTGGAGATATTGCGGGGTATAATGTGGTGATAACGAGTTTCCCCGCAGGGCAGGAGTACGGTACCAGCACCGCAGCCGCTCTCGCCGGTCAGGTCAAGGCCTTCTTCCCCAGCCTCCGATTCGGCCTCCTGGTTGGTGTCGCTGCCGGGTTCCCTGATTTGTCCCAAAGCCCACCACGGGATATTCGACTGGGAGATGTGCTCGTGGCCCTGTCGTGCGACGATCGACCGGCGGTGATTCCATACGGCCTGGGGAAGGAAACGAGGGGTGACGACTTCCAGCTACTGCGCTCAGGGCATGTGTTGGCCCAGACGAAGACACTCCTGCGGTCAGCTATTGGCTCCTTGAAGGCCGAGGAGCCGTATTCGGAACCCTCATTCCGTGAACAGTACGGGCGTATGATGCACCGAAAACACGCGACTGGTGATTTTCGCGACCCCGGACAGCATCGGGACTGCTACCACGCCGACGGTCGCTCGGTCACTCGGTCGCTCAGACCACGCTCGGGGCGAACTCGCGTCTGGTATGGTTCGATCGGCTCCGGGGACAAGCTGGTCAAAAACGCGGCAGCGGCACGGCAGATGCGCGACCGGCACCAGATCATCGGGGTGGAGATGGAGGCGGCGGGGATCATGAACCAGATCCCGGTGGCCGTTATCCGGGGAGTGTGCGACTACGGGGACGAATATAAGAATAGCGAATGGCAACCTTACGCCGCGGCTATGGCTGCTGCATACGCCAAAACCATATTAGGGAGGATCCCTTCTAAAGGAAATTGGGTTGAACCGGTACAGAAATGTACGATGGAAACATGTTATCATCTCGAAAACGTAGAAGCCCAGCTAATTCAGACTTCAGTCGTCCACCTAACCCAGTCACGCGTGTCAACAGATGGTAAGCTTGTCTCCTTGGCCGTCTTTGAGGTGAGCTAATCCGGTTCGCATGTCCCTTTTGACGGCTGTCAGACCATGCACTGGACAAGCGCTTCTCGATGTGCAGAACACCGTCTTCCAGACTACCCGCTCACGATCCAAATGTAGCCATGGAGGACGAGACTATAACACCAAGAGCACATGGGCCAAAAATAAATCATGAGACCACGACGGTTGGACCCCTGGCCGAGTTGTGGCAGAGGGTTGCTGGCGCCCCCAAACCCCAGGCCCCGTACATCCTCCATCAGTTAGTCCTCTATATCGCATCGCTGTGGACGATTCCGAGGGCAATCACGAGCAAGATCATCATCGCCGATTTCCTCGGCCGAGAGCTCCACCTTTCGATCCCCATGGATTGGTACGACCTCGCGGTGATTCTACTGCCCTTCTTCGACACCGGGGAACGATATGGCTTGGAGAAAGTGCGATCAGGGGAGTTTATTATTGTCTACTGCGACACATCGGAGAAGCGATTCAAGCGCCTGGGCCCGACTAACTGGGCAAATGAGATTCAACATGGTCGGAAGCTGCACATGTCCGTTGTCATTTCTTACCTGCGATTAGAGGACCAAGTGTGCACATCCTGTCGGTGTCGGGTGAAGAGGTTCCGGTCTTTCATAACATGCCCCAACTGTGGACTGTTCGCGCTGTGCGCCCAACAGGAGCAGAGGAAACTGACAGCGACTGAAATTGCGGTCATTCCATCCTTACTGAGTGATGGCCTGTTACGAGTGCCCCGCGCTATTGACCCTCCGACCGATTGCCTAGTCGGACTATATGCGTCCTACGAAGATGGACAAAGAGGATTGCAACACGACTTACTGGCGAATCGCAGTACATTGTCAATGGAGATTGGCGGCGCAAAGGGTGATTTCCAACCGATTATCCCCCACAGCATAGGGGCATCCAGCATAGATAGCAGCGGCAATGCGCACCGGCTTTCAAGACCACCACCTGAAGACGCATCGGCGAGTGACGACGAGTCCAGCGAAGAAGAATATCCGATTATCGAGGTTGAAATCAGCCCGAGGGGCATGGAGCTCCGTGAGCGAGAGATCCAGGAAATCAGCCACTTCAAGAAAGTGTTCATTCAGGAAGACAATCTGTTGTACGATGAGGCGCTGGAAGGCAATTTACCCGCGGTGGTGCAACGACTGCCGCGCCTACTGAAGATCCCTACGTTTGACATGAATGAAACATGGGGCCCACTGGGCACACCACTCACTGCGGCAATTCTCTCTGGGTCGGACAGCGTGGTCGACGTGCTTCTTCAGGCAGGGGCCGACCCGTTTTTCCAGGCTGGGCCGTTGGACTTTCCTCTCCGTGCTGCCGCCGTGTTTGGAAACTCTACCGCTGTCGAGTTAATTCTCAGCTCCACCATGCAAAAGAGCATTGAGAATCGGCCAGGACGGCTGCAGGAAGCGCTGGATCAGTCGCTGTACTCGGTCGTGGAGACCGGCCATCGCAGTCTTCCTCGTGTCTTTCTCTACGCAGGCGCGAACCCCTTCGCGACGGTCGACGGCAAGCGATCCGCGTTTGCCTTCTCGACCTTCAGCCAGCCCGATCTGGCTGCCCAATTCGTCACCGAGGCATATGCACGGGGGTTGTTGCAGCTGCAGGAGGCGGAGCTAATCATCGACGCCGTCTATCGGCGGTATGCCCCTGTGCCTAGTTGCCCGGGCTGGCTGGACGCGTGTTGCCGGAATGTGGAAATGGGGCGGACCGAAGGTGTGGAGAAGCGGATCGTACAACGACTGACACAGTCTCCCCGGACCTCATTTCTCCTCTGGGAGCCTTTGTGGCGGACTCCGCGGTTGAATAGGAGGCGCACAGTGAGGGCTCTACCGGTGCCGGAGCCGGAAACAGTATCGCTGGAGAAGGGCTGCGGCAGGAACTCGCAGTTACCAGTCATCCAAGTGACGATGCATTGATAGCCTCGCGAGTGGTTAGCTTTTCACTTCAAAGGCGGCTATGATGGGTTGAGCTGTTGAAGTGTTGGTGATTGAATCTGGTCGACGTGAAGGGCGCTTCTACGATTGGTCAAAGGAAACATCGAAGGTATCCTGAGACAGGCATCAAGTACAGCCAGGTGTGTAAGACACTCACGGGGCCGATGGCTGCCAGCATATCGAGTTTCTCAATGACATATGTGGCATTGTTGTCCGGACATCCGCTAAAAGCGGCTTCCCACACCAAAGTTTGGGCCAGGTGTATGTTGCCTCACCAATTGCGCGTTGCAGCAAATTTTCACAAAACCCAGGATCTATTGCGGGGCCATGGGTTAATTAAAATCTGGCAAGCAGCAAGTCCATTCCGGGATTCACTCGAGGTCATACTGTTGTTTCATGGGTGCGTTCTTGATCAGTATGGGTCTAATAAAACCCGACACGCTATTGTATCATTTATCTTTAGAGCATATATTTGCCTATCCCAGAGACATCCATATACATATGAACGGGTTCTACAGACCTGGTCATTCAAGCTGGTTATCCCGGCTGGATTCTTGTTTAATTTTATCGCAGGATCGCTTGAATCCAGATAAATAAAGTCAATCGCAATTTAATCGGCTCATCATCGGACAAGCCGCTGAATCTTGGGCAGAGAATGCATAGACAATACTTCATAGAAACGATTGCTCGATTTCATCGAAATCACTAGCCACTCCTCGAATACGTCTCTAGCTGATTCATTCCCTTCGCCACGATGTCGTAAAGCTCCTCTCTCTTCATCAAGCCCCCAACATCCGGAATTTCGATCTTGATATACGGGACGGTACGCAGGAACTCGACGAGTTGTCCAACCAGCTAAAACTGTCAGTATTGACATCATCCAGATCTAATCTAGACATACCTTGGAAGCGTGCCCGATCAACACCCCCATCTTCTCCACCCGTTCCTGGGTTAGTAGTTTTGCCCCGTTACTCAACAGTCCCTGCACGCGGTCCATCAACTCGGGCGTAACGACCGGAGATACGTTGTCCACCAACCCGGTGATATCTTCAACGCGTTGTTCAGTGAGAAGGTCGCCCACATTACCTAGCAGCGACGGAATGCTCTGCAGGGTCTGTGGTGGCAGCGCCACAGAAACGTTTCCAATCAGATCCCTGATATGGTCTGTAATCTCCGATGTCAGCAGCCGCTGAGCGGTACCCAGTAGATCCTGCACCTGCTCGAGCAGCCGTGGCGTGACGCCCGACGAGAGCGTGTCGATCATTCCGCGGATAGTTTGCACCCCCTCCGGGGTAAGCAGCTGGCCTCCGTTCTGTAAAAGACTTTGAATCTCTTCCACGGAGTCTTTCTCGAGTAAAGGCGCGGCCACATCTAGCATGGGCAGGGCTTGATCCAGCATGCTTTTGATATCAGCCCCGCCAGCGACGGCAATTAGCTTTTTTATATCGTCCGTCATGTTCGGCGTGAGCAGGCTAGCACCGTTGTGGAGCAATGGGCCGACCTTCTCCAGCGCGTTACTGTCCACCAGGACCCCAGCATTAGATAGTAAGCCACTGATCTGTCGGACCCCGTCTGGTGTCAGCAAATCCGCCGCATTGTCGAGCATACCCGGCACGCGCTGCAACAGATCGAGGTTGAAATCGTCCACGCCGTCCATAACAGCCGATACCCTCTTGGCCATATCGGCAGTTAGCAGCTGTGACGCGGCATGCAGCAGATTGTCGACGGCGTCTAGCGTCTCCGGAGTCGCCAGCAAACCAGCATTCTTAATCAGTTCGTGAATACTCTTGCTCATCTCCGGAGTCAGCAGCTCCTTCCCATTTTTCAACAGTGCCTGCAGCTGGTCCACGCCTTCCTGATCGAGCAGATCATTGGCTCCAGCCAACACAGCCTTCAACGCAGCGATGTGCTCCACCGGAAGGGCCTTCTCCACAGAATGAAGCAGCAGACGTGTATCATCATTAAACTGCGGCGTGAGCAGCAAGCCCGCGTTGTGCAGCAGTTTCTTAATCCGATCGACATTGGCGTCTGTAACGAGCGGACCCACATTCTTCACCAGATCGACGACGGTATCCACAAAATCCGGGGTAAGCAGTTTAGATGCATTATCCAGCAGCATCATCGCATCATCCACCAGGCCCTGATCCTTCAAGCGTGACGCCAATCGCACGAGCTTCTTCGTCTGATCCGGCGACGGCTGTTCCGCCAGCTTGCCCAGCGCATGCACGCTATCTTCTACATCGCGGAGGAATGTCGGTGACAGGAGCCCCGTAATACCCTTTAGCAAGTTCCCGATATTCTCGATGGGGTTGGCCGACGTGCCGGGGGGGATCTCAAAGGCCGGGTTTCGCTTTTCATGGGGAGCCTTATTCTGAGCAAGAAGATAATCTCGTAGAGTTGGATGTTTGGACAAGAACAGCTTGGCAATGTCCTGCACGCCCTCGGAGGCTTTCACGAATTTCTCTCGATCAAGACGGGGTTCCGCCCAGGTGGTGAGCACTAGGGCGGGGAGAACAAGCACGGCGAGACGCATTTTGGCGTAGTTGGTGTTGATTTTGTGGGGTGCAATATCGTTTTAATGACTCTTTTACTGTCTTTCTCCACACGCCACCCTCCATGTGGTGCTATGGTCGCGAATGCGGGGTGATCGACATGGTGGCTGGCTTGGTCTACTGGGATGGATGGGTCCCCGTGCCGACGGATCTCGGTGACATGTGCGGGGTTGCGTTTTAAAAAAAGACATATATTATACAATGATATTATATTGGATTGAATTATAGTATGCTGGGATACGAGCCATCCCAAGCCCAATGAACATGCCATTCGGTAAGTGGCTGAGATAACATAGACCAAAATATTGCGCATACTTGACAATCAAGTGAATCGGTTCTCAGCTCGGAAAATACAGTCGACTACAAGCATACCGGAAGAACAGCTGTTTCGAACCTTCAGTCGCATTCACATACGCATACTATATCTGCATACAGCTAAGTTACCCAATCGCCATCCCCGGGCCACCCTGCTCACCAAAGAACTCTTGTACAATAGAACTGATTAGCGGATCGAAACCCGCTACAGTCTGGTCACACTGACTTTGCTCATTGGGTGAGTAATTCGGCTCCTGGTGTTGTTGTTGTTGCTGCTGCTGGTGCATGGGCTGTGCGCTCCCCCCAAAATGGGTTTCATCACACTCTAATCCGTGATCGAGTGAGGTAGGGTCACACATATTGTCGAGGTATAGATAGTCGAGATTGACGGTGTCGTCATTTCCCTGCTGCTGCTGCTGCTGATCCTGCTCCTGATCCTGCTCCTGATCCTGCTCCTGATCCTGCTCCTGATCCTGCTCCTGATCCTGCTCCTGATCCTGCTCCTGCTCCAGCTGCAGAGGTGAAGGGAAAGGAGGAGGGGACTCATAACCCGTATCATCCACACTCAAGCCCAGGATCAGCCGGCTGGGCGCGTCCTCAGCCTCATCGGATATGGTGCGGAGGGTATCCGTTCCGACCGGACTGTTATCTGTCTCCATTTGCCTGTATCCGTCTACAGGGATAGACGACGCAGACGAAGAAATACTGTGAATTCGCTCTCTCAACGCCAACTGTCTCTTCTGCTTGGCTCTGCGGGGGGAGATGGGTGTAGACGGGCTGGGCATCGTCCAAGGCAGACGGATTCCAATTCCAATTGGTGGGATGCATCGGACTAGCTCTGGAAGGGCAGAGTCGTAGGGCAGACGCCCGACGGATAGGCTGTAGTCGACGGAGGTAGAGATGAGGAGGTAGGCGCGAGGATGGCGCAGGAAGGCCTCGTGCCAGGAGGCGGCGCGGCGGGCGCTGGGGAATGGGGGCGGCGTGGGAAGGGCGTCCTTCTCGACCAGATGCGTGGCTCCTCCTGCCGCTGGGACTGTATTTGTTGGTGTTGATCCTGCTGCAGCTGTCCCGTCTGTGGAGTTCGGACTGTTGGACTGGCCGCTGCGGACGCGCGGGGTGGGCGGTTCGTCGTCCCAGCGGAGGAACAGGTGCTGGGAGGTCATGTAGGCGAGCTGAAGGATGTGATTAGTTCCGGCGCTGACCATGTCAGTGACGTCGTAGACACGGCCGGAGTGGCGGATGATGGCCCCGAGGGCGTCGAGACGACGACGACGGGTGTCGAGTTCGGAGGAGGTGGGGGAGAGTTTGAGATCAATTGCTGTGAGGACGAGGGGCATGGCGACGTAGGCGAGACTAATTCGTTAGCTTTGTACCATGTGTAGCCCTTTGATTGTGGGACATACACGCTGAGAGGCAGGTTCTGGGCACGCCCTTCCCGGCTAAAATACTCCATCACGGCCGTCAACTGATTCATGGCGTCGTAGAGCGTAGCGCCGATTTGCCAGAGATGATGGATGTAGTTCGTCCCTGCTAGCAGGAGGTGGTTTTCGATGAGAAGGGTCTCGTAGTGGGCGAGGTCGATGCGCGCAGTGCTAATCCATTAGCTTGTTGGTCGAGTCGAAGCTGGTAGAAGAAACATACTGGTAAAACATATAGGCAAAGTTGGTCATCTGCGTTACCGGGTCCGGTACCCCGGTGAGTAGTCCCTGCAGCTGGGAGCAGGCCTCCCACTGTGCCAACAGTCTTTGAATACGAGCGATACGCGCAAGCTCATGATGGAACTGCTCGAAGCCCATGACAGGGGCCGCCAGACCGTGGGAGGCAAACACGAAGGAGACCATCTCAGTAAGCAGCACAGACAGACGACACTGCTCCTGCAGGACTTTGACAAGCATGCGCTTGGTATCCGGTTCATAGACCTGGGAGCGACGAATCTCATCGGCAAAGTCCTCCTCGTCGAGCGGTTCGGCCGCCATGCCAAATTCCAGGGAGGTCACCTGGCCGCGGCGGCGCAGTCCCAGACACAGACTGCGGTCGCGCAAGATAATGGACCACCAGAGGCGCTTCTTCAGTGAGTCCTCGACGTCTTCGCTGGGGCCGGGCTTGCACCCGATGGTCATGGCGTTCTGGATGGCGCGTGTGAGCCATAGACTGGCGGCTTGGGGTTCCTCGCCTGAGGTATGGTGGGATAGGATGATGCAACCTTGGGATTTGGCGTAGGGGCGGTCTTCGCCGCTCAGGTCAAATAGATACTGTCGTCCATTAGTTAGATATGCTACATGGGTGGAGAAGGGGGGGGGGGGGGGGTTACCTTAGTGCGCCGGTAGAAGCTGTTCCGGGCATCGCGCTTATCTTTGAAACCGCACTGCTGAAGAGTCTCCAGGGGGACGTGCTATTTCTGTCAGTCCCACACAGTAGAAGACAAATAAGTGAAAAGACAGGAAAACACACCGCACAGCTGACAAACAGGAGTGCCTGGAAAACAAACAATGACACGCGCCCGTCGACATCCTCCCCTGGATGAAGATACATATCCCAGAACGCCGCTTCATCTAGCACCGGCATAGACGGGTGAATGTGGAGAAAATACTGGCGGACAAAGTCATCGATGACCGTCTTATCCGGCACGCTCAGACATGCCTTCGACGCTAGAAAGGCGAGGTCCTCGCGCGGGAGGATACCCACGCCCCGAAACTCGACAAAGGGGTAGGATGTGAATGCGACATGGCCTGGGGGGAGGGGGTCTGCGGATGGGGCAACGGACGTGGAGGAGGGAGGCAAGTCGACGTCGTCGGGGATGAGGGCGCGGAGGGAGGGATCCAGTGGGGCTTTGGCGGAGAGATGGTCGATCTGGGTTGCGCGGAGGTTGTGGTCGTTTTGGGTGGCGAAGCCGGCGAAGCTTGGGCGATCAGTATAAGGAACTATCTTGTCCATGTCCAGGATGTGTCAACATACTTCCGGGGTAACTTGCCCCGCAGAATGCATTCGGGTCGTCCATCCTGGCGACAGCGCGTGCAGGGACAGCCCCGAATGGAGGCATCGCAGCGCACCTTGCGGTGATGGCACCATGAGCACGCCTTGGGGGCTCTTCTCGTGCGACGGAGCATGTTGTCTTGGGGTCAATGACCAGTCGACGGAGTGCGGGGGATGAGACAGGAGAGAAGCAGAAGCAGGGGAAGGAGAAGACAGAAGAAGGAGACTGCACGGACCAGCACTCAGACCAGACGGATCGTCATCGTCTTGCATCCGAGACGGGCCAGGTGAGCAGAATCTGTGGGGTAGGGATCGGCATGAAGACTGAATCATGAAGTCTGATTCTGGAGTCTGATTCTGGGGCCCCAGATGATGTGATGGGTCTAGCCCTAATGCCTGCTTCCCCGCTGTGGCACCGACTGCCATACTGGGTGACATCAGACGACAACGCCATTTCATGGAAAGAAGGCGAGGACGATTCCAAATGAGACTAGGATCCGAACTTGCTCGTAGAACCAGGTCAAGATCGACATACCCCGCGGTGGAGAAGGAGCTGTTGGTTCCGCGGCAACTCGGCTGTGATCGACTGGTTCTTAGACAGACGGGGACTACGCCATATTTCGGACAGAAATCATCCAATCACATTATATGATATAGCGAGGGTAAATAAACTATAATCCGCACTAGTACACTCGCAAACCCTTCCTAATTCAGCATCTGAGCCTTTCGCAGGCGTTTGCGCATGTCATTGAGATAGTATTTCTTGGGATACGTGCGGACAAACTTGGGCAGGGCCGGGTACGTGTTACGGACGAGACTCATCGTCCACCGGTAGCCACGCTGGCGGTGCTTGGTGGTCTTGATGCCGTACGCCTCGCGGATGCGCGCCGGCAGCATTTCGCCCGTCATAAGACGCACCCAGGGCATCAGGACGCGCAGGTGGATAGGCAACCCCGTGTTGTACAGCAGGTCGTGGGCGACGTGTTTGGCATGGTCGTTGACTTCTATTGAGGCGATCTGCTGGTCCCAGTAGGCCCAGAAGGCTTGGCGGGTGGCGGGCCACTCGTCGGGCTGGACGCGCAGCGAGACGGCCAGGACAGCGTACTCGCAGTAGGTCTGCTCGGCGGTGACCTCGTCCATGGGGCCGAAGATCTCCTCGTAGAGCTCGACGCCCACGGCGTAGAGCGTGGCAGCGACCCAGACTTGTAGCTGGGCGTCGTCGGCGGAGTAGTCAGTGCCTTTGACGGAAGAGTGCGCGCGGTGCACCATGGCGATGACGGCTTCTTTCTCCTTTGGCGAGCCAAACGCCATGCAGTAGACGTAGGTCATGGTTGTGCGCAGTCGGTCCATGGGTCGGTAGGCGAAGTTGCTGTGGTTGTCTACACCTTTGCCGACGCCGGGCATGGCGACTTGGAGGAGGATGGCTGTCGCGCCGCCCCCGAGGATGATGCCTTCGCGGACGATGCGCTGGATGTGGACGGCATTTTCCAGGCTGGTACTCTGGATAGCCTTCTCGTCGATCGCTTTCTCTGGATCTGAAGAGGAAGACGACATGCTCGCGAAGTAGAGGTCTGTATACTTTGGATAACCAGGTCACAGATATTGATATCGACTTCTATATATGCGAGACCACGCGACCGGCATTGGCGGAATCATGTGGAGAACCGCGGACCGGCGGGATCAGGCTCGGATCGACACCACGCACGGGCTGAATCAAGCAAACTGACTGCGATTGGAAGCAAAGGCGGGGTCGCAGATCCCCCACAGAGTCTAGGGTTCCCAGAATGTGGAGAAATCATGCCTAATCTGGGGTACGGTTGAGGGTCCAGTATATAGGATGTATGCATCCAGACGATACTTGAGTAGGTACTGCTCACTGAAATCGAGCATTCAGACACCATGGCTGTCGGTGATGCATACCGCGACTCAATCCGGAAGAAGGAGGAAGCGTTGGCGTCGGGGACAGACCTCGAGCACGTCGAGACAGTCGACTCCACTCTATCGAGAAAGCAGAAGACGCAGAAACACCTCCGGCGGTTCTGGGTGTGCTACTTCATCGCGGGGATCATCTTCTCCGCCATCTTCCTCCCCATCTTGTATGCTTCCCTCGCAAATCTGATATGTAGACGAGCTAATGAACAGCTTCACCCTGATCATCCCGGCCATCGCGCAGCGCATCGTCGACGACACCGAACTCCCCGTGTACAACGCGGAGATCACCGATCCGGACCCGTCACACGTCACCTTCTCGATCGACACGGCGCTGAACATGCCCAAGGGGATCAAGGCACGGACAGACCCATTCACGCTGCGGCTGTTCAACCGAGCGACGAAGCCCTTCAAGCCGTATATTGGCGTGGAAATGCGGGAGTTCAGCCTGAACGGACCGACCCGGCTGACAGTGATAAATCACCACACGGAGGTGCTGGAGGAAGACGAGTTCGTCGCGGTGCTTTCCGAAGCCGTGTACTCTAAGGAGTTTATCATGTCCGCGCGGGGCGCAACAACGGGACATTTGGGGGCGCTCAAGGCGGGCTTAACCCTGGATAAGGACGTTCGCTTGAAGGGTATCTCTGATCCCTCCTTCATTCTAAATTATCATTAATGTATCAGGTCTGGACAAGCTCAGCGGGTTCGCGATCGAATCTGCACGGCTCGTATACCCGGCCGAAGAAGACGGGACGAACCTGCGAGGACGCGCCAATCTGCCCAACCACTCGGTGGTGGGATTCGCTCTGGTAGGCCTATTCCCCATCTATCGCGCAGCAGAGTCTAACCAGCCAGGGCAACGTAACATTAAACCTCAAAAGCGAGGACATCATGCTGGGATTCGCCGACATCGACAACGTCTTCCTCAAGCCAGGAAACAACAGCGTGGATCTGCGCGGACGCATCGACATCCCAACGGTGCTAGACAACATCGTACCGATCATGGCGCAGCAGGGCGACGTGCTCCGCAAAGGAAACATACGGCTGTCGGCATCAGGAAACAAGACCGTCTACCACGGAAAGCACATCCCGTTCTTCGAGCGCGTGCTGAACAATCTGACGCTGCAGGCGGAGTTGCCTATCATGACGGTTTTGCTGGACACGCTGAAGGGGCTGGGCGGGGGGAAGGGGTTGGCGGATATGTTGAAGAATGTGGGGGATCTGGGGAATGGATTGTCTGATTTGACGGACGCGTTGCAGGATCTGCATCTTTAACATCTAGGTAGATATATGAATTGATGGTGACTGACTAGTAAGATTCTTGTAGATGCAGCATTAGTAACGATGCGTCAGATTAGCCCTAATTGGGCCGAGTGACTCCACACCCCCAACTATAAATACGCCGTCCCCTCCAGTGCCACGGTTTCCATTCTACAAAGAAACCCAAGACACAAAACAAAGCCTGGAAGATAAAGAAACAAGATGGCAGACGGAGGAACCATCACCCCGGCGCTCAGTCCCAAAACCCTCCCTACATCGCACCCCGCCAACCACAGCGACCATCTCGTCGCCGCGTACACGCCGACCGAAGTGGCGGCGCATAATCGCACGTCTGACAGCTGGATCATCATCGACAAGAATGTGTACAACATAACGGATTTCCAGGCGGAGCATCCAGGGGGGGACCGGAGTAAATTTTTTTTTTTTTTTTCCTTTCCTCTTTATCCGTGGGTAATGTAGTATACTAATGGGAATAGTCTTGCACAAGGTGGCTGGGACAGACGCCTCCAAGGAGTTCCACAAGCATCATCGCGACTCCGTGCTGAGTCGGTATCAGGAGCGGTTACAGGTGGGGGTATTGAACGAGGCAGCGTCGGGGGCGAAGAAGAGTTTTTTGCGACGGTTGTTCAAATCATAGACATACAGGATTACCAAGATGAGTTCATGAATGGATAATATACACGAAATGAATAGTATGTATGAGAGAAGTCAAGATATGAATATAAATCACAACTTGGATAGCCCCTCCGAAGCAGCCCTCTCCCGCAGCAACCTCTTCAGGATCTTCCCACTCGCATTCCTCGGAATCTCCTGCACGAACCGTACCCCCCCAGTCAAAGCCTTATACTTCGCAAGCCGGGGCTCCATAAACGCGCGGACCTCCTGTTCCCCCAGGGTCACCCCCGCCCGACAAACCACATACGCCCGGGGGCGCTCACTACCCAGGTCACCCCCGCCGACACCAACAACGGCCGCATCGACGATCCCCGGGTGCGTGCGCAGCACGCCCTCTAGCTCTGGCGGAGCAACCTGAAACCCGCGCACTTTGATCAACTCCTTCTTCCGATCGATGATGTACCAGCGGTGGGACGCCGCGTCGCAGTATCCAATGTCGCCTGTGTGAAACCACCCGTCCGCGTCGAAGGAGGCCGCGTTCGCTGCGTCGTCTTTGTAGTATCCTGGGATGATGGTGGGGCCGCGCAGGCAGATCTCGCCGGGGGTGTTGTACGCTGAGATGTTGGTGTCGTTATTGTCGACGAGTCTATCATATTTATTAGATTCACCCTTTATATGTATATCTCGAACAAGAGAAAGACAAGGTGGTGGGAGGGAACCAACTTAGCCTCCACATTGGGAATCAACACGCCCACACTCCCCGAATCATCCGTCTGCGGATAGGGCACCAAAGTAGCAATACAGCTCGACTCCGTCATACCCCAGACTTGTGTACACGGGGCGCCCGGCGCAAGCAGCGCGCGAAACCGCGCCTGGGCGACTTTATCGAGGGGGGCTGCACCGACAGCTGCGGCACGGACGGAGCGCAGAAACGGGCGGGAGTGGGCTAGCGGAGAGGCGAGGATGGCGAGAACAACCGGGGGGACGACGGCTAGCTCGGTTACGTTGTATTTCTCGACGGTTTCGAGGAAAAGAGGGAGGTCGAAGCGGCGCATGAGGTAGGTGACGTGGCCGCCTTTGAGGGAGCCGAAGTGGGTGTTAGGGGCGGCGGCGGCGTGGAAGAGGGGGATGGGGACGACGCGGGAGATCTATATCATTATTCAGTATACATATAGAGGAAGAGAATTTTATGGAGGGAAAGGGGGGAATACCTGGTATGGGCGGCGATTGTGCTCAAAAGCGAGTTCATGCTGCGCGACGAGATTCCGATGCGTGAGGGTCGCCGCCTTGGGGAGGCCCGTCGTGCCACTGCTGAAGAGTCGCGCGGCGGGGGTGTCTGACGCGGTCTTCTCGTCGTCAAACGACACCCAGTCTGTCTCGCCGTGGGCGAGGAGGTCCTCCCAGGAGAGGAGGTCCGCAGGGACGGGCTGGCTCTGGGCGTTGAACACCCTTAAATTCTCCATCGGGATATGTTTCTCGACCATGGCTTTCTGGATCGCAGGGAGGATCTCCGGCTCGGAAATGACGAAGCGGGCGTCGGACGCGGTGAAGTGGTGGGCGAGTTCGTGCGGGGTGTACGCGGGGTTCGTGCCGGTGAAGACGCCACCGGCGCCGACGATGGCGAGGACGAGCATGGGGTAGTAGATCTATATTCATTTTAGCTGGTGGTTGAGTTTCCCAGGGGAAAGAAGAGGTACATCGTTAAATGAGTGAATGACCACGCAGTCACCGCGTTGGACGCCCCATGCTTTCAAGCCGGCGACGAGCTGGCGCACCAGTCGGTGCGCCTGGTTATACGAGATGGACCGCGCGGGGTCGTGCACATCGACGTACATCTACCATTCAATCAGCGGGAGACTTCTGCCACAGAAAGTCAAGCGTACCGGCTCATCGTGATCGTAGGGCGGATCGGAGAAGAGGTAGGAGAGGATATCGGAGGAAGGCACGGGGACGCGCCGGGGAGGTTCAAAAATCATCTGTTCTGACGTTCAATGAAGAGCGAGATAGGTGGAGGAAGAGTCAAAGTAGGGACCATTCATGTATTTATTGCGGTGGACGGATAGAAGACCGAACAATACCATGTCATGCCAGGCACCGTGGATAAACGTGGTGAGCCCTAAATGGAAATGATCGTCGCGGGTTAACTCGGTGTTCGGGTGAAGCTCCACATTGGGCGACTCTAACAGACCGTCAACCAAACGTTGGACGGTCGAGGACCCAGCGCGACGGTGGTTTCTGGTTGGTGGAGAATCCAATGTACGAATTATGTGGAGCCACAGTGAAAGTCTAGAATGCAATCGTATTACCTATTATAGTCTTTTTTAAACGCCAATGCTGTACAACCACAGAAAATAGATACAAAGAAAGAATGCTACAGCGTCAGTTGAAACCGCGGGTGCGTGCGGATCGCCTCGCCATACCGCCAGAACAGCACCGGACACACACACAGCACCAAGGAGATAAACGCCAGCAGGGAGTTCCCCCACCCGAGGCCCAGCGCGTCGTACATGGACGGGCCGGCCAGCGGCAACACCGCACCAACGAGCGACCGCAGCGCCGTGTTAGCCGCCGTGACGGATGCGGCGTATTTCAGGTAGGAGTCCACCAGGTAGGTGTTGGCGCACATGAACACGGTCATCAGCCCGATGGCAAACACGCCGGTGCCCAGGATGGGCACGATCCAGTGCACCTTGTACTCGGCTGCCCATCCGTACCAGAAGAGGCCAGCGGGGATAGCCCAGCACCCAACCAGCATGGGGGGCAGACGCGACTCCGGACGGAAGCATCCCTTGGCGGAATCCCGCTGGGCAATGTGGTTGGACACGTAGCCGCAGACGACGAGACCAATGATACTGCCGATGCCGAAGCCCAGGTAGGCGAGGCCTGCCAGGCCCGGGGAGAAACCGTAGGTGTTCTCGAAGATGGGGGTCAGGGTGGTGAACATCAGGTAGAGGTACCCGTAGGTGACGGCGGCGAAGAGGGCGAGGAGGAATACGATGGGCGAGAGGAAGAGCAGCTTGATGGGGCGGGCCAAGGTGGAGAGGAAGCGTTGGCGCGTCATGCGGCCCTTGTCGTGGACGGAGCGGAGGGCCTCGTTGCCCGTGGCTTTGCGCAGTCGGGCGGCCTTGCGGGCGAGGATGACGGGGGCGTAGGATTCGCGGTACCAGATCATGCACATGATGGTCATGACGCCGGTCTATCACATCAGTTAGTCAGTGAGTCGTCCTTTCACATCATCCACTACTAGTAAAAACGTACAGCAATGGCAATCACCCAAAACACCCAGCGCCAGCCTTCAGCATCTGCCAGGAACCCGCCGGCCACGGGGCCGACAACCGGACCCAGGATCGGGCCCAGCGCCCAGATGGCCATGATGCCGGCGCGCTTCTCCTTGGGGACCATGTCGGCGACGGTGCCGGAGCCGATGGTCAGCGGACAGACGCCAGCGATACCAGCCAGCAGACGGAAGACCATGAGCTGGGGCATGGACTGGGCGACGGCGCAGGCGATGGTGAAGATGAGGAAGAGCACGTTGCAGGTGTGGTAGAGCGGCACGCGGCCGTACATCTCAGACAGCGGGGCGATGATAAAGGGGCCCACCATGTACCCGAGGACGTAGATGGAGACGACAAAGGAGGCGAGCATCATGTCGGATTCACGGAAATCTCGCATGACGCCGGCGACACCGGGGGCGAACATGGAGGAGGCGAGGGGTCTATCAACTCAGCGGGTGTGTTTCACAGTGGGAGGGAGGAACCTACGTGATAAACGTGTTGACGGCCATGAGGACCAGCTGGCGTAATTTCTTCCATTGCGGCCAGTTAAAGGGATTCTCCAGGTCATTAGGGCCTTCAAAGTCAACGGTATTGTCCGTGGTGGTTTGACAATCCGGCTGTTTTTCCAGGTCTGCCATGTTGACAGTTGACAGTTGACCGGTTGAACAATAATGAACAAACGCGAAAAGAAGTAGAATAGATCAATCAACAATACTACATCCAACAAATCTCGACAAGAGGGAGATCCAGATGAAAGCTTGGTATTTAAACCCGGCATGATCGATCCGACTTGCCCCACTGCAGATTCTGCGAACGTCGCTTGGCACGTGGTCCCGACCAATCAGAAAGAAAGCATGAGACCCATCTCGGCTCGTCCCATGCCGAGAGCCAATCAGATCGTTGTCGGTTATTTTTATGCAGGGATATCCGGCTGTCTGGATGATTATGCCCGTGCATATCTCGCATCTCGGCATATCTGCCTTATGCACTGGATATATGGATATCCTATCTCAATCATTAACAACACAAGATATGCTGATGCTGCAGGTGAACAGCAGTCACGACGGACTTAGTTAGGATGCTGCCATTGTCAGTACAAGAATAGTATTATCAAAGAGCCGCTGTAATATCCGTGTCCAGTTCTATAATATGTGCATGCACCGTGTAGCGTGTAGATGGATATTTCTATGTTACAGATTCCTGAGCTATAAATAGCTCAGTCTCTTCTACCCCTTGACATTCTACTTATGAATTACCAGAATCCCTTGTTACCCTTATGACGGAGAAATCTCGAGTTATTCAGACTTGTGTATACAATACGAGTGGAGATATCTTGTCGATTCCATCTCAAGAATGTAGGGATGTAAATATATATGTGGACCCAGCTCCTGGATATGTGAATACTAAGTGCTACTATGATATGTATCTTGCCTTGGCCAGAGACGTGGATATATAGAATGAAGCAGATATCTATTCATCGATGAACTAGAGTTAATCCCGACATATCTATCACCCCCGTATCGACGCTGCAATTTCGTGTATACGATCCAAAGCGTGCCTCATCGCTGCCTCGTTATCCAGCGGCTCGTAGAAGATATCTACTCACGTTAGATCAACACATAAATGGTAGATGTTGTTAACATACCGGCCAATTCCTTTCCAAGTTCCTCCCCTTGATCCGATCCCATCGCTGTGAACACAATGTTCAGATTGTCTATCACGCTATCATACGACTTCAGCACCGGACACATCGCGTCCGTCTCGGAAGGGGAAATATAAGTTGGTTTGGTCTGGTTGCCGAGCGACAATTGGATAAGGGAGCGCGCTATCACTGTATTAGCGGTGACTAGAGGAAGGCAACGAGAACCAGGAAAAGCCAGAGAAAAAAAAAAAGAGAGAGAGAAAGAAGAAGAAGAAACTCACTGTCCGACTGAAACTCCCCCCCACTCAACCCTCCCACCGGATCCTTTGCAAACGCCGCCCACGCCGCCCGCATATACCGCCCCGCCTGCGCCTCCGCCTCGCTGTCAGCCATCCCCGTCACGACTGACGCCGTCCCAAACACCATGGGCGCTTCCGAGCCGTGGTACGCCGACCCCACAGGCACCACCTCCGTATTAGTATACTCCCCCCCATAATACCGATACCGCCAGACGGGAATGCCCCGATCCGCGCGATACTGCGCCGCCTCCGCCGCCGGACAACTGAAGCTCGCCAGGGCGAACAGGTCCATCAGCGGCTGGAGGAGACGCACAGGAAAGGCGGCGATTTGCTCAGTCGTCAGGTTGTCCTTGATCAAAGCGATGACGAGGAAGAAGCCGAGCTCGTTGTCCGTCGAGCCTGTCAAGAGCGGCTTGTGCGCGAAACGGCCCTTCCGGGCTTGTGTGGCGAAGTCCCGCGGGACGGTGTCATCGTCTTCGACAGGCCTGAAGTTGGATTGCTTGGTGGGGTGCTGCTGCATCGCGGCGAGGAGGTCGGGGTATGGTTTGGCGCGCATGCAGGCGACGGTGGTGTCGTGGGCGCTGTCGGCATCGCCGCATCCGACGGTCGAGGAGAGGTTGTACCATGCTGCAGTGGAGACTTTTTGGTCGTTGTGCGCGCCGGTCGCGAGGTAGGAGCTGGCGATGCCAGAGTGAGGGATGTAGGCGTGGGCGATGGGGTCGTGCAGGTTGCTGTAGGCAAGGATGTCGGCCGTGAGGCCGCCCGAGGAGATACCGCCGACAGTTATACGGGCGGGATCGCCCCCGAAGGCGGCGATGTTGTCTCTAGTTCATTCCAGGACGAGTCGGGTGTCGCGCAGACCGACGTTCCAGGGTTGGCCTGGGGCACCGGAGTAGCCGAAGACGTTGACGCGGGTGTTGGGGGTGACGACGATGAGGTCGTTTTCGTCGGCTAGGGTGGACCCGTCGTAGGTGAGGGTGTGGGAGCTGCCGGACTTGAAGTCTACCTGGATGAATATCCAAGGGATGGACCGTATGACGGAGAGAGAAGAGACGTACCTCGGCCGTAGATCCAGAAGAAGACCGCTTTCTTCCTGTCGCCGTTCTGGGGCTTGATCCAGACGTTCACAGACAGACAGTCCTTGTCTCTCTGTGCAAGGGCCGACAGGATCTTTTCGCCCGGTGGACCAACATTGAAGGCATGGTCCATTGAGGCCCGCTTACCGGGACAGTCTCTGTTTATTTAGCGTTTGGTCGTCCTTGGGCGAGAGCACTCACGGGCTCTAGACTCGGGTCAGATGGCTTCGATTCGCGTGGGGAGCATACATACATAAGCTGTCGCGTTGAACACCGTGGTGGATCGGTCCGGCGGAACGGGCGCCGCAAATCGCAGGTCATCGATTGGGGGTTTCGCGTAGCGAATTCCTAGATACTCGGAGACATCTGAACGAAGAGACGACGGCTGGCCGCGTATAGGTCCGCTGGTCGTGTCAATGATGCCGCCGATGCTGAAAGCTTGGGTGGTGGCAGCGAGGGCGAGGACGGAGAGACGCATGTTGGCACTAGCTGAGGTCTTGGGGCGACAGCTGTTGCGCGGAGGACGATATCCTTAAACCATTGGAATCACAGTGGATGGGGGTCGTTGTTATTGATTGTTTCTCAAAGGACCCTGAATCGTAATGGGGACCTCATACCAAGGTGGTACATCCACCCACTCACCCTGGATAGCATGATGGTCGTCGGATTCTCTCGATATGGATATACTCGTTGCTAATGGGAATGAAGGGCGTGTTACCAAGATACCCAATTCTAATCATTATCACGATTCAATCTCATCTCGTGGATATCCCTTGCTGGCAGTGAATACAATGGGTGATTCAATGTGTCATGAGCACGCAGTAGTAGCAAGAGGAGCATAACAATGAATTCCATGGATAGACTTTGTTTGGCGCTCTGGTCCCTTGGTGCATACCAGCCACACCCGTGGTATTGCGATCCATTTAAGGGGTAAACAAAGAGATCGATGGAATGTGGTGAGATTGTGGTGGTATGCTTGTCTTGGGTAATGTTGTTCCAACAGTAAAGGTGTCCTGTTGTAGATCGCGCATGTCGTCTGTTAGCCACGGATTATGCTGCGATTATAAAACCAGATGTTGATATTCTATCTGGGAAATCCACCGGTCTATCCATCGCATGACAGCTGTTCTCATTACAAATGCGACCGTGAACATACCACGGAGGTTGTGGGATTTCCTTGGCCCGACACGGCGCAGTAGATATTTTTATCTGCCTCGCCACAGCAACCAAACATCTCATCGGGATCGAGGACGGTAGAGCTTACGATCTGCTACATATCCGCGAAGAAGAGTGGGCTATGCTATCAGACCTGACACCGCAGCAGGAGATCAGAATCACTAGTTCCCGCATCAAAATGGGTTCAGAATCCCTCATGCTCTCGATATGCACACCGCAGGATGACCGTACGTCATAAACGGGGCTCCTCCCGACTCAGATTGGTCAACCCTCCAGGGACCAGCTCGAAAGGGGAAATGATTCACGCGTCGGCCCCAGTGGAGACTGCTAGATTGAAATAGAAACACTGCAGAAGAGCACTGACCATTTACGAACTCGGTCCTCCCCCTCCAGGACCCATTCGTCCCGAAGCATGGTCCCCCCTCTTGCTCGGGCTCTCTCCACCTCCACCATCACCAGATATCTCTCCACCTTTCCATTTAGGGCTCCTGTCGAGTGACGAAGGACGGGGGAGACGCGGGTTCTCATGATGCCTGTCGATGGATCCCCCCTCCACGCACCACCGCGCCACCATGCAGCAACCGGCGAACGGGCCATTTGGCAACGAGGGATGTCTCCGACTAAGCAATAATTCCTGCGGAGGACGCCACCGTCCGTTTAGTGAGGTTTTCCTCAAGGGATGACCAACATCTTTTCTTAGTCGGAGTATTATTATGCTCACTTCCCTCAACGGGGCCAGGATCCGCTGACCATAAGATGCCCCTCGGATCAGCGTGCTCCAGCATCGCCATCTTATATATATACTGCCTTGGTCCATTCACTTTTCTACATATATCCTTAGACGATTTTTCCACCCTGGTCACCAACGGAAATATTATCCGCGCGTCTCGGCCGACTCCATGAATACTCTATCTTTCCATCGTGGCTTTTGCTCACATTGACTTTTCTATCTCCCTCGCTCTCTCTCTCTCAACGCTCTCTCTCTCAACGTGACCTCTTCTAGGGTCCAACAAGTCCCGTGACTACCCCACCACCACTACATCAACATTCCACTCTGTCGATATATATCTCCAGATATATATACAAACCATATACAATGCACGCCATGCCCTCCAAATTCGTCGAAATCCTCGAACCAGAGGACATTTCCCACCTGCGACGCTCCGCCTCAGATGTCCGACTCGAGGACGTACTCGCCGACCACGAAGCCATCGTCGGCCGTCCACGCTCATCAACCAACGACTCCGCCAAATCCAAAACAAGTCTCGACGGCGGATCAGCGCGCTGGAAGCGACTGAGCAATATGCTCGTTGCGACGAAGCGGTAGCCGAACGATCGTCTTTCTCATCCCTGTGTCCGGGATAAGTTCCGAGCAGGACTCGCGCGAAAACGACGCCATCAAAGTGGACATGATTAATATACGCAATTTGATTTCATCAAGCGAAGTACATATATCTTTTGCTATTTTCGGAAGCTGGCTTTGAAACCGTATTGCATCGGAAACATCGAGGATGGAAGGAGGAAGAAGATATGGATACGGATACGGATACGGATATGACGCCGAAACGAGGAACACACGTCTGGACGACTTCCTACCTTGACGCTTATGTGGATATCATATTTACTCTACCCAATGATTGATCTGTTGTTTTGTTTTGAGCCTGCACTATACTGTACTATATCTTAGACGACTTACTGGGTGCATACTACACTATACTACACGCGTATGCAAATATATTTCGCCACCAACGTCTACCCTACGGCCATTATCAAAGGAATTGAAAGTAAAGAAAATAGATGCGATAAAAATAGACTAGCTTGCGCAGTCCCTCCACTCTAGACGTAAGGGGGTCCATTCCACGCTGCGTGGCACCACAGCTAGCGGGTGTGTTTATCTGCAGTGTGGGGATATGGGATGGTCCACTGGTTGCGATAGGATTGCACTAGATATGGCTTCAGAATTTTCGTCATTGATGAAGGTAATTTTCTCCGCATTGTGTTTTGATTCTTGTTATTTTCCTGAGTGCCCCACTGCTCGGAGACAAGCCGTGGTGAGTTGTCCAGATGTCCGATCGGCAATCAACTGGAGTGGTTATCTAAGATGCAATAAGAATGAGAAAAAACAATATAGTCATACTCAAAATAGGTATAACAAGCCCGTTAGGTAGGTGTGCAGCTACATACAAGACATTGCATTGCCCTCTGGTCAGTGTTGAGTCCAACCTTAATTGTAAGCTGTCCTCAACCGGATTTTTCCCAGACTACTCCAAAAGCGAAACTAGACTAAGCTTCAAATAGATACTGCCAAGCGGCAGTGGTTCGCGTTCTGACCGCAGCAGTTACTTTACATACTCCGTAGACAGTGGATCCATGCTGACTTCAGGCATCAGATACCTCATTCCAAACTTACTACCCGATGCAGTAACCCGGTGCCCCTCAGTATCCACCCGAGTTTACCCGCCCATAACCACGCCTTCACTACGCCATACGGAGGGACGTTGGTGGGGCAAGCAAAGAGCTATCTGGGCTGGTCACTGCATCCTTCGGATCCTCATCCGCCGATCAGGCCTATAACAGGTGGTCTCCTCTTGGCGGGTGCTTTAGTCTCGAAGGCTTTGCTTCGATTGCCTCGGCTGTGTATCCGTAGTGCTTATATAGATCCGTTGGTGAATCGACGGCCTTGGTCCTGTTTGATAAGAAACCCAGCCTCGGATTCCACGACCCTCTTACCTGTCATCTGGTGGGCTCTCTTTCCTGCTCGACTATGACCCGTTTAATTGTTTGCTGCGAAACTTCGCCCCAGGAAATACAAACCATAACCCGCCAAGTAGAATTTTCCAGAACCGGATATTATCTTTGTCCCGAAACAAAACAGAATTGACGGAGTAATTGGCGAAAACGACGAACTAGCCCATGCCAGCTTGACTCGTTCTTGGATTCAAGCCTTCTTCCGCCCTCGATTCACGAGCATCCTCTGACCTGCTAGAAGTGGGGTGTTCTTGGTGGGATCTCTTGTGGCTTCTGCACTGCATTAGCTTTAAACGCGTTAGACTAGGCTATTTATATAGACTGACCTCAACAGAGATTGGCTCTGAACGGGGCGGCCCTTGATCCCGGACGGTAGCAATCAAGCCGATAATGGCACCGTCGTCTGGCTGTGGGTGTACAGGATTCGTGATTGTTCGGTTGCTAGCCCCAGGTGTAAATATCTAATTGCTCAGCAGTTCCCCTTTTGCTTTCATCCGCCTTTTATTGCCGACGAGGTCTTAGTTTAGATTCTGCTTGCCTGTTTTCTATCCGTTCGAACAACCTCGAGCTGATCAGAGCATACCTTTCCTTGCGAAACTGACCGGCATATATAAGCACATTCAGGCGCAAAATCATCATAGTATTAACCCCACCAGTATACTTTGAAGGACGTACATATGTTCATCGCGAACACTGACCTTCACTTTACTCACAGCATGGCATAGATTATCTTTTATGGAACCTCCGGTAGACAGTTGATGAAGGTCTCCCCCAGGGCATGTTACGTGTTGTCCCATTTCCTATTCAAGTAAATATTTGCTTGACGGTCCTGTTTTATGTTATTGCTCGTGTCAAGGCAACGTCGTTGGAAAGTCCCCAACAATTGTCATCCGCCGCCCCGCTTTGATTTAGAACGTGCACAGCCTGATTGATGGCCGGCTGCCAATTCAGGCAAGCTAGAGAACATTCTATAGGGCTTAGTGCTTTGAGGTCTGTGATCAATGCTTCTTGGAAGAAATATAAGATGAGTGTTAATGCATAGGTACATGCAGAGCCTTGCGGCCATACAGCATTGAACACTTACATTACTCTCATCCGATTGTTGTATATTTTGATATTCGTTCAGTCCACCACGAGGTAGATGTTAATTAAATAAAAGGTACATCTGAAAAAGTCCGCGTGCCTATAATTCACTTGGTGTACTCTGCCTTGAACTCATAGCGCAAGCACCCAGCATCCCTGAACCCACCAACCCCACCATTAATACATTCTTTCCAGTTCCTCCGCAACAAATCTGTACAAGTAACCTGATCCTCGCTACCGGGGAACTTATAATCTCCCAAAGGTGTATAAGGGCTCTGCTTTGTACCGCGACAGCCCTTGATCCAGGAGATGGAATAATAGTACGGGGCGCCGTTCGTCTTGGTCTGGAATACGACTGGGTCGCTGTTCTCGTCCATTATATTCTCTTCCCGAGCGGTACCCACGCACGCGAATCCAGTGTACTGGTTTTGAAAGCCGGGGCTGATGTCCTTGTGGTCGCCGAAGTCGTCCGCCCCGTGGCAATGGAGTTCGCCGAGCTTATCGTGCGGTGGCGTCTCCGGGGGATTCTCATTTGGCCGCTCAATCTTGTAACTGTAGCTACTGCTGCAGTCAAAGTCGGCGTTGCCGGATGGTTGGATAGAGTGACTGTCGAACCCTTGGCCTATGGTAGTAACTTAGTACTTGGGGGGAGAGAGAGACAATAGGAGGGGCCGTACATTTCGAAGCCATACGCGCAAACGTAGCTTTGCAGTCGGTCTTGCAGCCTGGGTTGTTCGAGCCTTCAAAGTGGAACTTGTAGCCATTGTACTTGTCGGACTTGATGTCGTCGCTCGTAAGGTCCTTCTTGGGGTTCTGAGACATGTCGTTGCCGCAAAAGTTCTCGGATAGGCGCTGGAAGAATTTGACATCAACGTCGATCGTCTTGCTGTAGTCCTGTAGAATAATTAGCAAGGGGGGCTCCGTCATGACATCGATGAGGGAATTTTGGTAAAAGAATGAGACACATACTCCATTATTGGCGCAGGAGAGATCCGCGTCGTCAGGCTTATCAGGTAGATTGATCTCGTAGCTGTACAGCGCACCACAATCAAGCGTGGCATTTGCCCCTTTCTGCACCGTGTGGCTGTTGATGCCTTGGCCTGTCGGTCCATGTAGTTAGCGCAACTGTATCTCTCGAATGACTTCCGTATAGGTCGCCGGGGGTGGGGTGTATACATTTAGTGGCCATGGCCTCGATCGCACCCGCACAATCAGTCAAGCACTGTTCGTCACTTTTCTCTGGAGGGGCATATGTCAAATCGAATATGTACTTTTGGTAGGCCTTGGTTGATATATCCTTCCCAGAGAGAGTCATATGGCGATCCTTTTTGGCATCCCCGTCGCAGAATTTATCTGCCAGACCCTTTACGAAGGAGACGTCTACGGCGACGGCTTTGTCGTATCCAGGGTCAGAGCAGACTACTTTTGGTGTCTCCGCATTGTCAACATGTTCCAGGGCGTATTTGATCGCATCGGCTTGTTCTTTCAGCCATATCTCGTCGTAGTTGGTGTAAATTGGCCTCACCAAATCGAGGCAGTGGCAGTGTTTGTATTTCCCCTGCATCTTCCGTTAGTATACCGGGGACAAATACGAGGTGGGAATACATACATCTTGACAAGTATTATCTTTGCCACTGCAGTCGGAACACAAGGGAGCGTTCTTCCCGTTGGGTGCATCCTTCGGACACTTGTCGGAATCCTCCTCCTCCTCCTCGGGCGTCTCCGTCTTGGGAAGATCATTTTTGGGCGGGTCTCTGATCTTATAAGCCAACGGAAATTCCTTTTTATAAGTATAAAGACGCGCCGCGGTCCAGACGAATCCCATGGCACCGATCCCGCCTGCAACAAGCCTGGCTTCCTCGGTACTGGCTCCAGTAATCATACCTCTGAGCACATCCTCACTGAGAAATGCGATACCTTCGACCGCATCCCTCAGGGACTGTATGAGCTTGGAATCATCCTCAGCAATCTCGATCAAGAACCTCTCAATCCCGCAGGCTTCAGCCCGTTTTTTGCCACAGGCGGGGACATTTTTCATCATATCAACCAACTTCTGCTGGAGTTTGGGTGCCATGAGGATGTTAAGGTCCCCATCAGGACCTGTCATGACGGCTATTGGTGCGGTCACCGTTTCTTTAGTGGGCTTGCCGTCTTTGGTTGTGACTTGCACCTGGGTGATTTGTTCTTGGTCCTTTGCTTTCCACTGAGAATCATGAGTACAGGGCCCTGCAATCCCCAGGGAGGAGACAGTATACCTACATTGCCTTTATCATCAACATAGTCGCTGAAGAAGGTGTTGTATGGCCCTGAGGTCTCACTGATGGGGCGTTAGCACCGCGAGGAACAACGTTATACTGAACAATACTGAAGGGGCTTGATCTCAACGAACAATGAATCCACGAGGACCGGTGTCACTCCAATCTGCCCTGTCGTTGTGGGCACAATGGCTGCAACTATAGCCTCAGCACGCCTTTGGACACGAGTTGGATGGTCGGCCTGCGGTGGTAGCATCTGATGTGGCCAGGCAGTGGCCGCCGAGAAGAGCAAAGACGTTACAAGAAGAGACTTCATGGCGATGGCGGAGAGAAGAGATGGTTGTGTCTCATTACGATTCGGACACCACTGGCCAGACCGAATGGTATGCTTTATACTTCACCCGACATTATCTCCCACTCTCTCTCATCCTCTTGCCAACAGGCCAGGCCAGGCGGTGTCGGATGGGGTTTCCAGTCCACTCCAAGCTTGTGTCGAGCATAGCCCCCAAATTTCCTCGTCATTGATGAGGCATTTTCCCTCCCTGCTGGTCAGTAAAACTTGGTCCTATCCTTTCCCCTCACCAGCCGCAGCCACAGCTGAAGCGAACATCTTGCATGCAGGCACTTGTACCTCACTTGAAGGATATTGGGTACGTAGATCCGAGTATCCACCCAGACCCTAGTTGTCTTTCTTTTGGCCCCAACCCATGAACCACTCAGCGATCGGCGCCCCCACCCGCTCCGCCTCAGCCTCGTGTATTTTGCACTATGTCTTACCAGTGCACGTCCTCCGCACAGTCGTTTTATATGCAGTCTACCAGGTCCCAGGTTGCTGCCGTTGGCAGCGCCTTATTTCCAACGTCAGCCCTACTGCTGATGTTTACTTGGCACATCAGCGCAGCGCGACGTGCCTGGGTGGTAACTGCTGTTGCATTAGCATGACCGCATACATACATGTATATCATTGGCAGGTCTGCAAGCCACGCTGATTTACCAAGCGCCAAGGCAGACTTGCTAGCCTACATTCGACATCGTCAACCGACCATCCAAGACATTTGGGATGGGCTAACCAACACCAGATAGAACAGAAACAACGGTAGCTATATTGACAAATTGCGGATGCACTGCCCGTTGGGTAGATGCGGGGTACAACGCAAGATGGTTGGCCGCTTGAGGGAATTTGTGCTTTCGCCCTTGGAAATTGGATGTTGGAAGGCATAAGAGTAGATATAAAGTGGCCCAATTCACACCACGGGATAGACAATCTAGCCAGCACCGTTTCCCACGACATCTACCCGTCATACTCCTAAACTCCAGGCCCTGCGGAGCGACCTATTCCACTGAAGCGCAAATATGAGATTCCTCAAAGCACTATCTTGCCTTCTAGGTCTAGCTGGCCTCGCTAGCGCGGGAGAAGGCTGGAAACTCGACGAGTCATGCAAGACTGACGGTGAGCCGAATACTGGTGCTTCCTCACGCTTTGGACAACATGCTAATATTTGATCATAGCGATTGGAAGCATGGTCACCGATGCGATACAAAGTGCCTTCAACATGGCAAGCGATGAGCTAGACGCGATCGACAAGGCCTTGAACAACGAGGACTTGGGCGAGAACGGCGAAAATATCCGGAATGTACTCAAATGGATGTTTATGAAAGATGGAGAAGAGCCGAATGGCAATCGACTAGGTCTACTGCGAAGTATTACCCCTTCTCCTGACCGCCGAAATCGCGTGGTGTCGGATAAAGCTGACTGTTCCAGCGAATCTCAGAAGACTCCTCCGTGCGAGAGAAGAGATAACGGATGGAGATCCAGATGATCAGACGGTATAGTTCTGCCACTCTATATAGTAGCAATGTGATTGGTGCTTTCGCGATGGCTAACGGATAAACAGATTGTCGTGTACTGTGGTCTCGATCGCTTTGAAGAACGGGAGGACGGGCTTTGGTATGACAAAGGTGTGTTCTCTAGTAGCAAGCCGAGACCAGCAGACTCTAATGCCCATTTGAAAGATATCGATGATGTTCTGGAAAAAGACGAATCATTTGGGGCATGCAAAGGGGCGGAGCCCACGGTGGCGTACGTCTTGGTGAGCCCGGGCAACACGCCATCCCAGTTGCAGCTTTGCCCATGGTTCATCGAGTGGATGCAGGGGATCAACATTAAGAATGTCCACAAAGTCGACAAGAAATCTGTATTCTGGAAGATTCTCAGCAAAGGCTTGGTAAAAATGAAGGCCGTCCTGACACCCATGGACGTGGCGTCCCTTCTGGATAAGGTGATTCTGCACGAGTTGACGCACACCCGCAATGCAGGAGAATCCGATGACGTCGACGGGCCAAGCTTCAAGACAGTGAAGTATACGTGGAAACGTTGCCGGGAATTGGCACGGGAGGGACCAGATGATGTCCAAAGAGAGTCGCAGGTAAATGCAGATTCTATAGCCCTGGCTGGATCTGGTAAATTGGCCCTTCTCAAAAAAAAAAAAAAAAAAAAAAAAAAAAACAGAAAAAAAGAAAAGAATGCTGACCCATCAATAGCCATCAGGTTTATCAAAGAGGGAAATGAGGTCAAGGAGGATGGGAGTATTGTCAAGAGATGAGATTGGCGGGGGAGGGGGGATTTCTGTCACTGTGTTATTTCAGGTTCTTAATGGTAGAGTGATGATAAGTTCTGTATTCAGGCATGGAATACCTAATCACCTTATGAGTAGATTTTGTTAGACAATGTGGATCAGACCAGAGGCAAAACTTGATGATATTAATGACCTCCGAGAGGCAAGACAAGGAGGGTCCCAAAGTTCCCGTCATCATGAGATCTAACCTGCACTGACCGGCCACGTGATGGATCAGGTATCTGATGGATGTAGGCTCTCACCATTGCTCTCGACAAAATCTGTATGACATCAAAGCAAATCACCCTAGCGGAAAAATGATCCAAGACATGGGGGGTACCTTTGTACGATCCTCCATCAGGCACGCTAACTCTCGGACCTGGTGCCAAGGCCAAGTCTGCCTCACAGCGCCTATATATATGTCCCCTGTCTTCCTTTCCTTTCCTTTTCTCTCCTCCCCAACACAACTCCTCGTCAACACAGCTATGACGTCATATGCAATTCCCATCGGATGTCCAACGATTGGAGGCGGACGCCGATGGAAACGTCACAAGAAGCTCAGACTCGAGAGCGATCCGGCCAAACCATTACCAGCAGTCCGCCAGCGGGCCTTGACTCCGCCACTACCACCGGCGCCCGCCCCACGTGCAGGCATCTTTCCGTTTCGTAAGGGCCGGCGGACTCATGAACAAGAAAGGGATCATGACCAGAAGCAATCGCCTTTCTTTGCTAAACTACCACGGGAGGTTCGGACTTTGATCTACCGAGAGGTTCTGGCCCCTAAGGACCACCCGGGTCTACATGTTGCCAGTGCCGATGCGCGATTGTTGAGTCGACGCTGCCGGGACGACAGTTGGGCGGTACTGGGGTGGAGGCACCCGTGCTGGGGTGGATACCACAAGAAAGATGGGACGACAGGTCCGACGTGCAGTGGTGGGGGATATAAACCTGAGGAAGATTCTCCATACGCCACTCGAATGGGAATAATACAGTCATGTCGTCGTATGTACGTAGCTTACTGACCTGATCTCCCCCCCCACCCCTACCTTCTCCGGGGGAAGTAGAACCAACTGACCTGAGGCCCAGATATGCCGAGTCGATTGATATCCTCTACTCCGACAATGTTATTGACTTTCGCCAAACTCGGACGGTGTCGGAGTTTGGGCGTTCTATACTGCCACACCGCCTCCACAGGGTTAGATTCCTGCATCTGGCGTTGCCACTGGACATCTACTGGTACAGCGATACAATTAAAGCTTGTGCTGCGATTTGGCCTCTCGACATGCCGTTCTTCTGGGAAGAGGCATGGGAGACCATCCCGAGGTTCAAGTCGTTGCAGCGACTTCGGGTTTCACTAAGTTACAGGAAATACGGGGATGAGCCAGAACTTGGCGCGCTGGTGAAATTGATGAAGTCGATGGTACCAATCAAGGTCCCTGAGTATGTGGTCGACTTGAACTGGCCGGTGGAGGTAGACAAGCTTGTCGCCCTGTTGGGGAATGAGGTGCCCTTTGAAATCCGTTTCAATGATCTGCTGGAGTACTAGGCGTTCAATTTGGTGCTCGTTCCTCAGGTTTACGCCTAGTTTTACAGCCAGCCTTTCATATCCTTGTTTCCTTTTTTATAGTACCATCGTTCCGACTTTCGGCACGGTATCTCGAAGCCTCCAGCTAAGTCCAGCGAGAGATCAGTAAACATCAGAATAGAGAACAACAAAAACATACAACAACACAAGTATAGCAGTGGTAACCAAACACTGCCTGGGTGAATCGTGTCTGATTCAGTCCCCTTCAGGACGATTCCAACTGTTCTCACACTCACCTGAATATTCTTCACCCGGATTACCCAGAAAGTTGCATTTGCGCAGTTTGGAAAGGCGCCACCAGTGAAATAAAAGATGTTGTTGCCTGTATCTTTGGCCAGGGAATTCTCTCTTATCTCGACCTGTAACCTGTCCAGAGGCCCTACTGCTGTGCAAGCCCCTCCTCCTGAAACAGCGACCTGATCAGATGACTCAAGTTTAAAAAAATGGTAGAGCTGGAGCAGGGATTGCATGGCAAAATCGAGGAGGGCCTTGGAAAACTCGCGGTTTTCCACAGAAAAAGAAATAGAGTGTTTATTGTGGAAATCCTTGGCCTTGGGGCCTGGCTTGTCGCGTCATCATTAGAATACTTGAATATCCCATGTCTCTGCCATACAAGTCCAGACTCTATCCAGACAGTTTTTTGGAGCCATCTGTGATTTCCAACAAGATTATTATCCAAAAAGATTTTATGTCCTGCTGTTATAGCAGTACCGTAAAGTCGAAGAAGAAAAACATACAACAGGAGGAGTATGAATATGCTCACTCTGAGTCATTCAGGTGTGCTGGTATTCGCTTATAAGTATCTTGCTACTTTATACAGGTCTTTAGGATCTTCTTTGAATAATTGAATAATGTTTTTTCAAAAAAAAATAAAATAGTAACTCCATGAAAACTCTCCTAGAAGAATTAGACATAACCAGTCTTCTATTACTAGTTCTCTGAGATATTACACACAAGCTTCTCTATCTTGATACTTGTATCAAAGAGACTCTGACAATGACTCTAGAAATTAGGATGTCTTTAGAGCGGATTACTCGAGCAGAAGGATTAGAGCTTTATGGGAAGTAATTCAAGGGGGCACGGTGCTTGGGGTGAACACATGGGTTGTGCACATGGATAAAGAGGTTTACAGGAGCAACACTACTTCCTGGAGGCCAGGACAGTGGGTTGAAGCAAGCACGGAACAGAGGAAAGAAATGGAGCGGACCCGTTTCACAGTTAGCCCTTCGATTTGATATCTTCCCTACGTCGCGGGCGAGATTTTTGGGTTATACTGATATCGGGTTTCTTAGTTTGGGGGAGGATCACGAGCCTGCTTTGACATCTCTTACCTGGAGATGTATAGGGTCATCACTGAACTGCTTAAAAGATTCAAGGTAGGTCGCTCTGAGAGCCCATCTATCTTCGTCTGAGGCGATGCCAAATACTTGACTTTTAGTTTGAGGTCAAAGACTCGCAACAGGAGTGGTCGTTGAAGAATGGGTTCTGTTTACACAAAGGGGGCTGAGGTCACAATTCAGTGACAAAAGTTCCCATGACTTTTAGGGATAGATTCCAGCTCTGCCTACAATCAAAGGTCATATGCTCGGCTCCTGTTTGGATTCGAAAGACAACGGGCCAAAGTATGTGTGGTATGAAGATACCTGCTAAAATTGCTGATCGGCTGCCCTCGCCACTACGCCATAATTCTCATCAAATTAATAACGGGCTGTATACAGTAACAACTGGTATACACTAGATGAAGAGAGGAAACACTATTGTATCAAAGAAATAGAAAAAAGGAAATCAACAACAAGGAAAGGATATAAGACAAACAAAAATTCAAAACACAATGTTCCACGGACCGTTCACAACGTACAGTACCACTCCAATCTACGCCCGCACCCGCTCCTTAAAGACCAAATCCAAAGATTCAATAGTGACAGTAAAGGTATCCTTAGAACTGGTATCAAACGACACCCCATCTACCCCATCTGCAAAGGAGATGTCGAAATCGTACGCGAGGCGGGCAACCGTGCCCCGAAGTTCCATGAGGGCCAGCTGTTTTCCGACGCAGCTGTATCGACCTGATAATTACTTAGCACATGTGAAAAATGGATAAGCATGGTGTAGGAGGGCTAACCTAGTTGGAACGGAAAGAACGCATCCTCATCCGCAATCAACTTCTCCTTCTTATCGAGCCACCGCTCCGGGATAAACTCTGTACCGGAGGGAAAGTAACGCTCATCGCGCTGGATGACATATTGCGGGACAAAGACGATGGTCTCCCCGGGAATCCAGACTTCCTCGACTTGCAGGCCCTCTGGAGGAGTGACCCTGGGCTGGCCGCTGGGAACAGCCGGTTTCAGGCGGAGAGTCTCGTTGATGACGGCTTCGAGGTAGGGAAGCTTGCGGAGCTCGTCATTACTGAATGTGGAGGCATTGGTGGAGTTTGGAAAGGCGTTGTCGAGCTCTGCCTGCAAGGCATTGCATGCAGAAGGGGTGCGAGCGAGGTAGTACAGCGCGTGGGCTATAGATACGCCGGCAGTGTCACTAGGATACTTTTAGAATTCTTTCTGGTGGGGGGGAGGGGGGGGCTTGAACGCTGCGAGAAGGAGAACTGACCTTCCGGCGATCATCATGAGACGGCCATCTTCATTAAGAGCTTGATCGCCTGGTGGAGCACATTTGTCGTTCTCGTCGATAGCCTTCAAGAGCCAGGAGATGACATCCTTGGGGTACTTATCGCTTTCCAGGCTCCATTGCTAGGGTAGCACATTAGTTCACTGGCTGCATGAACGGAAGATCGGATTTACCTTCTTCTTCTCGGCTATTCTGTCCGCACAGTAGACCATAAACTGACCGTAGTTACCCATCAGACCTTGGACGGCACCAATGACAGTCAACATCCAGGGGATGGGTTTCAGAATACCGAGGAACAACATCTGCCCGTGAAGCTCCTTGATTGCGGAAAGTTCGGCGCCGTCTTCAAGTTGGCGAAAGTCTTTTGAAAAGCCGACCAGACCCATGATGTCAAAAGCTAGGAACATAGTCCACTGCGAGATATCGAGCGGTTGGTTCCTTCTGGCGCGGATCTGGGAGGCCAAGACGTTGATTTTGCGCTGGACGCTTGGTTCGTACGTCGCCAGGGCTGTTAGATTGATTAGCTTACCATGTTCAAAAAGAAAAAGACAAAAAAAGAAAGAAAATAGGAAAAGGTGGAACTCATACCCTTGGTGCTGAATCCTCGATCCCAAGCCTTCCGTCGGCGACGGTGCACATCTGGGTCACGAGTAGAGTTCAATGAAACTTGAGTCTTGTCATCGGACACATGGCTATACCAGGGGGACTTGGTACAGTTCGACTGGGGCCCATTGATGGCAATCACGGCCGCTGGCCGATTGATCGAGATCTCACGGGGTCCAGTACGGACAAAATCACCGTACCTGCTGTGCATTGCCACAAGATCCAAGTGGTACTGGGTCTGCTTTGCGACCCGCTTCACCGTGGATAGCCGGCTCAATTTGGCACTCCATGGCCCGGGGAAGCGTCGGAGGCGATGAAAGAAAGCCCGGTAGAGAAGGATGCTTGTTGTGAGCCCGAGGTTGAAGCAGCATGCTGCAAGTAGGGCGCATCCAATTGCAACAGGGACACTAAGGGTGTAAACATGGAAATAACCAATGCACAGTGACAGCCAAGCTACCACGTATAGGGCCAATAGTGACTTGACTCTATTATCAATCTCAATGGTACGAATGCACTGGTGGAACGCGGCCCCCAACACAGGAAAAACGGCAGCAATCCGTAAAGGAGCTGGATCTAGCAGTGCAGTGAACGTTGTTACCGCGGCCATCTTTTCAGAGGCTGTCAGGATTTCACGGCTTGTGATACTCGTCCTCCTTCCTTGTGTGTGGGTTGGTTACCGTTGGAATAAGATTGTCAGGAGGGTGAATAATCCTTGCTATTTTAACATTTTTTCTCCAATCGACAAGGGGGAATCCCTACCTCCCCCGACCGTTGCCCCCCAAGAAATGATCGTCCGAGAGAGACGAAAAGGAATGACGCCGTTGGTCCCAAGCGCTCTTCGCGCACCCGGGGAAGTGTCCGCGAGGGGCCGAGCCGTCGCAACGCCATGGATTTCGACCGTTTTAGCCCCCCAGTAGCTTATCCTAGCAGCGGGGCGGATTAGCCCTAATGACTCAAGGAGTAAGTAAGCTCAACTACCGTACCCAAGATGCAAGCAACCTTTTCTATTAGATAATGTTTCACACCTTATGTCTTCGTACGGATGCGAAGTCGCCCCCCTGTTTTATTAAGATCCGCCTGTATGCCGTTTTAACAGGTCCCAAGCGAAAATGAAGGATTCGGCGGACTTGAACACTGGATCGTGGGCGGTTTTGCTTCCCGTCTGGCCCACCTGTCAATCTAAACTCAGATTTCATCTAGGACAGGATACTTAATTACGGCCTCTGGCCCTAGCCTTTGTTTCGTCTCGAATGAATTAGCCACACATCTTTCCTCGCTCCAGTGACGATGCTTGAGTCCTTGCAGCCGACGTCTTATGGGGTTTCCTTTGTTTTTTGGGCGCTATCCACGATTTCAACGAGCCTGCGCATATACTCGCGTGGATGGATTATCCAGAGCTTTGGCTGGGATGATTGGTGGATGATCTCAGTCATGGTGAGTGGTGTATGTTAAGGAACGTTGAGGACTGCTCTAATTGCCATGGTTCAGGTTGCGAACACAGCACAACAAGCACTCTTTTGTCTGTTTCTTTATCACGGGGGTGGACTGTAGGTTTCTTTTTCCCGATCGTTGGTCCTGGGGCAAATCTAACAGCGCAGTAAAGCCATGTCTCCCCCACGCCTGATCCAGCGCAGATAGTTCTATTGTCCAAAGTATGGCTTCAAGACCCTGTTCATATCCCCTGCGATCTTTGAATTTGACTCCGGCTCACAATCCGCAGATGCTCTTTGCAGAAGAGATACTCTACATATGGATGCAGTTCGCCATCAAGCAGGCTTTCTTGCTCTTCTATCTTCGGTTGACACAAACGACTTCCTTCATCTACAGCGTATATGCAACAATGGCATTGAATATAGCAATTGCCGTCGCTCTGTGGCTGCTCTACTGCCTCCAATGCCAGCCCCTGGCGGCCTTCTGGAACCAGATGGCCTACCCAGATGCCAAGTGCCTCGACACCGCCATCACCTACTACGTACCCGTTGCGTTGGTGAGTTCTCCAGCCCATCCGACCAACTTCCTCGAAAGAAAAGCAACAAGCCCCTAACGGCATCGCAGAACATCCTCACAGACTTCATCATCCTTTTCCTCCCCATCCGTCCTCTCTGGGCCCTCCAAGCCAGCCTGTCCCGCCGTCTAGGCGTCATCGCCGTCGTTTCCGTCGGCGGCATCGCAGTCATCGTCTCCTGCCTCCGCATCATCGTCCTCCATCAATTCGCAGTCAACCCAGACTTCACCTACATCCTCGGCCAGATGGTCATCATCTCGGCCGTCGAGCTCAACGTCGCCATAATGGCGGCCAACGCGCCGTCTTTCAAGGCCATCTGGCTCAAGCACGTGAGCGGCTCACTGTCCGAGTACATGTCGTCCGTCCAGCTTTCCTCGCTGAACAAGAGGAAGCAATCGGGCGCGCCCGAGCCGTCGGTCGTTTACCAAAGAAGTGTGCCCAAGCGGGAGCGGGATTTACCTGATTCGTCGTCGACAAATAACTTGGTTGGGAGCTCAGCGAGTCGTGATTCGGTGAATTATGCAGACTATACCAGGATCAGTCGATGACATACATTCCTTCTGGTTGTTCTTTTTCTTTTTTTTCTTTTGTCTACTGGGATAGATCGCATGGTCATAATGCGAGGATGTTAGGATATGTTTGCCGGTCCCCATTGGAAGGACACGGACACCATGAAAAAAGGTTTATCATATCTAACTTCGATGCTATATGGAATATGCATCGATGATGTGATGTATCTATACGGAATGAAATCAATTATTTAACGACAACTACAGGGCATTCATCAACCGTCACGTATTAGCAGAGCCTCATTGGCTCGCTGCCATAGACCAGTGCATTTTCCGGTTATGGCATGGTTGAGGCTGCAGATAAGGAAGCTGGGTAAGTCTTGCACAGGGCTGTTTGGTTTCATTCATAATTGGCCCAAGCGAGGAACCAGGCAGACTATCTTCAGATATCAGTGAAGCATGAGTATTGATAATGACATCACATGGGAAAGTTGATCTAAACCCAACACTTTACGATTATTATCAATGGCCGACTTCAACGTCAAGTTATGAGCGACAATATCACCATTCATCAACAAATTGCACTGTCAAGTCTACCTTCCAGACTTCCTCTAAATCACCCCCATGCTAATTGGCAAAATCGCCATCTATATCCTCCCATTTCTCAGCTCCCCGACAGACGAGAAACAAGCCGTCCTTGATATGATCGCAGTAGCCCGCCCCACAACGGAAGGAGTGCCCCAAATCGAGTCTAGCTTTGAGCCCTTCCACCACCAATTAATCGACGCGCGGTACAGGCCCCCAGATGCCCACCGCCAAATCAGCAGTCGCCATCACCTCTGTGAGTATCGGTATCACGGGCTTGGAGGAGTCCATCGCGGCAGCACGCTCCCGCTACACCTGGGACCGAGAGTCACAATTTGCGGTAGTACTTAGACGCGGCAATTGCAGACATCGACGACGTTCTAGACTTTGCGCGCCCGCTCATCGATGCCGGATTCCGGGCGCGCAAGGCAAACCAGGGGAGTATCTACTGTGTGGTAGAGGGAAGAGACCTTCTAAGGTAGGCGAGATCGGGAGGTATCATGCGGTGGTGGCTGAGAAGCTGCGGTGTAATGCGCGGCTGGGGTGTTGTATGGACATGGAGGATTGATCCGTGGTGGATGGGCGGGTACGAGCGTTTTGGGTGGATGAGGATGGGGACGTGGACTTGTTTGCAATGGGAGTAAAGGTGGCCAGGGAGGTTTTGGGGGGAGTGCCAGAGGTATGATGAGTGATTAGTGCAGTGATGCTGTTCGTCAATATGGCAGAGCAATACGCCAGTGGATATCTAGATGGGGAGTAACCTAGTAGCAGTCACTGCCAACGGGATCAGCTGTTTCTCAATTGCCAGTTCGCTCCTATGGATATATTTTCAATGGACATGTTGCATCATTCGTGTTATACGTACTGTACATACTCAATTTGGGCCAAAGGACTACCACGGGGATATTTGCCAGCCAATTTTGGCCTGCTCATCAGCAGTATGACCGCACTCATATTCGTGATATCCTTGACTCGGCACAGATAAATTCCTCCTCTCAGATCCATGATCCAACAAGTTACGATGGTTTAAATGGGGTTATTGATACCCCAAATTCGTCCTATATTGACCATGGCCCTTATACAAGACAAGCTTAGAACTAGTGGAGCTCCAGCAGTCTAGATAAAATGAACCGGAAGAGGGAGTGTATGAATGCTCAAAAGACAGCGGATGGCTAAAACCCCAGATGGACAGGTTTGACATCACTATACCTAGAGGGAGATGTTTCTCTGCTACCCGAGTTTCCTGCCGCTGACCGGTGCTGTCCACTCAACAGCATTTCCACCAACTGACTGTCTCTGTCTGCACCGATATACTAGTTGGAAGACCCAAGTGTATCTTCTCTGGCCTCCTTCAGTTACCCCACCCCGATGATGTATTCTCTTCGTCCAATACCAAGGTTCGATGTTGGTTGACGACTTAACCGGACCCGTATCAGGGCACATCCTATTTCAGTCAATCGAAGCAAATTATAAGCAACAAATGAATTCCGAATATCTACAAGGACACAGATCGATGGCAACGTCACCAGCCACTGACAAGCAATTGTTGAAAGAGCATTCAGCAAGCCCTCCCACCACCCTGTTTGAATGACAAATATAGACCCCAAGCAGAAAGTCGACATGCGCATCAGCTCATTAACCAGATCCAGGGCACTCCATGGTAGGACTCTTCCAGTCATAGGTACCGCAGATAGCACCGTCGCCGCCACCATCCCCCACGCACTATTTTGAAACCAGTATTAGTTTATAACGGAGGGCAGTCACGTATGTGGTTAGTCTTACACTGCCAACATCACAGGCCCTAAAAGTCATTAGCAGGTAGTGTGAGAATCAGGAAAGAGGTGTCTTACCGGTTAGTGCCCGCCACTTTGCACGAGGTGCCATTGCATTCCTAGTCTTCTTAGTTCACGTTAGAGTCATGATCACGCATCAGATACATACACCGCAAACTGCATAATCATTGGGGCAGCCGCGAGACTGGATATTGCTCGGGACAGCTCCAACCATGACGACGCTGGCCAGGACGGTGAAGAAAATGCTGGTAAGCTGCATTTTGGCAAGTGACAAGTTGTTGAGCGAAAGAGTTTGGGAAGTTCTGACTGAGGAAAGATGGGATTGATGCTGTCTGCATTTTGAATAAGATTCCTCGAGCAGAGGGTTTATATAGACGATCTCAAACCCGTTGACCTCCCCAGTCCCTATCACTGCCAAGGAGGCCATAAATCCTTCACCAACCATGTATACGTAACGAGTGTCCAAGCCACGGTGCGGGTTCTCTGTCCTGAATAATACATGCAGGCGGGTCCACGATAATGGCGATTGATAGACTCACTAGCCATTTGGCCCCCAATGAGCCAGATGAAGATGCCAGAATATAGCGCTATGGTATAGGGCCCATGCGATAGACTAGAAGGTACTCTAGCCAATCCCTAGCCATACGCCTGTTGGATTTCGTTCATCAGGATCCGCAGCGTCATTACCCCATACTAGCTCAGACATATGGCCAAATGCAGATCTTAGGTCTAAGATCTGATTAATCCTGACCCTCCAATAGAACCGCCAATCAAGACAGGTGGAGCAGGCCATAAGCAATGCCAGGTGGTACTAATCCTCTCGGACTAGAAGTATACAATCCTTTGAGCAAGGCGGAGCCCTCCTTTCCAGGACGATCGCTCCTGTAATACCCCGAATTAGGCCTTGGCACCAGATATAAGCATCAGCCACCCGCCTCACTGACCAGGAATCCGAGGTATCGGACACTACCGACGAGTTGAGTATGTAGTTCGTCCTACCTGACCAATGCGATGGCAATTCTTGACAGGGAACCGGGCCACACGTGAAGAGTGGCTCCACATCTGATATAAGCTGGAGGTAGATATACCCACCACATAGCTAAAGGGGTCGAATGAGAAGAATCAGAGACCCATGTGCACATTGCTTGGTCCCATATTTCTGCTTTATATTGCACTCCAGGCAATGGCAAAAATCTCGCCTCGTTCCCGTATAATGTGGAATACATCTACCAGGACGTATCAAGTCGTCCGTATGAGGGACAAAGCCATCGAGAATTCGACATGCGAAGTGTGGGCCGTTCATTGGCATAGAATGCTTCGTGGATGGTATTTCTGTGGGGAAGCAAATATCTCACCGGTCAAGTGTCATTCCCGGCTCCTGCAAATTCAAAAAGGTAATATTCACGACATGTAGTGACTAGGTTTCTATGATTAGAAATATAACAACTCGACGCTATCATCACTACCGCTTTGTGCATTCGTTAGTTTCGTTGAATCTTTTCATTCTCTTCCCCTTGTGCTCTTTAGGATACTATCTACTAACATGATAAGCTACCTCCAAACCGTCTTGCGAGCTGTCGGCTAATCTTTCTCGACATTATCTATTGAAATTCTAGCATATCTCACTCGCCTTTGCCACCATGATTTGCCATTCATAACTGCGCCGTACGATATCAAAGCACCAACAAGCTAAAGCTGCCAACTCCTTATGCATCCATACATGTCCCAACATACCAGGGCCCTGTTCAGCCTATGGAGAAAGACACCCAAGAGAAATCCTCTCATCTACTTTGAACTAGCCCATGGTCTCCTTTGCAGGTCTATATCGCGCATCTCCAAACTTTCATTTCCAATGGTCTTGCCCAAGGCCTGCACGGCAAATTGAAGCACGTTACGCTCAGCGTCGAAAGTGGTCTCAACGTGACATTCAAAACGATACATCATTTGACCGTCCACCACCCTATGACTGAATTCGTCCAGGCTGAGTGGAGTGAAATCAGCCAAGACCTGACCGACGAGACACACCGCTAATGGCCTCATTAGCGACCTGATTTTCTCGATGGAGGGATCACACCTTACATCTATGGTCGATTGTGGGCGGGGCGACTGGTAGTCTGCAGGCATATATCGGGATGGGTGACGTCAACAGATCCCCCGGTTGGTAGATCCAGGAAAGGCTTTGCACATGGCGGTGCCCCTGGGGATATCGTTCATCCTAGAGCAGGTGTTTGTCAGTCGCTGTGTTGTAGAGAGAAGATATCTACACGTGCATACTTTACTAACCACCCAAGAGGCGACCCCATTGACGACTTTCACTTCGTTGAAGATATCCCAGCCGCTAACATGATCCGGGTCAACATCAGCGCAGAAGGGCCGGGAAGTCTCAAACCCATAGTGTTGGGGACAGCGCTGGGTCACCGTGGTATGCCCGTGCAGACCACGTAAAGCAGCCCCAGAAGCAACGGCTAATTCCCTACATTGCTGTCAGCATCAGGCTCATGGCATATTTGTATAGGGAAGGTGAGTAGCAGTACGGGTTTGTGGGTATAGTCACTAGTAGCTTGCCGGATTGAGTGTAACGTCGAAGTGCCCCTTGGAGGTACGGGGAGGCACCAAATCCGCCAACGATGACAATCTTCTAAAATTCCAATTCGATTAGGTTCTGCCCTGGCCGGAATATTGTAGATGATACCTACATTGATCACTCGATACCCGTACGCTTTGTCTGCAGCCTTGACCTGCGTGTTGATCAAATTGATGATTCTCGAAACCACCGGGTCGAATAAGCTCTGGAGGTCACCACTAGAAAGAAGTATATGCCCCGAGTAGTAGTGCCCGGCATCTATATGGTTTGGTTTCATCCTCAATGGGAGACGAACTGCGTCTCCTGGAACGCCGCTAAACGCACGTTTGGCGGTTTCAAACGCATCCATGAATTTGCTCCCCGGCGCAATTTGCTTGCATGGCAAGCCTTCAAAGGCAGACCCGAAGCGGATGGTCATCAATTGATAGAATCGGCTGTCGACGGCCGTGCCGCCACATTTACCTCCTATAGACTATCAGTCGTCCATGTGTAGTCGAATAGGAACGAAGAATACCTTGCACTGCGGTGATCTTCCGGACGTGGAGGGTGGGGGTGATATCGGCCACTAAGTAGGTCGCAATATCCTTGAACAGATCAATCAGTGACAATATTGGCGAGGTGGGTGACTGTCATATATCGGACGGGGGGAATATCTTACCACGGTGCCACCCCCACAATCACATATCAACACACCATCTCCAGGCTGCCAAATCAATGGATGGCTGTCTAAAAGGTCTATGTTCGGCTTACCTTGAAATCAGCTGGATATTCATGGAAGACGGCCTGTGCGGCCGCTTCAGGCTCTGTCATGATGAAAAGCTTGTCACCCGGCCTCTGTCCAAACCCTGCCCGACTTGCCGCTTCTTTGGTCTTGATCTGGGCCTGCTCGGACCAAGTTGCCGGAACTGTGAACCAGAACTCCAGAGAAAGGCACTTTGGACCTGTCCCAACTGATTTGTTCAACGCTTTCCATATGTGCTCGTATATATAGCAGAGATAGTCCGCGACCACATCCACAGGGGCTTTCCCAGCGGGTAGATGAAAGATTCCCAATGCAGCGGCATGGTTCAGGGCATCATCATCAAACTCGGTCAGGTTCGCATCAACATCGAGAAGAAGCTTGGTCCATGAGCATGAAGTCATTCCCGGTTGAACCCCAAATCCCCAGGCCCGACGTTGTGGTTGAACACACTCATGTGGCTCGGTGTAGGCGATTCTGGATGGCACCTTGCCTTGTCCGGAGGTTCGGGGCCAGTCCCCAATGGTGTCGATATGGGGATTAGGAGCTGTTGCTGGCGTTGCTAGCGTGGACGTACCAATGAATCTGACGCCTAAATCATGCGAGTTGGTTGAAATGAGCAATTTTGACTGCTTTTGGCGAACTCTGGTATGGTCTTACCTGTGCAGGTCGTCCCGTAGTCCACCCCCACAACAATCTTACGGACCGAAGACATCGGGAAGGAGTCGGCAGATGGACACGATGATACTATCTCAGATGGATATGTGGAACGACGATGACTGTGGAGATGCTAGCCGTAGACGATTGCCAGCGGTGTACCTTTACCGGCTGGAAACCAGGAATCTTTTTAACATTTTCGATCTCACACCTCATCATGAAAGAGGTCCTGCAACTAGGCCCGGCCATCCTATTCCAATAATCCCGCAGATGACCCAGACAATCATCCGCCATCGTGATGTCTTACATCGCCCTCCGTCATGATGTCTTGCGTTGCCTGCAGTAAACGGAATGGCCCGTCCTGTTGGCACCGGACAAATGCGAATTGCCATGCTCCCCTTTCTCGGTGTTTCTGGCAAGCCACGTAAGCACTGCAGGTTCCTGAAGAAGACGTGATTAGAAAGCAGTTTCTATTTCTGGCTTTCATTGATGCTGTTTGTGGTTCCGGCCAGGCGCCGTGGTACATGCCCCACATCCGACAGGGATAACAAAGACCCCAAACGCCCCGATCCCACCAACCGCCACTTTCCCATCAACCCCGTTAGATCCAGACAAAGATCAGGGGGAAACAATTGGGTAATGGTAATGAACTGGCACGGTAAGCGGAGTGCAAAGAAAGAAGATGGTGGCTGAGAGTCTCGTCATGAGACATATTCAAGACGGGGAGCCTGAATCAGAGGGAACATGCAGCGGAATATAAAGACATACTGACCCTGACCTTTTCGATCACTGTCTCGGATAGACACATTTATTTGCCTGTTGGTAGACCAACACTCATTCCACACAAGAAGTTCTCAATCTGCGGATTTAGTAATTATCATGAAGGCTGCCAAACGAAAATCTTTGAATGACGGGTGCCAGGTACGAGATAAAGATCCCAGACAACACTCATTCCCCGTGAAAGCTGCTCACACTCAGTTCAATTCTTTGGCATTCTTCTCAGCCCTCTGCTTCTTCCCATTCTTCGCAACCACGCCAAAAGCGAAAGGCACCGAAAGAGCCCGCTGCACCAACGCGAAGGTCCAGCCGACTTAGAGCCAGAATGTTGCCGATGGCCTCGGACAAAGTCGAGCCGAGCCACCCTCCTCCTAAAGAAGATCCTCCTCCTGAAGAGGAAGCCCCAAAGGAGACAATCCAGGATCTTCAACAGACGATCTATCAGCTAAGGGAGGAAATGGCGGTTATGAGGACTTTGAATCACTTCATAAACAATAATTGGGCTACTTGGGCGTCCGGAAACTTCGACCAATGGCCTAAATTGATGAGCGCTATATTCTTCACTGCCAACCAGTGGTCTATGAGGCACGGCCATGTTGAGATCAAGGCCCTTGACCGCTTGACCAAGGAGCAGAAGAGCCAGCTGATCGCCAGTCTGGACGGTTACTGCTTGCAGGAGGACTATGACTCTCTCCTCTCGCGCATTTCTCCCTCTGTTCATGAACACGTTCCATATATGCTCCTCACGGCGTATGTAAACAAGTTTATTGTCGAGAATATTCTCGGGCGCCCTTTTGGGTACATGACCACCAGGCCCGACCCGGCTGATCGTGATGAATCTGCACTGGACAACGACACCGTGTTGGCGAACGAGCTGCATCGTCTTTGGGGGATATTCTCAAAAGGTACCTTTCCCCTATCTGATATTGATTTCTTTGCGTATGTTGTTTTTTTTTTTTTTTTTTCAACGACTTATGGAACGTGTTCTTTTCTCAGTCGACCTAGGCTATGCTCATGTCTGGCGAACCATTACTATCCGCCTTGCCAACGTCATAAATTTTGCCCAAGGCAGGAATGTGACGTTTGGGACGCAGATGCGCGAGCATAGAAAGGTTGCAAGCAAAGCCTTCGCCTCCAGTCTGCTGGCTGATCCGATCCTCCGATTGCTCCTCCGAGAGCCCAACTGCCCGAGCGAGGAAAGACGCAGGATGGAAGGCCTCTGCGCGCAGTTTGAAAAGGCGGCTCAGACAGCAACGCACATTTTTAGTGACCATACCCTCATGGAGATCCACGATCTTACCTACCTGGCGCCTCGTTATCACCATGCGTCCCCGACCGTCACGGCCTCGTACCTCCATGACATCGACGAAAAAGGTGGAGAGACGACGATTGATGACCATCAAGTGGTGATTCTCACGGAGCCGGCCATAATCGGAGTCCCTCGATGGTCGGGGCGCAGCATATGGGTGGGGAGAAAGGGTCTGGTACTGGTAGAAGATCTGAGGGATTTAACCCCCACGTAGGGAGGCAGGCGAGGGAGGGACAAAGCAGTGAAATGATGGATTTGATTTACAATGATATCGACAATTTGCAGACCTCTGATCATTTTCTGTTCCATTTCGTCCTGCACACATATATACAAAGATGATCACGATACGGCCAAGCGTAAACTACTCGAAAAAAGGCTTCACCCGCCAGGTTCCCTCGCTCCTTTCACTCGGCGTTGAAGAACTCCCAGGTCGCATCGGGAGCCAGCGGGTTCCCCACGCCCAGCGGGGCCGCGTCGTGGCCGCCATCATAAGCGATGACCGACACCGGACGCTCGGAGCACTCATAGTCCGTCCGCGCCGACTGCCCGCTGCCGGGCGGGGGCTGGGCCACCTCAGCCGGTTGGCAGCCGTTGTTCTGGGCAAACTGGTTGGCCAGCTCCACGCCGCCGTCAAAGGGCAGCACGGGGTCGTTGATGCCGTGGATGGCGAGGTAGGCGATGGGGTCGGTGCCACCGTCGCAGCCGCTGATGACGCCGCCGCTGAGGACGCTGACGGCGCGGAAGGCGCTGGCGCGGGCGCAGGCCAGCGCGTAGCTCATGCCGCCGCCCCAGCTGAAGCCCGTGGAGAAGCGGGCGGACTGGTCAACGCAGAGGTCGGCCTCGACCTGCTCGATGATGGCGTCGATAAAGGCGATGTCCTCGCCACCGTTGTTGGCCCAGCCGGCGTCGCGGCCGTTGGGGGCGACGAAGATGGCGCTGCCCTCGGCGCGGGTCGCCAGCCCGTACCAGGGCTCGACGCTCTGGCCGTCGACGATGTTGTTCATGTTGCCGCCGCGCCAGTGGAGGCCGAAGATGAGCTTGTAGGGCTTGCTCGAGTCGTAGCCCTCGGGCACCTCGAGGATGTACTCGCGGTCATCGATGTTGTGGATGCCACTGGTGAGGGTGGGCTCTTTGCCGCAGCCGGGGGAGTCGGCTGCGTAGGCAGTGGTGAGGAGGCCCAGGGCAAGAGTTGGGAGGATGGAACGGACCATGGTGTATAGAATGAATATAGAGTGACTGGATTGGAAGTTGTCTGGTTGAGTTGACAGTCGGAATCAACAAGAGACTCACGGCCATCGGCTCGTCTTTATAGGAAAGCGCTCCAGCGCACGGATGGTCTGCCATCCTGATGATTTCTTCCGTCTGCCTGCGGGGTGTGAATGATGCTGTTCGGGGCGCGTCCAGTCGACTTCCTCGAATCATGCCGTCTGTAACTCCAGTTCGTCAGGGATAGAAGCTGTCACCGGCTAAATTTCGAAGCATCATGCACCCCGGCCCAGACATGGTTTATCAGCCTGAATTTTATATTGTCTCTGCTGATCATCGATCCGACGTCAAGATGAAACCAACCACGCGATGGCCAAGACTTGAGTCGGCAGTTAGGGCTTTTGTTCACTCCCGATGTGGATCCCGAGCCTCGGCCAGTATGCTTAGTATTTACAACATTCAGTGCTCATGTTTACGGATTCAGGCCTTCAGTCTTTTCTCCAGATGGATGTAAGAGTATTAGATAATAGTGTTTTGGCCATATCCAAGCCATGAGAATGTTTCATCGCAGACGCTGAAACACTGCTGTTCATCTACGGACAACCCTATACGACCGTGTGTTCCCATATGTCTAGCAATACAAGTATATAGCCTGGCAACAGTCATATTCTGCAGCTGCCCCTGATTCAACTCTACCAAAGGGTATAGCAAGTCCAGATGAAGTCAAGCGATCCATCACGGCCGCCAAACTTTAAGTTTCCATAGAATCACACCGGAAATTTGCGCTTTTAGCCACGGATGGGATTCCACATGGGCCCTGCCGTCAGGTAAGACAAGATCGGCGAGTGTGGGGTATTAGACACTCCAGGGGAACCCACACATGTGGATCATGAAACGGTTGTCTGACTTTGAGAAACGCCACATGTCGGATGTTTGGCAGCGCCGGACAAGGTTATTGTAGTGTCCCACCCACTGTATGACTGAGTCCTTCGTAATCCGCCGGTTCGGGTTAGATATGGAGAGAGCGGCAATTAGAGATCGGGCAGTTGCCGACGCGTTTCACTGTCCCATTATATGTTTCAGACCACAGGGCTTTCTTCTCAACGTCATCATGATTTACAGAGTTACAGTGCCATGACTTGAATGAATTTGCCGGTGTTTTCCCTTGCATGCACTATATTTTATGGATTTATGCCCAACGGTCATACTTCCAGCAATCATAAGTGCACTTCCCATACAACATCAGATATCTATTCAGCCTGTCTACCACGTGGACTGGAATCGCCCAACTAGAAACTACCGGTCCGACAGACAGCATGCTCACAAAATGTGTAAGACCGGCATCGGTCCAGTGCCCTGGTATCTCGCAAGCATCTTGCGATTATCCCTCCACAGAATCCACCGCATCAGCCCGGCGCAGAAAATGCACGCCACGGCAAACACAATCAGGATGATCATCCCCGGTCGATACCGTGGGGCATCCTCGTTGCGAAAGAAGTAAGGACTCCATATGTAGCTGAGGGCGCTCATGACCTCGACAATCGCCGCCGCACACGACCGTTCCTCCGACGTCTGACTGGCGGCGGTGGCCACCCACGCACGCGGGATGGAAAATACGGCATCACTGCCGGTGATGTAGAGGAACGAGGCAAAGTAGCGGATCGCGGAGCGTGATGTGCCCATATCGACGGCCAAGCCGATGATCATCAACACCATGGACGCCGCAATGGGCGCGCTGCGGTCGCGGAACCGGTCGCTCAGCCAGGCGACCACGAGCTGGACGACCGCGCTCAGCATGCTCGGTGGTACTGTGCACAGGAGCGTAACCACGGTACCGCCGATGTGCATCCCCTCCACCATTGCCGGGTAGAAGCTGGCGTACCCGGTCGTCGAGCCCTGGGTGCAGGCGATCAAGCTCTGTCTCTTATCAGTATCTCTTTGCATTCAATAACGATGGGAGAGGAAACCTACCAAGACCCATACGCGAGGGTCCTGAATCGCGAGCTGCAACCCATACCAGACCGACTGGTTCGACTTCTGGTTCGACACCTGGTCCTGCTCGATACGCTCGACGGCCAATTGTCTTTCCTCCTCGCTGAACACCCACCGCACCGCCCCCGTTGTCGTCTTTGGTGTATCTAGGAGGAAAAAGAACGAGACCAGAGCGGCTCCCAGACTGACCGTCCCCTCGATAATAAACAACCACCGCCAGCCTCCAAGCCCTCTGTGGCCCTCGAGTTTCGAGTACACGCCCGCGGCGATCAGCCCTGCAAACGAGGACGCCATGATCGAGCCCGAGTGCATCACCGCGACGCGCAGCCCCAGCTCCTGCTTCGTGTACCAGCACGACATGAGCCACAGCGCGCCGGGGGAGAAGGGCGCCTCGAACAGGCCGAGGAGAAAGCGCGTCCCCGCCATGTGGGAGTAGGTCTTGCAGGCGGCCATGGTGGTTGCGATGATGGACCACAGCGTGGCAAAGGTCGACAGATACAGCGAGGGTCGAACGCGCGTAATCAGCATGTTGCTCGGGATCATCATCGGGATGTACCCGACCGTGGCCATTGCCACGACGGTGTTGTACTGCGTGCCGTGCATGCCGAGGTCATCTTCGAGAGAACTGAGCTTTGCCTGTCTATGGATACGTGTCATTAAGTGTCATACCAGTGGGTGATCTCTGGAGCCAACTCTTACGAGATGTTATATTTATCCAGATTCTTGAGCATATAGAGAAGCCACAACATGGGCATTAGCGTCAGGTCCAATTTCCGGACGAGTCTTTTCTCAATCGCACGCATTGATTCGCGATTGGACTGCTCATCCACGACATCCTCGCTGGAGGGTTGCGTCTGGGCTGCAATGGGGTGTTTGGACGCGATAAGGCCATGTTGTGTGGCATCCATTGTCAGCAGAATGTGTGTCCAAAGTATCACCAGCGACAATGGAGTTGACGCGTGTTCCGAGTTTTATACGAAGACACCGTGCGCAGCGGGGTAGATACCACAGTGCTATCGTGCTTTTCCTTCCGAGCTAGCCATGGGCTATTGCAGAAATACGAGCGTAGCTCTCGCGATCTCATGCGAGATGACGATCTTGCACGGCCCTTCCCGCCATTACCTCTTCCTTCCGACCACGATCGGGATAGTGGATTGGGTTTCGGAGTGGGGAGACTGTGAATACTACCCTATCATCTGACAACATCCGTGGTGTTATCTGGGATCGAGGCTGGCTGGCTGGTTTATGTTGCGGTGTGATCCATGTGGCGTGCAAAAGAGGGGTAATATGGGTATATCGACCATCAATTCTCTTATAAAGTCATCTCGAGATTGAATGGACATTGAACACTTCCAGAGCATTTACACTTGTATTTCAATTGCGAAGACTTTTGTCTGGTGAAGGATTTCAACTTACATTCGCAGGACATTTATAATCAATGAGACGGAATAGAGTATAGGAGACCGTGCTTATTATACTTTTCGTTCGGTGGAATTATCCTGTTGTATATCGTAAAGTTTGAAGTATAACAGCATATTCTCTCAATACAATTACCCTATTTGATAGCGTGTTAAGTTATATACCACATGTATCCAGGTAGAAGGACCGGTAGTGTTATATATTGTATCACACTAGCAGAGGGATAGACAAGGTTCCATTCGCTACAGCACTTATACTGGGTCCGTCTTGCCTGTTGCTTTAATAGAAATACTCGTAGGAAGGGAGTTGGTTATACTTGGTACTTCCATTGTCAGCATACATATTTCTATAGGGCTACGCGAGTTCAGCTAGTTTCCTCAAAAAGGCATGAAAATGAGATAGCTACAGTATAATGTCCCCGTTCGTGGCACATACATCACGCGCCATGTCTATTGGTAACTTGCTATTGCTGGGATTAGCTTGTGTTATAATCTCAATTCATATCTGGACTTGCATTTTAATGGACACCAAACTATCTGTATGGTGGCTATTCCTGTCATTGTTAAGAATCCAATTCATGTAAACAAAGCATAGAGCTGTATGTACATCCTTAGAAGCCCGAAGAATCGTATCCAAATTGCCAAGCTGAATCCAATCACTAAGTAGACCACGCCAGCCCACCCTATTCTGCGCCAGAATTGTTTTGTCTTGCAATCCCCATGTTATACCAGCTATCAGTCTTCCGTGAAGCAGTGTCCAGACTTGGGATGATCGAGTAAATCATTGTATTAGGAGAGTTCCTTCACAACACACTGTTGGACGAATCAGATATGCTATCAGATACTAATTTTATAGGAGAACTCACCTGTAACACACTATCAAGCTCACAGTTCTTCTCCGAGCACTGTCCAACCAGCTCATTTGCTTGCTGCCTTGACTGCTCCCCTCGGTCATTAACCTCCAGAGTTTTGAGAATTCTTCCCACTACTTCCTGCTGTACTTTTTCGCAATCCTCGCTTGGACGCGCACGCGGCTCGTGTGTCGCATGGATGACAGAGACACAAGAAAGCAGGGTAATAATTGACAGGAGGTAAAAACGAGCCATTTTGATCTAATTGATCTCTTAGCCTTTAGGGATTGATGACAAGTGGATTGGGAGTTGAAGAGTTTTCCATTGTTGAAAGAAAGGGGAACGGGCTACTCATGTATATATAGGTAATTGGATGAACAAGTCAGCTTTTTCTCCAATAGTGAATAGTCATACCTGTCAATTGCTAGAATTCCAAACCTGCATTCAAGACGAGCATTAGCCAAGCCAATATTATGCATTACATCCCTTGTCTTCTTACATAGGTATACGTCATGCACCCTTACAACTGACTAAAGAATAGATATGATATCACCTCGTCCTAAAGCCCGCATGGCTAGTCTCTATACTATATGTAGTAGGCAATCATTAGTGCTTCTCTCAAACCTTGTTCAATCGACTTGAGCCATCACTATTAGTTTATATGGTGACTGTATTTATATGCATGACTGCATTTGTGAAGGCCAGACTTCAACTCAAGGTCACATTGGGATACACACAAGTGGCCAACTCATACGCTGGCAAATGATAATCCACTGTAAGCAGCGCAGGCACTCACATATTACCCTAACTCATTCCAAACATAGCCCTGCTGTCAATCCTGTATGTAACTCCTTCGCTAATCGCCACCTTCTTGCTCATGTGTATAATTGGTTTGGAATGCGGGATGTCTGGCTGCCTTCGAATGCTACAGGTCCCATTATATGTATCCAGTTTAGAGAGTACGCGTGTCATCACGAAGGTGTGTTTCAACCCCTATACTACAATTTTCCGGTACCACTCTATATCCAATCAAAATCGACGCCTGCGTCGTAAAGTACATCCGCAGAAACAGAGACCCAGCTCGTCGAATCTCGATTATCCCTGAGGGTGGTTTTCAAAGCAGTCCTCTGGTAGGAGCCAGGCTCCACATCCCACAGCTCATCACTGTCAGGCATGCCGAACGACAAATCAGCCAGAGTCAACAGCTCATCTCTGCCACGGCTGCGATCGCCATCCGTCGATCCCGCACATGTTGTCATCCGACACACTTTGTACAGGGCTAGTCCGAACCGCTTGATCTCCTCCACGCTCACCCACACCATAGCCAGCGGCGCCGTGGCGCTGTGCTGCGCAAGCATCTCCGGGTAGCAGAAGATGCGGGTTCGCCGACAGGTCTGCACGAGCGCCAGGAGCAGCTTGTACTCGTCCGGCTGGACACAGTAGCGCAGGTTCAAGTCAAATGCAGCTTGGTCACCTGCAAGGAGTAGCGCGAAGATAGACTGCAGAAGCACACTCTGGAATGTGGCGATCGGCCAGGGTGTACTCTGGTTTCCGTCGGGTGTGGAATCCAGCACGTACCAGCGGTCCTGATATATATCAGCGGATGTCACATGAGTAAATCTATAGGGAGCGGGTTGGAATCTCACCATTTGAGAGTGAATCGCAGCGCACAGACTGCGATGCAGATCTCTTGCTGAGTCCCTCGATTTCCGGCCGCCTTCGATCCATAATCCGATCATGACAATTGATTGGATGAGGATACAAGGTTCGTGGGATGGGTCGAACGTGCCCCGGTGAAGAAACGGCCATTTTGGATGAAACTCCCGGAAGTAAATGTCGATATAGTCCTGCGCAACCCACCGAGGGGGTCCAGAGGCAGGAGGGCTAAGGATACTAGATTCAGCCGGTGCTGGACTCGGCGGGCGGACCCGGTGGGAGGGTGTCATCTCCACGTTCGCATCCACAGCACGCTGTTCTTCCGGTCCACTGTCCCTAGAAAGACATGGGACGCCCCGTTTCTCACACGCACTGCATGGGAAACCACCGTGACAGCGCTCTTTCCGAGCGTGACATGCGCTGCAAGCCTTCTGGACTCGCGACGGGAGCGGGTCCCTCCGCGGATGATAAATTCGGATATGTCGGCGCAAGAGGTCGCTGGACACAAATTAGATCCAATACAAGTATGAGAGAAATCGATCATACGTCCCTTCTGGTCAAGGTGCTCTCGCAATAGGGGCAGGAAAAGCGATCATCTTTCTCATGATGCGCCGCCACATGGCGCTTCAGGTGTTCCCTGCGTCGATAATTGGCCCCGCAGTCGGGGTACGTACAGTAGAACGACCGTGACGGCATTTTTGTTCGTATCTACACCCCAAGAGATGATCGCCCACTAAGATTTAGTTCAGTGGCGATTAGCGGGACTCATTGAAGATGACGGATCCAGCCATATTTTATATCAGCCCCACATCCGCGGGGTTCCGGCATCCCGCTCGGTCTCCCGCCTGGCTATGGATCGATGACAAATGCCTCTGACAATAAGCAATCATATAAACCACCAGCCCCTCGAACAGGGGGTTATTGAATCTCACACTTCAAAACTTCCCAAGAATTTTACCTACAAGTCAAGCTCACGTTACCATGTCGTCCTCCGCCCCGTCATTCCGCAGCCTCATCGGTCTCCCTCCCTCGACGGCCTCCGTCCAAGACTCTACGCTCATCATCGTCGATGCCCAGAATGAATACGCCTCGGGCCTTTTGCAAGTCAAACATGTCGACGCCAGCCGCAAGGCCATCGCTGAGCTCCTCTCCCGCTACCGGCACAACGGAGACGGCAAGAATATCGTCCACGTGGTCCACCAAGTGCCCGCAGGCGCGCCGGTGTTCACCCCCGACACGGCACTAGCAGAGGAGTTCGCCGAGCTTACGCCCAACGCGGGAGAAAAGGTCGTGAAGAAGCAGCACCCGAACGCGTTTGGCCAGACCGATCTGCACGAGTATCTGGGCGGCTTGGGGGCGCGGGGTAAGAAGATCGTCCTGGTCGGATACATGGCGCATATCTGCATCTCGACTACTGCTCGAGCCGGGAGTGAACTGGGGTATGATATTGTCGTTGCGCAGGATGGGGTTGGGGATCGTGATATCCCTGGTGTTGATGCTGACCAGCTGGTCGCGGTGGTGATGAAGGAGCTGGCTGATGGGTTTGGTACGGTGGTGTCTGTTGCGGATATTTCTGCTTAGGGTTCTATATCATGTACTGTACTGTGATTGTTTATACGCCAGAGATAGGATAATACATCGTGGACAGTGTCTATCGAATTGATCAAGCTATGCAAATATCCGAGATCTATATTGTAAATCCGACCAACAGAGGGATTGTCATGACTACTCCATCAAGCAGGTATCTCTGCTGTGCGACACCAACAAGCTATGTAACATCCACGTGGGTCTCCCATGCGTGAGACAAAGCAACCACACATGGGTGTATATGTAATGATCACAGTCGATTTGGAATAGATAGTCAAGATCCGAAATCAACAAACTGAAGATGATCTCTTGATACTGTCTTGACCAACTGTAAGCTCAGCCTCGCCAAGGGAATGAAGCAGCCTTCACGTACAAAGTAATCATGCAATGCGGGGTAACTTTACTTGTCATTTTTCTTTTGAAATTAGCAAGGCTGGCAGGCTCTTGTCAATTTCAAAGGACTGAGCATAGAATACTACCTATTAGTCAGTTGTGTCTCCTTCTATCATCTATGTATAGCCCATTCTCGCGTACCAGATAGATACTACTAGTGTTGTTGAGAGTAGTGCGAAATACTGTAGTACCTACAGCACAAGATAGAGAATGTCTTATAATGATTGTCATTTCAATTGTATAAATCTATCTATGCCTTCCACTGATTGCTGCTATCAAGTATTATGTTGGGGATATCAGTCCGGTTAAGCCCAATACCAAAAGATGGTTAATGTTTTGGCGTAGCCGCCATGATATTCAAGTATTGTGGAACCATGCCACGAACGTATGCTGACTGACATGTATACTTCATCTCCACACAGATAAAAAGAAAGACAAAAAGAAAAACATACAACAGCCGGGATTCGCATGTGGTCACCCACCATACTACTAACCGGCCGGCGTGTGGCTTAAGTACGGCTGAGCGGACGGGAAGCCCTGTTCTCCACACCCTATGGTCGTATGTGAAATAGTAATACATTCAGGCGACCTATGTACATGCCTTTGTATGTATACACACTGGCCCATCAAGTGTAAGGTTATCAAATTACTCACGGAGTGGGAAAGTGCCTTAGTATCCACCTTCGGAGCGAAGTTGGCATCCTTTCTAGTATAGACTTATTTGGACTCTGTACTCGTTGCTGAAATACATAGTGGAGATGGCCAAGCGGTGTCAAAAAAGTGGTACCACGCTTTCGGGCTCTCTTCGACGGTGTGCCAGCAAGCTCGAAGATGTGATTGTTGTGAGCATTCTTTGAGTCAAATTGATCTGAATGAGTTGGTGATAGTATAATCTCTACCAGCGGCGACAAGTAGCGGCTTCTTGCTATCACGGATACGGCCTCTGCGCTTCATAACAGTAGGACAATACTAAGGGCTATCTTTTTACCTAACCTTGCCATGCACAGTACAGGATGTCTTCCAACTTATCAGGTACATGTAAGCTTTCGTAGCCCCATCTTTTGACCCCGTTAGGTTAGATTGCAAGCCATCAGAGGAATCTTGGGAATTTACAGCCGGTCATCTATATAGGGTTCCATTGTCCCCCTCGGCTTGAGGATTGATATCCATCATATTTCACGACCGCCTTGCGCAAATATCCCCTTGAATTCCATGAGCTGAAGTCGCGTCCACCGTCTGAAAACCCCGCATGAAGCTTTCCCTGCCCTGTTGCTTGTTTTTTGGCCCACTCCAGAGGATCCCCAATGGCAAGTGATATGTTTGACTGTTGCGATATGGCTCCATTGGATCATTTCCTTCCAAGATGAGGTGATGGATAAGAAAGCCAGATCAAAACGCAGCAGCCTGCAGGGAAGAATAACAATAATCACTTTAGATCTGCTACACACTTCAAGAAGTGATTCCCTATCTCATTTGAAGAAGGTGCGTTGAACAGTCTAACTGGCGGTTGTTGCGGAGCTCGATCCCATGTTGGAGATTGTGTGTCCGCTTTTTCTCCCCAGAGGGCCTCCCAATTAAGGAGATGCACGGCCTAGGCAACAAAAAACAGTGTCTCTTATTCACACCATAGATGTACGAGACAGGTGACACTAGGGAGTATGATAGAGAAATACTGTGGAAATCCCGCTCGTCGAGAACTCCGCCAGGTAGTCCCTAGATATGGGAGAAAATTGACCAACCTCGAGAGACCTGCCGCCATATTAATTATTGAATGTGACTGATTTGATCCCAGAGGGTATTCGAGCCTATATGAGTCTGTTCTAACTGATACCAAGTACATACGACCATAGGGTGTGGAGAACAGGGCTTCCCGTCCGCTCAGCCGTACTTAAGCCACACGCCGGCCGGTTAGTAGTATGGTGGGTGACCACATGCGAATCCCGGCTGTTGTATGTTTTTGTTTTTTGATCATGATAGCCGGGGATCAATTATACAAAGCCATCAGTATTTTGGTGCAGTCGCTGTCAAATGTGCATAGTTCAAGATCAATTTTTCGGGTAACCCAGGCATGATGCGCCCTAGCCCTACTCGCGTTGAAGCCTCGGGTGCAAGGATTCTGTTCTATACAGTTTGACGCCCTTGCAATTTTTTGTCAAGGGCGGCGGACACCTTATGTTAGACATCCTTATGCTCAGAATTTGGATAAGTGAAAAATGGTGTGCTTATGTGGAAAATGGTTCTACATCTCGTCGTGCTTAGCTATTAAGATCCTGCTCAACAACCGCAGCCATATCTCTCAGATCTGATGCTTGTCCCAATTGCCGAAGACGGACGCTAACACCCAGAACACTATCGATAGCGTGTTGCAGGTGAACAAGAGAGAAAGAATTTCCACCGACTTGAAAGAAAGAGGAGCTCCGACTAATATTTCCTGTCTTTGTGATAATTCTAGTCATATTAATCCACATTCGATGCAGCTCCTTTTCTATTTTGGTAACCTTGACGGTATTTTGAGTGAGCTCTAAAGCTTGAGAAAGTAATAGGCTCTCCAGAAGTGTAATATCTAATTTGCTGTTTATGATCACTGGCAGCCGTTCTAGTGATATAATAGTGGACGGGATCATGTAATGGAGTAGGGCGAGGGTCTGGAGAAGCCTCATGGGCTCCTGTTGCTTCAAATATGTTCCAGATTTGGAGACCACATGGCAGACGAGGAATTTAGGGTCCCCACGCATTGTTATAGCTGTATCGACCAGGTGGTCATCCTGTGCTGAGCCCAAGATGGTACCAGTCACCTTATTCAGGTTGATCCGGAGACCCCGAAGCTTGATAATTGCATTACTGCCATCGGCTCGACCTAGAAAGCTCATGGATCTGTCTAAACAAAGAATATCCCTGTCCCCTGACTTGTATATAGTCTCTGATCCGTGCCCTGCGCTCTTGGCGCTAGGGGCTGGGTTCTGGATACACTTCTTATCATTTAGTATAGGATTAAGATGGCCGTTACAGACTCCGGTGCCAACAATGCATATTTCATCTGGCATACCTGGAGGTAGCTAAATATTGTTATTCTCGCTACTAATATAGACAGATGTGTTTGATGGGGGATGTCCAATGGAGCCAGCCTTGCCCTGGCTTTCGTCACGGCTAGCACCGGCATAGACGGGGATATCTCGCTAGGTAATCAAAAATGCTTCGGCAGGTCCATAGCAGTCAGTCAGCATCAGATTGGGCAGCTTTAACTCTCGCATAGCATCAGTAAGCCGTTCAGACAGGGCTTCCCCAGCCGTGACTGCGAAGCGCCAATGGTGACACTTCTGCAGAACTTCCTGGGCATAGGTAAGAAGCAAGCTGTGCTCAGAAGGGGTGCAAAGGATATAATTGATCTTCTCGTCCAGAATGAGTTTGGAAAGTAGGTCTGGATCCTCCCGAGCCTCAAGCGAGACAACTGCTAGCATTCCCACGTTGGCGAAAGCATTGTATATTTACCCAAATGATAAGTCGAAGCCGATGGACGTTTGTTGCAAGACCCTGATCTGTCCAAAGCCATACGCCGCGCTGATAGATTCAGCGTAGTTCATCATACCCCTCCAGTGCAACTTGATACCTTTGGGTACCCCCGTGGAACCACTAGTAAACAGAATGTAGCTGTCGGGTCCAGGCCCGGAAACAGCTTGTTCAGGGAAGAGGGCGTTTTACTAGTAAGTTGGAGATAGTGCGCTCAGGTTCAGGAATATGATTCTGCCGTGAGTATCACGCTCGGTCACCTCTATGGCAGTCGCTGCATGAAATACAAGGACATCCGGTTTGCATGGCTTCATCATATGATGGCGTCTTGCAGCAGGTACACTCATATCGAGAGGATAAATACAGCCCCGATATAGAGGACGGCCAACATCGACGCGTAAAGGTCAATACTCGGCCTACACAGTACCGCAATGCGAGATTCACGCGTGGCGTGCGCATCAAGCAAAAATTCGGGCGTAAAGCCCGACCTTCATCGTAAAGCCGAACAAGTAAAAGATGCCTCTGGGCTTTGGGAGAGACAGCAGTAGCTAATAAGAGATCAGTGTAGGTTTTGTGGCGGCCATTGAGCACCACCCCCAGATTATGGCGTTCTCAGATGGAACCCGCTTGGCCCAATATATGGAAATATCCACTGGAAAATGCCTCCCAAGTTAAGGGAAACAAATAGAGAAAAGCTTAGACTAAAGTTGCTTACTACTTGCAGGGAATACGGAGACATATTCTAAGCGCCAACTAATTGGAAAGCCCTGACATTCTAATCTTGCTCCAGCTAAAGTGACTATCTCTAGTAAGCTAAGCAGCCTACAATAGATGGATTCTTTTGACATGAACAGGTGTGAGACGAAAGTTTTAGGCAGTCAGCAAGCCCGAGCCAACCACCACTGCTCCACAACCCGAACCCGCATGGGAACAGTTATTTATATCCCAGGCTCGATGGTCCCATCAAGTGGAGGTTGCAGTCTGCCGATGATAAACAACGGCGAGCAGCGGTTCCGACTACCAACCCATTCAATCAAGAAGGCTGCCCCAAGATCGCAGAATCATGTACTTTTTGACTCCCAACTAAGTCTTAACGTGTTGCTCTTTACCAATATGCAGACACTGTTGTGGTTCCGTATCGACATTTCACTTGCTAGAGATTCCACATCCACAAATAAAGGCGGATAAGCTCTACTTTGTAAAGCCTTCATCTCTTCCGCAGTGAGCCATTCAACACTGTATTTGATACCTTCTAACCCTGTCACGTATTCTATCCCAAGTTTTATCGTGCCAGCGATATAACATGCAGATATTCCGCCGGGATCGATACAATCATGCACCACTATGCCCTGCGACAGCACTTGTTCGCTAATCACCTTGCTGTCTGAATCCTGGTCTTTGGCCATAAACGGGGACCCTAGATCTGTTAGGCTGCCTTCGCATGCTGCGCCACAAGGAATGCTTGTACAGCTTGAGTTCCCAGATTCTAGCTCTTTGTATGGCTTATCAGCCGTCTGGGAGTGTAGTTGAACGCTCTTTTCGCACGACAGCTGCTCTAGATCAAGTTGCGTTAGGCCAGATTTCGTTGTCTCTGAGACGGGAATAGTGAGGAGGGTGCTTTCGTTGGGGGGCGGGTATGTCGTTTTTCGTTGTCTGGTGAAGAGCATAGATAGGCTTTCCTTAATAGAATTCTCGAGTGTTTTGTTGAAGCGTTCCTCTAATTCTTTCGTCTGAGGTAAGGACGGCAGTCGCCAACCAGGGTACAATCTCCCATGACATCTCGGCGTATGTATTTGCTTGTGCAGGCAAATCAAAGCGCTGCATAAAAAGCAGGCGTCTTTGCTTGAGCAGACGACACGGGGAAACAATGTCGGCCTTTGCAGTTCGCAGTAAATTACTAGCTGGACCTCCGCATGAATCTTAGCTTCTCGTAATGTCCTGTGTACCTGTTTTGAGAACAGGGATGCAGATTGCACCTCGGTGTAGCCCAGAAGATGATATACCCGGTTCAACTTCTTCTGGTCAGAGTATTGATGATCGATTCGAGCAACGGAAGATTCTATGTCAGGAGCGTATGTGCCGATCGATGGGATATCAAACGCGTCCCTAGGAAGCTTGACGGGGATTGCTGTCATATTTCGAGCTACGCGGAACTTTTTTGCTATCCGTCGAAGTATCCTAGGAGCCTCGGCGTACCGGGAGATTTTTCCGATAGCGTTCAGGAAGCTTTTTTTCGCCTCTTTCTGCAGCTCAGGTGCCGGTATCTCGTCAAGCATGTCACTGAGCTGGTTCAATTGGTGTAACCGGTTTATTCCCCTGACCAGGTCACTGAGACGAGCGGCTGTCTGATGACCCTGCCACGAATCTATTAGACCCGTAACTTCTCTGGCTTTATTTCTAAATATTATTGCAGTAGCCCGAAGAGGTTCACTCGCACACTTTGCCGCGACTCGTGTGGCACACTTTAGCATATTCTGCAAAATCTCCCTTATTGGTCTCCTCGATTTCCTGACCTGATTTCTACTCGCTCTTAAACCCAATCTGTATAGAATGCGCAACGAACACATGTCGACGATATTCGCGAACAAGGCCCTCTCAACGACTGACGGGTCTTCTGATTTGTTATCAGATTTGCAACATAGCAATGCAAACTGTGCCACTCACGTTCTAATACAGTTTGCAATATGGCAAAGATCATATTAAATCTCTCCTCTAACGCATGAAGTATGGAATCGCCGTCAGACCATTTGATTTTGTTTATCGCGACAAGTACGTTCAACCTGTTGGTGTCCTGTTCGACGCAGACGGCAGGGATATGGTTGGGATCCTCCTCTGTTTGTGCTAAGAAGGACAGAGTACCGACCAAGCTCCGCTCTTTGTCAAGTGGCAATTCGTATTTCTTTGCTGAATCAAAGTGCTCTGGAATTTTTGATGATGGTGCTGTAGGGATGACTTGGAGGGTGCTCGTACGGGTCACTGAATGGAGGAGTGATAGCAGAGCGATGTTTTCCGCACAGGAAATGGCCGGGATATTTGGAATACCTCCCATCGAGATTATAAGCTGTCAAAATAGAGATACTGTAGTGATAGTCAATCCATGAAGGTCTAGGTGCTACATAGACATCATCCCTCTGTGGTTCCACTAACGAACTTTGGCCTAGCACGAACTGACAGCTGGGGATACTGCCCCGCATGCTCAGCTAGAATCATGACCATACCTTACAAGCTCATTAGTACTGATGAGTATCTGATGTAGGCAGGGAGTGGCATTCGGACCAGGGTCTAGTCAATGCAAGGAGGCTTGGGCCAGCTTGGGCCGATATCCGCTTATCCCTCTTGACTTCCAGCCCTATCGGATGTTTCCTAGGGTGACAGACTTAACAATTCATGGTAATCTAGCAACGAGAATGTGTCTCTACATACCGCACTTCTTTCTTTGAAAGAATATAAATTGAAAATGGAGAGAGATTAGGCTACGGGTTCTCGTCATATGTATCCCATCTATCTCAGCACCCCAGATAAGCCCGATGTATGATTGGTGTGGTTTCACATGCGCGTTGTGATGGCAGTACATGAACAGTTCTAAAAAGGAGGGGTAGAGGAAGCCGTCGCCACGGTGTCTAACACGAGCCTAGGGTGTATCTGCTGGCCGGGAACCAGTTGGCACTTCCCATTATCACTTATACAGAACGGAGTTAGAGTCAACCGGAGTCGAATTTACTTCTTCCACCTCGATTAAGTTTGACCCTCTTGCTTCAAGTCAAATAGGAACCCCGGCACCTCTTCCCCAGCAGAGGTATCCGCATCAAAACGCAGGTCAGGATGCAAGGAGGCTACGCACATACACAACTGCTAGAAAGCCTTGCTATTGGGCGGAAAGACAGACATATATCCGAAGATGAAGTTGATGTAACTCTTGAATTGTCAGGTCCCCGAACCACCGGAGGGATCACTGTGCTACTACAAGAAGCGGTGCACAACCTCCACGATTACCATAAACTTCACTTCGTCAATATATACACGTCGTCATAATACTACAACACGCTGGAACAATGTCATTATCCCCGCACTATATAATAATAAGCCCAAAAAACTCCAAAAACCAGCCCCGGCATCCATACCCAAGATAAATAGGACCAATCGGAAACCCTATATTCCAGCACGTAGACGCTGGTTGAACGCTGACGTCCTTGAACCAGCCCATCCACCAGCCCCATACATAATACACCATCATTGTCAGCCAAATCATAACCCAGGTGCCAATAAGAGCCCGCCCCCACCACGGTATGGGACCCGTCGATCTAGAGGTATATGATAATGTTGTAGTAGGGCCGCCGGGGCGTTCTGCACTGAGATGCCATCCAGTTTCATGCTGGCCGTGGTAGGAAACGTGATCGACATGGTCATGTCTGACGAAAGAGTTCCCTGTAGGGTAGCGAACATTCCCGTTTCGAAGAATGCTTTGCTGAACTGGTTCGAAAGGCTGGCGAAATTCGCTGCTGGAGGATGTCCCAACAGTCCCCGTCGTTGATTGAATGTCCTGCCCATTATCTATGGGAATTCTGGCGTGAGACAGACGAGATGACATATTAGTGTCGTTCGTGAAATGAAGATCGGTAATGGTCTCATTCCCGCCGGAAACCTGGGACCAAGACCAAGATTGATGCCGTGACGCGGCTGGCTTCGCTGCTGTCGACATTGTTGCCTCGAGCTATTGTGGAAAGAGTAAAATTAACTGGAGACATAGCTCATCGAGAATGTTGGGGGTTTTATGTCCGAAGGGACGCGTATCCGACAGTGATCCCAGCCTTGTCTTGAATATGTGGGATACGAGCGGGCCTTGACATCCCATTTGCCTTTTGGCACTGCCACCACAGACACACAGGCAAGCGCCGACTTTATTGAGATCTCGTGTTTGTTGTTCCGGGGATCTGTGCGGGCCGCAACCATGAGCCTATGATGGAAAGATTGCCTCGATACTGCTCGTGTTGACCGTCCCTGGTCTACACAATGCTTCCGCAACGCGAATCCGAGCATCAAATACAGTAGGCAGGTAGAGCCACACCGCATTTACTGCATCGTTCGCATTGATCACAACCTGCGTATTTCGGTAGATCGGACATCGATTTTGCGGATAGCAATGGTGCCGTCGTCAGAAGACAAACATGATACACCAGCAAGACCATGTCCCCCTGGTCGGCCACAAATACCCCTTATTGGCTCCGATCTGGCAGACTACCTTGACCCAGAACTCAAAACCTCAAACCTTGACAGACTTGGTCCTCGCCTCTAGCTCGTGGCCAAGCAAGATACAGCACACACATCAGCGCTAAGCGAGGCTCTGGGTCCTTTCTGGATCAAATGTATCTTAGCAATACTCAAAGTGATATATCATGTTCAAGTTTCTTTGCCCGAGAAGGGGCTGAGCTTAATAGAGAACCTGTAGAACAATCAGTTCCAAGAACTTTTGGGATATGAATCAGACTCAGTGTACTCCGTACTGTGCCATCTCAGGACCATAACATCACGTTTGTCCTGTTTGCCTACCAAACAAACCAGCCAACCCCGCCGATAAACAAACACACCAAACACCAAACACAACAGCGCGATCCATTCAATGTCAATGTTTAACGATCGACAGCATAACCAGATATCAGTACTCAAGAATCCATCTCGATAACTCTTTCATTCCCTAGTTAAATCTATCTTATCAGAACGATTACCACACACCATGTCCCGGTCATCCACACCCACCGTCTTCGAACAGCAGCGCGAGGACCTCGTCCGCGAGATCGCCGTGGTATGTCTCCTCTTTCTTTGATCTTCATTCCATACATGTCTTTCCTATATTACCCTCCATGATGAAAATGGATAACAACGCTCACTCTACCAGGGCATGGAACAAGTCCTCCAGAACATCAACCGGTTGAATCGTAATCTGGAAAGTATTATCTCGGTAAGGCCTAGCCACCCTATTCAGTAATCATTGGATGCAATTTGAAGACAGATAAGATAAATGACGAGACGGCTAATCAAGGCAGGTCGGGAATGAGTTTGGCTCGGTCGAGGCGCTCTGGTCCCAGTTTGAGAACTTCATGGGGCGACCGGAGCAAGAAGGGAAGGACTCTGCGGCGTCCCGTGAGGAGGAAGGCCGGCACGATGAGTCGGAAGGGGAGAGGCATAGTTCGTGAAGATTGCGGAGACTTTTTATTATGTTTACACGTTCATAGATTGATAGATACCCTTTTTGCCTACGGGCAGAACTCATATAACATGATGGCATTTTGTATTGTATTCATTACATGGGATCATTGCGCCAGGAAACACCCATCCCATGCATGCAAAGGCTTGCTGGTTCGTAACAGACATACATCATCGGCTTGCGCATGGACGGGTGGATCGCCAAACCAAGCAGAAACAGGAACAGATTAGGAAAGGGTCGTGTATGGAGACAGTCACGGGAAGGTATAACAAGAACAGGGAATTGAGGAAATAAATCAAGAAGAAAAAAAGCCGCCGTCCCAAAAGCAAGAGAACAAAAAGAAAACGTGAATGGTCACTTAAGTCATCCCCACGTCCACGCTGGATCGTGGAATAGTATACCGTCAAAGCATCCAGGCTGTTGAGTCGGCAGTATCATATCGAAAACATTATAAAAAAAAAGAAGAGTCCGCATCACAGGATCTTGCAGGTGCGCTTCTTGACCTTCTTCGATCGGCCGCCACCCATCTTGCGTCCACCTGTCGTTGGGCCGTGGGCGCTGAAGCTCTGCCGGTGGTCTTCCCAGCCTTGCTCCTCTGAGGAGACGACTGTGTCGACGGCCATGTCGAACACCCCGTGCACGCCCCGCATCTCTTTGCTGCTGCATTCGATGTAAGAGGCGTTCATTCTCTGTGCGACGGCCTGGCCCTGCTCTGGCGACACCGGTGTCAGGCCTTGGGTCTTGAGGAGCTCGATGCACGTCCGCTTATCTCTCAGGTCGCACTTCAACCCCACGAGGATGATGGGCGTTGTTGGGCAGAAGTGGAGAACTTCTGGGTACCACTGTGGGGGTTAGCTCTGTGTGTTTGGCAGTGGAAGATGAAAATTTACCTTGTCCATCACATTCTCCAGAGAAGCTGGGCAATCGATCGCAAAACACACAAACAGGAGGTCCGTCTCGGGGTATGACAGCGGGCGCAGTCGGTCGTACTCTTCCTGGCCAGCAGTATCCCAGAGGGCTAACTCGACGGACTTCCCGGACGGGCGGTGGATGGTCTGCGTGATGTAGTTTTCGAAGACGGTCGGGACGTATTTCTAAACCGTCAGCACCTCTTCCTCATCTACAATATTGACAACCGGGGGGTCCTACCTCTGGAAAGTATCCTTGAGAATAACTGATCAACAAACACGTCTTGCCACAGCCCCCGTCACCCACCACGACAAACTTCTTCGAGTAGGCGGGTGGCTGCGTAATGTTGGTGTTCTCGGACATCTTGCCGCTCGACATGCTGGTGTTGGTGCTAACCGTCCCATTGCTTACTCGGACACTCTGGCTGCGACCACGAGTGTGTCGCGGCGTCATCGTGGGTGGGGGAGTGACGAGAGAGTGGCGACGCGAGGCCGCATAATATTGGTCGTCATACATGGTTCCTGACATAGGGTGGCTGACCGCGAGACAACCCAGACGGTGAACGTGTATGCAATAGACTCCGGAGATATAAGTGTTGGTGAGCGTGCCGGATGGGGATTTCTCCTTCCAGATCCACCGAAGTATTGCCGCGGATGATTTTCTTTTGTTTTTGTGTTCTATAATCGATTGTTTCGACTTGTGCAGAACGTGGTGACCTGATCGTGCTGACAATGTGGGATGCTTCTGCGACGGCCAAACAATGAGATGGTGTCAGAGAGGAGAGTGAGAAGAGAGATGAAGGAAAGAGAAAGGCTAAGAAGACGGGAAGAGGAGATCGGGCGATCAGGACGCCGAATCGACTTGAGCAATGGAGGAGGCGAGAGTGGACTCGCTGTCTTTCCTCCTCTTCATGGAATTCCACCGGGCGGATCGTGTTTACGGGCCGATTCGCTGCCATGGCAACGCGGGCCAACATGACGCCAGACTTATTTATAGGTGGCTATGATGATGAGTTGCCCATTGGATCTGCCCTGTAATAGTTGGACACTGACCATTCTTTTAGTCAAGGTGGACACTTGGGGCTGTTGTCTAGCACCTCACAACCAATAGTCCGATCGATCTGGTCGTGGTGTCGCGATGCTCCAGTCGATCGGATGGGGCATTGTCCACGTCGGGATCCGGGCTTGGCTCGTGGTCATCAGGATGGGGATGGATCAGAGGACTAGTGGGTGTAGTCTCCATCGTGTGTAGGATTATTGGATGTTGAGGTAATGTTCAGCTCGTCTTGTCTCTTCTTGATATCTGACTAGAATATGTGAAGTCTTACCGAGGCAAGAAATATCAATATATATCGTGGCTGACATGTATTGGATTGTAATGCACTCGCATAAATATAAGATCTCTCTCCCCCCTCACCTCGGGAAAACTTGACTCAAGATTTGATAGAGGAATTGAAATTTGTAATAAAAGTTTGTTATAATATAATATATTATTCCATATTCTATAATATATCTATTGTTTAAGATATTGTATACTAATCAATAAGGACACTGCTCAGTATGACTAAGCCTCAATGCCGCGGAACAACGACTTTCTTACTTTCTTTTCAACCTCCGTCGACGTTCTGGTACACCCCTGATCCTCGTCCTCGGGTTTCTCATCGCGACGTCATCTAGGTTTACTTTTGTTCTTCCTGGTCCAACTATTTGGATTGGAAGTTCCTCCCCTCTTCACTAATTCCTGATTGAGGCTTCTGGTCATCTCCCAGTGCCCCGTCCAATCCCGCTGTCCTATGGAGAAACCCGCCATTGCGCCGCGTTCCTGATCCCCAATTCCAGCATGTCCAAAGAGGCAAACGGCCGCCCTGATGCTGGGCTCCGAAGCTTGAATCACTGTAAGAAGCACCGCTGTGGCAATGAGGCGAGAACGACGCGACGATGGGCGGGCTGGCTAACTGACGAGGGCGTCTTAGACCGCAACCAACTGCCCGCCTGGCGGTACTGGCCACGACAGAAACTCCTTCCGCTCGTTCGCTATGAGACTCCCTACCTGGCGTGGGTCCAGGAGAAGGTCCGCACGCCGACCCTGGATTCGTACTTTGCCTTTACCGCCAACCTGGGCACCCATACCTTCTTCATGGTCTTCCTGCCGCTGTTCTTCTGGAGCGGTTATCCCGATCTCGGTCGAGCGTACGTCCGTCGGCCCGTGTCCTAGGCACTCTCCGCTAACGGAATGATTGCCCAGGATGACTCGCCTCCTCGCGTCTGGGGTGTTCTTCAGTGGATTCATCAAGGATCTGCTCTGTCTGCCGCGCCCGCTCTCCCCCCCGTTGCAGCGCATCAGCATGTCCGGTTCCGCCGCTCTCGAATATGGCTTTCCCTCGACGCACTCCACCAACGCCGTGTCAGTCGCCGTGTACGCCCTGGCGATGCTGGGTTCGTCTGAATCCACCCTCGATACCCGCCTGAACCTGTTTTTGCAGGGTCTCACCTATCTTTACGTCACCTCCATCGTCTTGGGTCGCCTGTACTGTGGAATGCACGGATTCTCGGATGTCATCGTGGGCTGTGGGATTGGAGCTTTGCTCGCGTTTGTGCAGAGTTTCTACGGGTATGCGATCGACGGGTTTTCGATGTCGGCCAACGGGACCCAGGTGTTCGTCGTGGTGCTAGTCATTTTGGCTCTCGTGCGGCTCCACCCGGAGCCCGCCGACGATTGCCCCTGTTTCGATGATAGTGTTTCCTTTGCGGGGGTGATGATCGGGGTGCAGTTGGGCTGTTGGCACGTGGCGAAATTGAATATAGAGTGGGACGGGCTGTATCCACCGGCGCAGATTGATCGTTTGGAAGAGTTGGGATTGATGAAGAGTGTCTTGCGGCTGCTGCTGGGCGTGCTGCTGCTCTTTGTCTGGCGGGGATTCACCAAGCCCTTCTTGCTCCGGGTCCTGCCGCCCATCTTCCGGGGGTTGGAGAAGTTGGGCCTGATCCTGCCTCGCCGGTTCTTCACTCAAGCTTCGTAAGTTTGGTTTCTTTTTTTTCCCCTTTATTTTCTTCTTTGTTTCTTTGTCGTCTTTCTTTCTTTCTATCTGTCTTTCATCCTTTCTTCGATTCACTCTTTCTTTATGATTGTCCGACTGACTCTCTAGGCAATACACCCGAGTCCCCGCGCAACTCAAAGACCATGACCTCCTCCCCAACTTCTCCGAGATCCCGTCGATCCTCACCAATATCCGCCATCCCCGACGACGGGCGATCTCAGTCGGCCCTCAGTCCGAAGCCGACGCGTACGAAACCCTGGCCTACCGAGAGAAGCGTCGACGGGAGAGTCTGTCTGGCAACCGGGCCCCGGTCGCTAACGACATTGATCGCGTGTCGCCGGCGGGAATGTCGCGGATCCCGTCCAGATTAAACGAATACGAGAACATGATGGGCACGGGCAGCCCGCGCGTGCCCCCCGGCGGCGGCGTGGGCACCTCTCCTCCGCCCCTGACGGAGCCGTTCCCGCCTCTGGAGCCGGAGGAGCCAAACGAGGAGGAGGTGTTTGCGCAGATCAAGCGCCCGCGGGTGCGGTATGATGTCGAGGTGGTGACCAAGTTGGTGGTTTATAGTGGTATGCCCCCCTCTTTGTCTTTTCTTTGTCCTCTTTCATCTTCGGTCATTGTTCAATCGCTAACTGCTTTATAGGTATTGGGTGGGTGGTCATCGAGATTGCTCCTCTAATCTTTGACATGGCCGGTCTCGTGCCGTAGTGGATGGTCCATCCTTTTCCTTACTTTATTTTTCTTTAGTTCAGCAGGCTGAGCTGCGCAGTTTTGTACCATAGCCGGCTTTTTGTATATAGAGATATGAAGGGGATGACAAGGCTGACAGCCAGAATGTCGCTGCACGAATGAATGTATCTTAGATTATGATCCGTGGATTAGATTGTTGATCTATATAATACTGTGAAGTTATACCCTGTATGTTGATGAGTATCAGTATATCAGTATAGTGAGGCGGCCCATGGCGCTAGTCCCGAAGCAGTCAAGCCCGGATCCTCCACCGTTCATTCACTTCGCTCGCTCAACTCCGACTTTCTTCATTCATCCATCCATCTTCCACCCTCAACCCGCGTTGCGACAACCTCGCGCATTCACTCCAATATTGTGCTCACTCGCCGTGGTCACTCATGGAGTTTCCTCTTTTAACAACGAATGTTGTCATTTCTATGACAACCATGCAAATTCACCCATGACCCCTCAGTGCCTGGACTTTTGTTTTGATTTCCCACTTGTCCCACTTTTCTTCTTCCTGCTCTCCTCTCTCTTTCTTCTCTTCTTCCTCACCCACTGTTTTCCTCGCTGGTATTCAGTACTTCGCTTCGAATCCTCTAGTTCTACTTCCAACCCAGCTGCAAAGCTTCTTTCAAACCTTTCAGACACTCAGATAAGCTCTAGCTTACTCACCGTATCGACAATGTCCGGCCTCGTTTCCGTCCAGCAGCCCGACATGGCCGACGAAGCCATGGACGTTTCCATGCAAGACTATTCTCCCGACGCGTCTCAGGGACTGCAGAAGCAGCCCGGCGATCCCATGGACATCAGTCCTATCGTCGCTCCCGGACTGATTCGATCCTCCGCGTCCGCCCTCCGCCTCCACTCCCCTCCCTCCAACGCGCCTCTTTATTCCCTCGCGTCCTACGGCCCGCGCAATAAGAACAAATCGGGAGGACCAGGCCCGCTGTGTGTCCGCGTCGATGGCAAACCGATGCCTCCTACGACTCGGTCCACGTTCGTCAAACCCTCGCAGCGCTTCTCGCCCAGGTCGGCTCGCATCAAGGCCGCCTCCTCGATCCCAGCTACAATGCTCAAGTCTAAGAAAGCGGCCTCCTTCGCCAACACCGCCCCTCGCAGATGGAATCCTAGTAGTTTCAACCTGGACTCGCTTCCGAGCAACTACCACTTGCCGTCCAACACCAGCGCCCATCCATTCTCCAATAACAGCAAGCCGATCTCACTTTCACTGAACCGCGCGACCGGCGTCGGACTGGTCAACAATGGTCTCCATCTGCACGACTTTCAGGCCTTGTCCGGAGCGGCCACCGGAGCCGCTGAACCCACCACGCGCGACTCGTCTTTCAACAGCCTGTTGAGCAACCCCTTCAGCGATCAGACCCACAGTTTCGAGTCGACCACGTCGGCTGCGTCTGTCACTCCCCGCAAGAGATCGATCGACCCGGAGGCCACCGAAGATCCTAAACTCGTCGGGCCGTCCGAGTCGACCCCGCCTACGCCTCCGTCGGTTACCAAATACCGTCGTGTGAGTCTGGACGCGTTCCCGCTGTCGGCCACTGCGAACGAGAGCCAAGCTGAGGCAGCCACCACCACCGAGCCCAGCCAGGGCGATCTCCCCGTCGCCGGCACTGCGCAGGCTACTACAATGCAAGCTACTACCATGCGGGATTCTGCCATCCATACCCCCGCCATCCCGACCCATCCCGCCCAGACCCTCGCCGCTCCTGAATACCACATTCCCGGTCACTTCCCAGAAGCCGCACCCACTGGCCCCGAGGAGGCATTTGAGCCCCTCATGTCCGGTGCACTCCCCGCGCCCACCCCAGACGTTCATATGGGAGCCGAAGCCGATAATGCACCCGCGAACCCCATCAGGGGCGGCCCCTTGGGGGCCTTCCGAGGCTACGTGGATCAACTGCGCACCCTCAACCACGAACTGTTCAAAGTAATGGGGAACACGGCGCGCACTGCCTATGCGTATCTTGGGTATGCCGGCGCCTATGCGCAAGACGCGTATCACCATTTGCGACGACGTCCCGTCCGCGCGGCATCCCCCAATCGTACCAACGTTCGCGCCCTCCCAGAAGAGCAACGACGACGCATTCTCGACCGCCAGTGGCACATTGACCGCGGACGCGCAGCCCCGCAGGAACTTCCCTTCCCCATATTGACTCTGGACGTTCCACGCTATGGAGCGGCTCCATCTCCTGCTCGCGCGGCACCGTCATCCGCCAACCTTCCACCTCCCCGCAAGTCCGCCCTCAGAACCTCAACGAATGCCTCTCGACAGAACCGACTTGCCAATCGCTCTCCCGGCCAGGATGTCCTCCGCCAGACCATGCGTTCCAGCATCAACAAGGGTGTCAGAGTGAGTCCCCGAGCGAGGCCCATCAGGGCCCCCGGTGTGACCCCTGACATGGGACGCTCCGTGCGAAATCGTCCAGAAGTCCGCGAACAGGCCCGTCGAGTGAGAATCCTGCAGGAGCAGATTCGCTCCGGTAAGTACGATGCCAACGAGATCCTTGGTATCAAGAGTCAACGCCCGTCTCAGACGGAGAACCATGAACCATTGCAGAACCCCCCAGTCCATGAGTTCCACAGCCCCCGCCGCCAGTCCGCCGAAACCCCACGCCGCCAGTCCGCGGAAGCCTTCGATGCCAAGTCCAAACCGAAAAAGGTCCATTTTGCCAGCCCAGTCTCGACCGAAGTCGGCCACGAGTCGATCCTCGTCCCAGATCTTGCTCCGTACCTGCACTGCTCCCCCACCAACCTGCCTGAAAAGGAGAAACGCAGGGCCCCTGAAAAGGAGGACCGCGAGACCATCTCCGATGAGGGCAAAGAAAATGTTCCCCCCGTGGAACCATCTATTGAACCGGTACAGATCCAGCAAAAATCGGTCGAAGTGCAGGAAGAAGAGGAAGAAGAGCCTATCCACGACCCATGGGACAAGCCAGTCGAGTTCCCCCTAGGACGCGCCGTCTCAGCCGTCAGTCTGTTCTACCCCACTCCCAAGCCACTGCCCCCCGGCCGCACCGATTCCATCTACGCCGATGAATGGAAACAGATGGAGGAGGAGGAGCGGCGCAAGCAGCGTCCCCGGCGCATTCGCCCAGAGGGACCTGCTGTGCGCCCCCTCCCCGCCAAATGGAACACGCGCGTGCAGGAAGCCATGTCGGGGCCAGCGAGCCGCAAGATTGCCACCACACTCTCGGGAGACCCGCTCACCAAGAAAGACCTGGCAACATGCTTCACACCGATGGAGTGGCTGAACGACGAAGTCATCAACGCATACCTGGGGCTGATCGTCGACTATCTCCGACGGACGCACAACAACGCGGGACGGCACGACAAGCCCCGTTTCCACGCGTTCAATTCCTTCTTCTTCACGAACCTTCGAGAGAAGGGATACGCGTCGGTGCGGCGGTGGGCCACGCGGGCCAAGATCGGCGGCCAGTCGCTGCTGGAGGTGGACACGGTCTTCGTACCCGTCCACCACCAGCACCACTGGACGCTGATCTTGGTCAAGCCCTCGGACCGCACGATCGAGCACTTTGACTCCCTCGGGGCCCTGTCTGCACGGCACGTTGCGACCGTGCAGACCTGGCTCCGGGGCGAGTTGGGGGACTCGTTCGTGCAGTCCGAGTGGCGTGTCCTGCCGTCGCGGTCGCCCCAGCAGGACAACGGCAGCGACTGCGGGGTGTTCCTCCTGTCGACGGCGAAGGCCGTGGCGGTGGGGCTGGAGCCACTGTCTTACGGCGCAACAGATACCCCCCTGTTGCGCCGGAAGATAGTGGCGGAGCTGATGAATGGGGGGTTCGAGGGGGAGTTTGACCCTCTCCTTGAGGGGGAGGTGTTGATGTAGTTTTTTTTTTTTTTTTTTCTTCTTTGTTTTTTTCTTTCGGATGGCTTTGTTTTTATTTTATTTTCAGCCTCGTCCCGGTGTTGATGATATCAATGCCAGAGTGACAGGCGAGCACAGCATCATGTACGAGTCGGATAGCGGGCGGCGTTTTGTTTTCTTTTTTTCTTTCTAGTTTTCCGGTTGATATTGATGTCTTGAGTGATACCCGCCAGATTGACCTGGCCTGCATGACAGCGAACGGCGAGCGAGCATAGCATACAGCATTACAGCATTACAGCATTATATGGTTAGATGATGCATGGAATATGGAGTAATATATTTTTGTTTGACTGCCTTGATTTTCGTATACTCTAGGTATATCCTAGGAACTCTTAGACGAACGAGTGGTAGGCAGTGTTAATCAATCCATAGTAACCAATAGACTAAGTAAAACTAAACACCAGTAAAACTGACACAACCACTGAACTAAAACCAAACCAACAAAAAAAATCAAACACCCATCTGTTCTACATCACAAACAGTCTCACAATGTCCCACCGCATCCGTAGTCAAATTATAAGCCAACTGCACCCACTCAATTGCCATCCCGACACTACTTCCGACAGGCATATCACCCGTCCAGCCACCCCCATCACTCCAGAGATTCAAGATCGGTCGACCCTCAGTCTGCATAACGCCGTAGGCTAGCCTCGCGACGAGCTTCCCATCCGCGTACCAGGCTGACTCGCCAGGGACCCAATCCAGGCGGTGGGTAGACCACTCCGTCCATGGCCGAGGCAAGTCAGGGACAACGACCATCGAGCCGGGGATGATGGCGTCCGTGACGGGGTCATAATCCGGTTGATTAGCGTAGTGCGCCATGGTTATAGGATCATGCGTGAGGATCTCGATGTCCGATTCAGAGGTAGCGGAGTTATAGATGAAGAGGCCGGCGCAGACGCCCGGTGGGACGGGTCCAGGCGTAGGAGCCAGATTCACCAGACGCATGCGCACACGCAGCGAGCAGTGCTTGATGGAGTCGATGGTGGACTCGATCTCCGCTGTGGCGGTGTGGTCTGCGTGGCGGGTGGCGCGGAGCATGAGGGCTGTTGCTGGGGCGGGGGCGTCCGGGTGGGGAGTTAGGAAGACGTTGGCGTCTTCGTTGTGCATGGGGGAGATGGCGCGGCCTGATGGGGGGCGGTGCCAGGTTTGGGGACGCCAGGAGGAGACGAGGGGGGTTTGGGAGAGGAGGGTGGGTTGTTGTTGTTGTTGATCTTGTTGAGGTTGGGGTTGAGGGAGGGGCTGCGCGCGAAAGTCCCAGATCTCGTTGTGAGTGAAGATGAAGGGGGTGTCTGCTGAGGTGAGGCTGTAGCAGGTGCATGGTGGAGGTGGAGGGGGTTGTTGGGCCAGAGGAGAGCTGGTTGATAGAGGGAGGATTAGGGCTAGGGAGAGGACGGAGAGGTGAGGCTTCATGGTGTGTGTTTCTGGTGGTCGTTTTGTTTGATTTGCTTGATACTAGTCGATATGATATTGATGGCTGTGTTCGTAACGACGGTGAGTGGATAGATGATTTGGATGAGTTGGAAGAATGGAAGAGGTTGAGAGAGAGGATAAGTATGTTGTAGTGACGACGTCAGGATGAGATGGAAGGCGCATTCGTATACTTTTATACTTTCTGGCTGTCGTTCTACTATATATGATATGCAATACATAGGTAATGATCTAGTCTACTATGATATTGATATACTGTATCTGTAGTTATAAATCTGTATACTATAACTGTAGATATATACTCATGTCTAATAGGTTCATGGACCTGTTGTACAATCTTGGCAAACATTAGGCAGCGAGTGTACTCCGTAATATCAACCATCAATAATCCCCCCAACGCCTTCATTCATCGAGTCAACCATTCTACGGGTATGATGGATGCTTCACGCCAGTGTATGATTTGTCTTGGTGGGGTATCCTGGGCGAACTGGACGTTGGACTTTCAGACAGGTGCAGTTCTGCCCCGATATCCTTCTAGCATTGTCTGACTGCAACAGCCCTTCTAAAAGACAACAATACTGACCTTGGCTGTCTCCGTTATGATAAAAATCTCTTCCCGCAAGAATCGAGAAGTCTCACAGGGCATAGTCGGCGAACTCGACTGAGACTCAGCCCATCCCCGAACTTCACCTCGACAGAGGTCTTCCTGATCCATATATCGTGTCGTGATCTGTTAACGGAGTTTGTTGGATCTTATCTTGGGCCCCATCGGACATTCAAACTTTGCCAGGCCCTTCAGCCGGACCGAGACAGGGCGTTTGGACATGATATGACAATAAACCCTTCGAGTAGGATCGTTATATTTTCTTTATTTCTTTATTTATTCCATGAGTTTATGGTTGGAGATCAGATCAAACTAACGCTTTCCCAGTTTGCCGAGACCCTTGTGAAACGATCACACCTCTAAAATGCCTTCTTCCGTCAGAAAGCACCGAAACGCTCTTGCAACCGAACAAAACTAGATATCACAGATCCTCCCTGCTGAGGCTGCCGTCAGAGATCCTGGTCATGGTTCTACCATATCTGTCACCGGCAGATCTGGTCCGGCTTTTCCGAACTAGTAAAGAACTTCTGTCCTATGCTGATTTATTCTGTCGCACAAACCCTCTCCACTTCTACCGCTGTGGCACAAACACCGCCGGTACTGAAGAAGGCAAGAGGGTTCTGATGATCGCTCTCTCGACGTGGACTCGATTGGATGAGTTGAATAGAAGATGGGAGATTGTCAGGCGCGCAGCGGACATCGCCAGGTTGGTTCCTCTGCTGGCTAAACAGCTCCCATCGATCCCGACGCTTGATCCGGGGGCTCCTCTCCGGGCAGTCAGCCATTCGTTCGGTTTGTGTGAGAGTTTCGTGGATATTCCGGATCACGCCGAGACGATCGAAGTTTGCAATATTACACTAGACGGCAAATATTACGTTTGTGGGATTGGTTTTATTTCGAAGGAATCTAGCGTATTCTGCGGCCAGAGGACTGAACACGTCCAGACAGTGAATATTTCCAGACCGACAGACAAGATCGAGATGGCAGTGGATGCTCTGGGCGTTCGGAGTATCAAGTATGGCAGTTCATTGTGGCTTGGTGACCCTTCCGTCACACGCTGTTGGCGGGGGCTCAGCCTGAGAGAGACGCATCGAAAGATCCGGATTGTTCGTGATGTAAGTATACTCCCCTGTATTTGATATGGAGATACTTAACAGATATTAGGCATTGAAATTTCGAGACCTGAGCTGGGACCGCGAGACCGCTTCTTCTTTTGAAGAGACTCTTCTGATCAAAGAGAGTATCCCATCGCTATGGCGCCACCGGCTCTTTACCGAGGAGTATTACGCGCAGTCCTACCCTGAACGGGAGAGGGAATTGGTGAATCTATTTGGTCGAATCCCCGTCGAAGCCGTGTCATTTGATCGAGACCTCCACGCCATCAGGATCCACGGCATTAACGGCTCGAGCGGGATCGACGGACTATCCATCCAGACCGAATCGGGGACGTATTCTGTCGGTGCCTGTCATCGTGCTCCAGCATCCATGACATTGGATGCACCGCATGAGAGTCTTGCTGAGATCGATGTGCGAACAGCTTGTCTTTACTCTCTTGCCGTAACAGTACGCATCTGGCATTTTGCTTCGGTTGAATGTACCGATCTGACTTGGCTCTGTAGTTCCGAACCAACTACAACCGCGAATTATCCTCCGAAGCCAATGGGCTTCCAGGACCAGATGATTGCCATGATATACGAACCCTCCGACCACCTCCAGGATCTCGCATTGCGGGGATATACTTTCGACTCGAAGGACAAAGATTCCGCTCCATCGGGTTGATATTGGGTTCGGAATTTGATTTATCTGATTTAGGGGATAATTAGTTGTGGATGGTGACTCGGGACCATGGTATGGAGTCGTCTGGATGAACGATCTATAAGTGGGCCCCCCAGAACGATTTCCGGACCACAGATCGATTGTAGGGCCCACCGCGACCGAACGGACGTCGGTGGGTAGATAGGGACCCTTATACTATGGCCGTGCTTATTATATATTATTCACTATATATTATTATTATTCGCATCATTAGTCTATGGAAATACTCAGCTACTACACTCCAATATGGACCTGATTATCTACAAGGTATACTCCATGGCTATAGTAGATTGTTCGCGTGGAGGAAAGATGCCTCAGGTCCAGTTGGGCAGTATCGGACTCAGTAATCAAAACCCATGGATACCGTCCGGTATGGAAACTCTCAGCAAGGCCGCACTCGGTGACGCCACGGCTATTTTAGGGCTCCAATCGGGCCCTACTGGGTGGGAGAGATGATGACCGGATTGGCTTGATAGGGTCAGCAAGGGTGCCCCGTGGCGCCAAGCTGCTAGTTGCAGGTATGGTGGTGTATATCTTACGGTATGGTCATTTATTAAGATGCTCAATACCATCATGATTTCCTCTTGAGAGATCTTGGGATTGCTTCATGTTAATTTTTTAATTGTTATTTGAGAATGATAGATAGTATATTCAGAGTTTTTCCTATTTTGTAAAATTTCTCTTCTTTACGATATTGTGGAATAAAGAAGTCGTGACAAGGGGTTGGGTGCACAAGGAGGGGAACAACAAACGTACAGCCTGGCCCTACCTAGTTCCGTCTGACCACCGGCCAAGGTGGGTCGTCTCGCTCTTCCCACCCTTTCTCTTTTCTCCCTTTCTTTCTCTCTCTCTCCTCTCTTCCTCTTCCACCTCACCGTCAACCAGATCATCACCACACTTCAACCATACTGAACCCATCCCTCAATCATCCCCATTTACATCATTCATCACCAAATTACCGCCAAAATGGAGCCCCCACTCTGTTGAACTCGTCCAGTCCCGTTATGCTATTTCACACCCCATCCCTTCCACAGAATCACCATGACCACCACCCTCGAACGAAGTCTCTCGCGGACGTCGAGCATGTCCATCCCCATGTCCTCGCCTCGACTCTCGCTCCCCCATGAAACCACCCCCCGACCATCGCCCTCTCCGACCCTGCCATCAGCCATCTCCACGATCGTCTCACCCTCCTTGACTCCCGCGTTCTCGAACTTCGCTCCGCCGTCCTCACCAAAGACGGCTACGTCGACCGACGGAACCGCGAGGACCAGCACGTCCGTCGTGAATTCGAAGCCCACCGCTCCAACTCCACCCGCATCGACCTCAATGTTGTTGCCCTGCGTACCGATGTCGACCTACTGAAATCCGGCGTCTTCCAGCTCAAATCCTCGGTCGGCCAGTCCGGCAATGAAATCGTCTTCCTGCGCAGCGACGTCGACCGTCTCTCCAAGAATGTCGACCAGATCCTGTCCGACCTCGAACATCTGCAGTCCGACGTCTGTGCCTCTCGCGTCGAGGTCACCAAGCTGCACGCCACCGTCAGCCAACTGCGGACTGACCTCATCACCCTGCAGCATGAGACCTCCCGTCATTTGAATTCCGTCTTTGACCGGTTTTCCCTGATCGAGTCTCGCATGAGGCACTCGGAACGCGTCCGTTTCAACTCCCTGGCTCATACCACCCACGCCCCCATCACGTCGGTGCCCGTCGTCGAGGAGGATGGCACCTTGCAGTGGCCTCAGTATTTCCCTAGGACCGTCTGGCGGTTCTGGTGTCTCAAGAAACGCAGTCGTCGTAAGTTACTTGGTAGATGTTCCTTCTGGCCTGTCTAACATCAACAGTCGATCGCTTGGTCCAGTTGGCCGACTTTTACCAGCTCGAAGGGTATCAATTCTGGGGTCGAATGCACCAGACCGAACCCATGTTCGCCAGTGACAGCGATTCGAGCGATTCGAGCGACTGTGCGTCCAACCTGACGCGTGCGGAAGCCGTCCGCATGTATCCCGAAGCCGCCCACCAGGCCCTCGCAGCCACCCTGGGTCTAGTGTACTACAAGATTCGCAACGAGGTCGGTGAGGGCCCCAATTCTCATCTGCCCCCGCGGCCGCCCAAGCGGCAGCAGGAGGATGCCGCCTCGAGCTCGAGCTCCAAGCACAAGCCCGTCAAGATGCCCCGGCGTCCCAACCACGTGTCGCCCACCCGGCTGCACCGGTTGGTCACGGGGCCGTCCCTGGAGTGCAAGTCGTTGACCTCGGAGGAATCCGACAAGCTCGGGTGGAATGCCCACTCGGAAGTGTCGGACGATGCCATGAGCAAGATCCGCGGCCTGGTCTCAGAAGAAGTCGGCACATTGCTGCGTGCCCTCGAACGGGGACGGATCCAACTGAAGCCCAGTCGGTCGGAACGGATGAATATGTCGCCCACCGAGTCCCGGCCGGCGCGTCCGGACCACGGTCTGGACGGCGCCCAGGACGAGGAGGTGCAGACATATCCCAACACCGTTCCGACCGAGATAGTGTCGCCTTCGTCGGCTCGCACGGAGAAGACGGAGGAGAATGATCTGCCCGATACCGCGTCCGAGACGACAAGTGCGTCGGGGTGAATTGTTGGATATCAATCATGTCAAACCTGACCGAATACTGATTGGGTATTTTGGTGCAGCGGTTGCTGCGTGCCCTGAACGGGGCGCATCAAATTCAAGCCCAGCTACTCGAAGTGGCTGAACATGTCGCTTACCGAGTCCAGGGCGCGTCCGGACAGAAGACGGAACAATACGGCCTGTCTGATGCGGCGTCTTAGACGACGAATGCGTCAAGTGAATCGACATCTTTTTAGTTGTCATGTGGCTGCTTGTACAGCCTTTTTCTCTGGTTGTGACCCGACCAGATTATTGGGTCGCCATGCCAGTCTTGTCGACTGGTCATGGTGTATCCATGACCTTACCGCTCTTCGGGTTCGCCTGATGAGCCATGCACGTTCATGGTTTCCTGTCAGATGTCTGACACCTGGTTACCATGTCAAGACGGGCATATCACACTGCTGTTGTGACATTCAAACCCCACAATGAGGTCGGGGGGCCCCAATGCCCATCTCATGCTGTTGCACAAGCGTCAGCAGGAGGACACCGCCTCGAACTCGAGCTCCAAACAAGCTCGCCGATCTTCGGATCGTCCACTTATCCTATCATGTACGATAGGAACGTCCGTCTACCAGTAGACAGATAGTCAGCCTTCGCATTTCAAGCCCGGACAAGCATTGCTGTTTGACAGCACGGAAGGCGCACGGATAGTTATAAGATACCCTGTTGATTTTGTCATTGTACTTAGCATTGCATTAGCGTTTAGTGATTTCTGTTCGGGCTGGTGTTGGTTTTGTTTTAGTGAACAATGAGCAGTGATATTAACCTACCTAGACAGACCGTCTTCCATTTCCACCGATCGTCGTACTCGAATATCGTGAGCCGCTCCTAGTCGTCGGTGTCCGATCTAGTCTACTCTACCCCCGATCTACCCTCCCTCTCGATGGACATCGATAGACCATCGATACACGGTAAGCGGTACAAAGGGTAAGCAAGGGTATGGTCAAGGTAAATAAGTATATCCATCCATCCATTAAGCCATGGCATGGAGTATACGCTCACAAGTAGTTACATCTATACTCTCACTCGACCTATACCCTATACTTAGCCAGTGCTGTCCAAACTAGACTGTCCAAACCAAACGCAGTGGAACCGTACAAACCAAAGCAAACCAGCACATCCATCATTAGACAATATACTCCTTATATGCATATATATACAAACCAACCCCCCAATCATTAAGAATCAGCAGGAACCAGTAAATCCTTCTGCAACATCTCCACAACAGTCCCTTCGTCGATGTTTCCTAGATCGACTTCCCCATCTTCTCCCCCTTCACCACTCCCACTCCCATTCTCAACTTCAACTTCACCTTCAAGCTGAAGCCGTAAATCAGGATTCTCTCTAAGAAACACCTCCTCCAAGATAAACGGCAAAGACTCCTCCCCACCCCCAAACAGCCGTTCCGGCGAATAAGGCAGCACGTAAATAGTAGGAAACTCAAGAACGGTGTGATCTTTAAGAGCCGCTGCTAGCGATGAGGTCGCGGATAGCGGGATGAGGACTGGGTGTTTGGTGGGCGTGCGGGGACGGTGCAGGTAGAGGTGGATTTTGCGGTTTGGTGTTGGTGTTTTGGGGGTGAGTGTTGTGGTGGGGGGAGCTGGAGCTGTCGTTGGAGCTGGAGCGGTAGGTGTAGCTGCGGATGTAGGAGTGGGAGTAGGGGTAGGGGTGGCTGTAGCTGTATCTGTAGCTGTCTCGATATCTGTAGGCGTAGCGACAAGGGTAGAAGCAGCAGGAGTAGGAGCAGTAGTAGGGGCAGGCGTAGGAGTCAATTCACTAGCATCAGGTTCTACCCGAGCAGGAACATCCACCGTCTCCGACAATACATCCTGCCTCTCTACCTCCCCCTCCTGTTGTTGAATCTGTACAGAGGAGTCATCCGTCGAAACCGCCCGTGCATCCCTCTCCTCCTTAGACAGCGGATAAGCCTGATTATACGCATCCGCCAGCGCAGTCGACTCCATCACATGGCGCAGTTTCCTCCTTTCGGAGTCCGTAGGATGGCACGGGGCGAGCCATTCGACGAGCCAGTTGAGGCATTTGTGTCTGCCCATCATGATCCATATTAGCGATGTCCGTCCACATCTGCAGATAGCAAAGACAAACCGTGTATTCCACTTCGAAGCATTCTCCCTCCGCCGACTCAACCCTTTAGGCGCCCTAATCACAACCACGCCCGCATTTTTCGCATTATTCAAAAACGCACCTTCGCCTTTCGCGAGTGCTACCCTCCCACCACCACCACCACCACCACCACCACCACCAGATGATCCACCAAATGCATGATCACCCACCCTCCTCCGCTTAACACCCCCCCCTTCCACCCCCTCCCCCTCCCCATCCAACCCCACAACAGCAGGATCCACCCCAGACGGCACAGCCGGAGCTGCCAGATCCCTCCGATCGACATCCCTCTCAGCGCGTTCCAGACCCCGCTCAATACCCGTCAAGAAGTTGAAATCGCGATCAAAAGCAGACGGAGTGGCGAGGTCGGCGCGGCGCAGGTAGGCAGCTGGGTCGCGGACGCCGGAGCATTGCGACCAGAGTTTGTGGCGTTTCGAGCAGGGGAGGGAGCATGTTCGGGTGCTGCATCTTGGACAGCGGTATTTGGGGGGGTGGATGTGACTGTTATTTGAATTCATGAGGTTAGTTAGTGTATTATATAGGAAGGTGTAGTTGATTTGACTGATGCTGGTTTAAGTCGGTTTGAAGAGGGGAGGAGAGACGGACCAGATTGTGCAGAGATCTGTTAGGAGAGAGTCTTCTTCGGTGGACATTTCGTTGAATTGTTAGTGGGTCCGTGGAAGAGAGGTTAGAGAGAATGGTCAAGATGATAGATGGAGGTGAAGTGGTTTGCGATGAGAATCAGAGAGAAAATCTGGGTCGGCTTATCGATAAGGTAGGTGCCTGAGGCATATATATCCATCCATCACAGGTTCTCACTATAGATAGACCCAATTGCTGAGAGTGAGAGTGAGCCAGACGCAAATATCCAACATGTTAAACTGGTCGTGTTAGAGAATGACTACAAGACCCCATACAAATCACAGATGTTGCAACTATATCATGTTCGACTTGTCGTGGCTTTTGATAGCCACCACCTTGTACCATCTGTCTATCATCAACCCTACATTCGTAAATCATGAATTAGTATAGACGCGGAGTCCCAGCACACCAGTGTAAGCTGTCTAGATCAGTAGTCAGTAGAACAGAATGATACCTTGCGACAATTCATTCCTAATCAATGAGGTCATCGTACTCGACTCCGCGCCGATTTCTAAGCAGGCTCCATCATCGCCGGAGTGGATCACGACATCCACCGACATAAATAGCAGTATAGATCAGTCTGGGAACAGTTGACCAGCCACTCCTCACACGCAGTATTCACGCCCAAAACAAAATGACAAAACCCTTGGCTATCATCGCCGGTGTGGGTCCCGGCACCGTAAGTCAACGTCACTTCGATATGGAACTCATCTGATAAACCAACACAGGGCGCCTCCATTGCCAGACGCTTCGCACAGGCATATTCCGTCATTCTTCTCGCGCGCAATTCAGCGAACTTTGATCCCCTCGTCAAGGAAATCAACACCGCCGGCGGCCAAGCCTTGGGCATCCGCGCCGATTTGTCCGATTCGAAAAGCGTCCACTCGGCGCTCGATCAGATCACCAAACAGTACCACGGCTCTTCGCTCGCAGCGGCCGTGTTTAACGTAGGCGGGGGGTTCGTACGCAAGCCTTTTCTCGAATTAACCGAGACCGAGTTCTCCCAGGGATTCGAAAGCCAGGGGTTTGTTCCATTTCCAGCCTCTCTCCTCCCCCCCCGCCAAGACCCCAAGGGGAAGACAATATCGGGACCTGCGTCACTGATATTGAAACAGGAAAGGCGGATTCAACTTCGCACAGGGGGTATTGCCCCTCCTCCTCCAGGCCAAAGGTCTACAATACCCCCCGACACTGATCTTCACGGGCGCAACCGCCAGCGTGAAAGGGTCCGCTAATTTCTCGTCCTTCGCGGCGGGGAAGTTCGCCCTGCGCGCGCTGGCGCAGTCTCTGGCGCGCGAGTTCGGGCCCAAGGGCGTGCATGTGTCGCATGTTATTGTCGATGGTGTTATTGACATTCCGCGAACGAAGGCTTGGCAGTTTGAGCAAGAAGACGCCAAGCTGGATCCTGATGCCGTAGGTTTTCACCATGATAGTTGGAGCTGGTATTGGGAACTACGACTGATCCACTATTTTCTATCTAGATTGCGGACTCATATTGGCATCTGCATACGCAACCCCGCACGACCTTTGGGTTTGAGCTTGATCTGAGGCCGTATGTGGAGAAGTGGTAGTTGAGTTATTATATTTGAAACGGGGGTCTACCGATGACGAATTGTTTTCTAGTCTATTGACCAATTGAATTCCTAATATATCGGTAGAACATTGCACCCTTGTGTCGGTTTGGAAAGATGAGCGACTGATACCGTTTTGTCGACGGGCGGGTGTTGCTCCGAAACATGACGCCTTGATCAAGATGCGTGTCGATCTCTCCGTTCGGAGCATGTCCCGGTTGATCTATTGCATGTGTTATGTTTCAGTGAGATTAATCGATTGCATTTTAACAGTAAGAATACGATTTCAGACTGTTGTAGTAGCTACTATGTTGCATAGCCAGGATATGAGGCACTAGACAAGGCAAGATAGTATAAGTAGCATCCATCATCTCAGACGATCCTACCATCCAGTCAGCATCATCGCCTACCTTCTTCCAACCAACAAGATGCACTCAAAACTCCTTTCCTACACGCTGTGCCTCCTACCCCTAGCGCAAGCGGGCAAAACTCTCATCGACGCATCCTGCTTCGACTCCAACGAGGCCCTCGAAGAATACTTCGACTACCTCTACCCCTGGGGCGAAGACCACAACGGCTCCGCGCGCATGGTCGGCAACTCCACCGAGCACGAGTACGTCTCCGTGGAGAGCGGCACCTTGACGCTTGTCGCGAAGCCAGCCAGCGGACAGCCGCCCACCAAGGGCGGAGACGAGATCCACTACCTGTCTGGCGCGGTGCACTCCAAGGATACGTTTACTGTGGAGGCTGGTTCCGGGTTTGACATTTCGGTTGAGCTGCAGGCGACTGTGGACAAGGGCACTTGGCCTGCGTTTTGGTTGAATGGGGCGGAGAGCTGGCCGCCAGAGATTGATTTGGCGGAGTGGAAGGGTATGTCTTCTTCATATATGGTTTGGTATGTATTGACTGGTCGGTGTTTAGGAACCGGCGATATCAGCTTCAACACCTTCAACGTGAGTTTTTGCCCTTCCGGCCATTGGTGCAGACCATGTTGACAAGATAAGTCTTCTTCCGAGGTCGAAGAGCACAACACCGAATACGCTTCTCCCGATGACTTCCACACCGTTAAGACAGAGATTCGGGATGTAGACGGCACGAACATCTCCGTCCAATTCTACCTCGACGATACCCTCATGGCGACACAGCACGGGGGAGAATATGTCGGGAAGCCATTGCACTTGTGAGTGTCGCCTCTGAATATTCCTCAAGGGGTTACTCTAATAAGATTGCAGGATTATCAACTTGCAAATGGAAGGCTCGTCGGGAACTCCAGGACCTGATACTGGTAAGTGGCACGTGTAACTGCATATGAATAAAGCTGACCGGATAGACACTTTTTACCGCATTCGGAACCTTTCTTTCGAACAGATTTGACAGACTGGATTGTAACTGAGCAGTGGAGAATTACTATTGTGTTTTTGTGGCAAAGAATACCACTCAGCTACAAAGGTTATCTAGACACTTCTGAGCTCTGTGGTTACCCTTTTATAGCCATTTTATAGTGCGACAGATTGATACGGTCGAACTACCACTGTAGGTGGTTCTATGCCAATGCTTGGATGGCTTGATATTGTAGTGGTGATCTGCTCAGCGGAGGATTTATGGGTTGTAAAAAATTGATTGTGTTATATAAGTTGTGTTATATGACAATATCAACATTAGAGAATTCCGAATGAAAGAATGAAGATTGAGAGACAAGAAAGTCAGTAGATCGACCGTTGAGTGGATGAAGATGCCAAAGCAAGGGGAATAATTCTAATACACGATGCATAAATACAGCTGACTAATCTGCACGAATGTGAGCTACCCCAGGCTCCACTCACGACGTTCTTCACATCAGCACACCCATCCGAAATCGTATCCTCCCAACCAACGACAAACAACTCACTCCGGACCCAGAAATGGCCGACTCACACGGAACGCTCACCCCTCCGAATTGGCGATACCCGCCACTCCAAATCAGAACCTCCTCCGTCAACTACCCGCACTTCCCAGGCCTCCAAGTCTGCTTCCTCACCCGGGGACGGTTCGAAGCCGCCCTGACGACATACGTCACGACGCGGATCGAAGACTCGCGCGTGGTCCTCCAGCGCCTACCGAGACAAGATGAGGTAGACGCGTGGACCGAGCTCGGCAGCATGGCCGTCTACGGCAAGCGACTGGGGTGGCCACTCGGCATCATCGGAGGCGCAATCTCGTCGTACCGGAGCGCGAAGAAAACCGACTGGTACGGTCTCTACGTGCGTGATAGCAAGGGCCCAGCGGACACGTTTGCTGAGGGGCTATCCAACGTGAATCGCATGGCGCAGGGGTTCGGCGAATACTGGCGGACGGAGCCGTCTGCTGCGGGGCGGACGTTGGCGGTGTCGCTGGGCCGGTTGTTCTTCTGGGGCGTTGGGGCGACGATATTTCTGCAGTCGGTGATGAACTACAAGGAGATTGTGATGACGACGACGGATCCGCGGTTGAAGGACTTTTGCGAGTCGTTCAAGAAGCATTACAAGGACGTCGGGAACCAGAAGATGAAGCAGGAGGTTGCTATTGCTCGGAGGAGGGCTGCTGGGCAGCTCCCGCAGCCGTCGGAGGGGGACGAGGCGAGCCCGGTGGCGGATGAGACGGCGCATGGGTCGTGGGAGGCCTCTTCGCAGGATCATGCTCGGGAGACTTCATCTGGTTCCTCGGATTCCCAGTCTGCTAGATGGGGATCTTATGCCAAGAAGGTCGAGGATGCGAAGCGCGACGCGGATGCGAACAAGGACGACGAGCCCAGCGCGCCGCGCGACAGCGGCAAGACCTTCCTAGACGATGACGACGACGCCAGCCCGGTGGCAGCAGAGTACCGGGGTCCGCCTGCATCGGGACCGGTATCGCGGGGCACGTTCAAGACAGGCGCCTGGGACCGGATCCGGTCCGACAACGGGACGAGAACCACCAACCCGCAGTATTCGACTTCCGCGAACGACGCATATATCAAGCCTAGCCCGTATTCACGTAAAGCAGGCGCAGACGGCAACGACAGCGTGAGCGAGCGGGAGAAAGCGCGAGAGGAGTTCGATCGATTGCTTGAGGCTGAGAGGAATATATCGACCGAGCCGAATGAGCGGAAGGGGTGGGAGCGTTGGTGATATGCACGTTGGGGTGTATGTATTTAACTACTGTTTTATTAGGGGCATAAGGAGTTGCTGTCAATACAGCGTTATATGAATCTTTTTTCGTTATTGAACTAGTCAGGCCTTGTTCCATAATCCCAATAAATAAAATTTACATCGTCCTAGTGGTACTTTGCAGTGCCTGGATGGGTCTTTAATACTATGAGGATCAAAAATCATATTATCTGCCCTTGCGGGCCCGATTTAGATACGGAATAGAACTATTAATAAAATCAAGAAATCTTAACAATCCAACTGGAAGGTGTGTAGATTTGGTGAATCTTACCACATTGGAAGACAGAAGGGTATATCAGTCCAACAAGCAGGCAAAGACAAACTAGTGCATGAATCAAAATTAAAGAAAAAAAAGGAGATTAAAAGAAAGAAAACAAGAAGAAAAGTCGTTAATCGTGACAAGATAAGCAGATAATTCATCCATGTTAAAACATGGTTGCGTTAGAACCGACCATCAGACATAGCCACAGTTTCATACGGGACACGCGTCTCCGGATGTACCCATACATCAGATGGTCGACTAGTACTGCCCATGCGAGTCAAATTTCGAATCTTAGAGGTAAAGCTCTCGTTGACGCTCTTCCCGCGGCGGTGCTCGAGGGACATCCGACGGGACTGGACGACGGGGCGCGTTTCCACGCTGAGCGCAGGCGCAGCAGTCATCGCGCGGGGAAGCAACCGGCCCATGTTCTCGTTGTCGATGGCTATGTCGATCGTACCGGAAGACTCTCGAGGCGAGGCACATCCCGACAGGGGGATTGGGGGAGGGGGTGGAGGTGGCGGATTGAGGTGTTGGAGCTCTGGCAGGAGGGGAGGATTCTCGCCCCTTTTCTGGAGCATGGCGTTTTCGATTGTCTCTTCGATGCTGACGCTCACGGGGGAGCCCCCGTAGCTGTAACCGCCAACGCCACTGAACTCTCTGCTCTCGCGGTGGTGGCCTAGGTTGCGGCTTCGGCTTGTTGAGCGACTTCGTGGGAGGTTGGGGTTGAATCGCGGGTGCATTGGCATGTCCAGGGGTCTGGTACTCGGCTGGCTCTCGGGTACAGGTACGGACATTGAGCGGCCGATTCTCTCTGCATCCTCTTGGTAGCGCGCATCACTCAACAGATTGAGACCGTCCGAAACGGGCGGACCGGCCTCTTCGTAGCCGTTGTATCTCGGATGGCGCATGGCCTTCGGGGTCGTGGGTAAGCGCGTCGGCCCTCCAGACTGCGAAGAGCTCGAATCAGAGCTGCTGGGATACTCGGGGGATTCTTTGCTCGTGGCTACATTCCGCCTGCCAGGCGTTCGTGGACCGAACGAGTTTACCGAGAATGGGGGACTTCCCAGAGGTTCCCGAATCTGAGCTTCACCTGGGAACGGGATATTGGGTGCTGATGGATTCCGCGCTAGTGACAAACGTCGTGCTTCCAGCTCTGCAGCCGCGAGTTGCTTTCTCTTGCGTTCGGCTAGACCCATCGCGGGTGCAGTGGCCGAGTGTAGGTTTCGCTCTTCGGTTGACATGGCGGGCGGACTATACATCAAGCCCTCGACTGAAGGGGGTTCATATGCCTTTCCCGAGAGTAGCGGGACTTCAACGGTTCTGTTGTCCGGTTTGGACGTTTCGTATGACTTGCCCGATAGCATTGGAGCTTCGTACGACTTGCCAGATAGTAATGGAGCTTCGTACGACTTGCTCGACAGCAAGGGAGCTCCGTATGTCATACTCGACAGCAATGGACCTTCACCATCATCAGCATTTTCGCGAGGTTCCTGTATGATCTGGATCGGCCCAATATCATGGTGGCTGTGGGAACGGTCGTGAGTTTGACGCCCATCGGGAGAAGGCTCTCTCCTCGCGCCCTTGTCCGGACGACGACTACTGCTGCGCTGGCGAGTCCGCAGTCGTTCTCTGTCGCTTGTCACGAGGCGTAGACTGTCATCTGTACTGGACATGGGCACCGGTGACGACGGTGACCTAGCCCTTGGATCTTGAACCTCTTCGCTGCGACCCCGGCTCGACGGATCACCTCTGCCGGAAGTAACGTTTCGGGCGCGACTTGAAGAGCGGTTTTTTCGGCGCTCAGAGGAATTCCGTGAGCGTGGTTTGCGAACTCGGCTTGAGCTGCGCGTCTTGGAGGACTGCTTGGCTCTACGGTGTTCGTCTTGATTTTGTGCCGCGACGCTATACTGCATGATCTCCTCTGAAGACATTGGAACGGGGGAAGACGGGGACCGTTTGGCAGGTTGAACGTATCGTTTGTCGTCTCTACCGCGAGTCTCCTGTGATGTATTTCGCGTGTGGTGTTTGTGCGTTGCGGCAGAGTCATCAGTGTTTCGCCGACTGCGGCCAGGCTGACGATGGTGTTTTCTTGCGCGATAGCTTGCCTCGTCCAAGCTGCTGATATAGGGGTCTATACTCCGGCCGCTCACACTCGGGCTCCTAGCAGAGTTGTAACTGTTCAGGGTCGATGCAGGACTCCTAAAGTCACTTTGGTCGAGCATCTCAGACTGCGAGTGTTCTCCCTGGCTCAGTCGAAGCGAAAGGCCATCAGGTTTTCGATCTCTAGATCCATTATGACTGTTTGACTGCTCCTGTAACGCCTCAAAAACCCCCGGAGCGGGGGATGGTAGCCCCTTGATGGTAGCAAATCGATCCGCAGTGGCCTGAACCGCAGTCTGTGGGCTAGGCTTGAATGCACCTTCGGGATCATATCTTGTAGCAGACAGAAGGCCACGTTGATCTTCGCTTTCGTTATCTTGTTGGCTCGTATTGGCGAGCTCCTCGTTCTCGGAAGTTGAACCGTAGTCGACTGATTTGTTCACACCCCTGGGTGGGAATGACGGGGGTTGAACGTCCACCGGTGTTTCGCCAATCGATGGTAAACGTCGTCGGTTAAAGCCTGGTGTACCCGTGCGAGACCCCATCGCATTATTGATACTCTGAACATTATTGAGTTTGTAAGAACCGAATCCTCCGGGCGACAGTGCTGAATCCACAACGGCAGATTCTGCAATAGGCGTGACTCCGGGCGCGTTCGTAGGCGTTCGATCGTCTGATTTCAACCCCGGGAAGCGGAACTTCTTGCCGGGTTGAGAATCGAAGGACGTAATCAACTTCAGTGCCGGTGTTTTCAACGGGCGGTTGTTCTCTGTAGGCTGTGGTTGTGAGCTTGGCGCGAGAAGGTTGGCCGGGTTTTGATACTGGGGTTCAGGCGATGTCATCGGGGATCTCCCTGAGATCGCCTCCGCGAAGGACGTGACCTGCTGCGCCGCCGGTGGGGACCATGGGTCGGAAGACTCCACGCCGGTGCACATGAAACAGCGTATTGCCAACTGTTGCTGGGAGTGCGAGACGACGTGCTCACCCCACCGTCGGACAAGATAGGATTGTCTCTGCCAGTCGGTCGGCGTCACCAAGCACGTCATCAGAATCGCCTCCATGAAATAATTTTGCGACACGTAGACCTCGATGGCATCGATCTTGTCACCGATACCCAGCAGTATCGTGGCTGCAGTATGTACGTCCCCTGCCTCGAGCAACTTCTGAACGAATGCCTGCCCCACTTTGTTGGCCTGGGATTCTCCATTCATCTGGCTGAAAGCTAAGAGCATCCAATCCACGACAGAGGCAGGGCCAGGGCCCATCATCGACACCATGTAATCTGCATCAGACTGGCCGATCCATTGGGCCAACAAAACGGCGCTGTGGCTGCCCGGACGATGGCGGCTGAGCTCATCCTGGATCAGATCTCCGATATCGCCATTCCAACCGAAGACGACACTGAGCATCTGACGGCGCAAATCATCGGGGTTCAGATGCGCTTCGTCTAGGAGGCGTTTGTTCCCGTAAGGTACCTCATTCAGGCGTGCACGGGTAAAGGGGAAAAGGTCGGCAGGCTTGTTATCCGCGGGACTAAATTGAATTTCGTTTTTCAAACGCGATCCCGCACGCGAGCTCTTCACCGACGACATCGACACGGAGGGGGCGTATGCGTAAGAAGCATTAGACGGCTGGGGTGTATCCCGCTCACTGGCCGATGTTAACGAGAAAGACGTCCCGGTCCGCCCAGATCTGCTAGGTGGGGAAAATGTGCCTGCTCGATACTTGTCCGATGAAGCCTTGGAACTAACGGAGTTTGCGTGGCTTCGGGATGATACTGGACTCTCCATTTCGGCTCGTTGCTGTCGCACGGCGTCGATCCCGCTAGGATCGAAATGCGCTTGCGCCGGGAACATGGACCCTGATTCTCTCATGTCGGGAGGATCCTGTAAGGAGCGTGGAGGCATAGCGCGGGCTCTAGCTTCGTCCAATGGGGCAGGCATAGCACCAGGTGGAACATGACGCACGTTTGCCACCATAGCCGGGCTATCCACGTCGTACTGCTGCACGGTGTATTGAGGTCCAAGGGTGAAAAGAGTAGCAGTCGGGCCATAGCTCGCTAAGCCACGAGGGCTCTCTACCGTCGGTATAGGTTCGTAGGTGACGTGCTTAGTTTTCACATCCCAGGCCCATGTCTCTCTATGACAATCTTGGATTAGCTTTCAAACAAGCCATCGGTGAACAATCAACCAACCCATCAAGATATTGGATTATCTTTCCGTTCTTTGACCATGCCATCCACTTCGGTTCCGAGGAGGAAGAAACATCTGATCGTTTGAGGACTCTGATAACCCGAGGCGCTTCCTTTCCAGGTGGCTTTGCGACGCTCCAAACACGCAAATCACCATCCGACGACAGGGTAGCCAGCATGTCCGATTTCTGCTTCGATGACGAGGCATGCCAAGCCAGTTGTACAATCGGCGACGGGCCTCGAGCGGTAGACATGGTATGTAGGATGGAGAACGTCGGATGGAGGGTAGCGATGAGAATGGATCCATTTTGATATCTATGCTCTGATCAACACACGATATAACAAAGGAGTTTGGGAGAGTGTACCCGATGGAGTATGTTCGGCAATCTATAGCGGGTGCTAAGGCGGTGATAGGATCAAAAATGGTACGGCACGAGATGTGTTCTGATGTCGACGGCTCGAAGAGAATTACATCACCTTTGGCATTGCCTATTGTTCAGTCAGTTATAAGCTCTCGAACGACAGGTTTGAAGGCCAGTACCAAAAGCCACATTGCCATTTCGCATCCAGGCTGCGACCTGCAGCTCCTCGAAAGATGCGAACCTGGCAATGACACTCCCCGTAAATAGATCCCAGACGATGGCGGTTTTCCCGGTATCATAGCTCACAACCAACCTCCCTGCACCCCTTTCGCTCACGTTGTCTACGCATATGAAGCGAACATCGGCTTGGTGGCTTTCGAACCGGCACTCTAAAGCGAGCGTATCATGGTGCAAGCATAGGATCGCCGATCCCTGGGCGTAGAGAAACAAGGAGGCAGTGGAGGCACATGCGTCGAACTTGGCATCAGAAGCTTGGGATTGGGTTGTCATCGGAGGAGCCGGAGGAACGATTGGCTTCATCTTGGTAGATCGCGAGTCTGGAATGGGGTTTCTGTTCCATGATAGCTCAACCATGTCTCAGTGATACCTTAGCTCCAATGGTATAGTTTTCTTTCTCTGTCCGTTGTTTGGTGCTGAGGTGTCCTGTCCTGCTAACTTCGGCGTCACGAGTCGGTCAGAATGGAGCTGAACTAACTGCTATGAAAACAGCGCCGGCTATAGTCCACAGCTGCTCATCGAGCTCCACAAAGCATACAGGTTCTATGCGTCGAATTTCTCAATCATTCCACAATCAGCACCGATAATTTGGACTCGGAATAATGTTGTCGGGACCAATGTCGGGAAGCGCCGGTGCAACGTAGGATCTGGCGACAGAGCACGTAGCAATCACGAGTCGCTGTGTGAGGAGAATGAGACAATCTGCGACCTCCCAAAGAGTCCGACCTGCGTTCGAGTATCGGTGATCGAAACTTAGGAGACGAGTAGCAAAGAACCAGCAAAGAACCGACAGAGCGGTTCGCACAACGATATGCCCTGGTGATGGGGTGGAGAGGAAAAAGGACGGTCACGACAGGAGGCTAACTAATGTCCTTAATTTTACAACGAAGCAACAAGCGAGGCGTACAAACATGCAAGTGGAAAGTAAGAAAGATGCAGGTGAGGGACTAAGAGGGAAGCGCACTAAGCGGGAAGCACGTTGGCGGCATAGGAGTATGGAGGGGAAGCAAAGAAAGAGCGGAGGCGGGGGGGATGGAAGAGAAAAAGGGAAATGCGACCAGGTAGATCAGACGCATTGACAGAGCGATCCTCGCTGTGGACTCCGTAGGTCGCACCTAAGAGATACAGTTGGTTACTTAGGCGCACTTTCGTTCAGTCGGCCTCCAGAGCCCAGCCTCCATGTATGAGGCCTGATAGGTGGTCTATCAAATATCTGAGGCGTCACGAAAGGCAACGGCGACAAGACGATCGAAATCTCCAAGCATCAAGCAATTAGAGCTCGCGCCAAGATAGGTTGACGGCGCTTCTCAGGCCAGGATATTATCACGGGAGCACGGAGTGTCCGTTCGAGGACCTAATTAGCGGACAAGTTAAATCGAACTCCGTCGCGATGCATCCGATCCTGCTGGTGGCTCTGGCATGGGCTCACCAACGAGCATGCAGCGATGGGTCCTGATCGGGAGGTCTCGCAGTCGATCGCCCCATCCTTGCCAGGAGCATCATACCTATCCGCAGTGGAAGGCATCTCTATAGGGTATGGAGCCGTGATCATGCCCTGGCTTAATCTACAGCTAGAAGGCCAATTAGTTCAGCACGTACGGAGGATTGGAGCAGAAAGTTTGCGACTAAGCTCGAGCGACAAGAGACCCATGGCCAATTGTCACACTAGGGAAGGCATGGCGGGACGTCAGCGATCAAAGAAAATAAAATCAAATAGCATAAAATTAAACGTGGTATTAATAGCAAAAATGATGGCAGGAAGTGTAAAGGGTTTGCATACATCCGGCCGTTCTGCATGGGCTCTCGGGTGGGTGCCCACCGGGGATTCGGGTGATGATGGGCCCTTATTGGCCGCGGAGTGCAGAAGGCGTTTCTTCATGCTGCACGTCTCATCACAGCCTTCCGCCAATCAGTAACCACACAAGGCCCCTCTCTGACCTCAACTGACCACCTGGGCGCGTATTTAGGTCCCTTCGAGCATTGTGCTTGGACTGGTGGAGAGTGACCACGACCCGCTTCCCCAATCGCAGGCCGTAGCGCTGGGGAAGGATTGCTGTTAATATCCCAAGGGCGGTTGTTAGAAATACCACCGACCGAATCACACCTGCGATCATTGCGAGGTACGACAAAGCAGCAGCAGATGCTACCTGGGATGGACGTGCGAGGAATAGCGGTCGTATCTCACTCAGAGGTCGCCGTTGGTGGAAAGGAAGATTCTCCACATAAGTGCATTAGACCCAGATCAGGACATGACTATATATCAGATCCATGAGCCTGCAGTCGTTGATGTCCTTGACTGTTTCATAACCAAATACGCGAATGGCAGGCATCAAACACAAATCGTTATCAGTAACGAATAGCCAAACAAACAGCGTTTTTATCCGACCTTCGACCATCCCAATCGTAGCGCAGAACACCTGTGTATCAAAGCGCCTTGACACGGTTTTAGAGCGACAGACCGGTTTCGTAGGAAAAGATTAGTATCAACAACGGTAATATTAACGAACACAATGAACTGAATAAGACGAAGGGAAAAGGATCATCGATAAGACACAAAGCTCAAGTCTATCACGAATCCTTCAGTTGATTGTGGACGCAGGGTGATGTGATCGGCAAACAGCTTTTGTGACTGTGGCATGGCTAGTGCTGTTGATGCGGGGATGTTTGAGAGCTCAGACCGTGATGGCGCATCCTGGCCGATGTGACTGTCAAGCCTCAGAGCTCTGGGGCTGATCACCGTGTCAACGAGCGATGGGGCCTGGACTCGAGCTTCAAAATACCAAGAATGGTCCAGGCTTGATTCGTTGAACCTTGACGCAATTGTCTAGACCGATGGAGAATCCAGAACGACAGCTATAGCTATACCTGCCGGTCAGAATGGAATTATACATCCGTCACCTGAAACAGCAAAGCAACGAGTCAGAACCGATGCATCTGTGTCACCACATCACAGCACACTGGCTGGAAAGGTGATGAGAGTATGATAGACGGTGTGATAACTCGGAGAAATTAGTTGATTGAACTGTTTTATTCTCCATCAATTCGAACCCGACTCGTCTCGTGACTTGTTTTGGAGACAGTCATGTGACTCAATGCGGCGATAGCGATAAGGTCACATGGTGATACGGGGATAAGTCGGGCCGGAAGATTTTGTAGAATATTTCTCGCCATACAATCCATGACATCGTCGGAATTGATGATTACCTACCTGGCTGTGTTCATACGCTATTCTTGTTAATTCTCACTTCTTGTTCATTCTATACTGTGTCGCAATGGGTGTACAAAAGAAAACCCGCAAGTTCGCCCAGGTAAATCTCCTCACGACTGCGATCGAGGCACCTATTAACTTGACTACGCTAGGTGAAACGCACCATCAAACAGCGCGATGAGCGCGTGAAGAACCCCCGGCCAGCGCCAAAGAAGAGAAGCCGAAAGACGAACTCACAACACAGGCTCCGCAAGCCCCGTCGAACATGTTCTTTACGGCCAACACCGCTCTCGGTCCTCCCTACCACGTCCTCGTCGATACCAATTTCGTCTCCCACGCTATTCGCACGAAGCAAGATCTGCTCACATCTATGATGGACCTGTAAGACTCACGTTGGGTGGGACATATGGCCGGGCGCTGATCGTTGACCAGGTTGTACGCCAAATGTATCCCGACGTTTACGGACTGCACGATTGCGGAGTTGGAAAAACTAGGTGACAAGTTCCGGCTGGCATTGCGGACGGCCAAGGATCCGCGATGGGAGCGAGTGCGGTGCAGTCACTCGGGTACTTATGCGGATGACTGTATTGTCGATCGGGTAGGTGGTTCATCGTATTTCAGGAGAATGGGATAACTGACTGCGGAATAGATAACGAAACATCGCATCTACATCGTGGCGACCAACGATAAGGACCTCGTTCGACGGATTCGCAAGATCCCCGGTGTGCCGGTGATGAAGGTGGCTAGAGGGAAATTCACCATTGAGAAGCTTCCTGACCACTTTGAATGAACGAGGCTGAGACGCATGATTTGATACCCAATACGAAAACTCCGAATCCGGAACTTTTCTCCTTACATCCAGAACTTGAGTATACATGCTGGGCGTTGAACAGCGGCGTTGCTCGGACTGACCGCTGCTTCGCTTGCCCTGGTTACTATTGAACTAGAAGATGGCCCTCTGTTCAGTCAGGTCGCTTTGGACCATGCGTGTTCCATTAGCGGATAAGAGCCGGGTGGCTCCTGAGCATATACTATATCATCTTGGAGTACAATGGGGGATAGAATACTAGGATCTCACAATTGACTTATTATGACTCATGATAACAAATGAATATATCTATATTCGGGTTACTATCTCAGTCTTGTAGATGTAGATCATCCATCACCATTACTCCATACTGGTGCTGTCGAATACCTCGGAAGCATCATTAGACAAAGACGCGACGTCACCCAACACGGAGTCATAGATAAGACAAAGCATACCCACAATTTCAATGACAGATAATATCTCTCTCACTACCAACAAGACAACCAGAAAATGCCGCATCGACGCATCGTATGACATAAAAGAAATCGCCTAATCACGGCGCACCATTCCCGATCGCGGAGGGATCCATAGTTGAATGCGGGCCGGGACTAGTCAAGTAGGTAGTTATCGGAGACACTCATAACCCCACGATTTCCCTCATTCCCCATGACTCGATCAGAGATTCAATCCCCAACCTCAAGATGACACAGGGAAAAGAGACGATCGTTGTTGTCGGGTACACATCCAGTCCTCCACTGCCTACATAATCTACAACCAGCTAACAACATCAGAGCCGGCGTCCTCGGCCTCACCACCGCCCTCCGTCTCCAACAAGAGACCCAACGCACCCAACAAGTCCTAATAGTCGCAAGAGACTTCCCCAACACAACCTCACTAAACTATGCATCCCCCTGGGCCGGCGCGCACTACCGCCCCGTCCCAGGGTCCACCCCGCAAGCAGTCCGCGAAGAAAAACAAGCCCAGCAAACATACAAGCACTTCAAGACCCTCGCGGCGCAAGAACCCGGCGCAGGCGTGCAGATCGTCGACGGCGTCGAGCACCTCGAGAATCCGCCCGCGGAATACCTCGACCCGGAGAACATCCGCAATGCGTACGCGCATCTGGACGGCTTCCGCCAGCTGACGGCGGAGGAGTGTCCCGCGCCGACGAAATGGGGGGTCCGCTACAAGTCGGTGGCGGTCAATTCGCCTGTTTACTGTGCGTGGCTGCTGCGGCAGTTTGTGCTCAAGGGGGGGCAGGTGAGGGAGTATACGTTGGGGGATGTGATGGAGGCGTTTCATTTGGCGGGGAATGTGAAGACGGTGGTTAATTGTTCGGGGATGGGATTTGGGGATCCGAAGTCGTTTATCATTCGAGGTGTGTATCCACCTATTCATCTACTGCGCCTATCCATCTAGACAGTGGCAACTTCCCGACGTTGCCGACAATGATAACTAACTAACTACAACCAGGCCAAACATGCCTCGTCCGCAACCCTTGCACAATGACCCTCACGCGCCAAAACACCGACGGCAGCTGGTCATTCTGCATCCCGCGGCCTCTCGGCGGAGGGACCATAATTGGAGGCACCAAGCAGCCGCGCGACTGGGATCCTCACCCGTCTCCGCAAACGCGCGAAACTCTACTCTCCAACGCAGCCAAATGGTTCCCGTTCACGGCGGAGAGCGGGGGCAAGTTCGACGTGATCCGCGACATTGTGGGCCGGCGGCCGGCGAGGGAGGGCGGGATGAGGATTGAGGCGGAGAGGGTGGGTGGGGGGAAGGTTGTTGTTCATGCTTATGGGGCTGGGGGGAGGGGGTTCGAGTTGTCTTGGGGGGTTGCGGGGGATGTGTTGGATATTGTGCAGGGGAATGGGCTTTTGCAGAGGGCGTCGTTGTAGTATTGTTTCGGTGTATAGATTGTATTATGGACATGTTTGGTTAGAGACGTCTCACGGTAGGCATATCCTGTCACTATCATGTGGCATGTAGTATGTTGGTACTGTAGTCTAGTAGATACTAGACTGTAAGGCAAGGGTGAGGGTATTTCAATGATGCCTAAGGAGAGTGTAATTCAGGATAGCTGCTAGAGCTCTTGATACAATCCAGGATACCACCTAACGATCAAGGAAGAATAATAAGAAAACAGTTGATCTAGCAACGAAAAGTTTTCTACCTACAAACAGGCATAACATGAACTCATAAACCTCCCTCCCCATCCATCCATCACACGATCTATCTCAATCTTGCGCCCCCTCAGATGGCCCTCCGCCTTCCTCTCCGGCTCATTCAATCCGGATCAAGCAGCGGCCGGGCCGGAGGGGGACAACCCCAGAGCTCATCAGAGCGCGAAAACCACACAAAGCGATTCAGGATGTCTTGAAAACAACCAAATATAACCAGCAGTTGCATTGCTCTTCCAGCGTCTGATCAAACACCACGGGCCCGGACAATATGCCTGGTACAACTGCTCTGCAACAGTGTGACAGGTCCGTAACCCGAAAGCCCCAAGAATCTCGGTATCTCGGTAAATCTTGGGAATGTGGCAACAGGCGGGCGCTCAGCCCTAGACTGCTTGACCTGCAACTGGTAACTCGACGCCGTTGATCTTCGCGAGGCGCTCCTCTTCCTTCTGGGCTTGGATTCTCTCCGTCTCGCGACGCAGCGCCTCCAGGTTGAAGGTGTCGTCGTCGTCGTCTTCCTCGTCGCTGCTCTCTTCCTCCTCGCGCCAGTCGCCGGCTTCGAACATGGACCGACCGGTGGCTTCCTTGGCCTTGCGGGCTTGCTCCTCGGCGGCCTTCTTGTCCATGCGGCCCTTCTTCCATGCGGCGAATGTCTCGGGGTTGACGGGCGTCAGGTCGCCCGTCAGCTTGTGCCGTTCGGACTCCAGCCAGTCCTCTAGTGTCAGGGTGTTGAGGGGGGATTTGTCCATGAGAGCTTTTTCCTCGGCCCGCTGCTCCTTTGTCTTGAGAATGAATCTGTGACTGTCAGTATGGTTCGACGAGACATAAATTCACGTCGGGGAGAGAAGAAGGGGGGCCATACCCAGGTGGCAAACTGTGCTTGTACATGCACTTGTCGCCGCCATTAGGACAAGTCCAGAACCAGCCGTACTTCTGGTTCTCGACGGCCTCGACGAAGAACTTGCAGACCTTCTCGGTCGTCGTGCGAGGGTTTCCATGCTTGCTCATAATGACATTGCGCAGCTTCTCCTCATCCCAGTTATCTATCGTATCGGCCTTCTTAGTCTCCTCCTCAGCCGCCTTGACGTCTCGCGAGTCGGTGTAAAGATCGATCTTAGCCGCCTTGCGCTCAACGTTGGGGTCGTGGCTGAATTTGCACTTGCGGCCCTTCTCACAGTTGCCCTGCTTGAAGAAGAGACAGAGCACGGTCTTGGGGTCCACGCCGAAGGGCACCTTCTGAACATGCACGGGCTTGAACAGCTCCGCGGCCTCCTTCTTGGCCTGCTCGGCGGCCTTCTTCTCCGCTGCGAGCCGGACTCTCTCGGCCTCCTTCTTCTTCTCGTCAGGTCGCTTGTTGGACAGTGCTTGAGCCTGCATCTGAGCGATCTGTTTCTTGGCCTGGGTTCCTTTTTTCTGTGGCAAATCTCCGTCAGTTGGGTCCTTGGGCGGGAGTGTAGATGCAGGTGTAGGGTTCGCGGGGTATTGATGGTATTGTTGGGTATAACTGGTGGCTACGTACGTTTTTCATGCCAAAGGTCTATCAAAATTATCGTTAGCCTTCCATCCCAGGGAAGAGGACCATGCGACCGGGACAAACCTTGTCGTCGACCGTCTTCTTCTTCTTCGGCTCATTGTTCTGCTGCTTCTTGGGCGGCATGATGGCGGTTTTTCCTTGTTAACCTGTGTATAAAATAACGGGGACGCGCCAGCGACAGTGGCGGACAGCCTCGCTCCCACAATAAGGCGAGTAAAAGTCGTAAGTGGGGTGGTCCCAGGGAATCAAGTAGCGGAAATGACAGAAAGAGACTGCCAGAGGTCGTCCAGCGTTCGTGAGAAGCAAGTCAACGAACTCCGTCCAAAACCAACGATCGTGGGGGGGTTTTTTGAGGTATAAAGGGTATCAGTAGGTAATAAAGCGTGGTGGTGGTGGGAGGTTCAAGGTCAAAGTTCAAAGTTGTTCCTCCACTCAGTGGGTTTCGGTGCCGGATTCTGATTTGGTGTGGCGGTTGCCAACATAATCAGTTCATCTCTGCGCTCCGCCAATGATGGTTCTCTTGGCTGGCCTCAATCTCTTAAGGTAGTACCTATTTACTGTCTGTCCCTTTAAATATTCTTAAACCCGATTTATCTTATTATTGTAGAATTTTGGTGGTCTTCATGGTAATCATCTTGTGGGCGATTCGACGTCATGTCGATCAATGTACGGTCGCAGATGGGCCCAAGCCCTAACCAGAACAACAGAACACACCCGATCTTACGAGTTACTGTGAAGACAGTCAATAGGGAGTAAGGTACGAACGAACGAGCCAGAATACTCGTCGTTATTATTCGTAAGCGGGCTATTCAACCCAATAATGTACTACCTAATATGCCGGCCAAGTGTCGGCAGCAGCGTAAACTAGCACTCGCCAGCCTGAACATCCGAATATCACAACGCACGGCAGCCTCGTCGATAACACCGCTTTTCAAGGATTTTTCATTGACTTCTTTGAGTCATGCGTCACTCGTCCTGCAACTACGGATATTGCCCATCGTCATTTAATCGTCATTTAAGCCACCTCCTGGATCTTGGACTTGGCCGAACCCTCGTCCTTCTCGGCTTCCTCGAGCTCCGGCATATCATCATCGTCCTAAACAGTCAGTACTCATCTATGGAAGAGGGTTGGAATAAGGGACTGCCGATCACGTACCTCCTCACCAGCGCCCTCAGCGCCGGGCATGCCGGGCATGCCACCCATACCGGGCATACCACCCATGCCGGGCATACCGGCCATGCCGCCCAGACCTTCCATGCCACCGAGCTTGGAGAAGTCAATGTTTCCAAGACCGCCCTGGTCGCCGCCCATGCCCTCCATGCCACCCATGCCACCCATGTTGTTCGCATAGTCATCCTCGGGCTGCTCGTCTTGCTCATCCTCATCAACCCACTGTTCCCCAGTCAGCAACTCTTCTCGTTTCTCCGGGTAAATCCAGAGCATACCTTGTCGAAATCGGTCTTCAGGAAATGGGCCTTCTGGGTCGACTTGAGCAGACGGGGCCAGTACTCCTCCTTAAGCTCCTTCTTCCGCAGAACCAGCTCCACCTCACGGTCACTGTGGTTCACCTTGGTGTGCTCGGTGTCGATCTCGCCGTACAGGTCGAGGGAGACATCGTAGTTGACGCCCTTCTTGGAGTATCCCGAGAACGAGACGTTGGTCGAGGTGATGGACAGCTTGGCACCGGACTTCTCGACATCGGGGGCCTTGATGTCAACGTACAGGTAGTTGCGCTCGGCCTCAGTGGACGACGAGCGCTGGGCCCACGTGACTGTCGAAAAAAATATCAGCTATCAATTCAAAATGGGTCTAGAGCAAATATCAAATCAAATCATCGAGGAGCCAAAATCGCCCATAGTGGGGAGTTATGGGATGGTAGATAATTCATTCGAGCAAAGCGGGGAAGCATGAGGGACGGAAACAGCACATACCCTCAGGGTGAAGAGTGGGAACTTCAGGCATTATGAGATAGAAGTAAAGTCACAAAGAGTTTAAAGAAAAAGAACAAGATAGAAGAATGATGTTGATAGAGTATGATGGAGGTCGAGGTGGGAGGAAGAATGGAGAGAGGAAAGCTAGAGTGAAATTGGAGCTGGATGATCCCTCGAGTGATGCTGTTAACGTAGAATGTACTGGAACTCTCCCGCCGTTTGCCTGGTTTGTCTGCGGTCGGTCGCCTGAGTGCCTGGGCAGTACGTCACCGCCTTACTTTTATGTGTCTTATGCAGTGCTATGTGTGGTCATGACTCAGCAGCGCCCGGACTGTCCACTGCTTGGCCACCCATCGACGCTTTCATTCTGGATGCCCTCTTAGGCAACGATGCCATTGATACCCGGAAAGAAGCGTTTGTGGACTGCATCATTCTCTCTGTGAGGGGTGGTATTAATCTTTGCTTATCGGTGGAGCTGTCCGCTGGTGTCTGGAGCCTTTCACTACAGTACCCCGCCTATCTTGGCTCCTCCTCAATCCCAGGCTAGATCTGCGATATCTTCCTACGCTACTGCTCACTTGTCAGGACACTCTGGTTATTATATCACGATTTTTGAATTCGCATACGATTCTCAAGCCTAACGACTTGAACACTCGTCGAGAATCACCCATCATGGAAACTCTAAAAGCAGTCTTCTTCGGACCTGATCCGCAGGCACAGGTACGGCTCATCACACCCTACTTTGCCCATTCTATCTAACCATCCTCTAAATAGATGAGAAAATGCAACCAGCTCATCCGTGCCAACACCCGTCAACTAGATCGAGACATCTCCCAGCTGAGGCAACTCGAGAGCAAAACCCGACAATTCATCATCAACGCTTCCAAACGAGCCGAGCGAAACCCCTCCCAATCCAAGCAGGCCATGACGGAAACCAAAACCTTCGCGCGAGAGCTCGTTCGCATCCGCAAACAGTCGACCCGTCTGAACACGAGCCGCGCGCAACTCCAAAGCGTCCAGATGCAGGTCAATGAGGCGTTCGCGGTACGGAAGATCCAGGGCAGTCTGAAGAAATCGACGGGGATCATGAAGGACGTGAATACGCTGGTCCGTCTGCCGGAGCTGTCGTCGACCATGCATCATCTATCGGCTGAGTTGGTGCGGGCGGGCATCATTGAGGAGATAGTGGACGATGCGATGCCGAACAACGAACTGTACGAAGGCGAGGACGACGAAGCGGAGGAGGAAGTCGACAAGGTGCTGCAGGAGATCCTCCAGGGTAAGCTGTCGCAAGCGCAAGGACCCGTTACGGAGCCGCCGGTGGAAGAGCCCAAGGTGGACGAGGAGGAGTTCGAGTCTCGGCAAGCCACTTTGGGAGAGATGCGGGACCGGCTGGAGGCTTTGAAGAGCTAGCGTTGGCACTGGGTTAGGAACTTTGGTTTCTTTTCCCCCCTTGTTGGTTCTTGTGTTGTATGGGAGTTTGGCGGTGCAACTGTTTCTGTTTTATACATCTTATATATAAAGGCCGGTCCTTATTCAATCTTAGTGGTCTGTCGTTATGCGCTATATAATAGTGGTAAGTATTAAGAAATCGGCTGCGTATTAAATCGTTAGGTGTATCTTTGTCAATAGTAGAGTTAAGCTATTATAATTGATTTTATATATCTTACATTGCTTATTAGTGAGCGTCGTGTCCCGCTCAGATATATATAAGCGTTCGATAAGAAGTTCTGGGTCAACCTCCTAAATTGGATAGTCTCAAGGAGTCGGTATTTATTACTCAATCAAATATTAACTATCAAACTGAAATTCTACTCCTCAATAAACATCAATAATCTCTTTCAATTGATACTCATAACCCCGTTGTCCCTATTATCCCAGTGTCAGAAAAGCACCGCTTACATAATACATTCCCCATCCGAACACAGCCTAGCGCCAAACGGCCAGAGTCATCCCCGTGACTTCCTTTCCATCTTTCCGCCCTTGCTTATCTTCCCATTCCTCCTTCTCCCTCTGTCTCTCCATCATCCCGCATCGCGTTATTCATCATCGCGTAATCATCTATCTCCAAATCATCTATCTCCAAATCATCCATCTCTATTGATCAGTGTCTTTGATCCAACCTTTTGAAGCAGATTCTCGTACTCTGCCTTCCGTTGCTACCAATCTTGCAACGCCACACCTGAACTCACGTACGGAGTTCAACTTTGCCAACTTGCCAACTTGCCAACTCGTGTTCCATTGCTCTATCCATCTCGAATCAATATGTCGGGTAAGCTGGACAAGTCGCTCGACGAGATCCTCGTCAACCGTCGCCAGGGCGCTCGTCGTGGCTCTGGTCGCCGCTCGGCTGCGCCCAAGCCCGCCCCTGCTGTTGGCGGAGTCAAGAAGAACACGAAGGCGGTCAAGACCGCTGCAAAGCCCGTCCACCACAATGGACGACCCAGAGTGACTGAGAGTAAAATCATGGTCAGCGGCTTGGTAAGTTTTCTCCGTTTCATCTCAATCCACTGAATACACGCTAACGCGACACAGCCGGCCGATGTGAATGAGGCCAATATCAAGGTATGTTGATCGAGAGGCCTTCGCCTTGGGTTTCATCGCCATGTTCTTTCGTCGAGATTATCGAGCGCAAACGGCCTCCATTCGTATCACGACCTTGCCACACGCGATACATATACCTTATCTCCTGTGATGGTGTCGCATAGACAAAAGCTCCTTCGGAAATCATACCCGCCAGATCAGACAGGCGGTTGTCTATGAAGTTGAGCTCTGTCGTAGTCCAGCAAAACGCGCATATTGCACGACGGGTTGATCCAAGATCCCCGCGTGATCGCGTCGCGGACTGTGCCAATCTGGTTGAAATACACCATACTTCTCTCGTCCCGTCTTGCCATGTCTCCTCAACGCATCGCGGATGACGGGCATCAGCGAGCGCACCAGCAGACCAGCAGTAGTTCAAGCATACGTGGGAAACTTGACGGAGCATCCATCACACACGGCACATGGCGAATGCCTTTTCTTGCAGTCGGAGACATTATTACTTTGGGGTGAACCCATGCCAATCTCTCGCTCTTCTATAGAGTTTCTCGGGAGCGTCTGGGATAATGCTCCAGCTCTGGGATAATGCGTCCAGCTCATTCTATTGCCGCACACTGGAACTGGGGTATTCCAGCATGTCGCATCCTGTGCATTGGAGCGAGAACATTTCGGGCGGTGGGCAGTTGCGGGCAGAATGGGTGCAGGATATTGCACTTTTGTTGGATGCTTTACGTACGGTCGGAATGTTTGATATGGTTGGCTGTTGTATTGGTTACGGGTTTCGTAGTAGAGCGGGGCTCTGCTAGTACTAACCACGCTGTGCTCTCGCTGATGCTCATTCGACTTGGGGCCGTTACTACGCTTCGATGTTCTGTTTATGCCAGATACCGATCTCATGTTTAATTCTTGAGCTCGATTACTGATTCGGTTCGTCTTTAGGACTACTTCACACAATCTGCAGGTCCCGTGAAGCGGGTGATGCTCACCTACAACCAGAACGGCACCAGCCGGGGCATCGCTTCGATCGTTTTCAGCAAGCCCGAGACTGCGGCCAAGGCTGCGAAGGATTTGAACGGACTGCTCGTTGACGGAAGACCCATGAAGGTGGGATCCCTTACCTTGTATACCTGTATCTATAGTCTAACCATTCTAGATCGAGGTGGTTGTTGATGCCTCTAGCGCTCCCAACGTTCCCGCCCCGAAGCCTCTTGGCGAGCGTGTGGTGTAAGTTTCCCCCTGATTTACGACTGAATAACTGCTCATCTTTTACAGTCAAAACAAGCCCCAGCCGAAGCCTGCCACAGCCACCAAGACTGCCGGAGCCACGCGCGGACGTGGTGGTCGCGGCCGTCGCCGCGGAGCTGCTGCTGCCGGCGGTCGTGCGAACCGCCCCAAGCCCAAGACCGCCGAGGAGTTGGATGCCGAGATGGTCGATTACTTCCAGTCGACGGAGAACTCCAACCCCGCCGAGGGTGCCGCCCCGAACGGCAACGTCCAGCCTGCCGCCAACGGTGGAGAGGATATGGGAATGGCGGAGATCTCCTGAGCGCTTATGATACCCTTCCGTCGAGTTTGACGGAGGACCTCTTGTTTCCTTTTCATGACGTGTTTTTCTAGTTTTTCTACTCTTTATTATCGGCTTTCTTTTAGTTTTTTAAGACGTCCTTTTCTTGGGTTATGATGGACGGGGGTGCAGAGAATGTATGTATTTAATAACAGCCGCAATGAATGTGGAGCATTTCACTTGGTAATACGGAGTAGAGTGTAGCTGCTATTCATGCGTATTGCTGTCGTCGAGCAAGGCCCTAAGTTGTACAGTAGTCAAAACTTCTGGCAGCTCTATCCATTGCTCAAGTGATAGTCCTAGCTATAGCCCTATATAAACTACAGTATGTCCAGTCCATTTTACTCCGTACGTTCAAGTAAACCAAACATGACAAAGTAGATTGACAAATTAGATGAACACCTAACAAGACATGAAAGCCAACTAACAAATCAAGCCCGACCAAACAAAGACACCAACCCACACCAACGGACAAACTTAACCTTATATCAACCCGAACGAACCCTACTCCAACCCAACCAACCCAGCCCAGACAGACCCAGACCCAAGGAAGTATCATTCCATTCCATATACCTTACCTTACCTTAAATCCACGTTATACACCGAACCAGAACCCCGCTCACACATCCAGCCAACAGAAAGAAACACTTTATCTTCATCCGCAGTAACAAACAAACAAACAAACAAACAAACAAACAAACACAAGTCCAACCCCAAACTACGAACCCTAATTCTCGCCCCACGGATCCAACTCATCCATCGGAAGCACGGGATTACTGCAGTAATAGCGCAGGAAGAGTTCCGCAAGGGAAAAGGCCGGGTCGTCGAAGGCGACGCGCGGGGTGTATTGGATGACGAGGTTTGAGCCGCTGTGGTGGGCTTGGATGATGCGGCCGTGATTTGGGGGGGTGTAGGAGAGGAGGAGGACCTGTTTATTATTACCTAGTTAGCAATGAAGAAAGGGGGGGAAGGGAAGAAGAGGAGATTAAGAGGAGATTAAGAAGAGAACAAGAAGAGAGAAAGAAGAAGAGAGAGAGAAGAAAGAAGAAAAGAGAAAACAAACCGGCACAACCAAACACTCCCGATTATACTCCCTCTCCATAGCAATCCTCATCACGCGAACAATCGACTTAATTTCGCCCACCTTAAGCTGCAGCACGAGGTTGGACTGCTCATCAGACTGCGCATCCCCCGAGGAAGCCAAGTCAAAGACGACATGGGGGTGGGTATGGTGGGGACACTCGAGCACTTCGGATACCGTCCACTGGTGGGAGGCGCTGTCTATCTGGTATAGGGTGAGTTCGTCCCGGAAGGGCCATTTTCCTTTTGCGATTGCGCTTGTTTTCTGTTAGCAAGATAGGCTGGATGGCGGCAGGAGAGAAAGAAGGAAGAAAGGAAGCGTACCCATCGTTTCGGAATGAAGTGAACCCCGTCACGGAGGACCACCGCGAAACTACAGTACTGGCCAGCTGGGTATCTGCTCGACGCAGAAGGTAAGGGTATCTCAGATCAGAGGAGCTAGAGTTGTCCTCTTCGGCGCTATGCGAGACATGGGTTGAGCGAGGATACGGCGTCTCGAGATAGAAGTTTCTATTCGGGGGGATGAAGAAGACCGGGTTGAACTCGGGGATGGAGGTGGGGAGTATATCAACAGGAACATCGTGGATACCTATGACTTTCAGAAGAGAGCGAGAACAGGATGGACCTTTGACATTCTCCAGCTTCTCGTGCAGTTTGGCAAGATCGTCGTAGATATGGTTTCGCTTCTCGTGTAGGGTTGCGCTGCTCATTGTGCAGGTGCGAATGGATACCCAAGAAGCCAGGCAGGCAAGCGGGGAGAAGGGCATGATGAGGGTTAGTTGTGTAGGAAGATAGTCCGTTGTTGTAAGAGATGAAGTTGGAAGAAGGTTTGATGTCCATATTGGGAGATGGTTATGCAATCACTGTTGATGTTGTGGTTGTTGATGTCACTGCGCTTGTTGGTTACCTGAGCATTCACGTAGGGATGAGCTCATCTCATCTTCCTTTGACATGGACAAACAACGTAAGGTTATAGGTATGGAGTTTTAGAATCTATATATGTATGTTGATGTATTGATGGATTGATATCAAAATTGTAGTCTACACTGGCGAACTACAGGAGGCTACGTACGGTGTATCTATATGCAGAGCGAAAGATCTTGAGAAGAAGCTTATTCTGTATACTAGATATCACCAACTACCGTATATAATTCGAGGTAGGAAGTATATGTAGTGCAGGGAAAGAGCGAAGCACGCCATATACCAAGCACAAAAGCCTATACTGTCAATATGGAAGCCATAAGGTGGTAGTGAACTAGATCAGACAATGTTTCTGTTGTTTCAATATTCTATACTCATATTTACTATACTTTGACTACTGCTATCTAAGCTTAGTGTCTTGTATGATTGTCTACTAGAGCTCGCTCTACTCTAGTACCACTCTCGCCCCAGATTATATACTTGCCTGTTTAGATGTCGATCATGTAATACCCCATATTTCATAACTAGCTTGTCTCAAAGTCTGGAAGAAATGCCTCCGGTTTATATTGCAGGACAGACTCGGCAGAACATACCGAGCAGCTAGCTGCATATAGCACGGACGGGTGTCCGCCAGATCATCTATCTCATATTACTGTTTGACAAATTTTGTTGCCCTCATGCTAACAGTCTCTTCAGCTAGGCCGTAAATTATCCGGAAAATGATGAAGAACCGATATCTGATCCTGGCTAGCTAGCGTGGACAGGCTCACGTGTCATATATAACAAGCAAATGTCCGGATGACCGGAGGTGTACTATAAAAGAACCAAGGTCTCTTGGAGAATTAAAATGCTGTCCATTTCTTCAAGCACAGCTCGTTGGCAAGATGAAAATCATACTATCGCTGGTATTGTTGTTCCTCCACGCCTCGGCCACCATCCTCGAGAACGGCCAGGTCAGGGAGAACCCATACCCTGGACAAGCCCAGAAGGTGTCTATCGGCGAGAAAGGATGGAAAACGTACAAGCCTGATGCGGCGGAGATCTCGTACAAGGGGCGCTGGGATGATCAGCATATTTCGTGTTAGTTATCCTTACCAAAATGGAATTATGTCTGACCTTTGATAGGGTGGTCGTGAGTTACGAAGAAAGTCATGATTGGGCTTGGCTAAAATCTACAGAGCTCCGGGTATCAAATTCGCATTCACTGGAGACAAGGTATACACTAGAATATGATGTTGTAGGCTATACTGATGTGTTTAGCTGGCATTGAGCTTCGGCAAGAATACCGACCAAGGCGTCCTCGTCGCCTATCGGTATGTTGACTCTAACGTCTGCCCGGAAAAGTCTAACCTTGATAGCATGGGAGGCCTCGACTGGCAGTTCTCCAACGTCACGGCCGACGCGACATATCAATTTGCGGGGCATGCGTCTGCAGGAGTGCACCCGACTGCGTCGACCGCTGCGAAGACGTTTGAAATGAGAGGTTCGATTCCCACCATATTATTCAAGGGAATAGGATTGCTAACAGAATAGTGACAAATTGGGCCTATGGATACGTCTCCTACACTCCATGCATTGACCCTGCTGACATACGGATACTGTGCAGCTTGCAGGTGTATCCGTGGCAGGCAATTCCACCCTCACCAAGGTGAAGGAGTATCCGAAGACGATCGAGATCATCGGCGATTCGTACGTCCCCACACCCATGTCAATTCCACTCTAATAGTGTACAGGCTGAGCGCAGGGCAATACGGTACCTACGAAGGGCTCTCATCATGGGCGTATACATTTGCAGCCGGTCTAGGCAATGCCGAGTATTCGATCACGGTATGTGCTTCACTCACAGAACGGGAACCAGCTAACAGTGTAGGCCTTTCCGGGAATCTGTCTCCACGACCAGGAATGCTGGGGCAATGAACGAGGCCAAGTGAGTATTCCCCTCTACTGCCAACCAATACTAACAAGACAGGCATACCAATGGTACCGCACGGCAGATACGTCCGGACGCGCACGAGCACTCTACGGCGAGGACCCTCCAAAATGGGACTTTGCGGCGCATCGCGCAGCCGACCTGGTCGTCATCAACCTAGGCACAAACGACAACAACACCGAAAACAACGTGTCCGGCACAAACTACGTCAACAGCTACGTGAGCCTCATTGACGGCGTGCACGAGAGATGGCCCAAAGCGCAGGTTGTCTTGATGGTATGTCACCCCGCTCTGTCCCTACCTATTATACTAACAGAAGTAGTCGCTCTGGGGAGGATTCGGCCAGGTCGGAGACACCTACGCCCAAGGAGCGCTCTACATCGACGAGATCAAAGCCGTGAACGAGCACTACAAGGAAGACAAATTCGTGCACTACTTCGACACGACGGGGATCCTGCAGCATAATGACATTGGGCCGCAGTGGCATCCGACAGACGTGGGCCAGATCAAGGTTGCTTCCCATCTCATGCAGTGGGTGAAGATCAAGTTTGGATGGGAGATGGAAGCGACGGGGCCGGAGGTGTTGCATGATACGCTTTATTGGAATGATGAGTCGAGTTATTAGAGGGACTGACTATGGATGGATGTCTTTGGTAGAAGTATGGAGTACTGAGTCACAAAAGAGGTGTGTAGTCGAGGTCTGAATTGGCAGATTATTGTATATCTAAGCTCAAGTTGACCCAATTTTGCATTGTGGAGCTACAAGAGCTACAAGGCTGGTTCATCCCACATGGCGGACAGTCATCAGGCAGCCAAGTGTCACGATGATGACAGATGGGCCATCACCTTCCCAGTGAATTAGCTTACCGTCCAAATTAAGCATACATTAAAGCAACATATCAATCTTTCCTCTTCACTCTTGAGCAAGCACAAACAAAAGATCTAATGTACTTGTTAAAATGAGTGTCTTTTCTCAACTCCGCAACCGAGTTCTCGAATGGAGGCACGGCATTCCTCTACCAGCCTCAGAGACCAACGTATCGCCCATCTTCCAATCATGGCATCAATTCGACACCTCCTTTAACAAATGGCTGCCTCTCGACAAACCACAGGAACCCTCCCAAGAAAGTAGTAGCGCAGATACCACCCCAGCTGAATACTCAAAGCTAGTCCTCGCGACATGGAATGTCGACGCCGGCGCACCCGACTCGGCAACGCGTATCTCATCCATCATATCGCATCTCAAGGCCTCAGTCCCCCCAGTCAACATTATCTTCCTTCAGGAAGTCTCACGAACAGCTCTGTCCACAATACTAGCCACACCCTGGGTCCGCGAGCACTGGTACTCCAGCGAAGCAGACACGACCAACTGGGGCGTCCGACCCTTTGCAACCATGACGTTGGTATCAAGATCGAAGCTGAGAGATAACACCCTCGGTCCAATCTGGCGAGTCAAATACCCCAGTCGCTTCGAGAGAGACGCGCTCTGCTGCGACGTTTTTCTCCCCTCACCTAAATCCGGATCTGAATCTGCATCTCCCTCCCGCGTGCGCCTCATGAACGTGCACTTGGACTCTCTCCCCATTCAGCCGTCGAAACGGCCTATTCAGCTCTCAATCATAGCGTCATACCTTCGCGCGGCTGGACGCGGCCTCGTAGCGGGGGACTTTAATCCCGTACTTCCTGAAGACAATGCGCTCATCGGCACCAACGAGCTCAAAGATGTATGGGTTGAGCTCCGTCCGGAGGAGGATGGGTTTACGTGGGGAGCTGATCGCGTGCAGTCCTTCCCGGCTAATCGGCTTGATAAGGTGGCGATGGTTGGGTTGAGGGGGTATGATATTGAGGTCATGCGACCGGGGAGGTGCACGACGAGCAGTCCGGGGGAGCAGCAGGGCATGTTGGGGGAGGGAGATGAGGAGGGGGATGATGGAATGGTGTGGTGGAGTGATCATTCTGGGTTGTTGTGCTCTTTTGGGGTGGATTCTTGATGAGCACATTTCATAGTAATTCATAGGTAGTAAAGTAGTCAGTAATAATCCATTGATCAATTTGTCAATCGCAACCATTTACTACCTCATCAGGAAACTGAAAGGACCATCTGCATGAGCTTGACATAGTCTAGAAAAGCGATTGTATTGACCGCGACAATGAGAACGCGCTGTTAAGAGGATGGGTGACAGAGATAACAACAAGAGTAAGACGAGTGATGGATATAATTAGCAGTAATTGAGACAACTTTCAATAAAGGCATTAACACAACTTTACTATTACCAGACATGGAGACTAAATGACCATGTCATTGTCGAGTATACCATATGCTCTAGTATGATATAGCTTTCACTTCATGACAGTGTATTAAGGCATCTTATGCAGAGGTATGAGTAGAGCTAGCTAGGATATCCTAAAGGACGTCTATAGCCATACTGAGCTCATAATATGTTTGACTGGAGTGTCCATGTGGATGTAGTATAGTTTGAATCTGAAGCTGTATATCTTATGCCTATTACCCTTCAGGATAATACTACTACTCAAACAACAATAGGCGTGGCTATAAATTCATCTGATATGGTAAGACAGCTAACAGTAGACCAGCTCGACGGAAATTCAATGGAATAATTCAACTCCGCCAATAGTGATTAGCCTTGATCTAGACAATAAAAATTGATCATGCACGATAGCGATATCAAGCACGGCAATCTCAGTCTCCACACTGTATCCCCACCGCAACCCCACCGGGCAACGGCCCGATCTTCATCAAGAATACTTTCGAGTTCCAGCTGGAAAAAGGAATCGAATGAAAAATAATATAATAAATGTAAGATAATTAAGAAGACGCGTCAACAGCCTAAACACTCCAACCAACCAACCCACCCAGCTTACCCGCTAGAAAGAGCCGAAGCGGCAGAGTCAGACCGGTAGATTCAGACCGGTAGAGCCCGAATGTATTTCCCCATCCATCCCCATCCCATAATCAAAGGATTGATTTATCCGCGGGTCAACAAAGACCAACCAACCACTGATAGGTTGTCACACCAACGCCAAGGCATAATCATATTCCATCAGAACGGTGTGACTGGGTTAGAAAAAACGGGGAACGGGCCGTCTTGTCACCGCCAGATGGATGTGACTGACGGGAGATGGATATGATTGCCGGATATTCTTAGTCGATGTGGTAGACAGTGGTCGGTGTAATGTCGGTGTGAACTAAGAGCTTCCTTTCTTCCTTTCTTTTTTCCCCATTTCCTCGTTTAAATTGGTAAACACCGAATCCTGCTGAAAAAATCATAATCAATTTACCAAATTCAATCAATGATACCAGGATCAGAACCCCGCGGTCACAGTTTCAGTGTTTCAGTTTCACATCACCTAATATAGCCGCGGAGAGCCGATCACACCATAGCAGTGGATTGCAGTGGCGGCCAGGATGAAAGCGATGGAAACGTTCTCGAATCCGGACGGACGACCGTGGCCATGCCGTGGCCAGTGGGGAAGGGCCGCCTTATCTGGTGATAGCCTGGTATTCTCAGGGAATTTATTCGATGCTGGATAGGCCTCGTGTTGGGTGATGAAGGAGGGTTACATGGGTTGAGGCTCAGGCTGTCCGTCGGTCGGTGGTATATCGGCACGTTGATCTGTTATCTATATTGATTGGTTAATGGATCAGATAGGACTGTCTAGTCTAGGCGAGATGACTGGACTGAGGTAGTAGTGAGATCCATGACGGACGCCCCGATGAGTCGAGTCGGTGACTTACTGATGGCTTATCTGGATATCCAGTATCCATGACTGCGACAACTTAAGAGTCATCTCATTACCTATACTAAGATAGGATGACCTCAGAAAGATCCAAGATCCAATCAGCGACAACGGGTCAAGATGTACCGGTACATACACTGACCTCAGCTTATCAATATGTCGCACACCTCAGACGCTCGTCATCTGTCATGTACTCCCATGATGATGCGCGTGTCTCCCCGGATTGTGCAATATCAGCACTGTTGATGGTGGAAGGGATTATACGATAGCACAGACTAAATGATGTGATCAGACACAGTCGCAGTCGCAGTCGCAGTCAGTCACAGAAACCACCTGAACTCAGACCACGTCGTATCGGTCGCAAACCCCACAAAAGACAAATATAGAGACATCGCCTCAAACATAATAATAAGATGCAGAGAGTAATGAGAATAAGACAGGTATTGTCTAGAAAATAGCATTGTGGCTGATGGAAAGCATCCGGAGGCGAATTGATTCTGCAGTGCCGATCACAGCATCCAGACCGGTCCGGATATTGACGCCACTGTACTTTACACTTTGACTGTTTACTTACTATATTTCTATACTATTTGAATATACCAATAACATCGATAGCTATAAAGACATATGAAGAGTGTTTATAACAGTTAATACTAGAAAGAGTTGTGAGAGAACAACCACATACCATAACAATGACAATCCAGCAGAAAGCAGGACACCACCAGGAAGTAGACCACCATCCAGACACACGTACAACTACATCGTACATTGTACATACATGTAGCACGGAGTACACCGTACACCATCCATCCCCGTGCGATCCCCAAACCAAAAGCCCATCCAGACCGATCGACCGGGGAACAGCACCCAAACCCAGGAAGTAGAATCCGACCCACCCAGACACATACATATATACAATATACACACCGCAACGAGACCAGATCGACCCACACATGCACAACCCCAATAAACCATTCCAGGAATGTACGTACGTACGTACGTACAGTAGTGTGATGTACTCAGACCCAGTCCCCCGTTCCCCGGTCCCCATCCATCCCATCCATCCCCTTCCCCGTCCCGATCTCAGTGGAGACCGGACTGGGACCAAGCGCGGAATGATGGGGAGCGCACGGTACTGGCGGAAAAGGTTTCCTGCTTCCGGGGCTCTCCTTACTGTTCTGCAGATAGACCTACCTGCCTACATTTAAATACTACGTACATACCGCTCCTTCGGCCCCTCCCCCCTTGGGTCCCTCCCCGCCCCACTCCGGGGAGAGGAAACCGGGGACTGGGGAAGGATATGTGGGAGTAAGTTCAGCGGATGACCGGAAAGCATGCTGGGGGAAACGAGCAAGGGGTGGAGACTGGGGAGAGAGGGAGAGAGGGGGTGGCGACCTACTTACTGTAACAGTGGGATATGGAGGTGAGACCGGAATACGAACCCGGCTCCGTGAGTATTTCCTGGATTGAATCTTCTTGTTTGTGTGGGGAGGGATATATATAGAGTTATCCCCGTCTGCGTGGTCTGATCCCGCGGGGTCCAAGCTCCGCTGAGCTTGAGCTCCTGGCTGGGTACATCTAGGGAGAGGGCAGATACGCAGACGCAGAGAGAGGAATGATTGCCTTGCTTGGTTGTAGATCGCTGAAGTGGTACTTACTCCTAGAAAAACACGGTCGGGCCTCCAGTCTCAGCATAGCTGTACACGAGACTATCCAACCAGTTTCACCTGTGATAGATAAACATACAAAGTACGAACACACAAATACTCCATACTCGTGACCTATACACCGACACGACACATCAACAATATACTTCTATATACTATACAAACAATAGCCCAGTCCAGACACTCGACAAATCGAGATGATGCACGGTGGATACAGAGAATGCAAATGGCTTAATAGATCAGGCTGCATGGAGCTAGTACAGCTGCCGGCGGAAATGCAGGGTGCGACCCGGCAGCATGGGAGATCGATCGATTTTGCCCTATACAATGTTGATTATCTTATCATCGTCTATGGAGTATGGAGTACTGTATCATTTATAAGCGATAATTACCATAAGTATAAGTTCAGCTCAATCAGCATGCTATGTTACCATCCTACGGATATACGGAGACACCGTAACAAATATACCAGGCAAACAACCTCGGCAAACACAAACAAACCCCACCCCTAGCGATGGTAAAACAAAAGGAGCCAGACAATCAACCGGTTCCCTGACGGCGGCCGGCCCCCCTTCCGCCGGCCGCGGAGAGCTTACCCGTGGAGAGAGGAGACGAGTCAATAATAAAACAGACACGGAGTAAATAAAACAATAAAAAAGGATGAACCGCGTCGATCGTGCTTTTGCCGTTTCCAAATTGAATTCCAATTTCCTCGGGTCGGCCTAGGGGTTTAGGGGCGGTGGAGAAGACCGGTACGGTGGGTTCGATCGAGAGTTCCGCGGGAGGGGATGGATGCTACCTTCCGACTGTTATTTGGATGGAGTAATTGACTGATCATTATTTAGTATTTTTGACTATTGACTCCGTTTTATTTGAAGTATTTTGTGATCAATTCATAACATATCCATAATCCGTCGAATGTGAATAAGTACAGTTGATATGTACATAGTGTTGTAGCGGCAGAGTTACCTCGGCCGACCGAGTCAGTCGACCTGTCTAGATCTCGTTCTATTCCTCGGTTTTTATTATTATATTTCCCATTCTTTATGATTAATACTAATATTATTCCCTTATTTCCCCTTCTTTATCCTCATAATCACTAAAAACCAACGAGTCAGTCCAAACCCACCTAGTTCCAGCCACGGCGGGGAACAAAGAACCCCAGACACCACAAAACAACACCCATCAAATCACATCCCCCCTTCTTTCAAGCGAGATCGAACCCAATCTACCGATCCGCGGTGGCTGAGGTCGTCCCCGTGTCAGGTGAACGCACTCGACGCGGTGGTCCGGAGGTACAATGGCCGTGTGGTGGTGGTGGTGGGACTTATAAAGAACCGGGTAATCTCAAACGCCAACAACGGAGTAGTTAGTTAGCCCGGGGGATAAGAATAAAGAAAATGTGAGACACGCTTCGATAGTTGGTGGTTGTCGCTACGCGTGCCCGATCGTCGCGTTGGGGCGGGTGTTCCTGGAATAGTTTCGCTGATCGAGGGTAATATCCGTAGCTACTAGCTATATTGTCGGGTTAGAGTATTGATTTCACATGAGTTGGTTTACGTCACGGGCCATTCCCTCGGGTTATCAAGTGAAGAGTACGGAGTAGAGGAAGCGCAGAGAAAGAAGAACGATGGATCGCACCGGTGCACCGGAGCCGGAGAGACGCGGAGGTGATTCCTTAAGAGACCGTCCGGAATAGTGTCCAACTAGCCAGCTAGTCTACCGAGGAAGTGTACCCGGTCCTTTTTCTTTATTTCTGAGGATTTAGTAGTCCTGACTAGTGAGAGTTAACCGATCAGTAATCAAAGTCGTAAGGACCCGTGTCGCGAGTCGCGGGCAATTTGCTAGAGATCGGCGACCGAACGGGGAAACTAACGGGGAAACCAACGGGACACGGGAGACGGGGGCCGTTTGGAAGGGATCCATGGAACAAAGAATTGGGTCCATTACGTTGTCCTTGACTCCTGATCCTTTGGTTTGGGGACGGGGACTGGGAGGTTGTGGGGCCGTTCGGGTATCCATTCTTTTATTTGTTTATTTAAAATGTAGTACCTTAGTACGGAATATATGTTTGATGGTATCTCATTCTACAATTCATTCAACCTCGAGACAGATCAAAAGAGATTGATAAAACTGTAGACGACAGTCTAGAATTGAGCAAACGGATCCACCAGGATACATGGATACGATACAACCGCGTCAACGGAAGACACCCGTCGCTCAAGGATCATCTCTCGGTCAGAGGGAAGTACGTACAACATTACAGAGACGATCAGTGTCCAGACACTGTGTAGGACGACAAACCACCTAGAGAATATCGGTAGACGTGTTTGCCCATTGACCGCCAAAGCGACGTGGATGCAATGTAGAGCATTGACAATGGTGCAGGCAAGCCGCGACACCGCCTGACGTACAGATATACAGGCATGAACGGCCGACATGAAGAGCTGCAGACTTTTGCCCTAATCCAGGGACAAACACGGAGCGGTCAAGCCTGGCGCGAAATGATTCGATCGGGGATGATGGTCGAGACAGCTGGTCGACTGGATGCACGAGAGCCCAAATAATTCGATCTAATCAAATGAAGGGATCCGTGGTCATGAATCAAATGGTTGAAGTGTTGAATGTAGGACCATGTGACGGTGATTCTGATATTCTGATTAATGATATTCTGATACAGATTGTGGGGAATCATATGCTGAAACCAACCCGGGGAATCAGGGTCGGGAGAAACAGGAACTCCCAATAGTCCAGAGGACGGAGACTCGGTATTAAATGAATTCATCCACTAAACTAGACAAGTTAGTCGTGGAAGGAAAAAGGAAGAAAGAAACCAAACCATCCCCACTCGGCTTCAGCCCCCGATCGTCCCCGTCGTTTTATTATTATTATCCCAGGCAAAATCGATAGATCCACGCGCCGTCGACCGGGTTCAAAGGGTCAAATGGTCATTTGCATTTGTTGGACCGATGAGACAAAGTAGACAAGTAGAGACAAATAGAAAGTACCGGTACTTGACGGGAATGTACAGATCCAACTGGACTGATCACCTTGATTCTTCAATCCGGACGCCCTTTCCGCCTGATCGCCGCGGTTGACTGGCCGGGTGTCATTCCCCGTCTTACTCAAAGGCCGGTGGGTCTGACATGATTTAAATATTATAATAATAATAATAATAATAATAATAATAATCAAAATAATATTATTCTGCACCGAAATTAAATAAGGATAAATCAAATAAGATAAATAAAATAAGATAAATAAATAATAAAATAAGACAGATCACGGCCAACCCCCGCGACTCCGACCGGTTGGGCAACGCAAGGAGTCCAGACCCCCAATTCATCCACACATCAAACGTACCGCCCGTTCTTTATATTCACCCATTCACTCCGTCTCTTATCATTCACCATATTTCCATCTCACCTTTATCTACCTTTCTCTCCATCTTCTCCACTCCTCTTCCACATCTCCACTCACCTTATCCTCCATCTACTACGGAGTACATCCCATCTTTATCCTCGTCCAACTCCATACTTCGGTCTGATCCTCCATCCTCGTTATCCTCGACCTTCCACCAGCACAGTACACAATGGTGTACCCCTTCCAGCCCTGGAGCCACAACCTGGCCAGCATTCGCTCCACTCCGAGCGAGGCCTCGTCCAGCAATCACAATGTCTGCCTCAGTTTCAGCTTCGATTCCCAATACTCCGCGACCAGCATCACCAGCATCACCAATGTGCCTCCACCGCCGCCGCCGTCTCCCTGCACCAATGACCTGACCGACATCACCCCCCGCAAGTGCTCCTTCTCCACGGGCTACGATCTCAACAACTCCTGCGCATTCCCTTCCTGGCCCAAGCGACAGTCCCTCTTGGGCGAGTCGGATTGTTCGACCGCCAGTGCCTACGTGTCGGATGAGGACCTCGGCATCGACTGCGCGATTCCCTGCGACATGACCGTCGACGAGGAGTCCGCCGCTCCGCAACCGACCCCAGCCGTCGGAGCCAGCCTCACCACCGAGCAGCAGATCCAGATGCTCCGCGCCGCCGCCGAGGAGGAAGCCCAGCGCGCGCAATTCCTGGCCCAGGTCCAGGCGCACGCGCGGGCCCAGCAGGCCCTGCGCGTCGCCCAGCTGGCCACGCTGGAACGCGAAAACTCGAAGCGCAAGAAGCGCAAGGCCATCGTCCCCGAGCGCCGACGACGCACCTCCAAGCCATTGCGCTCTTCTTAGTCATGAATCAGCCTTTGAGCAGCGACGCCTGCCCACGTCACCCGCGCCTCATTCTTCACCCGCGGGGGGATTAGGGCTCTCGAGCGATCGGCAAAGATCGGCCCCGTGTCTAAATTGCAGACGTGGTTGCTTTTTTCTCCCCCTCCTCATCCATCTCACCGATTCTTTTTCGACGCACGGTCTAGGCGCGGTACCCGGAAATATTCCTTGGTCGCGCCCACGCCCGGGTGCCTGAGGCGCAACCCCTCACCTCCAACCCGTGATCCGGCCTCACCGCAACTGTGTTGTGACTCACCGGACCATCGAACTGATTCAGGCGCCTCATCTGGATCTTCTTTTCTCGTTGATTTTTTATTCCCATTACCTTTATTAATGCCTGTTCTTACGATAATCTTTGCGACGGAGTTGGCGGTTCAGCGATTGATTCCTTGGTTCCCCTCATCATTCTGACATTCTCGCCTGATTTTCCGATGACTCAAGGCATCCCCTCCATTTCTTCCCCACTGGCGCCTTATCGTGTTTTCCATCTTATTATTCCTGTCTGCTCTTAGCGCCTGATACCCCTACTTTCGGCCTGATCTTTTGTCTTTTCTTCTTTTTTTCGACTTGATTTTGATTTGGGATTTTTTTCTATTTCACAACAGTTCATACCCCGAGCGAGCCCCGCCGCTCTCGTTGTCTTCCTTGATATATTTGTTTCCAGCAGCGGTGTTCCGGGCATACATACATAGGTGCATACATTACATACATAGCACGGCGGACTGGTTCTAGTGACTACATACATAACATACTCTACATTACTACATGTTTTCCAGTAAATCTAAATAGAAGAACAAAATAGATACATAGTAATAGTAGGGAAATGCTCCCAGAGAGAGAGAGAGAGAGAGAGAGCGAGAGAATCCACCTATTACGTACGCACTATGCACACACACACATACATACAACTGGAGACAGACGGACGGAACGGAACACCACACAACAGCACACAAAATGCATGCAGCAAGGACATGCCGGGTTGAGTTGAGAGGAAGTGAGGCACGCAATACAGAACCGGGTAGTGGGGGGAATAGGCAGGCAGGCAAGGAAGGGCCGTGCGTGCACGGGGATCGACTTGGTCGGGAAGCTGAAGTGGGTTTGTCACGTTCATGATCACGTTCATGTATTTGATTGATGATTAGTAGGGACTAGGGAGGGAGATCGCTGACGTATGTTGTCGGTCTGTCAATCAGTGTCTTTCTCTTCGTCCTCTATCTTCTGTATTTCTGACTTTATTCTTGATTTCTCTATCTTTATTCTTATCCTTAAGTAAAATATAAATAGACGAACGAATAAAAAAAATAAAGAAAGCAAACACCCGTTTCAGAACCTACCCAGTAACAACCCCATCCAGAACACACAGACAGTGACCACGGCAGTCTAGACCAGACCTCGAACATCCTACAGAAAAACAGGGCTCCATGACAAATCAACGGTCCGAATCTTAAGAAGCCCTATTTTGAATAAAGCTGTCTTGGCGCCGTCAACAGCGGCAAGTGATTATTGTATATCTGCATAGGTGGTAGGTGGGTGGTAGGTAGGTACCTGCTGTGTTGAGTTGGGCTGTTCGTGTGAGGCGAGTGAGATGAGGCGGTCGTCTGATGGCTATTAGGCGTATATTAATAACGTTTGATAGATGCTAGATGAGAATGGGTAAATACCAGGCGAAGATAGATGCCTAAAGATGCCTGATGGCTTTACTCTACTAGTTACCTATCTGAGGTACCTATACCTCTCACAACCCCCAACCTGATACCTCTTTTTACTCTAGTAATGAGCAGTATTCCGAGCCCTGCGACTTGGGTAGGATTGGATGATAGGTGATGCGATGCTCACGGACCCGGTTGGCTCTCGTGTATTCACCTAGTAGGGCCTTTCGACCCACGCGCCAATGGAGGGATTGGATTCATCACAAAATGCGTTATCGTGTTGGAATTTTCTTAGTAGGATTATCATATACTACGTCTTGCCTGCGGTCTCGAATTGCTCATGTATATTTTCTGTTACTAATCTGTTATATAGATGCTGTCCAAGGGGAACAGAGTTAATAGTAGTCTGGAATATAGCTGTAGAGTATATAGCCGGTGAACTATATAGCTGTCACAAAATACAACATAGTGAAGAAAAGGCACCCACTACACTGCAGAGGGAGACGAAAGGCAGGCTGGAATCCTAGACTACTACTCCCTGCTATATCCTTCCTAGTTCCGGTTGTGTAACTAGGAAGCGTCAGTTTGGTGAGGCAAATACACTGCTCTGCTTGTCCTACAATACAGATGTATACCAATTTAAAAGTGTAGAGGTAGTTTATAGCATAATCAGATACTAATATACAATCAACCCAAACTCCCCAGCAACGACCCCACCTCCTTAATCAACACTCCGTCCTTCTTCTCCTTCACCACACTCTTCACCCTCTCGCCAGTCACGACCTCCCCCACCCCCATCGCCCGACACAAGTCCACGACGCCGCCCTCCACAGGAGCCTCGTACACCAACAGCCCGATCGTAAACAGCAACCCCCGCAGCGCCTCAGCGCTCTCCCCCTCCTGCGTCAGCGCTTCAACCCCCGACGCCGTCAGCTCGACCTGCTCCTCCTCCGTGAGGGGGTCTAGCAGCCCGTCGAAGCGCGCATTGTGGTTCACCGCCGCGAGATTATACGCCAGCGACGCGGCGACAACACGCAGGTTGGCATGCTCGTCCAGCAGCGAGTTCGTCAGCAGGGTCAGCACGGGCTTGTGCAGCGGGGAGTGCGGCGCGACGAGCTGATCGCGGTAGAGAGGCGTGTTGAACAGGTTGCAGACGAGCTGCAGCGCCGTGATGCGGAAGTTGTACGGACAGGGCGATGCGGCGTCGGGAGAGGCGAATGACAGTATGGAGAGGAGTGTCGTTTGGTTTGGCTCTTCGGCGAGGTAGCCTGCTACGCGCGGGTCGAGTAGGAGGAGTCGGGCTAGGTCGACTAGGGCGAAGCGGGTTTCTGGGGCTAGGGCTGCGAGGGTCTCTTGCAGGTAGGTCGCGAAGGAAGGCAGGTCGCTTGGGACGGGCACGTCGGCTTGGGCGGTGGCTGCGTGGCGACGGGTGAGGAAGTCGATCATGGATCGGAGGTGGGGGTTGTCGTTGTGGGGGTGGAGTTTGAGGACGAGTTTCTCCAGCGGTGGGACCTTCTTGTATGCGACGTAGTTGGAGATGGGGCGCTGGAGACTGGGGAGGTCGAGCTTGCGGTGCGGGTGGGTCGGGTGCGCCATGTCGATTAGCATACGCACGTTTCCGCGCAGCTGGGCGGGGTTGGCACCGCTCCATTCATCCATCTTGGTGCCTTTGAGAAAGGTCATGAAGGTTGGTGTGGCGCGCACGTTGTATCGGGTTGCCACGTCGTATGCTGCGCTAAGGTCGACTTTGATCAGGACGGCTTTGTTGCCTGCTTCTTCTGCGAGCTCGTCGTATGTTGGGTACACGATCTTGCACGGCGGGCAGGTCGCGGACGTGAAGAAGATGACGGCGCAGGACTCCGACGCTGAGGCCATGTGTTCGTCAAGCTGGGCTGTATTGGTGACTATACGGACTGATCCTTCAAGTGGCCGCGGCACTGCGGCTTGCGGTGCAGCTGGGCCTGGGGCCTGGGTGACACCGCGAAGAGCCATCTCGATCTGCGGCTTCATCATTTGCCCGAATGGAGTCTCAAGAAACTTCTGGGGAAGATTCCGGATATGCTCGGGTATACTCTTTCCCACCAGGAACATGGCGAGGTCCTGGGTGAAGTTGTTACAGTTGTGAAGGAAGAGATCGTACGACTGTGTTGTTAGCTTGAACCCTCCTTGTCTGGTGAATAGACATACCTCGGGAGAGTATATCTCGTTCAGAGACTGCACATATTCGGAAATGACATCGACAGGCAGCTCGGTGGCCCCTAGGTGCACCTTTTCTATGGGCTCGCCGTGGTGCGTGCTGCCTGGGGCAGCTGTTTGGATGCCATGTCCGAAGTAGTATTCCACGCCGCTGACCACCAGCGAGGTGTGGTAGATAGCGTCTATTTGGGTTCCCGTCAAGGGAAGTGAGTACTGGGCGAGTTAGACAGTCCATCCCAACCATAGCAGCTCAGGCAGAAAGGAAGCATTATAGCTACACACCATGCGCGCTAGACCCTGTGATGACTGTCAGTATAAGAGTTCCGAGTGACGTTGCATCACGCACCTTTGACAGGTCATAGACGTAGAGTTCTACGTCCATGTTCAATTATTTGAGTGATAGCCAGATCAAGAAATACAGACTCTATAAATAATGTAAAAGTGAACAACGTCTAATATAAATATCACCATGGAAAGAGCGAGAATATGGACGATCACTAATGCGGCTGCAGGCAGCTGCAGTTACGTCAGCGGGCAGTCACGGGGCCGGAGATAGTCGCATCGCACCGATTCACGCTCTTTACTTCTATGGACTTTAACAGAGTCAATTATAATGTCTCGCCAGGCAGCCAGCCAACACGTCGCTTCCTCTAACAGACCTACTGCATCCACAACACTGCCACAGCTCCTTCTCAGCTGAGCGCGAACCCCCTCCACCCACCCCAACCTATCCATCTCTTAGGCACCATGGTACGCGCCATCAATCTACACCAGAACCCTGGCAACAAACTGACCATGAAAGCCTCCCAAAAAGCGCGCGACACCATCCACCGCACCCAAGAAATCGCGCGCGTCCAAACTAGCCCGCGAAAACGACATCTCCGCCGAAGAGGAGAACGAAATCAAAGAAGCCTTCCACCTATTCTCCGCCCCGCACGACGATTTCCCCGATGAAAAGGAGGGCGTGATACCGCAAGAGGATGTGCGCAAGGCATTGGTGTATGTCATCCCTCCCTCTTCAGTGTCCCTCTTTACTCTACAAGAAGCAATACTCCCCCGCAATGCGACCATTATAAAAACACTAACAAAAATCCAAACCAGCGCCCTAGGCCTCCCCCAGCAGACCCCAAGAACTCCAGTCGATCCTCTCCGCCCTCGACCCAACATCCACCGGCCTCGTCCCCTACGCCCCCTTCCTCGCCGTCGCAGCCGCAAAACTCCACTCTCGCTCCGACGACGCCAACGCCGCAGAAGTCGACGCCGCCTTCCAGCTCTTCACGCGCGGATCCGACGGGCCATCACACTCAACCATCTGCGGCGCATTGCGCGCGAACTGAAAGAGGACCAGCTGGGCGAGGACCTCCTGCGGGATATGATCCTCGAGGCGAATGGGGGTGAGGGTGTACAGGCTGGGGTGACGTTGGAGGAGTTTAGGGATGTTATGACTCGTGCTGGGGTTTTTTGACCTCTTCTTCTGTGGTGTTTGCTTAGCTGGGGTGGGATCATTTGATATTGGTTTTTCTGGCGTTCATGTGGGTTTGATTTGAGCGGCTGCTGGCATGGATGGTGTTTACGGCTTTTGACACTTTTCTTTTGATGCGAAGTTCACGGCAAATTCAAATATCTTGACCACGATGTATCTTACTATGATCTACTCCGTACATGAGTAGTAATCAAAATGTCCTTAAAATGGATCTACCTCACTGTCTAGGATATACCATGTACCACACAATCCATGATAAGAAGTAGACACCTGAGGCACACTGATTATGTCATATCTGCGCTTCCAGCCTCTCCACCCCACCGTACGTTTATCGATAGCGGATTTGCAGCGGCTCCACAAAAATATTCTACGCAGCAGCAGCTCAGCTGGATCTTTTTTCAGTGTTTTCACAGCTCACTCCCAACCCTGCACAACACACCATGGCTAAAGCACGCAGTATGTATTATCTAACGTCTCCGAATTATCGAGATTTAAACTAACAAAGACAACAGATCAATCCGTGCGGTCGCGCGCCGCGAGACGACAAGCCTCGCCGAGCCTCGACGTCGATAAATCGCTGAAATCACTGCCGCGGGCTGAGGACACCCCCGTGTCGAGGGAGTCTGTGCTCACGGACCGGCGGAACTCGGGCATCATGAAGAAGCAGAAGGGAAAGCCTTTGACGAGGGCGCAGAAGCAGAGGCAGATGAAGGGGGTGGAGCGCGCGGAGGCTGTCATAGATCAGATGGAGATTAAGGTGTCGAGGAGTTCCACTCGGGCGAAGAACATCAAGGCGCGGAGCGTATGTGCATTGCTTTGCATTGGCTTTGAAGTGGGATGCTAATTGTTGCTTTTTAGGCCGATTGGGAGGAGTTGAACAAGAAGTCTAAAGGGAGCATTTTCCAGGCTCTTAACGATGCTGAGGGTGATGGTGAGGGTGAGGGTGATGCTATGGTCGACGATTCTGGCGCTCCTGCTCCTGCGGCGACCGACGCGCCGGCCAAACCTGCAGCGGAGCCTGTGTTTGCGACGCAGAACCCAGTGGTGGCCGACCATGCCGATAACGACGAAGACGAAGAGATTACGTGAAGGACGGACACATCTGTATACATGACGGAGGCGCGGCGCTATTTTCTCGGTCTTAGCTGATTGATCATTCGCTCAATCTCGCTCGCGGCTGGCCCCGAGGCTCTTGCCCGCAGGAGCTCAAGGGTGTTGACATCCTTGGCCCGAAAGGCTTCTTCTCCTGCTTTCACGACCATTCCACATTTTACCCACATGTCTACCTTATCCGCAGCGGACAGGTTGGTGCATTTGGGGACGAATAACGATGCAAGTTTGGTGTTTCCTGCACCGAGAATCTCATTGTAGAAAGGCTGTATCCGTTAGCATGCACATCGGAGCTTCAAGGGTTGGGGGACTCACCTCCCATCCGATGGGCGACTTTTTGGCCCGGGCGAGTTCTTCCAGTTCACCCCAATCACGTTTCGCTACTAGTGCTCTCAATCTCAACCACCAATATGTCTTATCCGGCATCTTGAACTCGCCCTGTAATTTGTGCGCACGTTTGCCGTAGCCTGAGCGGACCAACCTGTAGACCGTCTCGTTCAAACTTAATCCTAGGAATTCAGTTCGATCCGCGAGGTCCTTATCGAGGCCATCTTGGATCTTCAGTAACTGGGACGCTTCGGTGAGGAGTTTTTGCTGCAGGACCACGGTAGGATCCTTGGAATCAGCGAGTAGTCGCGTCGCAAGATTGACCGTCTCGGTCTTGCGCATCAAATCTGTCTTATCCAACGCTTCTGCGAGCAGCACATTGGAGCCGTCAATCGGCCTGTCATCCTGGTAGTAGAGGTCTTTGAGCAGCTCCGTGTCATCCACCCGCGCGTTTGTCTCCACAAGCGCGGACGCCATGGGCCGTGTATTTATCATGCGGAAGAAACTGCTGAGCGGGAGCTTGGTCTTCAAGTGCAAAAGCACAAAGTTCACAAGATCGTCGTCTCCGCTCTCGATAGCCTTGTCGAGCGCGATCTCATCCTCCTCCATGCTCAACAGCAATGGAACTTGCTTTCCGGCCCGCGGTTCGTGGTTCAGCAGTGCAGTCGCCAGATGGGAGCGTCCCTCGTCGTACGCGGCCTGCGCGATCAATTCAAACGAGATGCCCGGCTTTCCTTCCAGTCTTTGCACGATCAGTTTGCAGACGGCCTCGTCGTCCACGGTCGATACCTTGACCTTTTGGCTTGCCCAGTGAACGTAGATTCTGTCGGCGGCAACTTGCAAATACTCGGAAATCCGAATCGCAAGGAGATATTCGTGTCGATTAATCAACCGATCGATCAGCCGCTCCGGGGTCAAACGCATGTACTCCTCATACGAAATGGGAAGGCCGATCTGGAAGTCGCGGACCGCTGTTAAAACGCGCAACTTCTCCGTCATCTCCACAAATTCATCGCTGTTGTATAGATCAAGCACCGATTTACCGAACGACGCGGCTTTGAGCAACCTCTTCTGCCAGTATGTGTCAAACTCGTGACCAGCAGCCTTGACACAGGCGTCCACAGCCTCCGGTAAGCTGGCTCGGATGCGCTGTATGTTTTCATCGGCCTTGGGCGACTTCTTTTCCAGAAGGTCGATACAATCCAAAAGCACAGAAGCGGGAGACGTCGAGCCGAGCCGGAAGATCTCCTGGGTTACATCTGCGGCCGTTAGGCGTGCATATGTTACTAGACGCGATGCGACTCACCGGAAACCTTGTGTAAGAACTCGCAAGTGTCGTTCGTGATTAAGCGTACGCCATCAAACTCGGGGACGACATGTACGGTACCATCGTAATAGTACCTACCAACGTTAGAGCGTGCTTGAGATAAAAGTGACAAAGGTGGACTTACCTAGCAGCCACCCCGTTCGGTCCGATGAGGTGGACCTCATCTTCCCAAGAAATGATAACCGCATCGTCGCCACACCATTCTACCGACCTCGGGACAACTCGCGACTCCGGGTCATATTCGCTGTACTTGCTTTGGAAATCACTGCTCACCACCCAGACCTTGCCTTCGGCTGTGAAAAGCGCCACAAACCTCCCCGTTGGGGAAACGCTCGCATGCTTGAACGGGCCATTCTGAAGGACTTTGTCCTCGGCCTCCGTTGGGTCCACCATGTAGATCGTCTTGTCAACAGCCAAGAGTACCTCCACCGACCGAGAGAGAGTGTAAGACGGAGGAATAAGCGACCACGAGGATACCTCTCCTTCCGGACAAGGCGCGAGGAGTTTTGGGCGAGGCTCTTCGTAGCCGGATACCGCGATAAGCTGGTTATTCGAGAGCAAGGCGACAAAACCGGAGGTCCAGAACCGGCAGGCCCTCACACCGTACTCTTCCGCACCCTGCGATAAGTTAGGGCTGACTGACGTGCCGACCGCTTGCTTGAATGCTTACGTTGCCGAGGGAAAATGTGGTGAAATCGCCATGTAGGCCAAAGTAGCGACGGACGGTACCGTCTTCGGTGATGACCAACAACTCTTCCTTGTCGGACCATCCGAGTCCTCTAACTGCACCATGTTCCCACTGATATTGTCAGTAGCCGACAGACACATCGAACACCACGAGAGAGCTAACATTGATCTGGTTGATCGGTTTTCCAGAGCAGGAGTAGATGTCGATACTTGATCGGGCCGTATGCGCATCCCGAAACCGCATCGGTTTGCTCTCATCGCGATGGAGTGCTGCAGACAGTTTATTAGTACCAACAGGCATAGAAGATCATCGTCCAGGCATACCCAAGGCCCCGCCATACGGAGCACCTGCGAGAATGTAGTTGTCTAGCTCCAGGTCTTCGTCGAATATGGCGTCGTAGATGGGGACTTTCCGGTAGAAGCTATCCCCGAGGCGCTCCCAATTAGCGAGTGGGTTTGAGGGAGCCATGGGTGCAGCGTCCATCCATAACCACCCTGGGATCAAGAGGAATGGGAAAGAGAGTCGGGAGACGGAGATAGAGATGAACGCATTGTCGGATGTTTGGTCGCGACTCCAGCTCACATGGGGTCGTCCCGCCGCTTCTAACCCGATCGGTCTGGTTGATCGGAGCTCATCTTCACCGCTATTTCTTCCGCATTATCTCTCATTAGCTATTTGTTCATGTTCAGCAGGGATAGATTCTGCCGGCACAAAAGACCGCTGCGTCATTACAACGGCAGCCTCAGGCAAGAACAGGCACCGACCAATTTCTCGGCCAACCATCGTCGCTCCATCCGTCATGCAATGATGGCCGATGCAGGATACCATGAATGACCCAACCCAGATCAGAAGCGTTGCTCAGGAGCTGTCTGATCTTGAGGTGGCTATTTTACTCTGTCGTGCTGCACACGGCCACTGTCGCATCGATACAGCACGCGACAACATTTCCGACGTCGCTAAGGAGCTCGCACTGGTATGCCGTATATCTACAGGGTAGTGCTAGAGGCTGATTTGTCCATTAGATCTGCTCAAACACGTTTAATCTATCATATAATATTCTCGATTGCTCTGCAGACACGACGTTCGATGAATTTTGCGTGGAGCTTCTGCCGTCTATCGCACGCAGGAGGTCGCAAAGCACTAAGGTCGCTCCCGAGCTGCCAATAGTCGATGTAGTGATCGCGACGAATTTCAATTACGTCGACGAACGCATCCAACTTCAAGCGCTTGAGGTGATTCTGACCTCGTACTGTCTAGTCACACTGCTAACCCCGACTAGTTAATGCGTTCCAAGAAATTGGTAGCACAAGATGGCATCTATGTTGCCCCAGAACGTTTTGTCTTCCTGCCCCTTGTGGCTACTGCCTCGAGTGATGCCCAGCCCAAGCTGAACCGTCATTTGGTCAGTGGTGTTCGTTGTCTCTAGAGTATACCACACATGCTGACAACAGTAGAATGATCATCTTATCATCTCTCACTACCACGATACAGAGGATGGCTACGTGTACCTTGAAGATGCCAATGGCTGGATCTCGGATGACCAGATATCGGCTTCCTCTGTAGTCCGCAAATCTGACATACCGATTCCCAGGGAACATCCGCTGGTCGACCAGGCGGTTCGTTTCTATCCTACTCTGTTCTTATTTGCCGTTTGTGTTGAAGCTCCAGGCTGATTAGTCGTGACAGGCAGTTGAAAAGCTCGAAGAGGCAGCAAATGCTGTAATAGTGAACGCGGATCTCATCCGGTATCACCAGGATATTGTCGTTTTTTTGCGGCTCAGCCGTGCCGTGGCCGGGGGAATATCCTCCCGGTCCAATATTCTCTTCATGAAATTGTCCAAGTAAGTCATCCACTGTAAAAGTATAGGCCATGCTGACTAGACAGGTTTCTCGCCGCACTGCATGGGATTGATTTCCTCACCCCGTCCATCGTTGCACTCGCTGCGAAGAAGGTGTTCCGTCACCGCATTGTCGTCGCAACAACCGAGGATGATCGCAGCCTGCAATACGGGAGTGATCCAGCGGTAGTAGCTCAAATTCTGGCTCATGCAAATCCGGATACAATCTTGGAGAGCGTGCTTGCACTGGAGGCCCCGTTATAGCCACCTCAAATACTCAGCCTAGTACTCAGCCCAGTACCTCAAAGCTACCAATGCATACTGTACACCACGGCGAACTCACGTCCATGCCTCGAAGGTGATCGACTGGGGTGCGTCGAAGACCGCAGAGGCCATCTGTTGCACCTACCATATCATGGTCGTCTCAAGATTGTTGGTGGAGTACCCGAGAAAGTCTAGGACGATGCTCTCTCAGATATATGAGGAGCTCTAGAGCGACCCTGTGCTAGCCGCATCATTGGCACGGACATGCAAATTGTGGAAGGGCATTGGGCTAAGACAAACGTGCAAGATCACAGGCAACATCTCACCAATGTCATCTTCTTGCCTGTTAGTCGCAAAAGGATCCCACTGGGGCCCTCGCGGTACCGCGGAGGAGAACCGAGGGAATGAGGCAATGACAATACCAGCAGCTGTAGTTGAACAATAATCTGAAGGTCCAGTCTCTAGGTACTACCTGCCTAGTTATTTGGTCAACATGACAGTGTCGGGCTTGCCGGATCCATATAGAAATCCCATGGATTGTTCTGCAAAGGAAACCCCTTGAGTCGCAGTAAAGTGCCCCGGTGTCGACCGCTATTTTTCGGCGATGCGTTCTTATAGTACATAATAGTTTCATTTTTTACATACTGATGCGGCATTATCTAAATGATTATATACCCAACCACCCTCTGAAACTAAAGATTCAATCACGCTGGCACATGATATGTCTAGCGACGTCATGATCGCAAGCGATCGTCGTTGAATGGCCCAATGCGCCCGATCCCCGCGTCGCGACCTTTAAGAGCTTGGCCATAGGTTTTTTGGTCAGCTTCCCCTCCTTCAATAAAAGGGCATGCTTTGTCCTCGCATCCGTCCGGGCAACGAGCTGTGGAACCTATCCAGGTTCAAACCTTCTACTAGTGGAGGGCTGGCTTAACCTGATGCGGGACGCACTGGAGCAGGCTAATTTATCGCCCAAGACGCGTTCTGACCGCCACATCCAAGACCCCGCGCTTTCAATATTTCTACGACGCGTCATTTGGTCCTAGGACCCAAAAACAAGAAAGAAAGATTGCAAGATGAGAGTAAACTTCAGTGAGCCAGCCACGCCGGCGATGAGTCGGCAGACTTCCAGGGTGTTCGCTCCGCATCACCAACGCACGGGGACATATCCGCACCTGCTCACTGCGCGTCGCAAGCCCCGCCGGTATGTAGCAGTTGTCTGCTTGTAGAGGTACTACCTCGACATTGATTTTGGATATTAACGCGCGCGAAGGTGGCCGCTTGTTTTCCGATTTGTGAAAGGCGCCATTCACGGCGCCATCATATTGTCTGTGATATTCCACGCGCTGTTTACGTCTTTCATTGTCTATCTAGACCAATATGTCTTTGACACTGTCGGGCTCCCCAGTAGCATAGTAAGTGTACCGCGTTACCCCGCGCTACCCTAATGCAGTCTCGCGGCGACTCACTAGCCAGATTCCGTCATTGTCAATAGTGGTCGGTTTGATGCTGGTCTTCCGCAACCAAACCTCGTATAACCGATTCTGGGACGGTCGCAACGCCACGACGACGGTCTACACATGCATTCGAAACCTGGTCCGCACGACCATCACCAATGGCTACAGCACGAAGCGGCCGCTGAACGAGGCGGAAAAGCACGATATCGAGCGCACGATACGAACGCTTATGGCTATGCCGTATGCCATCAAGAATCATCTCCGCGCGGAATGGGGCGCTACCCTGGCACTGGGAGACGACGTTGGAGAGAACGGCATCGCCAAGTACGATGCTGATTATGCGAGTTTGCTACCTGCAGATGTGGAGGGCCATGAGGATGAGGGACTGGGCTTGCCCTTCCAATTAACCTTTTTTATCGACGGCTTTATCAAGCGAGGCGTTGAGAGGGAGTGGTTCAATGCGCCCGCGGCAAGTCAGATGCAGGCACAGCTCAATACACTGGTAGACGCCTACGGGAAAATGGAGACGATTAAACTGACCCCTATCCCAGTGGCGCATCTGTAAGTAGCCTCCTATTTATTCTTGCAAGCCAGAAAGCGAACCTGACCCCCTAGGATCCACCAAAAGCAAGTCCTGGCCCTATTCGGCTGCGTTATCCCATTCGGGATGGTCGACGACCTCGGCTGGTGGACAGTCCCTATCGCCAGTCTGGTGATCTTCACGCTGTACGGAATTGAGGGCATTGGGTCGCAGCTGGAGGACCCGTTCGGTTACGACCGCAACGACATTAAAATGGACGCCATTGCGGGCGACGCCAAGACCGAGATCGACGCCGTACTCGGTGAATGGCGGAGATTGATGGCAACGGTCCAGCCGTTAGACCGAACTGGGGATGGTTCTGTGGATGATAAATATGTGCCGCCGGAGATGTTTATCAGGATCAAACCACGGCCGGGGCAGCAGCACTAATGCCCCCATTATGCGGGTAGTATCCCCGGATTCTACATATCAAATGTGGAAGACACGAGAGTAGGATTTACTCCAGCATTTACACGAATATGAGATTTGTGCGCACAGGACGCGTCGGAAAAAACCGAGTGTGAGATTCGGTTCTCAAGCTAACAATTCTTAGGGCCGTCGGCTAACCCCGATCGACAGTGAAAAAGCATGACGATCGTCAGGGGTCTACCATATTAGGAAGGATAATCGCATCGACGATAGATCCAAGAAAACAAAACAGCGAGATTAGGAGAGCAACGACCAGTGAAAGCGTTGATGCCTAGATCCAGAGAAGGATAAACAAGCCATATCTAGGTTCTTATGGAGATCGCCAACGAATCCATCATCTCTCTTGGAGAGAAAGGCAGTACAAATAGCCCATCCTTCCTCCCCAGCGTACTGCACCGTCCGTAGTGTCAATCCCTCCCCCACTACTGCAAAACAACCACCAAGATGCAGTTGACCACCATCCTCTTCGCGGTCTACGCGTACGCTCTCTTCCCTCTCGCCTACGCGCTCAACCCTCGCGCGACCCTCCAAAACTGCCACAATGTCGACCGCCTGGACAGGACCGTCCAGCGGATGCACCCGATTCTCTTCAAGCTGTCCGATATGCATAAGGGCAAATACAAGCCCCCCACGAACGAGACCATCACCACCGGCGGCTCCGGCCACAGCCGCCGCCACGGACACGGCGACAAGGAGGCCCGCGACTTCAACGAGTTTATGCAGAAGATCGAGTCCCTTCACGAGCTTCTCACCCACTCGCAGGACAAGATCGCCTCCAAGAGGCTGACGTGCCAGACGCCTGCGACTGGGGCTAAGCTCCTGACGGCGAGGGATCTGCGCGTTCGCGGCGATGATGATGATGAGGAAGAGGAGGAGGAGGAGGAGCACGATCACTCCCACTGTGGGCTCGACGATGTTATCGAAGAGCTGCTGGAGGCCGTTGAGTGTCTTCTGTCGTTCCTCTTCGGCCTGTTGGGCGGTGTTCTCGAGCTGATTTTCCATTTGCTGGAGGGTGTTGCTAAGATCATTGGCGAGATGCTGGATCTGGATTAGATGCGTGATTTTAGATCATGAATTTGCGTACGGGATGGGGTGGAATAAGTGCATGGTGTATGAGCTGGGTAGTGTATACTATCTAATATTGGGAGTTATGGGTCATGTATACTACATTGATTCTATTGCAGTACAAACTTCATAATAAAATAGTTAATACTGATACTGAAAGTCCGGGCATTTTGTTAATTTCAGTAAATAAGACATAGTAAGGTACGGATTGAATGATCAAGTCCTCGGCAGCACGAGTAACAAAACCCATGTGGGGACAAAGCCTGCTTGCATTGAGTTTTGGTCCTGACATGTTCTGGATCATGTAGGCTGGGCTTCGTCGGTCTTTTTCTGCTCCAATATTCCATTTGTTATTTTCAACATCCGTCTTTCATCTGATACTATTAGTGATTGCTCTGAGGTATAGCTGCGCTGACATATCATTGCCTCCTAGCATATCTAGCATGTGTATATCACATCACACTCACGACCCGTGTGAAGCGCATGTCTTTTGCTCCGATGAAGAAGTCGGTTCAGCTTACAGCAAGCTTGAAAATCGGGAATCTGAACATGCAGGTATTCCAAAATGCGGTCCATGAATGGATAATTCTCTACTACCAGTTTGTGTTTGTCGCTCATCAGAAGCATATTACCCCAGATATAGCAGAAATACTACGCCTGTGTACTCCCAGTTGGTCACAATGTGATTTCATACGCCATGCCTATCGGACACATAGTCCCATGCGAGGTGGGTCGGTGATCACGACCCTTGCATAGACCTCATTTTCTCTCGAACGGCCACCCAGCTGGCATATATCACCGCTATTTGGTCACAATCACCCCTCTACCACGCGGAAGAGCCCAAGTAAGATATGGCAACTGAATTGAAAGATATTTCCGAGGCGAAGGACAACCCTCCGACAGAGGCGACACATATCGAGGAGGGCGAGCATCGCGAATCCGCTGTGAAGTGGATCAATTACTCAGAGCTCACCGAAGTAACTCCAGTTGAAGCGTTTAAATGTAATGTTGAGGGAGACCAGTCCCCATGTGAGTGTCGGATAAATAGTCGATACCTGGTTGTCCCAACTGACAACTTCTAGTCCCGGAGGTTGCAGCATGCGTATCCAATAAGGATGACCCTGAGCTATTGTGCAATAGTAAGCTGGCTTTTCGTTTCTCTTCAAGCGACAATTGCTGATACTGGTAGCCGTTCGCGCGTGGATATTGACTACTGTGTTTGTGGTGCTTTTTGCTGGAGTAAACCAGTTTTTTGGATTGCGATATGTACGTTGTCTTCCCTGCAATGTCTGCGTGGTACTGATCGATATAGCCATCCCTTTCAATTGGCTATGTTGTTGCCCAGCTTTTGGTATTCCCCATTGGCAGAGCATGGGAAAAACTGCCGCGGTGGAGGGTGCCTTTGGGGAGGTTCACATTCGACATCAACCCCGGACGTTTCACCATCAAGGAGCACGCCCTAGTGGTAATCGTAAGTTGACTTACAACTCTTAGAATAGCAGCCCTAATACATAGGGCAGTGCGTCAATATAAGTGCAGGTACGGCGTATGCACAGGGGTCACTTGTAGCCATAGTGAGCCCAGTCTTCTGGAATCGAGACTATGGGCCGGGATTCAGCTTTCTATACTTACTGACTACCCAGATGCTCGGGTGAGTGAACACCCAGATTCTTTTCTACCAACTGCTAAAGAATTAGCTTCGGTCTGGCAGGCCTCGCACGACGATGGCTCGTTTATCCAGGAGCGCTCATATGGCCCACGTCACTCTCGTCCACAGTGCTCTTCCGAGCGCTGCATGAACCAGAGAGCCGCACGCCTGCCAATGGCTGGACCATCAGCAGATACCGCTTCTTTATATACTTTGCAGTGTTTGCCTTTGTGATCTTTTGGTTTCCAGATTATATTTGGACGAGTCTTGCCACATTCGCCTTTATCGCGTGGATCTTCCCCAACAACCAAAAGGTTAACACCATATTTGGGGTATGTAACACCACTCTGGGATTTCATGATTAGGGCTTATATGGCTTCAGATGAACTCCGGCTTGGGCTTACTGCCTATTAGCCTCGACTGGACGCAGATCAATTACGCGGGCTTCCCTCTAACCACGCCATTTTACATCACCTGCAACGCCTACGCAGTGGTCATTGTATTCTATCTCTTCCTCTCCCCGATCCTATACTACAGCAATGTTTGGAATAGTGCATAGTAAGGATATCCCCCCAAAAATCAAACTTCGTCTAACAAGGTAGTCTCCCCCTTTTATCTGCAAGCACATACGACAACACCGGTCAGCAATACAATGTCTCTCGCGTAGTCGACGCCAGCCTCAACTTCGTTCAGAGCAAATACGAAACCTACTCACCGATGTACATCTCCATGTCATACTCGCTTACGTACGGACTTTCCTTCGCCGCAGTGACCTCTATTATAGTGCACACATATCTCTACAACGGAAAAGAGATCTGGGCCAAGGTCAAAAACTCACGCCACGGCGGTGAAGACATCCACCGGCGGCTAATGCACGCCTACGCAGAGGTCCCAGATTGGTGGTACGCCGCACTGACGGTAATAGTACTGGGTTTGGGGATACTGACTGTTCAGTACTGGGACTCGGGACTACCCGTGTGGGGGTTCCTCGTGGTGTGTTTTGGGCTGGCGGTGGTCTTAATCGTACCGGAGGGTATCCTCCAAGGGACGACGAACCAGCGGGTGTTTTTGAATATTATTGTGGAGTTCATTGCCGGGTATGCGTGGCCTGGGAATGCTATCGCCAACACAATGGTAAAGTGCTATGGCAATAATGCAGTGAAGCATGGGTTGGACTTTGCGCAGGATTTGAAGTTGGGGCAGTATATGGTGAGCTTTTACTTTTCTTCCCTTCCTCAACTGATTGATGTTGATAGAGATAGAAAATTCCTCCCCGAGTTCTCTTCTTCGGTCAAATATACTCGAGCATCCTAGCAACCATGATACAAACGGGAGGTAGGTAATGATCATGACCTGTACGTTCTATAGCCCTGCATGTAACTAAAATAGAAAAGTACTCCGCTGGATGCTCGGACACATCGACAAGCTTTGTGAGCCCACGAACACGCAGCGATTTACTTGCAACGGTGCCAAAGTGATGTACAATTCGTCCTTGATATGGGGAACAATCGGCCCGCAGAGGATGTTCCAGTCAGGGCAGATCTACAACGGCCTAGTATACTTCTTTATAATTGGAGTAAGTGTCTATCTCTACGTGATGTGGGCTACACTAACCATCCAGCCTGTTGTTACTGTTCTCGTCTATCTTCTGTACAGGAGATACCCCACCAGCTGGGTCCGCTATGTCAATGTCCCTATATTTTTCAATGCGGCGGGCAACATTCCCCCGGCAAACACCAGTATGTTTCTCATCACAACACTCCCCCCTTTCAATATGCAAGGCTAAAAAGACTAGCACAATACTCCTTGTGGTTCATCGTGGGCTTCATCTTCAACTATCTGATACGCAAGCGCGCCTTAGACTGGTGGAAACGCTACAACTGTACCACCCACCCTAACCCTAACGCAGGAGCCACAAAAACGAAACTAATCAGTCGGTTAGATCTCCTTCAAGCAGCAATGGACACGGGAACTGCGCTTGCAACGATCATTATCTTCTTTGCATTGAGCTACCATGGGATCAACCTCACCTGGTGGGGAAATACAGTTGGGGCAGATACGGACGATGCGAAATCGGTGCCTTGGCTGAAAGTTCCGGAGGGGGCCTATTTTGGGAAGGGTCCTGGCCAGTTCTAAACCGTGTCTGGACTAGAGTTCTATATTTATACAAGGTGATAAAGAGGAGGTTATCTCGGGATAGTCGCTGGAGAGCGATATGTGCTATAGCTCTATCTAGCGAAGGGCACACGAGCTTCTTCTACTGCTGATCAATCGTTTGAAGTTTAGGGTGGCTCACTGGGGTCTAATTGACGCCAAAAAGACAGTAAGACATGGGTCGATGTTGGAAATTGCTCGACAGGGCTCCTAGAAATACCCCTCTGACTAAAGTACTATGTCCCATCGTCAAATGATAACTACTTATATGGAGAGTATAACCTCTGGAAGTACGTCATTACGAAGGCATAGCAGACTAAATGGACACACCGTGAAGGATTACCCGCCTTATCAATAAATTAATCAAACAACTCCATAAGAACTCCATTCGCAGCTAACCAAATCCCGCAAGTAATGCGCTTACAAAACCAAAGCCAAAACATACAATCTATATAGACAACGATGTAAAAACCCGCTCTAGATGCAGAGAAACGCTCAGCGCGCCCGCGTCCTCCCCATAATATCGTCCGCCTGCATGCGCCTCAATGTTTTGTCAAAGCTCGAGGGCGAGTTCTCAAGCAAGGCAACCCAAGCTGTCCTTGTCAGTGCCCACTCAAAACCGGCAACGTCAGCCATTCCATGGTAGTTCTGGGCCTCCAGGATAGCAGAGAGGTATGAGCGCCAGACATGCTCAGCCGGAGGGCGGCGGTCAATGTCCCGGGAGAGCAGGATCAGCAGATGCTCAATCAGTGGGGTTGGCTTGAAGGTAATTACGTTGACCCTCCGGCCTTCGACAACAAGATCCTGTAGCCGTCCAATGCACCTCCCTGGAACATGGGGCGGGAGGAGGGTTGTGTGCGCGGCGGAGATGTAGGGGTGGCCGTGCACGCCCCTAGACGGCACATTACAAGGGATCTCAGGGAAGTGACCCAGCAGAGAGCGGTGGGCCCAGAGATTCACGGTCTGGGAGTTTTCGCCGGTGTGCGTCCCGTCGTCAAAGAAGAAGTGGCGCGCTGGACGGGGCTCGCCGCGCAGCGGGCCGAACTTGGGGCAGTCGTCCACGGACATTGTGCATTCCTTGAAGTTGTTACTTACGAGGACTACGGCTGCGGTCGCCATCTGCTGATCTGGAATGATAAAATCTGCGTCCTATTAGCATGTTAGCAGTTGGTTCTTTGTTAGATGGGGGAGAGGAGGGGGATACTTACCGTGACTTCCACTGATGCTCCGAGGACACTGAGCATGAGATTTTCCCAAAGACAGCAGGGGATCTGAGCCTGGTTTAGAAGATCAGTAACCCGAATTGGCACCTCGGGTGATACGTCGTACTTGGGTGGTGGGGCCATTGTTTTGTTTGTTGTGTGTGATGTGACTGCGATGGCAGATTGTTAGGGTGAAGGTTTGGTGATTAGGTTAATCTTGTTATGTAGGGCCATGAGGGTATTTATACTCTGGTCCCCAGGTTCCTTATGCACAGGCGGCAATGAATTCCTTTGTTAAGCTGGGATATACAATGCCATTGTCTTTTCTTAGATTGGAGAATACGTTATTCAAAGGCACTGTACAAAGGCATAAAGCCTTCACACGACGCACTTTGATTCATCTCGTATGTTTCTCTCAAATTTTGAAGAATATGAATGGACAAGTCTACAACAAAGGATTTTTCAAGTTGTGTATGGATGTTCTAACAGGGATTCAATAGTTGTGCTGCTAGTTGTATAGCCCTAACTCCTGGATCACCTGCTACTAACTAGAGACTTAATGTATTCAACCCTATTTGAGGTTATCCAGAGCAGTCTCTGAGACTATGTTCCTGGCAGCTTTGGATCATGACAATGTTTTTTCTGAAATAAATCTACCATAGTACGCAGCGTGATCTTTGTGTCCTGGTTATTTTTTACAGTAAAGGTCTTTGACTGTGATACACGTCACTGGGAGTAAGGTAAATAGCAGAGTATTTGACCTGATAGCTGATCGCAAAGCAGGGTCTAATCTTGCATGCGTATTACTCAATTTCTATCTCACCACACGTCAATCTCGTATTCATCAATGCTATATGTTCCTTCGGATCTGAAATTCTACCCATCTACGAATTCAATACATATAACCATAGGGTATGGGAAACCCTGTTTCCCATACCCTCAGCCCTACTTAAGTTACTATTATCAACTCTATTACAAGTTGAACGAGCACAGGGAGTATTGCTGCTTTCATGATGAAAGATGCTGACTTCTGTGTCAGCGCGAGTGAGATGGGTGACAGCGTGATGGGAATATCACTGTGACTGGTAGTTCAGATAGTATAGTTGCACTTAATGTGGGCATATGACATATTAATGTCAATGGGCGTAAGTAGCACTGGAACCTGTAAACCCGTATAGGAGAGTCTAGTACTAGTCATCTCGCCCGTTGCATGAACCGATATGAGGCCAAAAACATTGCCATGCAACAGATAGCAGATCTGACTATTCATAATTTTAATATCGCTCCAAATGCAGGAAGCCTATATGCCACATCCTTGGGATTGGCCACATGGATCCTTGAATGAGGCTGACAACTCTTTGACTAGCCTAGTTCCGTATCTCAGTGGGATTATAATACAAGCGAATATGGCACCGGATGCCTAAACACGCGCCACTCCCAGACCCCGCACATCATCCCCATCTGACATCTCACTTCCCCCTTCCTCTCTCAAACATCACAATTCGACATTTACTTTTCTCGCCTCACGGAGGCCGAGTATAACTAATGGCGGACGCACGAAAACAGCTCGACAATGCATCTTACGCTATCGGGTGGCTCGCCGCCCTCCCACACGAAAGAGCCGCTGCAGAAGCAATGCTCGACGAGAAACACGCACCACCGCGACACAAGTATCCGACAGACGACAACATCTACACCCTAGGTTCAATACGCGAACAGGGCGGCGGCGACCACAACGTCGTGATTGCTAGTCTCCCTGCGGGCCGTTATGGGGTTACGCCCGCTGCCACGGCAGCGGCCCATATGCTCTCCAGCTTCCCCGCGATTAAGTTCGGGCTTATGGTTGGGATTGGGGGCGGGATTCCCGATGTTGACGGGGACGGTGAGCGAGATATCCGGCTCGGTGATGTGGTTGTTAGCCAGCCCTCGGGGTCCTATGGAGGTGTGAGACAGTATGATCTGGGGAAAGCGACGGTTGATGGATTCGTGGAGACAGGAACGCTGAATTGCCCGCCGAGGGCGTTGCTCAATGGGGTGAGCGCGCTGCAGGGGAAGCATGAAATCGTGGAGAGTGATATTCCTCGGTTCCTTGCGTCAATGCAACACAAGTACCCTCTCATGGCTAGGCCCCGCCAAGGGCCTGGCTATGTTTATCAGGGCGCAGAGAACGACCGACTGTTTCGAGCAGATTATCAACACGAAAGCGGGGCTGATTGCCGTGGATGTAATGCCGAGAAACAAGTTATGCGGGAAGGGCGATATAACCATGACCCATATATATTTTACGGTACGATTGCGTCGGGAAACAAGGTGGTCAAGGATCCGAGAGAATGCGAGCTCCTTCGTCGCACAGGATGTCTCTGCGTGGAAACCGAAGCTGCTGGGTTAATGAACGATTTCCCCTGTCTGGTTATTCGTGGCATCTGTGACTACTGCGATAGTCACAAGAACGACAAGTGGCAGAAGTATGCGGCGGCAACTGCAGCCGCTTATGCGAAGGAGCTCCTCAACAATATGGATGTCACCGATGTCAGGACAACACCCGAAGCACGCATGATAATGTCTGAGCGTAGGTAATTGAGTCATTTGTTGTTGATTGAGGCAATGAACTGACAAATTCCTGATCTATCTAGTCCGCGATCTCAAATCCGTTACCAATGATATTGCGTCCGACTTGAAGCAACTGAATCAGAGCCATCAGCGAAAGGCGCTGTACAAATGGCTGACGCCGCTCAACTCATCGGCCCGGCACAGTGACCACCAGAAAGCCCGAGCAGAGGATACAGGGCTGTGGTTGCTTCAGGATGCGGTATTTCAGCAATGGTCTTCAACCCTCGTCGCCAACGCAAAGCAGGTACTATGTTGTTTTGGAAATCCCGGTGTTGGAAAGACAATCTTGACGTAAGTGGCCATCAGGGTCTACAGACAAGGTCCCTGTTTCAGTGACTAACACTTGAGTTATAGGTCCCTTGTCATTGACCACCTCGCAAAAAGTATAGCTACCGACCCGTGTTCTGGACTAGCATATATGTACTGTGATTACCGAGACCCAATGCATCGCAAGGCAGAGAACATACTTGGAAGTATAATAAAGCAGCTCCTGGAGCGGCTACCTCAAATACCCGAGACTATCACGCAAATCCACAAGCGCTGCATACGGGACAACCGGGCAATGACACTCGAAGACGCGAGGAACATGTACATCGCAGCCATTTCCCAGTTCAGCAAAGTCTATATCTGCCTTGATGCTCTTGATGAGCTGACACAGGGGCCTCTGCGAGATCTGATAAAGTGCTTGCGGGATGAACCATCCCTGAGACTGTATCTTACGAGCCGCACCCACACGCAAGAAATCGTTGGCGAATTGTTCGAGAACAAGCATACCATCATCGTTAAGGCTCAGGAGAAAGACATTCGACGTTTTATCGTACGCGAGATCGGGGGCCCTAATGACGTTGCACCTAACGCCATGGACAGCAAGCTAAAAGCAGATATCATTGCTACTGTTGCTGGGTCAGCGCGAGGGATGTGAGTGTAATTCCTCTCGGAGCTACTTTATCAGGCTTTCAAAACAAGTTGGTTGATCACCACTTATAACCATGTAGGTTCCTACTACCAGTCTTACAAGTCCGCTCTATCCTCCACGCCGTAAGCAAACGAGACCGGGAAGAGCGCTTGAGAACACTACCACAGGACCTCGGGGAAGCATTTGCCGGCTCTCTCTCTCGCATCGAGCAGCAGGCTAACCCTCTAGCAGAGCTTGCAAAGAAGGTGATTACCTGGGTGCATTTCGGCCTGCAAACTTTCACCGTCAAGATGCTAAAGACGATACTTGCCACTAGAGAGGGTGATACGCAGTTTGATCCCAGGGGGGAGCCGGATGTGGAGCCTTTGCTAGCCTGCTGCCATGGGCTAATTGTTGTTGGGGATGGGACATCGACAATTCGTCTGGTCCATTACTCACTGCAGGAATACTTTATTCGCCAGGAGGAATTGTTTGGCCTGAGTAGGGAGCAGTGGCATAGTTCTCTAGCTGCCACTTGCCTTACGTTTTTATTCTTTCCGAACCCCGACGTGGATGAGGCGGAAAAGCATTTGCAGGACAGCAAGCACCACAAAAGCGATCATAACAAAAATGATAGCGACGAAGACAATACCGACAAAAGTAATGTATACGAAGGCGACAACTCTCCAGAGCTCGATAATCACAATCACCTGCCATACTCTAGGCCATGGGGCTACGATAGCCACACAGTGTTCGACTATGCAGCCCTAAACTGGGGCCATCACTTCCGCCAGAGTAATGAAATACATGGGCCAGCACACAAACTTGCCCGACGATACCTCCGGAGCAGTAGGGACGAGATTGGATCAAGTCTATCGACGATCGAGAGCGTCCTATACCAAGATATTTACTACGTTGGCGAGATAAAAGAAAACCTGCCTTTCGAAGTGCTGGGATTCTTTGGCCTCACCAAGGTCGGCTTCGACTATTGGGACCAAAATCTAAACGCCTACCACGAGGAAGGGGACACGGCCCTGTCAATTGCCGCGCGCATGGGACACAAAGACCTGGTGGCGCTGCTCATCCAGAAGGGCGCTATCATCAACATGACAAATTCAAATTCCATGGGCCCTATCCACCATGCCATTGACAATGGACACGAGAGCGTCGTTAGGATGCTGGTTGAAACCGGCGCTAAACTCAACTATGACCCAGGTACTCCGGGAGATACGCCGCTGCGGCTGGCTGCGCGCCGAGGGCATGTGGAGATTGTCAAATTTCTCATTCGGCGCGGCGCTGTACTTGACAAAGTGCGAAAGGGCGGTGCCAAAGAAACGGCGTTGGGCTGCGCCGCGGAAGAGGGACATGTGGAGGTGGTGAAAGTGCTACTTGAAGCAGGCGCGACTGTGGATATAGGGCTTTTCACTCCATTATGTATTGCGGCTGGTAACGGGAATGAGGATCTGGTCAAGCTATTAATTAGTAAAGGAGCTGATCTGAACCATGGCAGTGGTCATAAAAAGGACGAAACTCCGCTTTCCACTGCTGCCAGCGCTGGGCGTGAGCGAGTTGTTGATATCCTCCTTGAAGCAGGCGCTAGGGTAAACCCTGACGTCTGGAACAAAATTCTGTACGTTGCGGCCCGCGGGGGACACAAAGGTTTGGTCCAGCTGTCAATCAAAGAAGGGGCTGATATCGACTGCTCTACCGCTTCAAAGAACAACGAAACAGCACTTCATGCCGCGGCACGGAGTAATAACGTGGAAATGGTCAAGTTCCTTCTGGATCAGGGCGCCTCGCCAGATTTTGTTGATTCCAAGGGTGATACGCCCCTGCTCCGAGCTTTGAACTTCGGGAAGATGAAGGCTGCTAAAGCACTAATCAAGAACGGGGCAATGCTCGAAAGAGTCAACCAGTATGGCCTGACGCCTTTATTGTCAGCTACACTATCCGGAACGGTGGGAGCGGTCAAGTTGCTGATTGAGGAGGGCGCGGTAGTGGATCTCTGTACCGAATTCTCACCTGACTACGATGAGGACGATCGTGATTATCGGAATTATAGCGAGAAAGATAGTCGTGCTATTGGGGGACTGGCTCGCATCGTTGAAGGCAGTAGAGCCTGGGCCCATGAGGTTAGGCCCGAGCGCAAGCGTTTCATCGATATGCTGCTACGGTGCAGCTTCTTCCCTCGCCCGTGCCTTGCCACTGCCAGTTGCAAGCAAACGGCAATCTTCAAACTTCTAGTTAAAGAGAGTGGAAAATTTCCTCGGGGGCCTACGAAGATTAATAGACTACAGGCTGCCATACTAGAATCCTGGATCACTGATGAAAATCCGGGATCAGAGTGGGAATGGCCACCTACCATGCGCCTGTTTCAGGGACTTGCTGATGTCATGGAGGAGATCTATTGGGTAGGCACATTTGCTCTCGATGTGTGCCATGAGCTCTTGAACTACGAATCCCATGCCTCACGCTCTGATGAAGAGGCTGATAAGGCTCTGGAGATACCGTCGCTACTTCTGGGAGCCAAGGACGTATTGGACCGACTGTGGCTTGTTTCCAAACGAGATATACTCTATAATGAATCTGTCGGCAGTGGAACAGGCCTATGGGCGTTGGGTGATGATGACGAGGACGTTGAAAGTGCATTTAACAAATTTCCGTCAAACATAAGTGCATTGGGCGACTTTTCATCAGACGAGTATGGAGCAGACGATGATACACCAGATGAAGATGCGTCGGACGAATTTGAATTCGACAAGCGTGGATCAGACGAGTACGGAGCAGACGAATATGGAGCAGAGGAATATGGAGCAGAGGAATATGGAGCAGACCAAAGTCCTTCAGACGCAGGAGTATCAGATAAATTTGCATCAGACAATGCATCGATCGACAATCCATTAAGATGGCGTGGATGGAACATGGAACGCCTCCCCACAGCCCTGGAGGATTTCGCATCTGCTCTTAGGGTGGTACGCTTTTTGCTTGAACCATGCGCCCAGAATACTAAGAAGGTATGTCTGCTCCCTCCACTCTACAGCCACGATAATAACCAGGCTCTACTAGAGTATGATGAGTGATGAGCCGTGTCAGCTCGCTGAAAAAGCCTCAACGCTCATTCGTGTACACACTGATTATTATGCCAGACTTTCCACAGAAACGCACAACCTGTATGAACTGTGGAACGACAAACTGCAGTGTGACCGTTGGGATTAGTGAGGGTGCCTTTCCGAATACTGCGTGGACTTTTCTGCCACTACCAGCCTGCTTGGCGTTGTTTATAGAGAAGGCAAACATCCCTAATCCAAGTCCCATTAAAAACTGGCTGTATCATTGCTTCCATAGGTGTTGCTATAATGCTAATTGATCCTCATCATTACTCTTGTGTTCCTCTTCATTATCTCCACTACTACTTCCATTTCTCTCTTCCCCAACGTAATTGCCACTGAAATCTGTATCTTGATTTCCGTTGCTATCCACCCCTTCTTTCCCTTCAACCTCGTTCCCTCTCCCCAAGTTACTGCGACATACAGTTCTCTTTCCCATTCAGAAGTCATCATCCTTTCGATAATTTCTACATCTTTTGCGCAGAGATCAAGATGTATGGGAAAAGATACCACTCGGCTACAAAAGATATCTAGACGCTTCTGAGCCCTGTGGGTACCCATTTATAACACATCTTACATTCCGACAAAATGGGACAGATCATATTAAACTGTCAACAGGTGTTGAAGAATTAAAGTAGGCAGAAAGTATCAAATAACCAAAGAAGAAATAAATATTTGGGTATCTTCAAAGCATCTTTGCCACCGAGGATTCAACCTCCTTTACCGCGACATCGGATTTGATATCACACGTTTGTGGAGTTAACCCATCTACCGTAGTTGGTACACTGTCATGAACCTTTCCCCTGTCACTGCCGTCATCATTCATCACCAACGCTATGGCATCAAATGCGCGGGTTAAATCAGCGATGATATCTTCGACATCTTCTGTACCTACTGATAGCCGGATCAGATCCTAACCAGAGGTTAGTTCAGTTTCAATACCTCCAAGCCGAAAGTCTTACTTCGGTAATTCCAGCACGGATACGATCTTCTTCGGTCATAATGGAATGGGTGGAGCCCCACGGATGGGTTGCCATGGTCTTGCAATCTCCGACACTTCAAGATAGACATGGTTAGCACCTTGCTCACAGAGGAGTTCTAAGAAGGACGATGACCTACTTGGTCATATGGGATACAAGTCTCAGAGCATTAACAAAGGCTCGACTTCCAACCGGACCTCCTTTGACGCCGAAAGACATCACACCACCAAAGCCGTGTCGAAGATATTTCTTCGCCAAAGCATGGTACTCGTCCGTTGGCAGTCCTAATTCCATGAGTAATAGCGCACGAATAATGTAGAATCAACATACCGGGGTAGCTAATCCACCCAGTCAATGGATGTTCGCTTAAGAACTCAGCGATCCGCATGGAATTAGACGCGATTCGTTCACATCGTAGACTCAACGTCTCGATCCCGACGAGAATCTGATGCGCTGCAAAGGGATTCATCACGGCGCCAACCTCCATCACGACTTCAATGCGCAGAGCCAATGCAAATGCGACATTACCAAATGCACTGACATACGAAAACGCCATGGGCCCCTCGCTCGGCTTTGTCAGGTGCGGGAACCTGTCGGATTCCTTCCAATTGAAGCGTCCGGAATCGACAATGATTCCACCCACCGTGGTTCCATGTCCACCGAGCCACTTGGTGGCCGAATGTATGACGATGTCTGCGCCGTGTTCAATTGCTGGACACCAGAAACCACCAGCGCCAAAGGTGTTGTCTACCTAGTGTCGGGTGAGTATGGATTCGTTTACAGGGTTGACTGGGGCTTACTGCAAAGGGCACTTTGTTCTCGTGTGCAATGTCTGCAATTGCTCTGAGATCCGGTATACTGATCCGCGGGTTCCCTACCGTTTCAACAAAGACCAGTTTCGTGTGATCGTCGATCAGCTTGCGGTAGCTCTCTGGATCGCTGTCTTGCACCCATTTCACCGAGATCCCAAGCCGTGGAAGAATGCATTTGAACAGACTATAAGTACCCCCATAGAGGTTGATTGAGCTGATGATATTGTCCCCTGCGTGAGCGAGGCACAGCACTGTCTGGAAGACGCCCGATTGTCCCGAGGCGCAGGCCACGGCAGCAGTGCCTCCTTCGAGGGCAGCTACCCTCTTTTCGAGTACCTCGACCGTGGGCTTTGTTGTCGACTTGTATCAGTAGTGACAGTATATACTAAGAACTATGTGTATAGACTCACATTTGATATCCGAGAATAGACATAGCCGGCTTCTTCATTGGTACATACGCGACGCGCGTGCTCGCTATCCGTGAATACATAGGACTGGCAAGAAACGTTGGTCAATTGTTGAGGATTTCAAACCGCGAAAATAAATATCTTACAGCCGTGGAGTATATGGGAACCGCTCGGGCCTTGGTTGCTGGGTCGGGTATCGCCCCGGAATGAACCTGACGAGTATTGAACCCTCGCTGGGATTCCAAGGGCAGATCGACCTTGAAGGGAGAAAAGGGGTCCGCCATTATTGATGAAAGAAACTCCAACAAATCGCAAAACAAGTGCAGCCAGCGACCGTTGGCATATATATATTGGCATGGATCCAAGAGTAGCCAAGTGACCGTTTCGGACATTGACTGATCTGTCGGCGGCCTAAAACAGTTAAACCCTAAACACCCCGGACGGCCGAGGCTCTGAAACATAGATGCTATTTTGGTTATCCTATTAGTTTATTATTCAGGTCTCTCCGCATTGTTACAGCAAAATCCCCTTCTTTCTTTTTGTATCATAGACTGCTGGGATCTCTTCCAGACCCTCGCTTGACATGGACCTCCAACATCTTACGCGACTGTGCAGTTCTGTCTCAAGGGACAATTCACTCCCGCTATTTGCTGTCCTCGCAGGAATAGCTACTGTGGTTTTTATCATCTGGGACAAATGGTCGGGACAGCGATTGGTCGCCGGGGTTCCCATTGTGGGAGGCAAGGATGCAGCCACTATCAAGCAGAACCGTATTCGGTTCGTGCACGATGGCAAGAGGATGCTTCAAGAAGGCTATCAAGCAGTGTGTTGCTCAACAACCTATGCCTCTATTAGTATTAAATTCCTGCTAACCTTTTTGCTAGACAAATGGAGGACTGTTTTATGTTCCAAGCAAGCTGGGAGAACGGTTGATGCTGCCCACTAAGTATCTGGAAGAGCTGAAGTCTGCTCCCATGCACGAGGTTGATTTTGTGGCCACTTTTATTGAGGTATCATGCAATTTAAACTATCTCTGTCGGGAATATACTGAGGAATATAGATGTTCGAGGGAAAGTATACCACCATGGGCAGTCGATCCACCCTTCATCCCCGAGTAGTGCGACGCGAGTTAAATAAGAACCTCTGTCAGTACGCATACTTTACTCTTTACTACCGAGCTGACCAGTACAGGGACGGTAATGGAACATGTCCAAGAAGAGGTCAGCGATGCCATTGATGCTAGCTTTCCCGCGTGTGACGGTAAGCCACCCACTTGAATACTGGTTTCCAGTTCTAAATACGGTCAACTAGACTGGACGGAAGTGGATGTCGTCGATCGCATCACACATATTGTGGCGCGTGTATCAAGTCGCATGTTTGGAGGCACCACGCTCAGCCGCAACGAAGAATGGGTTCAGTCCTCGATTGACTTTGCCACGGACGGATTCATCGGCGCGCAGGCCTTGAAAAAGTACCCAGAATGGTTCAAACCCATTGCAGCGCGGTTTATACCCGCTATCCAAAATATTAAGAAACACTACGAGAATGCCGAAAAGGCGGCCATTCCGTTGTTGGAAGAGCGCGCTCGGACTGGGGCTACGGCACCTGATCTGCTGTCTTGGATGGATGACGATGCCAAAGGGACTGAAAAAGATCGGGAGTTCCTGGCTGGGATTCTCCTCAAGGTTAGCTTTGCTGCCATCCACACCAGTGCTGCTGTGCCGACCCAGCTTCTATATGATCTCTGCGCCATGCCTGAGTATATCGAGCCACTCCGGCAGGAGATTGCGGACAATACAGATCCGAATGGGATTATTCCGCGCCAAGGGTTCCAGAATCTGTCGAAGATGGATAGTATCATGAAGGAGAGCCAGCGGTTCAACCCTCTCTTGTTGAGTAAGTGTCGGCTCTCATTGATAAACATGTTCCTCCCATCACTGACCGATTCTAGTCACTTTCGAAAGAGTGGTGACCACGAATTATGCCTTGTCAGACGGACTGGTCATCCCTGCCAACACCACCATCGGCATCCCCACGCACGCCATCTCCATGGATGCAGCCTTGTACCCAGAGCCCGAGGAATTCAAGGGCTTTCGGTTCCACGACTTGCAGAAGGAGAAAGTCTCCGGAGAGAAAGGCCCGCCGGTGGTATATGCCACCTCCCACCCGTCCAGCATGGCATTCGGATACGGCCGCCACGCCTGTCCTGGACGATTCTTCGCATCAGCCGAGATTAAGGCGATTATGGCTTATCTGATTCGGAATTACGATTTTAAGTTCCCACAGGACGGGCAGGACCGGCCTCCGAGCTTGTTGTTTGAGACGCAGAATCTGCCCAATCCGACAGGGAGGGTCATGTTCAAGCGCAGAACCTAGTGATACTATTCAACCATTGAATTACAGTAGCTTAGAATGGCAATATTAAACGGAGTACTACCTCACATCAAGCTATGATTAACAAAGGCGTTGATAGAACCGCGTTTTGCCCCTTTGGGCAATACCCCGCTCTGCTCAGCCTTGCAGAAGCTGGATATGAATTTTCTCTACGTGTCAGCTCAGCAAAACTGATTATCATCTGTATGAAGCTGAGCTGTCATCATCCCACACAATGCCTTTGACCGATGGGTTCCAGATTACTGTTGCTGTATGAATTCACTCATCATCAAAGCACATCGAGTTGACCACATGGACAGATAGTCGGCCTTGTTTTCGCCTATAAATATATCCAATGGCTAAATAACCCTCTCCGGCGGTTTCCTGGACCGTGGACTACATCTTTCAGCAATGTACGTATTCCCTATCGGATGTTTGTCTTTTCTGGTCTCACTGACGATTGTCCACTGACGGAATCCTTTAGGCGCTGTACTCGTGGAATTTCATGCGAGGCCGACAGCCTTATCGCCAACTGGAGCTGCACGAAAAATACGGTAAGCTCATATAACTTTCGTCACCTGTGGCAGTGGTTAACGCGTATCCAGGCCCTGTCGTCCGAGTTTCCCCCAATGAGCTGAGTTTCAGCAGTGCCAGCTCCTGGCGCGACATATATGGCGTTCGCAAGAACGTCGAGCCCTTCATCAAGGGTGAATTCTATGACGGCGGCAACTTCGCTTCCGAAGCATTGTCTATAGTCAGCGCGCGAGACCCCAAATCGCACGCCGAAATGCGCAAGGACCTAGCCAGCGCATTTTCCGATCGCTCGCTCAAGGCCCAGGAGCCTCTGATTGCCGAGTCGGTCGATCGGTTCGTCGAGAAGATCGGAGAGGCGGGGAATAGTCCACAAGGCACCGATATGGTAATGTGGTACAACCTGACCACCTTCGATATCATCGGCAGTCTGGCGTTTGGGCAGGACTTTGGCGGCGTCGAGTCTGGCACTGAGCACTTTTGGGTGTCCATTGTGACGAAGAGTCTGCGCCTGGGAGCGATGGCGGATTGCTTTCGTCGATTCCCGACTGCAGGGACAGTGTTTCAATGGTTATTTTCGGGCTTGATTGAGAAGATGATGGAAGAGAATCGACGGCATCGGAAGTACACCATGGACCTGGTGCAAAAGTGAGATTTTTCTTGAAGAAGGTGATGCTTGAGACTGACCACCTTTTGTATAGACGCCTTGCGAGTCAGAGCACACGGAAAGACTTTCTGACCAAGATTATCGAGGGACGTGAAGAAACCGGGATCTCAGCTGTGCAGCTTGCAGCGCATTCATCAGACTTTGTGTTCGTCTTCGTTCCTCAAGCGCGTGACCGATCGTGCTAACATCTATGAATATAGCATTGCCGGCAGCGAGACCACCGCCACGACAGTGTCCTGCATGACCTACTACCTCCTGCGCAAACCAGATATCATGAATCGTCTCCAAACCGAAATCCGGACCGCGTTTACTCGATATGAGGAGATCGACGCGGCAAGCACCACTTCCCTTCCATATCTGCGCGCGGTAGCTCAAGAAGCTATGCGTGTCTACCCTCCACTGCCGCTTGCGTTACCGCGAGTGGTCCCAGCCGGCGGGACCACGGTGGACGGCCATTATGTCCCTGGGGGTGTACGTGATTTTCCCCGTGTATTAAAAGATAAACTGACAATTTGAACAGACTGTTGTATCTACGAGTCCATTCGCCAGCAGTATGTCGTCGGCCAACTTCAAAGATCCATGGGATTTCAAGCCAGAGCGATGGCTAGGGAAGAATGCGAGCGACGATCTCGAGGCCAGTCAGCCGTTCTCGCTGGGCCCGCGATCGTGCATGGGTCGAAGGTAAGCAGGTGTTCAGCATTCATTCACCAACTAAGGTATGGACTGACTAATATTTCTTGATAAAGTCTCGGGTGGATGGAAGTGCAGACGATCATGGCTAAGGTGTTGTTTCGATATGATTTGGAATTGGTAGATCCGGACGTCGACTGGCATCGGGATTCGCAGATGCATACATTATGGGAGAAGCCTCGCTTGATGGTGCGAGTGTCGCCTCGACAGGAGTAATCTCATCCCTGTTTATGTATCAAGTGGGATTGACATGGTCCACAAATTGGCCCCTAAGAGAACTGTTTATATGCAAAAGCGAGATATACTTCGCTCGGAGCTACAGTGTCATCAATCTTCTATATACTTTTAGCCGCTACACCAAAACGTTGACCAACGTTTGGTATAGGGCCTAACCTGACTGAAATCCCCAACATAATGACCAGCATCCAAAGGGCAGATATCTCAAAATCATAGTGATGTGGAATAGAAAAATATTCAACTTCATATTATTTGACCCACTGCACCGTAATACCGAACAGTATCCTTGATATGACTGTTATACAATCATTTATCAAATACTCCGAAAGTCCGTAGCCGTTTGCTGCAACCTCGTCAATCGCGTATTCGCCTCTCCAAACCACTGCCGTCTCAAAGCTGCAATCGGCTCCTCCAGCTCAGTATACCGATCCCCCAGCGTCAGGATGGTGCGACCATTCCACCGGGATTCATGGTCGTCTCCGCTGTCTTTTCCATACTGCTCGACCAACCGCTTTTGGCGCGCCACAGCCGAATACACTACTGCCAGCCCGACAAATTCGGCCGTACTCACTGGGAGCCCTGCTTCCATAATCGGCGCAGCCAGATTACTTGGCAACAGCGCTGTGATGGTCGCGGCGGGGGCCACGCTGTTGATGGTGATGTCTTCGGTGCGGATGGCGGAACGGAGTGCTCGTATGAGCCCGATAAGCTGGATGGGTATATTAGATGGTTATCGCAGTGGAAGATAGGAATAAATCAACGTACAGCGAACTTGGAGGCGCCGTACACCGGCAACGACTGCTCCGGTGCATAGGCAGTCGCACTAGACGTGATGACAATGCTACCAGGACATTTGCGGCGTCTGAAGTGGCTCAACGCCAGCTTGGTAAAGTTGAGGGCAGCGCGCAAGTTGACGTCCAACACGCCGTAGCTCGGCTCCAGCAGTTCGTTATTATCGTCGAACGTGTCGGCGAAGTAGTCGGCCTCTTCGGACACCCCGGCATTCGACACCGCAATGTCGATGTCGCCGGCGTGATGGAACGCATGCTTCAGATCACTCCATTTGGAAACATCGCATGGGTAATACTCAATGTTGCTATGGGTATCTGCTGGGGGCGGGTTGATATCGAGATCCAGAACCGTAGCGCCCTTTTGTGCAAAGATCGTTGCTGCGGCCAGCCCGATGCCCGATGAACCACCGGTGAGGATGACTCGTTTTCCGGTGAGGTCGGGGATATCGTTGACGTCGATGTTGAGGGAAGTCATTGTATTTGTAAATTGAATATACTATTAGGGTTGGGTGAATGGTTTCTAGCCATGAATGCCCAGATATTGTATATCGGCCAGTCGGCCTCCTCGGAGTATCCCAATGGAGATTGCCCCAATTTGGAAGCCCGGGGATTATGAAGCCATATATCTCAAATGCTCTGAGCAGGTAAAGGAGTTTTTCAGTCTCGCCAACTTCACCATGACAGTTCTCGCGGTACTCTTGTGGTTAATTCGTCTGTGCGCTGCATCACCAGCTATAGGATCATTCACTCTAGTGGTCGACTCGGGATATGCACTACATCGCGCCAGGATCTTTGTGGTATAATATACATCCGATCGAGTTCTTGGAATATCATCATATAGAATCATAGCCTCGTAATATATCCCTTCACCTACATCCGCTCAACCTCCAATCAATGAGGTTTGATTCGCATCCCTGGCAGCCCCCACCCCCAACCGCAATACCATTCATAATGGCGGAGAGGATATCATATGGCCTCGAGCAATACCAGCCTGGTTGCATATAGCCTTACAATATATCGAGGGCTTCAGCTTCACCAATACCCCCCCCTCCAATCGGCTAAAGCGAGGCAGCGGTTCCTCCGGTCACGGCTGGCACCACATTCTACTAGGCCAACAGTAGCCGCTTTACTCGACTTGATGGCATGATTGCGAAGACAATGCAGGGGAATTTAAGCCAATTTGCGACCTAGGGTGACCCGAACAACAACGGGCTGCCACAGTTTGCAGCCTACAGGAACTTCACTGGTATGATCCAAGAACTTAACAAGACAGACGTACATTAGACCACAGCGCGATGATGTTTCCGCCTCAATGTGTAGAGCTGGTTGGAAATGTGGCAGTGAATAGACAGGGATTATGAGTCATTATGAATCGTTCCTTGTCACTTTTTCGAGTCTAGACTAGAAGGAGAAAAGGCCGATGTAACCCGCTAGATAAATATTACTGTATCACCAGATCATTAGTCTCACTGTTGATACCAATATCAAAACAAACAAAATGGATAAAACACGCCTCTTCCCTTCTTCTCGTCCGCTCCAGCCCATTTCAACCCCGCTTTCCATCCTCGACGCCACAGTTGTTCGTTACGCTCCTACGGGAGCTATATGGCTCTTCGAACACATCCCCGAGGGTGTCAGCGAGACTGAGTTTCTTGACCGTTTGCGCTCGTCTTTGGCGGATGCCCTTAATGACTTTCCACACTTTGCAGGCCAGCTGCAGTGGGCACCGGTGCGGCCGGGCGGTTCACACACTGAGCGCTTCAATCGACCCGTAATCATATATGGCGACGAAAGAGATCCAGGCGTCGAATGGAGCGTCGTGCGACATTCATCCATCTCGCTACAGTCGCTGGCACCCTCGGCGTCAGAGCGGGCGTCTGGAGAGGGGGTCTGGATAGGAGACGAATTCGCGCAGAGCCTGTTCCTCTCGAATACGTCGCTGCCGTTGCACGATCTGCGAGAATGTGAAGGAATCCCTGCCGTGCAGATCCAGCTCAGTCTGTTCAATGACGGGGGATATGGTATTGGTATCAAAATGGTCCATTGTTTGGCCGATGCACAAGCACTGATGGTGTTTGTCCATCACTGGGCAGCCAAAAGTCGCAAATCATTCTCTTCCACCGACACCTCTTCTCTCATGGACGCGCCCATCTTCAATCCAGCCCTACTAGACGAATGTGCCGCAGGAGACATTGATGGACCAGCTACTGACCCTGCGTTGGCCTCTGCCGCTCGCCAGCTCCCACTCCACCGGTTTGACTGGTGGCGCACCGATGCCTCCGGATACCCGCCTTTTTCGCTTCCAACGACAGAGAACTCCAAACCATCAGCGGAAACGCTCTCCCAGATCGAACTATCGCCTTCCACCTCCGCGCCGTGGTTAACGTGGGATTTTTCCCGGCCGGTGCGGTACACACAACTACACTACCCCGGACCCGAGCTCGACCACCTGAAGGAACAGGCGCGCGCGGACGGTCGTCCGGACATATCGCGGTTAGATGCGTTGCTGGCCCACATCTGGTCGGCGATCAACCGCGCGCGAGGTCATAGCGATTCAACCGAGGACGTCTTTCTCAATCTCACGCTCGGGGTGCGCGCACGTGTATCGCCTCCATTGCCCGACTCCTTTATCGGCTCTCCGCTGTTCCTCGCTCATCTCCAGAACTCGGGTGCGTCCGCCTGTGCTTCCAGTGTAGGGCAAACAGCGAGCCAGATCCGGGAGACAATGCTACGTTTCACGCCCGACGTGGTGGGCGCCATGCTGCACGATGCGGCGCATGAGATGTGCCCCCAGCGGCTGTGGCAGGCGTTTCTAGGTACACAGCATACGATAGTGACGTCTTGGCTGCGGCTTAAGGTGTATGAGGTGGACTTTGTTGGATCCAAGGAGCAACCTCGGTATGTGCATGCGGTGATGCCTAAGATGGATGGCTGTTTGCAAGTTATGGATCCGGGGTTGGATGATGGGGGTGTCGATATTGCTTTGTATTTAGATGGAGAGGCGATGGAAAAGCTGCTAGTGGATAGATAGCTACATGTTTGAGTATATTAGACTTAGTAATGACATGAGTTTATGTGTCGGTTTGCCGTTTGATATGAAGACTTCGAGAGCCATTGACACAATGCATATGTCCGGTTCAACTTGATAGTGGTGAGATGAAATGATTGTTGCATACTTGATCAGGGATTTGACGTGGTGTCTCCTGATGGTCAAGTCCGTCCAAAGCCTATCATGTCTGATGTTTCCATCAAACCTTATCCAAATCAGAATGTGCTGATGATATGTAATTCCAGTTGATCTGGGGGCAACAGGAATATTATATACATAGAGTGGACATGTGCGAGTGAATGATATACTACTTTTTATCCTTGCTATCTGTCTTTATGAACTTTTGGTTTGAGAAAATACTCTATATTCAGTGGACAACGGTCAAATCCGGATGTATGCATTGATGCATGATGCATCAAGGCTAGCCCATTGCAAAGCTTTATTCGATACAACGGTATCGTGTGATTCACACCAAGCACCAATCTGGCAGTACGCAGTGAGTTGACACCGTAGAACTATCATATCTTCTCATTGATAACACATTATCATGTAAATTTCCCAAGTTCATCTACTTTATACTTGGCAGCAGAGCACACCCCCCGCCTAGCGTTTCACACAGGCCATGGTCCTCGCGCCTCTTCCCTATTCGTACTTGAATCCTGGCTTGGATAGGCAATTGGTCACAGCCTCCCTTCGGGACTTCCACTTACGGTGTCAGAAGTAGTGAGACTGGTATATAATCTGGAGACAAGTGAGACCTGTGTATATAATGTCGGGGCTGGTAAAGATCGACTTTGATACATTGTTTCGTATCACAGTTTGTACATCGATCACCATGTCTTTTTCGCTTTCTTACCTCCAAAGCCTCCTATATTCCGCCACAATTGGCCAGATAACATCCGCTCTGGGCTATCAGCACGCCATCCACCCCGTCCTCGGCCGGCAAAGCGACCCTCTCCCCTCCTCTCCAGCACAGTCCCGGGCAAAGAAAAGCGAGGCTCCAATCCCGTCACGATTCACGCCAAAATGCCAACCCCTCAGTACCGAGATCATCAAGCAAGTCGATGGATACTTCCTCACACATTGGCCTTTCAAAAACGAGAAAGCCCGAAAGAAGTTCGTGGCGGCGGGGTTCTCATACGTGACAAGTCTATACTTCCCCATGGCGAAGGACGACCGCATCCACTTTGCGTGCCGGCTTTTGACCTTGCTGTTTTTGATCGATGGTGGGTTATACATCCCAGGTCCCTACAATAACGTCTCTGACACTAGCAGATCTTCTCGAGGATATGTCGTTTGACGAAGGATCGGCCTACAATGAAAAGCTAATGCCGATTGCCCGGGGCGAGGTTCTACCAGACCGCAGTGTCCCCGTGGAATGGATCATGTATGATCTGTGGGAGAGTATGCGGGCTCATGATCGAGTCCTGGCAGACGGAATACTCGAACCAACTTTTACGTTCATGCGAGCCCAGACAGACAAGTCTCGCTTGACTATCAAGGAAATGGGTCCGTATCTCACATATCGTGAGAAGGATGTGGGGAAAGCGTACGTCTACATCAACCATACACCTGATGGAGTTCAAAATAATAACAATCGTCCATATTCAACAGTCTACTATGTTCCCTGATGCGATTCTCCATGGAACTCCACATCACTCCGGAGGAAATTGCTTCCGTCCGGGAGATCGAACAAAACTGCGCCAAGCATCTCTCTGTCGTAAACGACATCATGAGCTGGGACAAGGAGTATCTCGCCTATCAGACCGGTCACCCGGAAGGCTCTGCCATTTGCTCTGCGGTGCAAGTCCTCGCAGACGAGACCAGTTTGTCTCATGCAGCGTGCAAGCGGGTTCTCTGGGTGATGTGTCGCGAGTGGGAGAATAGACACGAGGTTCTGGTGGCTAAACGACAGACTGATGGTGCTGTTCCCTATGGGGATAATTTGAAGCTTTATGTCAAGGGGTTGGAATTACAAATTAGTGGGAATGAGTTGTGGAGTTTGACTACTCTTCGATATAACTCGCCTAACTAGCACGATTGTTCCATATGCATGATGTTTCTTAATTGATTAAAGGATTTGTGGTGATTTGATTGACTACCGGCTTTTCAATATTCTCTCTACTTAACAAGTTCTCTATCTTTCTATCCATATTGAAACCTGTACAACTTGGAATGGAAAAAATACCACAAGCATTCATGATATTTACAAAAGACCCGAAGGTTTTGACCAATCGAGTCTATTACCGAGATGGGCCGATCCGATCTAGCCCTTAACGTTGAATTGCGAGCTCGGGCCGAGCACCAAACAGTACTAGCCTTTGGAAGTTGAACGAGTATACTATTACCATTTTCATATTGGAATATCGACCCGGAGCAATTGCCTGATGATGATGATGGTATTGCCTAACATCCCGGGGGGTAGTCGCGGGCGTCAGCCCCGCAAAAAAGAAGATAACATACAACAGCCGGGATTCGCATGTGGTCACCCACCATACTACTAACCGGCCGGCGTGTGGCTTAAGTACGGCTGAGCGGACGGGAAGCCCTGTTCTCCACACCCTATGGTCGTATGTACCAATTTATTCTAAAGATTGGTTGATATAAGGTTTTATCAGAATCGTCGCACGGTCGACCTAACCTTTCAGCCTTTGATATATTGGACGAGGACCTTGCGGCGACAGAGCCTATCTTAACACTAGCAACAGATTCATAGTCCCGGTCCTCGTTACGAGCTTGGGGGAACGGCCATTTTCGTTTGCAATGTTGAATGGGAAATTGTGATACTGAGTCCACCTCGCGATGCCTTGCGAAGTGGCCCGTCAACCTAATCCGGCTAGACCGAGCGAACGGAGTTACCTATTAAGACCGGCGGTTAATGATAGCAGGGTATATCAGGCTGGATTGAATAAAAGTAGAATGAGAGAGCAATCCAACGATTGCTATTCTCATAGCAGCCAGTTGAGTGTATATCAGCAAAATGCAGCTTCCTGATTACCAGCCACATATCGATGGCTTGTTTAGACAGTTTGCCCTTAGTAAAGAAGGGGCCTTATTGCGTGTATTCTATGTGGTGTTGTCTGTGGTAAAACTGCCGCAACCCCTCACGCGAGGAACATGCTGATATGGTTATAGATCGTGCTATCTGCCAGCACGAAGATTGTATACAATCTTCTGTTCCATAAACTCGCCGGATTTCCAGGGCCTTTGTTAGCACGGTCGACGCTGGTATGAAAACAGCATGAGGATACCATCTCAGAACGTTTGCTGATTGCATCCAGATATGGCGAATTTACTATTCCCTCGGCGGCCGGTTTCACGTTGCCATTGACGAACAACACCGCAAATATGGTAGGTGTTGTGCAGCATTATTGCTCAAACCCTGCTTACGCCATCTCCAGGCCCAGTAGTTCGGATCTCTCCAAACGAACTGTCGTTTGCATCGGTCGAGTCCTGGAAGGCTATCTACGGCCTCCAGCCACCTGGCACCCCTACGCCCATTAAATCCGAGTTCTACGACATATACGGCGCCGGATTCAGCTCGCTATGCATCGGCAGCGAGAGAAACCCCCAGAAACACAGCCAGATGCGCAAGATGCTCTCGGCAGCATTCGCGACAAAAGCGCTAGTAGAACAGGAGGCCATATTTTCCAACGTCGTGGATCAATTCATCACTTCTATCGGCCAGTTGGGTGGTTCTGATTCGAAGGGCATCAACATGAGCAAGTGGTTTGAGATGGTGTCGTTTGATATTCTGGGAGAAATGGCGTTTGGAGAGTCCTTCCACTGCATTGATACGGGTTTGTCTAGATGTTCCACTTGATTTGATGCTAGCTGATTTGGTCAAGGGAAACCGCATTTCTGGTCTGAGCTTATTACCAGTCATCTGTATTTCATCACGCTGGTGGACAATCTGCGTCGTTTCCCCATGGTTGTTGCCTTGACAAAACTGCTATTCCCATCTACGCTTGCGGTGCGCAACCAGAACTCGGAGTATAGTCGCAAACAGGTCGCAAAGTATGTCCCGCGGGAGACTTCGAGGATATTTACTGATCAGTCACCAGGCGCCTGGAAAAAGATTCCACTCGAAAAGACTTCTTGTCTACAGTGGTGAAGAATTTCCGCGCGGGAAATGTCAGCAAAGAAGAGATGACCGCGCATGTGTCCACGCTGACGTGAGTTCTGTCATTATACAAGAAAGAAGAAGAACAGAAATAACAGCATGTAGCATCGCCGGAGGAGAGACGGTTTCGACCTGCCTTGCAGGAACTACCTACTATCTGCTGAGGAACCCAGGTTGTTTAGCGAAACTGCAGCGCGAAATTGTCGACCGGTTCACCTCCTGGGAAGAAATCAACGGAACAGCTGCACGGCAACTCCCGTACCTGCAAGCCGTCATCAACGAAGGACTTCGAATGTACCCGCCGGGACCTCAGGGCTTCCCTCGTCTATCTCCCGGAATGAAAGTGGGCGACTATTGGGTCCCTGAAGGAGTGAGTCGTTTCTTCCCCGCTTGTACCATACGCTAACTAACGGCATCTGGCAAAGGCCGAGGTTTACACCAGTGCCTATACAGTGACCCATGATGAGCAATACTTCGCGGAACCAATGAAGTTTAAGCCTGAGAGATGGCTGGATCCACACTCTACAGATGTCAAGGAAGCTAGCCAGCCTTTCTCGCTGGGCACGCGGGGCTGCTTGGGGCAGAAGTAAGGACAACAAATTCTCAAGTGCTGAACTACGCTAATGGGGTACAGTTTTGCGTATATGGAGCTGAACTTGATTCTTGCCAAGATGATCTGGAAATACAATTTGGAGCTTGTGAATAAAGATTTGGACTGGGAGGGACAGAGCCATATGCATGTTATGTGGTGGAAGCCCAAGTTGATGGTTCGGTTTACCAAAAGGGCGTGATGTTACATTCACTATCACTAGTCACCCAAGGTCAAGGTTCAATATAGTCTTATCTGGTTCGTGGATTGATTCTCGGCCCGCCCCGAAAGGGAAAATCCCGATGCGAAAGACGATCCCTGTAAAGGATGTGGGGCGTGATGTCGTTTTGTGGTCTCATTGGAATTGACTTTGCATCTCTCTTATTCACCCACAATGAGTGTAGTGGAAGACGATGGGCCCAAGTCCGCGAAAAAGCTGCAAGACGATGAGCAACAAATCCTCACGCAGCAAATCGCCGGCGCGACCAGCTACTTGAGCTCGACACGTTTTGTGTGGAGCTGCACCAGTTCATGGGATGGCATTATCCTTATTGTCAGTGCCTTGGCGGCAATTGTGGGAGGAGCCGTAACTCCTGCGGCGATGGTTTGTGCAATGCCTATGGCTTTCTTGATTCTTCACACGGCTGACTTCAACTTGATTGCGTAGATCCTCGTCGGGCAAATGGGCCAGTCCTTTCGCGGGTACTTCTTGGGAGAAACGGATGGCTCTGCCTTTCAGGCGCAGGTCATCCAGACCACCTTGCTGTACGTCTACTTAGCCGCGGCCGAGTTCGTCGCCATCTACATCGCCACCGTTGGGTTTACCATGTCTGGAGAACACATCGCTCAGCGCATCCGGGAACGCTACCTTGCAGCCGTTCTTCGCCAGAATATCGCATATTTCGAAGGTATAGGGGTGGGGGAAATCGCAAACTGCATAACCGCCGATACAAACCTGATACAGGACGCTATCACGGGAAAAGCGTCGCTCACCCTGTCGGCCATTGGGTCGTTTGTGGCAGCCTTTATCATCAGCTTTGTGCAGAGCTGGCGCCTGGCGCTTGTGTTGCTCCCGGCGGTTGTCGCGATAGTTGGCTCTATGAGTATCGGCGCGTCTTTTATGGTCAAGTACACTATACGCAGTCTCGGATCGTACAGCCAAGGCGCCAGCATCGCCGAGGAAGCCATCAGTTCGATCGTGACCGTGGCGGCGTGCGGGATGCAAGAAACGCTGGTTCAGCGGTACGACCAGCATCTGATCACGGCTCGAAAGGCAGGCTTGAAATCTGGAATCTCGCTCGCAATCATGATCGCCCTCATGAACGCCGCCATCTTCTGGTCGTACGGACTGGCGTTTTGGCAGGGCTCTCGCTTTCTGGTGGTGGATCAGGTTAATTTGGCGAATATTTTGACGATCCTGTATGCAACCATCAACGGCGCGTTTGCCTTGGGGAACGTGGCTCCTTATGCACAGGCTTTTGTCAGTGGAGTGGCAGCCACCCAAAAGATCTCGCAGACTGTTTCTCGACGGTGCAAGCTGATCGATCCCAGCATGTCCACGGGTGAGAGGCCATTGGACACAGTCGGGCGCATTGAGCTGCGGAATGTCAAGCACGTGTATCCCTCAAGGCCCGAGCTGACGGTGTTGCATGGCTTGGATCTCATCTTTGCAGAGGGAAAAATGACTGCTATTGTTGGACCATCCGGCTGTGGCAAGAGCACAATTGTTGGACTGCTCGAACGATTCTACGCACCGGTTGGGGGTGAGATCGGTAAGTGGGCTTAGCGACTTCATAATCACGAAGATATGGCTGACCGGTCTAGTGCTTGACGGACGAGACATCACGACATTGAATCTCATATGGCTGCGGCAGCAGATTGGGCTCGTTAGCCAAGAACCAACCCTTTTTTCAACAACCATCTTCGAGAACATCCGATATGGCCTCATCGGGACAAGCGTCGAGGACGCTCCCATCGGAGAGATCGAAGAGCTGGTCTTCAGCGCGGCGAAAACAGCCAACGCATACGAATTCATCACAGAACTTCCCGACGGGTTTCAAACGCACGTGGGAGACCGTGGATCGCTGTTGTCCGGTGGTCAGAAACAGCGCATTGCCATTGCGCGTGCAATTATCAAAAACCCTAAGATTCTTCTCCTCGACGAAGCAACCTCGGCGCTGGACGTCAAATCCGAACGGCTAGTGCAAAAGGGGCTGGATAACGCAGCTAAGGGACGAACAACGATTGTGATAGCACACCGGTCTGATCCATTTCTCCCTTGTGTGGATGTATCTCGTCTGACGTGGAATATCTAGGTTGTCCACCATCACGGCCGCCGATAACATCGTGGTCATGTCCGAGGGGCGGATTATCGAGCAGGGAACGCACAACGGGCTCCTTGAAAAACAATCAATCTACTATGACCTGATTGAAAAGCAGCGCATCTACGCTGAAAAGCAGAATGCGTTGAAAGCAGTCGAAGAGCCGGTCCCAACAGATCCAGAGAAACATCTCATTATTACAGACCAAGTCAGAGAACGGAAAGAAAAACAGTCAGATGAGTCTACCAATCCAACAGAGTGGAAAGAAAGACAATACTCGACATGGAAACTGGTTCGCTTTGTCGCTAGCTTGAACAGAGACCAAACAGTTCCTATGCTGGGTGGTCTGTTGTTCTCCATCATTGCCGGCGCCGCACATCCGACGTGAGTCGTATGCGATGTATACTGCTTTGACCGATTGTTAATCATATGCCAGTCAGTCAGTTTTCTTCGCCAAAATGGTCTCGTCACTTTCCAGAACACCATCCAACTACGATGCTCTCCGTCGGGACGTCAACTACTGGAGCTGGATGTATCTCATGATCGGATTTACCACGTTGATAGGTTGGTTAGGGCAGGGCGTCTGCTTCGCATACTATTCGCAGAGTCTCACCCATCGGGCGCGAAGACAGACATTGGAAACGGTTCTGCATCAGGATATCGGCCTTTTTTCCAGCCCGCAACACTCATCCGGGGTGTTAACAGCGACATTGTCAACCAGTGCCTCCAATCTGGCTGGCATGAGCGGCGTCACTTTGGGAACCGCCTTCGTTATTCTTACCACGCTGATTGCCGGATTTGTACTGTCCGCTGCGATCGGTTGGAAGCTGGCACTCGTGTGTGCGTGTATGATTCCAATCCAGCTGGGATGTGGGCTACTCCGGCTTAAAGCCCTAGCCATCCTCGAGAGCAAGTCGCGCAAGGCGTATGAGGCTTCGGCAACGTACGCCTGCGAGGCGAGTGCCGCCATCCGAACCGTGGTGTCTCTGACACTGGAGCAGCATATCCAAAAAACATATCATGACATTCTCTCCGCTTCCCGTCGGAGCTCTCTGCTTTCCATTATCCAGTCCTCTGTTCTGTACGCCGCATCACAATCGTTCAACTTCCTGTGCTCAGGGCTGGCGTTTTGGTACGGCAGTCGGCTGGTGATGACGGATCACTACAGCATGTTCCAGTTTTTTGTCTGCTACACGGCGATTATTGCGGGGTCGTACTCCGCCGGGGCGATTTTCGCGTTTGCTCCCGACATGGGCAAGGCAAAGGCTGCCGCAAGAGATCTTAAGAATCTCATGGACCGTCCGGTGTCCATCGATTCCCGTCGATCACAAGACGGGACGCGACGCTCTGCAGTCGAGGGGCACATCCAGTTAGAGCATGTAACGTTCAGCTACCCGACACGGAGTGATCGAACTGCCCTGGAAGAGATCAGTCTTACCGTGGAGCCGGGGCAGTATGTTGCCCTGGTCGGAGCCAGTGGCAGTGGTAAGAGTACCATCGTTTCATTATTGGAGCGATTCTTCGACCCCTCTTCCGGACGAGTCCTCGTCGACCATCAAGATATCAAGTCTTGGAGTGTGAAGGACTACCGCAGCCATATATCACTCGTCAATCAAACTCCGACTCTTTATGATGGGAGCATTCGCGACAACATCCTGCTTGGGATGGGCGGTGATGCAGAAACAATATCGGAGGATGCCATCTGCCGGGTGTGCAAAGAGGCCAATATATACGACTTTATCTCTTCTCTTCCGTATGTCTTGCCCATTCTCTCACGTCTATCATTTTGTGATTAACCCAACAGCAGCGATGGATTCGCAACCCTCGTCGGTGCGCGGGGAACCATGTTGTCAGGCGGACAGAAACAGCGCATCGCCATAGCTCGAGCTTTGCTGCGGAACCCACGGATTTTGCTTCTAGACGAAGCAACATCTGCTCTGGATTCTGAGTCGGAAAAGGTGGTCCAGGTTGCCCTTGACGCGGCGTCCCGTGGCCGGACGACGCTTGCTGTGGCTCATCGGATCAGCACGGTGCAGAATGCGGACTGTATACATGGTGCGTTTGTCCAGCCAGTCTAGTACTATTCATACTAACAACTGCCCAGTTCTTGAAAGTGGACGGATTGTCGAACAGGGAAATCACCAGACTTTGATGGCGTTGAAGGGCCGGTATTACGAGCTGGTCAAGCTGCAGAGTGTAGAGTGATCAAAAAATTCAGTTCCATGTCCATCTTATTCTTAAACGCGCTTGAATAGTAAGACTGTCATAGAGAGACCGCCCCACGGTACACTAAGTAAAGTGTCCTAGTTCTGTCGGTATATAACAAGCCATGCGGGAGAGTATCTATTGGGGCCGGTGTGATGTTGTAGGATGGTCTCATAGAGCGCGTGCAGGTATGCTCGACGACCTGTGGAATATTTTGGAAGGTGGGGTCGGATACTTGGTCTTGGACCTAGGTCATGATGGAGCCAGTGATTATATGAGCAGTTATATGAGCAGTGATAGTGAATGGAGTATATCTATATCTGAGTGGGTATGAGGTATTGAAACACGCATATCATTCAAATTGAGTGATTCGGGATTACCTCAACGGGAAGAACCCGATGCAACATATAACACAGCACAATCCTCTAACTCCATCCCGGCTGGATTAATCTACAGTACTGTAAACCATCAATCCTAGGCGATCATGACGGTTCCAGCAAACGATCAAGTCCCGGCCCCTGGCCCCAGCGTGCTGGACCTAATCGATGCCCAGGCCGAGCGAAATTCAGAGGGTATCGCAGCAGAATTCCAACACAAGTCCATCACAAACCGCCAACTGCGACAGGCCTCGATGCGCGTGGCGATCGAGCTGTACGCACGAGGATGCAGACCCCATGACCGCATCCCGCTGCTCACTTCGATGGGATTGGAGATGGTGATTGCTGTGCTGGGAATTCTTCGGTTGGGCGCCTGTTATTGCCCGATGGACTTCGCAGCGTGGAGCGAATCTCGCGTTCGGGCGACTCTCGAGGCAGTGCAGTCGCGATTTGTGCTCGGGACTGTCAAGGCAGAGGTACCTGGATATGAAATCGTGCAAATTGGCGACCTCCTCGGGGAGAGCGAGACTGCGGATCTTTCCCCGAAAGGGCTTCAGCTCCTCGAGACGATCCGACAAGAAATGAGCCTGTTCGACCTCATCTACATCATTTTCACGTCTGGGACGACGGGAAAGCCCAAGGGCGTGATGATTCCTCATGGGAGTGCCGCACATCTGGTTCTGCAGGACTTCCCAGGCTCCATGACCGTTTATCCCGGATCAAGAGTGCTGTTGTTTTTCTCAGTGGCTTTTGACGGTATGTGTATCCTTCAATTAGCGTTGTGTCTTTCCAGATCGAGAAAGGTCCGTACTGTCTCTTAAGATACCATTATGTTCTGACATGCTCAGGCTGCGCCGGTATTGTCTTTTCGACCTTGTGCCACGGAGGCACGCTGGCCATGGCGTCGCCATCGGATGTTCTAGACGTGGCGCCATCATGCACCACTCTAGTTATGACTCCATCTATGCTTGCCAACGTGGCACCCTCGGCCCAGTTTGACCAGGTTCATGAGATCTACATGGGCGGGGAGGCACCCACCGCTGCGTTGATCGAGGAATGGACCACCCCGACCCGCAAGGTGTACAACTCCTACGGGCCAACCGAATGCACAACTGCCGTGTCAGTGGCCGAGATGAAGCCCGGCGGACCGATTATTCTGGGAAACCTAGTCTCTGGAGTCGAAATGATACTTCTGGACGAGAATCTGGAACACGAAGTGGATGCAGGGGAGATTTGTATTCGCGGGCCTTGTCTGGCCGTGGGATACCTCAACAACGAGACGCTTACAGCGGAGCGATTTTTTATGCGGAATGGCATTCGGCACTACCGTACCGGGGATCTCGCTCGCCGATCAGAAGCCGGTCTGCACTTTGTGGCTCGAACTGACCGGCTGGTCAAGAATCGTGGATTTCTTATTAATCTGGAGACCGAGGTTGAGCCAGCCCTCCTCAGTTTCCCCAGTGTGAAACGCGCATCAGCCTTCCTTGATCGAGGAAGATTAATTGGGTTTGTGATTCCGGAAAGTGTTCCCATCACCGAATTTCAGCAGCACCTCGTGGATCATTACGATGCGTTTCTGGTGCCAGACCTGCTATTTGCCGTGTCTGAATTTCCCCTAACATCAAACGGCAAGGTCGACACGAAGGCCCTGGGAGAAAGGGTTATTTTCGAGGCAGAGACAGAAGATATGAGTCCTCTGTCTGTCTCGTCTGATACCATGGAACTGATTAGGGAGGGCTTTGCCTGGGTGTTTGACTGGCCGATTCATAACATCCGCCCGACTACGTCCTTTGCCGATCTCGGAGGCAACTCTCTGCGGGCATTGAAACTGGTGTCGTTTTTGCGTCGACACGGCCTGAATGTGTCAATTGGGGAGGTCTTTACCTTAGATCGTGTGTCAACCATTGACAGCGCAGTTATGCCATTTCAGACGGACGTCGCTGATGCGCCATCTGAGCCTGCCGAGCAGTTATCGGCGCCACTAACCGGCCACCAGATTGAAATGCTGAAGGAAACGGCCGAAGTGCCCTCTACTAATTACTTGTTCTACACTATGACTCGAGACTGTGGAGAGGAGCTGACCCCAGGTCGTTTGCGGCGTGTGTGGGAAGCATTGTACCAACGACACCCCATTCTTCGCGCCACATTCGATCTGGACCAAAACCGACAGATAATTCAGCCCACTGCAGACTTTGAATGGGAGGAATTTACCGTTTCCAGCCCAGATGAGCTGTCTGCAGTCTCAGACGGAGAACTCCAGAAGCTCTGGGGAGATTTGCGCTCACCCAGTCCGGAACTACGTCTACGGCCGATATTTCGCATTGTCTACCTGCCCGGACAGACGATTCGGGTGAACTGGATAATCCATCATGTGTATACCGATGGATGGTCATTTGGAATTATTCTACATGATTTCGAACTCATCCTACAAGGGAGAGAAAGTGAACTCTCGCCTGCGCCGAGCTTCGTCAGCATCGCCCACTTTTTGGCTACAACGGCATCGCGCGAACAATCTCGAATCCAGTCATTTTGGTCCGATTTCAGGGAACCGTGGAGTAGGATGCAACCCCTCAAATTACCAGCACCACCTGTTACCCCATCACGAGAGTCATGGGCCGAGATCAGGGTCGATTCGAGGGTGAAGAAGACCGCGCTGGACGAGGTGTCCCGGCTGAACGGCGTATCCTGCGCATCGGTCATCTACGCCGCCTGGGCGCTGATGCTCTCCCGATACACAGATTCCAGCACAGTCGGCATGAAGATCAGCGTATCCGGACGATCTCTGGGTCATCCAGCCACCGAAAGCGTCGTGGGACCACTCAACGGCCGATGCCCATTTATCACTGAGATCGACACAAGCGACACCGTGTCTGGCTTTCTGCAGTCCGTCCACCGGGACTTCTACCGCGTCAACGATCTGCAGTGGTCATATGACGAGTTGCGACGACAGCTTGCGCGATCCGAGCACAACGACTATTGGTTCGATACACAGGTCGTTGTTTTATTGGACATCCCGGTCGATGTGGGAGCGTGGAAGATTATCGAGTTGCAGAGGCCCTCGTCGCTGATTTGGATCGGGGTGGCTCAGAAGGGGGAGACGTTGAATTTGCGTGTGGGATACGAGGGGAGTGGGGAAGGGGTAGGGGAAGGAGTAGGGGAGATGACGGAGTACTTTATAAGGATGCTGCGTGGGATGGTAGAGACATCGTCGTCTCGACAGATTGGCGATCTTACGGCTTAATGGGAATGAATAGAGACACCTAGTAATTTACTTTCAGTCTAGCCCTGAACGGATAAACCCGAGCGCTGCTCCATTTGGATGGTTCATATAACTATATAACTCGCCTGCACTATACCCCCCATGGTTTCCTGACAGACTGAACGTATCAACATGATTGCAAACGATATTCTAGCGACTGTGTCCAATCATCCTTGGGCGACATGCGGCATTGTCTTAGGGCTATATCTGTCCGCTCTGGCAATCTACCGTCTGCTTCTGCACCCATTATCCAGCTACCCCGGTCCTAGGGTCGCAGCCCTAACAGTATGGTACGAGTTCTACTACGACTGTATTCTGCGCGGCAAATACACCTTTGAGATTCAGCGTATGCACGAGAAATACGGGCCAATCGTACGAATCAGTCCACACGAGCTGCACGTCAACGACCCATCCTTCATTGACGAACTGTATGCAGGCGGAGGCAAGAAACGCGACAAATACCCCTTTTTCACAGTGCAAACCTGCATCCCAGACAGCGTCTTTGGCACACCGGGCCATGACCTCCATCGACTGCGACGCGGGGCGATGAACCGATTCTTCTCCAAGGCATCCGTGACAAAGCTAGAGCCGATGATACACAAGGCTGTGGAGAAGCTTTGCGCGCAGTTGGAAGGTCACACAGGCACGGGGAATCCCGTCAAGATGAACGATGCCTTTAGCTGCATGACCACGGACGTGGTGACGGAGTATGCGTTCGCCAAAAGCTACAATTTTCTGGACTCGCCTACGTTCCAGCCGAATTTCCACCGCGCCATCATTGCGGGCAGCGACATGGGGCCATGGATTAAACAATTCCCGATGTTAATCACCCTGATGAATATACTACCCAACTGGCTGGTTATGAAAGTCAACCCCGAGGCGGCGATATTTTTACAGTTCCAGGAAGATATCCGCCGACAGATCCGCGAGGTTAAAGTCAACATTGCAGAAGGAAAAACGCAGAGCGCGTCCGCCAAGACGATCTTTCACGAACTTCTCACGGGGGACCTACCCACGCAGGAGAAACGGATTGAGCGACTAGGGCAAGAGGGCCAGATTGTGGTTGGTGCTGGCACGGAAACCACGGCGTGGACGCTGTCCGCGATCGCCTTCTATCTACTCGATAACCCGACCGTCATGGCCCGACTTCAGGCGGAACTGAAGCATGCTATTCCAGACAACGATGGCGCCTCGGATCGAGTCACCTGGAACCAACTGGAGCAACTACCGTATCTAGGCGCCGTGATTACCGAGGGACTCCGACTGTCCTACGGGGTAAGTACGCGACTACAGCGCATCAATCCGCTGGGACCATTACACTTTAGGGCTCGCAGTGGTAGGGATAATGCGACGGGTAAGGAGCGCTGGGTCGAGTACGCGATCCCGCAGGGAACGCCGGTTGGCATGACAGCGACGCTCATCCACACGAATCCAGAGCTGTTTCCGGATCCGCACGTCTTCAGGCCCGAGCGATGGCTGGACGAGCAGGGGAAACGCCATCATGATCTGGATGGGTATATATTGTCCTTTTCTCGTGGAAGTAGACAGTGTATTGGGATCAAGTAAGCTTTGGTTTTCGGTTCATACGCGGCTTTCGCATAGCTAATACTTGATCAGTCTCGCGTATGCCGAACTATACATGTGCATCGGGTTGTTGATACGACGGTTGGGATCTCGCATGGAACTGTTCGAGACCACCTTGGAAGATGTCGAGATCCACTTTGACAGATTTGTTCCGACGCCGAAGGATGGGACACAGGGAATACGGGTGTTGATTCGTGCCGAAGAATAGCTTGTTGTAGTGTACCGGATGTAGCCCCGGCTTGGATCAGATATTGCCGGATGGGTAATGCGGTCACATCCGAGGATCACTTGGGACAGCATGGTAACAGATATATAGTAGTACTTGAGAGATCTCAAGAAACGGTCAAAAATACTGCTGATATATGATTCTTCAAGGTATGGAAAGATTTCAGAATACTTCCAAAACATGAAAATTCAAAAAACTAATTCACGTAGAAGAACCATTGCAAGGCAGCTACCATTGGTTGGATACATGTCTCACAAACAATTCCAAACTGAACAGTCTAGATACCAGTTAGTGTGATTTATCATTGTCGTTGCCGACTGGAGGCAACCTTGGAGCAATCTTGCGACCAATCAGGCATATGGTCTATCTCAGCCACTGCACCAACATCCCGAATAGGCATTTGGTCAGGCTCGATGTGACTGATATCCAACGGTTAATATATACAATCACTTGACACAGCAATAGTTTTCCTTCTGGTTGATGAGGCTCGAATTTCGACATATCAATACCCGAGCGAATTTGATGGCTACCAGGTAGCTATATTATCCCAAGAGTACACTGTCAAGTCCCAGGCGCTCTCACAATCTTATGTCTATTATAGTGAATGGAATGATTTGGAAAAGATTCTTGTTTTACCCCGCACTATATATAAAACCAGATACCCCTCTGGCATAGCCACCTTGTGACAGGGGCAGGGTTCAGACTTACTACTCCTGGTTATAGCCCCAGGTCAACCAGAGTCTCAGCCAAAGTTGGTTATACTAGCCTTTGAGTCTAGGACCATAGATCCAGTTCTACTGTACATTGCGATGACTTGATGTTACATATGGCACTTTGCAGAGGTGCGCCCCACCCCCTGTCTGGTTTGGTTAGGCAGGGGAGATAACGTTGGCATATATATGAGTTTGAGAAATTTAGTATCAGGCTGTGGATTCTAAACAACCAGGAATAAGAAAACTTCTATCAGTTTAAGAAATTTATTCCGTTCGATATGTCAGTGCAACTGATGTAGTTTTGGCAGTCTTTCATTTATCTGAATACATTTCTATCAACAAGATGCAAAGAAAGGGCTGGTCAATAGCGATTTTACCCCTTTTATTTAGGACTGTTATAACATCGCTAATAAGCAAATGGGTCATGTCTACAAGCAGGTTAATATAGCCACAATAGTAAATGGTAAGCCCTATATCAAACATAGATTAACATTTTGGTGTATCACGCGATGTTTAGAAGTCAATGATTCAAGAACCGAACCTCTGGCTCATTTGCTTGTTGTATAATATTACTTAGAAGCATGTGAAATACCATAGACTGCTTGAGATGGGGATTGGAGAATCATTTTACTACGTACTATAAGAAAACACTGCAGTAGTGTTAGATCCATGTACAGGAGGCCTCAATATCCTGTTCTAGCCTTCCGATAGCAGTGGCCCCCACAGGGCCCACACAGGGCCCAGCAGAGCAGACTCCGCCCAGAGGACCCGCCCTGGTCCCCGTTGCGGCCCCCGCACCACCAGTTCTCCGCACCCAGAGTACCGAACCTACAGTACCCCTCACCGCGCAGGCCGCTCTAATTCGTGCCTGCGTAGTTATTTCGGCGCCTACAGGAAACTGGTCCTGCCATGCCTGGTGCGGCCTTCGATGCTATATACATCCCGGCTGCTGGATCCAACAATTTCACAAAATTTCATGGATCGGCTGTATATCCCCTGAATCATGTTAGGACACAGTTAAACTTCCTATGAAGCTATCGTCGTTAACACGTTCACTTATAAAATATCACATATACTCTGACCTTTGCGTTGACCCACTGGCTTATATGACGCACCGCTTACTATGTTACATTCCGAACTTCAGATGACTGGAAAGATAGTGCCTAGTATCCCTCAGGCGGCTGTGGCAGGATCTCGCTCCCTGTCCGTCACCAACCCAGTGTTGCAATTATGTAAGGGCAGTGCTGGCATTTCTTCCAAAGATGATAGGCGTGATAAGGATATAGGATTGGATCTGCCTGTAGTGTCGGAGTCCCACGGCATCCTTTAGATAGTCTGCAGTCGTGCCAACAGCAATAAATTCCCTACACATTCCCAATACAGCACCGTTAGACCCCCAAGTATATGGTTGATCGTGCGTCGATCATCTGCATCCCAAGCATATAACCATCCATGTTTATGACTCTCCGCTACTGTCGCGACGATGGCGATGGCATCCGATACTTAGAGCCGACAGACCGGCCGCTTCGCTCGGGGGATAATATCTCTCATACAGCTTGCGCCTCGTGTCGCAGCAAAAAGGTATGTTTTTTTTTTTTCCGGTTTCAGATTTAGATTTTATTTGCATTTGCGTAATTGAATATGTATCGCGAGTCACGGAAGCTCACTAGTCATTGATCAATAGTTGGGATGCAATCGCGATCTATCGGGATGCCGTCGATGTCGCAGCCGAGGTATCAAATGCGTGTATCCCGAGAGGGTACGACGAAAACATCAATCGCAGCATTCAGACTCCAGCTCCAATTCAACACACGAATCAGTCCCTCCACCACTACCTCCCATTTTCAACGAGGTGGAGTTTGGGGACGCGCCTGCCGTCTCACGGCCCACAGTACATCCCCAAATTCGTCGCCCTTCTTCTGCGGACAAGGAGATCCCACAGAACCTGCGAGTACCGTCCAATGAGTCCGCGAAAAATCAGAATAAAGCTCCTACGGTCAATCAGAACTCAGATAAGAATCTGTCGACGCTTGATAAACCAGACGCGACGGACGTGCCGTCCGACGAATACCCCTCGACGATCAGCGATGATTATTTCTCGCAACTGCTGGAACCGTTCGGCTCTGCTCATGAAATCACAGATCAGGATCATCACCCGGGTATGTCTCCTGTCCCGCATTCACCGCTGACGTCCCCCAGACTGATAGAGAGGCAAAACTTTAGGAAATTCTTCACTAAACTTCGATGAGCTGGAACGTGAATCCCCCTTCTTGACATCGTCGATAGACCTACAGCCCTTGATTGCCCACCCATCTCCGCAGGATCTATTTGCGACATCGGCCTCTCTATCCGGCTCCAGCTCATCAGCCTCTCAACACATGGAACTTGCCAGTGAGGACGACTGCGAGTGCACATCCTCAGCGCTGAAGATCCTCGAGACGGTCGCCGCACCATTAAAAGACACAGACTGGAGCACAGTAGAGCGAAAGCTCTGTTTTCTGAAACAAATCCTAATTCGGTGCATCGCCCTTTCGCGATGCAGTAGCTGCGCCCAAGACTCGGGTTTCACAATGCTGGTCCTGGTCCTGTACGACAAAATCACCACCACCTTTGAAGAAGCAGCGCAGTGGTGGAAGCGACACCTCGACACACCGACGCGGCTGGCGAGACAGGAGGCCGAGCGAGCGATGCACCATGACTCGAGAGAGGCTGTTCCGTGGGGGAGAGGATTGGCGCAGCAGCCCCCCATGGCTCTCGGGCGGTATCCGATTGACACGATGGAAGAGCACTGCAAGGTTCTGGCAACTTTGATCCTGCTGCAGCTCCATCGGCTGGTTTCGTTGCTGTCGGCCGCGAGGCGGAGGATCAGCAGCTCGAAGTGGGAGGGCCATTTGGCGCTGCTTACGATATTAAGTCAACGAACTAAAGCTGTGCAAGTTATGTTGAACGGCTAAATTATATGATATTGATGATGGATGGTAGATATCTACTAAGTTTAATCATTGAGTTATACTATTCTAATTTGTACATATGATTTGCATATTCTCGAATCTCTGTATACCATTAACTAGTTCTTATTGATTTCCCTACTACTCTTCTTCATACAGTCAATCATCACTACCCCTAGTACGTGACGCTACTTTTAGTATGGGATCCAGGATATCACATAGCAGTCTAGCTACCGAGACGTCTCTTATAGTAGCGCAGCTGGTATTAGGCAGAGGCCACGCCAAACAGATCCACAGTCTGAAAGAGAGAACTAATAATTATTTAGTCTACAGGAAAACCAGCCTTACTTTGTGGATCGGGCCTAGGACCCACCATATTCCTTCACGGTGAACCTTGTCAATCTAGGGCGAGAAACCTAAATATCGTAGGACATGTCTAGTAAAATGAAGTCTAAGAAGATAACTTGGTCACCATTTGAAACCTTGGGTGTTGAAACTATTTATGTAGCTCTCTTTGCAACCATTCATCCTCGATCAAGGCCTTAGAGAAGCTTCGCTTTCCTGGCTCCCACTGCAGCATTTTTCGTACTAAACACAGGAATTTCTCTTTTTCCACTCCTTCAAGACTGCTTTCTCTTTCTTCAAGCGAAACACGTTTCTCAATTGGGATACCAGCGGAAAAGGTACCTTCCTCCGAGAAGAACTTTTTGGTCAATTGCCCCCGTGCAATAAAACTCTGTGGTGGAGGACCGAGAAGGGATATCATTTCCGCCAGGTGGGCTCGACTCCGATAAGCTTGAAACTCTGGATCGTAACCACTGAACAAGGACCCGCCTTCGTAAAGATTCCAAACCTGTGTGATGTGAGTTTTTGAGTTATATACCGGTAGAGCCTCTTTTATCTTACCATGCATCCCGCATTCCATACATCAATACTATATGTCCAGGGAGCCTGTAAAATTACCTCTGGTGCTCGGTAGACATCAGGTTGAACGTCTTCCGTGTGTTCTTCATCCCCAAACACAGCTGAGCCAAAGTCACTCAAGACAGGGGGGCCTAATCTTTTCGGCATGCGAAGCTCCCTCGAGATATAGACCGTTCTGCCATCCAGCTCCTTCCTAGGGGAGGGTTGCTGAAGCTCATTCGCTTCGAAATCATGGAAGACCGAGTCGTCGTCAATGCCAAACATGAGATTGTCGGCCTTGATATCTGATTACATACTTCAGTAAACCACACCAGCAACAGATAAGTAGCATAGGTAGAAGAAAAAGGTAAAATGATACCGGTATGTATGATATTGCACGCCGTATGCAAATAGTCCAATGCCAGAAAGAGACGGTGGAGCACAACGGCTAAAACTGGTGTAAGTAGTCTTTGTATCGGATTTCGGAATAAAAAGGCCAACACGCTCTCCCACAATGGCGGATGTACAAGGCATCTGTGTTTTTCTTCGGGCCCATCAATATCAAAAGTGTCAAGTAATGATCTTATATACTTGTGACCCGGATGTGAGCACTTCTGTGACGCTCCTTCTATACTTCTGTATATATTAAGCTCGTCATCCAGTTGCTGCCCCATCGATGTTGAATTAATGAAGACCTTTAGCGCAACATAACGGCAATAACTATCATACTATGCTAGTCAAATGTTCAATTCAATCCAATCACGTAACCAGTGATCTTGTGAGCTAGAGTCTACAGGTGTCTCACTCCATATCGCGCGCCAGCCACACAGTCGAGCTCGCGCCAAACCCCAGCTTTCCCACAACTTGATATCGGTCTTTCAAATTTTCTCCTATCTGAGTAGGGTAGTACCAAGTTGCAATATAATCTGGAATAGTTTCTTCTTCAATTGCCTGAAGTGCAGAAATGCGGGCACAGTTGGGGTTCGAGAAGGTGAGCGGTGCCCATCTTTGTCTCAGCTGGGGAAAAGACCGTCGAAGAGAGGTGAGCATTCCGAGTATTTAATTAATGAATCGAAAATAGTGGTCAAAACTATACCATACTCGAGCTATCAGCAGATTCAGATGAGGGGTATCAAGAGGACAAAGATCGATGCATGATTGATAGACAATGGATGCCCCGGCAACCACCGGGGACAGTCAGGTGATGTCACTTGATATACAAATCCTAAGCTGGACGCAGTCAAACCATCATATTTCTATCATATTTCTATCATATTCATAGCATTGGAACAATTACGATGATGATAAACGCACAAATCAGGAAAGTTCGTGGAAAAAGGAACATGCTGCTTCGTGTGACTGGTAGCTGTGCTTGACTACCTCTACTCAATCTTCTATTCTCTCACAAATACAGATCCAGTTTCGCTGGACATATCATTTGTAACAATATCAATAATTCCATTCAAGAAGTGAACAATCTACTATCATGGCATAACAGCATGGTCGGTAACACGCTTGTAAATATCCCAGAAGTTGCGACACTTATGGGGCTATTGGTTCAAAACCAAATTCTTCCACACTTTTTGTTTCTAAGTGTGTATTGTGGCATTATAGTCTGCAGTAGCGTGATATCCGGTATCTCATTATCGTATCCACCGTAAACCCTATCGCGTCTCCAACAATTCGTTGGTCTTACTTGAAGATTAATCAACCCCTAGGGCAGATCTGAAGTCTTCGTTGGCAATTTATCACAATCCTTGGAGTTGGCAAGGGGATTGCCGCCTTGGTGGTGTCGTCAATCTCCCATTGTTTCTTCTGCTTGTTCAACCACTCTGGGAGATCCGTTATAGGCTTAGCCAGACTCGTGTCCTTGTCATATACCGGAGACACTATGTGAGCTTTATCGCATGTAAATTGGAGTTTGTCATGTCGCAGCTTCTTCAGACACCTTCCACATAAGGCCACTTCCTGACATACTTGACACATGTAGATTTTGTCCCAGTCCTTCTCTTTGCAGCCGGATCCTCCACAACATGCAAGGATAGCACCATAGGTGTTGAGGGTCTCTCCTTTGGCGCGCTGCACGGTGCTAAGGTTGGGTCGAATTGGAGACATTACCGCCGTTGCAAACGCTCTTCGGCCTTCGTCTGGATACCCTGCTCGTACAAGAGCCCTACCGAGGATGATATAACCCTCTTTATCATTCCAGGGATCCTGGTCTTCGAGAATTCGAATACCCTGGCAGATAGTTGCCCTGAAAAGCTCTCGGGACGTATTCTCTCCCCCATGCTTGCGTTTCCAGTACCCGAGCATGACTGCAGCGTCCGCACGGTAGTCAGTGTCTTCCTGTGCGCTTGGCCGTCCTGGAGACCCGACTACCAGACTTTCAAGTTTCGAGATCCAGTCTGGCTGTTTAGCCTGGGGAGTTGACTCTGAACTCAATGCCATTCTCAGGTATAGCTCGCCCAGCGCCCTGCATTGGAGCTGTTCAACATACAGTTGTATGTCGGGATCCTCCTGAGATTCAGCTCCCATGTTTTTCCAAATATTGCAAGCCTGTCCCGCATCGTTGACGTACTGCCAGTAGAAATTTCCACGCAAATACTCCTCGAATACAGCCCCTTCTGTATCTCCGTTGTTTCGTGCGACATCGATCGTCCTCTTGAAAATGTGCTCAGCAAATTGAATATTTTTGTTGTCTCTCCCATCGACAGCAGCCCGACTGAATAAAGCATGGCCTTCTTCCCAACCAAGGAGCAGGTGGACCAAGCGATCTTCGTCCGCAGACTGAGTCTCTGAACTAGATAAGCTCTTGCAAAGTTTGAATAGTCGACCGAATTTCGACCTCCGTCCGAGAACACAGAACAAGTGGGCTAGCTTCTGGAAACTTCCACTGTCAAGATCGTATGCTTTTTGCGCGGCGTCGGTCTGAGCCATCCTCTCTCCACATTTCCCGTGCCAGATGCTCAAGTTCAGATAGATATTGCTCTCAGAAACATTGTCCGGTCTTGGCTTACATAGGAGTGATATTTTTACCTGGTCCACCGCTTTCTCATAGTGGCCTTGTGCAGCATATGCCATGGCAATGCCGCTTTTGATCACCCACTGGTCATATTCTCCCTCTTCGGCTTTGTGATACATATCTATCGCAGCTTTGAGATGGTTTGCTTCGCAAAGGGCACTGGCTACTCTCACGTGCCAATTTGCATCCTTTTTGAAGTTGCCAAATTGCGCCAGCTCGAGGATTCTCTTTTTCCTCAAATCGCAGATGCGGGGAATGTGGATGTCGCTGGGAGAAGTCATGCCCAATTGTTTCTCGCCCTATACATCTGTGAGTATACGTACGCAAATCAACCCCCTACTACGATACAATCGCAAATGTATAGACAGGTATGGAAGCAAACTCACTAGCTTATTGTATCGATCGAGAAACAGAACGCAGAATTCGGTGTCCATGGACCCGGTCTGAAGCCAGCTCTCCGCGCAACTGAATGCAAACGGTTGGTAAAAATCTTGAAGAGATTCATACGATCCGGGTAGCCATTCCATCAATTTGCGACTCGTTCTAGGGACCTCAAGCAAAGTTGAGATGAGCCTCAGTCTCTGTTTCTTGTCCATGGCACTGTACCAGCGGGCAATGGTAGCCGGTTGTCGTATAAGCTCAAGCAGTTGCGACTTTGCCTGATATCCTAATCCATCTTCCTCGATTTCCATAAAATGGTCTATGACGTGAGACGCTGCATAACTAATCATGTCCAGGGCTCCAGGGCGTGTGTCAACGTTGTCATTAGTGTCATGCAAACAAAGAAGACATGTTTTCAGAATCGATGAATGGGCCTCGCTTGCGGTGAACCGATGTATGCCCCTCCCAGGGCCATACAGGAGGTCGTCTTTGAAACAGCGATGCTTGAAATTGACAACCCTGCTCGGGGATTCTGAGAAACAACGACTAGACTTGAAGGTAAGCAGTTGCTTAAACCGCTTTTCAACATCTCCGGGACCTCCCGCAACCACTTCCAGCCGGCCATGCGAGGTCTTGGTTGTGTGTAGGAATTGCAATTCATTGTCTGTAAGCGGACGGCGTGAGCATGCTACCCAGCGTAGAATATCCTTAAATTGGCTCTCATCGTGATCTTTTTTCATGGCACCGGCCAAAATCGATCCTATGTGATCTGCCTTGTTCTTCGGGTAACCATGCTCCAGGAAGTGTAGTATTTCTTGTCCGCTTTCCCAGCCTTCGATATGTTCAATGACGAGACGGACCCATAGAAACACGCCATTGGCTTCTTTCTGTAATGTTCCAATTGCCAGTGCCCTGTCGTTAGGTTGCAGAAGAGGAAAGTTCCGGTTGAATTTTCGCTCGATATACTGGTCTATGTCGGACTTGACTCTGGCACTCGACACGCGCAGCTGTGCTCCAGCTGGACAGGCGTCTTGGACCGTTCTGTGGACTTCGAACCTGCTAACAATTGCAATGTTAATTTGCCACTTGCTCGAGGAAGAGCGCCGCAAGTCCATCCAGGGCGCTACAACCTTCTTCTGCTCCTCAGCAGAGACAGCGTCCAACCCGTCAATTACGATAAAAACACGACACGTGGTGTTCTCCTTGAGAAAGGGGAGAAAGATTTTGCTCCATATTTCTTTCTCATTCCTAATCCATTCAGGATTTTCCAGTGCCTTGGCGGCGGCTTTTTGGAATTTTTGGCTTTTCTTGCTGAGTTGCAAGGCTAGACACTTGAATATGGTTGTCGCCAGGTTACCTGAGGTGTCAGACGCCCGAACATAAAAATAAGCCACGAGGCCCTTTCTCCTTATATGTTCACTTATCAACCGAGAGGCAAGGAATGTTTTGCCCATAGCTGGCTCCCCGTGGATCCAAATCATTTTGGGGCCCTTCCCTTCCATCCAGCGTGCAACGATGTCCTCGCGCGTTATCCACATCGCATTCACACCTGCCTGTCTCTCTTTCACAATCTCGTCGTGGATATTGTGCATTGCGTTCCAGGTATCGAGATCGAAAATCTCTTCGAAGCGACCTTGGTCGCCTCTGTGCTCAATCCTCCTAACAGCCGTACTCAACTGCTTCAGTTCGTCACGGAACATAGTTGTATCTCGCCGTATGATTGAAAGACACATCATGGCCTCGGCTTCCGCCAGTTCATGTAGGCTGGCCATCTTTTCCTCGATTTTCGAAGAGTCGCCGAAAAAAAGTCGCGTCAAAAACTCTTTGCTCCATTTATACTTTCGTCCTTTTCCCAGCTGCTCTGACGCTTCTACTAGGACTTCGCTAACAAGCGCAATTGCCTGAACGAGAATTCTGCGCAACGGCGCATCTATACGCGCCTCCTGGTGGATGGCCATCCGATCAAGCGTTCCAGCGATCCGGTTAAGGAACTCCTGAATACTTTGATACGACGCCGAAAACTTCCGCGCCGTCTCCATCAGGTGCAGACATGATCCCAAGATCAAAGACGCAGGAGCGAACGGAGTTGCAGCCATAACAGCATTGAGAATCTTCCCTGTAACTTCAAATGGCGCCAATATCCTGTCCAGGATGCTCCAGAACTTTGACGTCCGAGAGTGGTTCTTGAAACCCTCGTCGCATTCTCCCAGTCGGTTTTGCAGCTCCTCTCGATTCCGGGGAAGTGGCTTAGCGGCTAATACTTTCTTGGTTCTTTCTGGAAGAAATTGCAATGCTTCTGTAAAAATATCTATCTCTTCCTTTGCCATGGCTGAGGCTCTCGCATAACAAGCTGCGGTGGTGGCTGCTGCGGTGGCGGCTGTTGAAGCTCTGGCGGGGTATCACGATAATAGGCGTGATATGTGGGGAGGGGTTGAAGATATGCACCAAACCAGCAAGTTATTTTTTGAACAAGCCCTCCTTCTGTCCATAGGGCTTGACTCATCAATCTTACAGGCTTCCTGCTCGTTCAATTGCAGGAGGGGCTAAAAGAGGGGCTGCTTATGGCACGCCCTATTGCATTCTAGCAAAGGACCATTCAGCATGGACACTGGATTTTATGATAAGTATGCGCTTACCGTTACATTATTATATTAATCAAGTATTAGACTTGCTTTCTGATGTTCGATTTCTGCGGCTCCAAAAATTGTTAAAGATTCGTGGTACTCTACCATATGTTCGAATATATATTTGAGGCTGTCATTGTTAGCCACGGCGTTGTCACTAAGCCCACACGTCCACATATGGCTTTATCATATTCATATGCAATAATCCTTCACCACCAGAGCATTAATTCAGGGAAAAAAAAATTGTCAAAAAAGAAATAGAAGAGAAAAACATACAACAGCCGAGATACCGCATGTGGTCACCCACCATACTACAGTTACTACTAAACGGCCGGAAATTAATAACTATTTAGAATCGTATAATATACTCATATATATTAAGAAACTATATTAAAAGTAAATAGCATGCTTTTATAAAGAAGTATTTTATCCTATAAAAAATAGTACTAATAAGAAAGAGAAAAAAGACTAATAAGATAAGTAAGGAAATCTCTTACTTATGATTTAATTATTATAAGTCTCAAGTAAAATTATACTGAATAAGAAGTCCTTTTAAACTGTTAAAGATATATCTCCAATTAATCTTAATAATGAGACTAATTTTCTATTTATTTATTAACTCAATAAATCAATTTACTCAATCTAGAGTAGATTAAAGATTGATAGAATTATCTTATAAATCTCGTTCTTTATTCTAGATCTGTCCTGAAGACACATTAAAGTAAATCTAGATCTAGATCAAAACAGATTCTTCCAGGTCTAAGCATGGCAAATTCCAAAGATAGCTTAGAAATGTTTTAATTGCACGAAATATATGGTTTCCTTGTATATTTCTATGGCTGAGGGGAAAATTCAATTAATAAAAGAAAGTGGTAAATCTGCCAATAACAAGATAGAGCTTGATAGTTGAACACAGAATTGGATATTATCTATAAGAACATAAAGATACACCCTGCCAAGACCGAAAGATCCTTCTGTGAAGCCACCGTAATTTCAAAATATGTCGTCCTCAAAGCCTCAGGAGTCAAATTTCAGGTGTTTGACGCAGAAATTCTTCTAGACACGTAGTGTGGACATTGTGAAAGCGGTCATTGTCCAGGTTACGTAGAGCAGCTGAGCCGTCAATGGTAATCAGCTGATAAAAATATCCGATATACTCCCAGAACGTCAGAAGGGAACCACTAAGACGGGCTTGCAAGGCAGTCTTCTCAAGCTCCTCTACAGACCCTTTTTCAATCACCTTGACCTCCGATCCTCGGACCCGTTCATATGTGGCCTTGATTTCGCGAAGGCTATGACAGCCTGACCGGACCGAATAAAATCCACCCTGATGTGCTTCCGGGGACTCAATGATAGCAATACTGAACTTTGCTGCGTCTGCTTCGGTCGTCCAATCAAACTTCTCCCGGCCCGTTCCCCAGACATCAATTGACTTTGCGACCGGGTCCCAGATGCCGTGGTTCTTGGGCGAGAGGTCGCCATGTCCGGGAACCGAGAAAAACACCTCAGCTAGAACCCCGGTAAAGATCCAGATTGGCTTCATCGTCGACGTGATCGCAACCTGTTGGCGGAACGAATGAAACGGGTTGAAACTCTCGTGGTCTCCAAATTTCACGTATCGCCAGTCTACATTCCAGCTAGAAGCTAGATATATCTAAGACTATCAGCCACTGCAGGCGGTACGTCAAAATGACCTACCTACCTTGATACCGGCACGCTCAGCAGCTCGCAGAAGAAGAAGATTGCCGTCGAGCACCAGCTCCGGCCGACCTGAGTATGCACAGATCACGGCATCAACGCCGGTCATTGCACGATCCAGCGCAGGGATGTCGTAGTAGGAAGAAGAGACGACAAAGCTTTCAAGCTGACCCATAGCCTTTGCATCTAGTTTGTCTGGCGATCGTCCCAAGCCTCGGACCTGGTGGCCCTTTTCAAGAGAGACTCGAGCGAGATGCTGGCCAAGATTGCCTGTAATTCCAGCTATGAGGATCAACATGGCGACGATGATGATAATCGGTAGGGTTCAGGGAAGTTTGTATGATTATAAGATTTGGCTGCGATAGTTGGGAGGCAATGGCCGGAGATCATGTACTGTACTATACCATATCAGGCAATTATTCATCCGATGGAAACCGTTGCTTCTCCGACCGCTATGCCATAATAGGTAATCAGTCAGCCAATAGAAAACCACATCTATACCTCTCTACGAGAAGCATCATGGGACGATTTCATAGTGCTAGTCTATGGATATTGCTCAGTCTGATCTTGCGCAAAGATTTATATAAATACCTAACTTGTCCATTATAAACCAAATTCAGGTTCAAGACATTGTTTCTTGCTCCAATACCACCCTCGCTTCCCCTCCGTACGCATCTTACATCCTAGCTCTACAAGATGGCACGCCAACTTCATGATGCACTTGAATTATCTTTGGAGAAGTCACACAAGAACAGCGATCAAGCTACTTGTCGCAATACTGCTGATCAATTACATGAGTCATTGGACGCGGGTGGTCCAAATTATCCCTCTGGTATAAAATTGACCTTGATCTTTGTGGCTCTTTGCTTGACTGTATTCTTGGTTGCTCTGGTTTGCTACTCCGCAATGGCCATTCAAGGTACACCAGTTGATTAACAATCCGTCACGAATAGGACCAAACGATTATTGCTACTGCTATCCCGACCATCACATCTGAATTCCACAGTATTGAAGATGTTGGATGGTATGGCAGTGCATTTCTCCTCACGACCTGCAGCTTTCAACTTTTCTTTGGCAACCTCTACACCCTGCTGCCCATCAAGTGGACTTTTATCGGTGCCTTGGTGACGTTTGAGATTGGCTCTACAATCTGTGGGGCGAGCCCCAGCTCTGTTGCACTCATAGTTGGACGAGCTATTGCCGGAATTGGAGGCGCGGGTATCTTCTCCGGCGCGTTGATCATCATCGCCAAGTCAGTCCCCCTGGCGAAGAGGCCGGCTTTTACAGGGATAATCGGCGCTATATGGGGTATTGCCAGTGTGGTGGGCCCTTTGATAGGGGGCATTTTTGCAAGTCAGTTCTCATCGGCCCCTCACAATTGCTTCACAGCCAGGTTGATGCTAATCCTCTAGGTCATGTGTCTTGGCGTTGGTGCTTCTACAGTAGGAGAACTCCCGACTTGGATGTTAGCGGGACAGTTTGAGCTTACCTGACTCCAGTCAATCTCCCAATTGGCGCCATAGCCACCCCTTTCATCGTCCTATTTCTGTCATCGCCACCCCGGGAACAGCAGCTGAAACGGGGAGGTTGGGCTTTTCAACTAGGCCAGTTTGATCCGGCGGGAACTGCCCTCTTTGTCGCAGCCATTATCTGCCTGTTAATTGCTCTTCAGTGGGGAGGGAGTCGGTATCCTTGGAGTGATTATCGCCAGATAACGCTTTTAACGGTATTCGGGACACTTATCATTGCCTGGGTACTGTCACAATGGATGGGTGGTGAAACTGCTACAGTGCCGCTCCGCATCTTTAGAGAGCGCACGGTTGCCTTTTCGACCTTCTATATTTTCCTGGGCAGTGCCTCATTTGTAATAGTGGTTTACTATATGCCGATATGGTGAGTTCTGCCATTTACATCACTGCGCTCAATGCATAATTGGCCTAATCACAAACATGAAAATAGGTTTCAGGCAATCAAGGGCGATTCTGCTGTTCAGTCCGGGATCCACAACCTGCCCACAGTTTTGAGTGTTGGTGAGTGCACCCATCAATATCAGTACATCTATATCAAGTAGAAGGCTCGGGAGACTGAGTAAGAGTACAGTGGTATTTGCAATTGCAAGTGGTTTAGGCGTCACTGCTATTGGATACTATACCCCGTTCATGATTTTGGGGTCGATAATAATGGCAACTGGGGCGGGTCTATTTCTCCTCTTCAGAGTAGATAGCTCCATTTCAATGTGGTATGTTACTATCCAAGGATGTCATCCAGTGTTCCCACATTGACCGATCCTAGGCTTGGATTTCAAATCGTCTTCGGTGCGGGCGCTGGTATCGGACTCGAACTACCAAATATTGCTGTTCAGACAGTCCTCCCAGAAAAGGACGTCTCCATCGGGACGTCTTTGGTGGTCTTTGCTCGTTCTCTCGGAGGCGCGATCTTTGTCTCTGCGGGCCAAAATGTTTTCAACAATCGCATTATCTCTGACATGCTTGCCAGGGTCCCTGAACTGAACCCCGCTAACGTCCTTCAGTCTGGAGCAACCGATCTCCAGCAAACAGTTAGGCAAGCCGCATTGAGCCAGACGGATGTGGTGGCTCGTGTACTAGGGGTCTACAACGACGCTCTCGTCCAAGTCTTTCTTGTTACCTTGGTTCTAGCCTGCATATCCATTATTGGTGCTGTGGGCGTCGAATGGCGAACTGTGAAAGATCCTTCTAAAGTACGGGACTCGCAACAGGTCAATTAAGGGGGGGGGGGCAAAGTAATAGCCACAAAGCTTCAACAAGATAGTATATATATATAGATCCCACAAGTGTGGAACAAGGAATAGTAAATTGTAAATATACAGGTACCTCGCGTAAAAGTACTAAGAAATGGCACTTATCTGAAAAGCGACGCGCTAGCCAAGCATCTCAACGTTGAAAAACTCCGTGAACCAATCATCGGGTGTCACTGTAAGCCCACGCGCCTCAAAACTGTTTTCTCTGCTATACATGGGGGAAGAAGGAAGCACGGAGTGTTGGATAAGCTGGTCAATTTGATGTCCAGGTCCACCCAGCGGTACGGCATTTTCTAAGGGCGCATTGTGTCCTAGTGTCTGGATAGCAATTGGGGATCCGCCAAAAGTTCCTGTCGGTGCCTGGGATGCAGAGCTCCCTTGTCCATTGCTGTTATTGGTTAAAAGATCTTCTGTCATATTTGATCCATCTGCCCCTGACGGTCTTCTGGACCAATGAAGGTAGAACCACCCCATCAGTTGAGGCATGATCAAGAAGGCCCTGCTCAAAGCGCTGCGTTCATCTTTCGCGATAAGAATTTTCGAAATGGTCACAAGTTGCTCAAGATACGTTTCTAGATGCAATTCTTCAAAATGGATGGAGTTGCTGCTTTCCTTTCCTGATTCCGTGATTGTTTTGTGTAATTTCATCAAAAGCACGACTGCGTATATCACACGACCTCCGTAGATATGCGGCGGTAAGGCAAGCATATCAGATATAGATAACTTAATAAAAGTATCTAGCAGCCCTCGTGACGCGATCACGATAATGCGAAGCATGGATAGGTGAGACGTGTTTGAATCTTGTACATCGACTAATTTGCATGTCTTGAGAGACTCCGCAAAGAAAGGTGCCTTAAACTCGTCGATATTATTATTGACGTGCAAGGCCAGCTCATGCGCATATACTGAGCTGGCAAATCTGCCAAACTGAACGATGGCTAACGCGTAGGCGACACTGTTAATCATCCATATTCTAGGTTGTCATGTATTACAATCTCCAAAGGAGCTCACCTTTCTGCAGTGGATGTAGCCGGACGAGAGAGAGCGCGTCGTTTCGATCTTGGAATCCTTGGATGATCAACTGTGTTTTTGGGTCCTGCCTGGATAGTGATCTGACAGGATCACTTAAGAATAGCTCTTGATTAATATCATGACAAAGACGCTCCGTTGCTACAAGCCTGCAAAGGAATTCGTCTGTAGCTGCTGCCTTGGTCTGTTGCAAGTCAGCAAGGTAGTCATCTACCTTTGCAGTCCAGATAGTAAGATTAGGCCGTCTCAAAATTAAAGAAAAGCTTGGGATTCTATTAGTCCCTTGGGCGTCTGAGCATTGCAGGAAATTGAATATACCTTGCTAATAGAATAAAACAGCCAAGCCACGCTCTCTGTAACTCCGCGCGACTCCGGTTTTCCTGGGCCGTGGCAGCGGGCTTGAACACATCGATCTTATCCAGGCCAAGATCTATGGCCATGGTGGTTGTGATCTGAACCAGCTGGCTTAGGTTCATCTGCCTGTATTCATCTGGAGCTCTGTACCAGAGCGACGTGACCTGAAACGCTTGAACGAGTTCGAGCGACTTCTCACCCTGAACAATGGCTCTGTCTGCCAGTTGATTTTTGACTTCAATTGTCAATTCTCTCTGCTTAGCCACGGTGCAGTATCCAGCAGAGGCAATGCTGAGAATTGACAGGAATAGCAACGGCTTGTTCTCTCTTACAATAGCAGCCGTTGCCCCGGGAGGAAACACGACAATCGGGCATTTCGGCGCGAAGTTGCTGATGTACTGATCAAAGACTTGTTCGGCCGTTCTCATGGTGAGAATAGAGTTGATCTTAGAGTCAAGCTGTATTCTCTGAACATCTGGTAATGGCTGTGAAACTGTCGTGGTTGATCAGCCGTGTCCAAAGAACAAAAAAAAAAAAAAAAAAGAAAGAAAGAAAGAGGTCAATATGTTCTGCCGACTGACGTTGACGTTGATTGGCTTTGATAAACCCTTCTGAAAAAGATGCAGATATCTCGGCCTCCAAGTCAGAACTAACATTAGCCAGCCCTTCTTTGCCCTGTTTTCTAGGGTGATACAATGATAGCCCATGTGACAATAGCAGATCTCCGGCCGTTGGTAGGCTATTACACTGTTTTGCAGAGTCTTTAACTGATGGTAGTCGAATTGACGGGCAAACAATACACTCCTTGTTCAGCCGCAAACACCGACGGCATTTATCCTTTAATCCACTAGGGGGATTTTCACAACGAGTTTTGGAGATTTGACATCCGGTACAGGCAACTTTTTTTCGGCGGTTTTTAAGTGCTATACTGCTCTCAAAAAATCAGTCGTGGCCCCAGAGTCCAAAACTTACTGGGTCACTAACCTTTTCCTGCCATGAGCATTCGGGCCAGTTCTAGGAACACAAAAGTCGAGGGATCCGGCGACTTCCACATTGTTACCTGCATGGATTGCCGAATGTGTACTACGTGCTTCCTCGACGGATAACTCCTGGGAGACAAATTCTGCAGGCGGCCTCGGTAGCACACGGCTATCTTGCCACCCTGGTGACGTTTGGGGCACAGCTGCAGCTATTGGGACTGGGGTAGAACGCTCAGGAGGATCATCCAGCCTAAATTTGATAAAAGACATGCTCGTGGAACCACACTTGGTTCGAACTGCATGACTCCGCTATCATACAATAGTAAGTCTTCAAGTCTTAATTTCCTTACGCAGATCAGCGCGGGCTAACATTCCAAATCTGGCAATTAACTATGAGAAAGCAGATGACTCAGCACATTGTCAAGATGAGCACACGCTAACCCATATTTAGTATCCAGAATGTAAGACCATTCGACTATAATATTATATTGATTGTAAACTCGTTTACTTTCTCTGGACCAACTAATGCAATTTATTTGAATTGACTATGATAAACCCCTTTATTTCCGTACATTCCGGAGGGATGGAGCCAAGTACTTTAGGTTAATAGTAGACTTCATCAGAGCCATCAATGGGCCTGAATCTCGGGCTCATGGCCTAATCTACTATGGGCAGGCCCAAATTTAATTAGGAGACTTATCATCAGCCTCTAATAGGCTCCTGTAAAAGCCCATTTTTATATAAAATCTTAGTCTTACTATCCATAAAGCTGCTAAATAAATAAGCTAAAATACTTATTTATAAGTTATAAGCTTCTCGACGTAGTCTATAGCTTATTATAAGTCCTAGAATCTAATCTAAAGCCTAGCCTACAGGTAGATTAGATTAGATTAGGCTTGGGCTTTAGTGGGCTCTGATGAAGTCTAATCACCCGTACTTACCCTGAAGTCTAGCGTCTATTACTCACAAAGTGGTAGCAACTGAAGGGCTTAGGTATCATTTGACCGCGTTTATAATGATGGTCCGAGTATGGCTGAGCGGACGGGAAGCCCTGTTCGCCACACCCAATGGTTGTATGTATTTATTCCTTCTAATAAGTGAGTGTTATAGTGTCTATCACTTCTCTTTTGTCAGCTACAGTGTCCAGGATGGACCTGGAAACGAATGACGAGCGCTGACGAGCGATGATCATATTGACTAGCGTTACCGACCAACAACAGTTTACAATATTGTTTCTTGCTTTCATGTCAATACCTCAACCGAATGCTTGATTGTTTTTGGTGCTTAGGAGCGAGAAAGACTGATACCTGGAAACACAGAGCAAGGCTCACCAGATCAACGCATAGCCCACATCTGTCGCCATATAGAATGTCCAAGACTACATACAAAGCGCAGAAGATGTCTAAATAATTTAAAGGCCGAGTGGTAATCCTTTGCAACATCATCGTAAGGTATGTATACTTGTCGTCTGTCGGAAATATAAGAGGGTATAAGAGTACCTATGAAGTACACAACAAGTGTCTAGATATCTTTTGTTACTGAGTGGTATTCTTTCCCATATCGTCATTCGTTCTGAATAGTATGGCATACAATCAGGAACATGTCAGCTGAGTTGCCGGTTTTTTTCCCACAGGTTGTTTCTGGACTCTTTATGGTCTCCTGCAATCTTGCAACAATTCGCTGCATTTGATATCTCCAAGAAGTCACCAATGCCATCAGTGTCTTGGCTGCTCTCATCAGTGCTCCCACAATTCACGGTCAGATCGCAAGAGACATAGCCCGCGTGCTCAATCAATATTTGGCCATCGTTTTTAAAAGATATAATAATTGCCATAGCTCTTGTCTACAACGATACTTGCTACAATTCTTCAGTGAAAACATTCTTTTCCAGCCCCAGATACCAGCCTACACAACCCCTTACGCTTGACCAGCCTGGATAATGCTCTTGACAATATCCGCCGCGCGCCCGAGCGCTGCCTTGAAGCGCTCGGTGCCCGTGCGAGGACTGACGAAACACACCTCCAGACTGCCAATCTATTAGCTGCATGCTCCAGACTAGACGGGGATGGAGGGCTACTCACGAATCTTCGTTCACGGTGTAATTCATCCACACATTCTCTGGGTCCTCCATCGTATAGCCGGGATCCTGGGCCAGTTTGTTGTCGATCATAGTCTGCATGATCAGACGCGGGTAGCTCCTCTTCCACACGGGGTCAGAGAACAGCTCTGGAATGGCCTCGGCGGCGTCCTCGTCGTGCGCGTCCTGACTCATGACCTCCAGCACGTCCATAAGCCGGAAGTAGTTGCGGCCCTCTCCACCCTTGACGACCTGCGCGTTGGTCTCGCGCGCCGCCCGCAGGAGCTGGGCGCGCGCCTCAGTCCGCGACACGTTGCTGTCGAGCGCTGCGTCACAGAACTCTACCACCGACTTGAGCACCACCTGCACGATCTCGGGCCGGCCGAGGTGGAAGTGCGCTGTCGACACCGTCTCCCAGCTTGCCGGCAGGTAACCAAAGTACAGTCGGCTGGCGAGCTGGATCGTTAGGTCTACGGTCGCCTTGATGGGCACCGAGTGGTCTAGGAGGACGGCTTTGCCGAACGACGGGACAACGTGGGGCGTGTATATTTTTGCCCCGGTGGTTGCGGCGTATTTTTCGCGCAACATCGTCATGCGGGCCTCGATCTCCGACGTTGTCGCTACCAGGGGGATCTCCTCCAGGCTGGCAGGATCGACGACGGCTTCGCTGTCAGGACCGGTGTCATTGTCGTTCTCTGGGTCTAGGCTGTTGATGGCTCCCTGTAGCCGTTGCGAGATCTGCGACGTGGTCATGAAGTCGATCATGGAATGCTCGAAGATGGTACCGGAGCTGCCGTTGGCGGTAACGACGAGCTGTAGGGTCTTGTCGTGCCAGCGGTTGAACGAGTCGCCCAGGTACCCGAATCGGACCCGTTCCTCACGCGTGACGGGGCTGTAGTCATCCAGGCACAGGACAACGACAGATTCCTCCACCGTTTTGATATACGCGGCGTTCCTCGCGTCCGTCGAGAGAAGTGTCCGTCGGTTCTGGGATATCGTTAGTGTCAAAAGCGTTATGGAGGCAGAGCAAGACCTACAGTAGCCCAACTGTCGCGGTTGTCGGTCGTCAAAATGCCCGTCCAGTGCTTTTCCTCGAGGTTGAGGTCAAGGATGGCTTGGTATGTTGCTTTCAGCTTGGCATACGAGACGATGTTGTCTCCTTCCCGGAGCGACACGCGGAACAAGTGTCCTCTTCGCAACACGGCGATGTGTTCCACCCCCGGATACCTCATCATCTTGTCACATCCCACGTTGGGCTCTCTCAGGGCGTTGAAGAGCCACGTCAGAGAGTAGCCGCAGTTCGGCCTCTCGCCCAGAAAGTCGGGCTTCAGATTCTTGGAATCTAGGTCACGTTTAAACTCACACAGGCCCCTAGTCAGCGCGGCCGCTCGTTGGGCTTGGGTGTGCGGCACGGTGCTGTCAAAGTGGGTGCCGAGAAAGCTGCTGAATGGTACCAGAGGATATCTTCTCTTAAGGTGCAGTGCCTTGGTAAGGAGACCGGCAATCCAGCTCTCGACGCTGGGGTCATCCGCCTTGGCGCGTAGCTGGCTGTACAGCCTGCGTCCGAGACTGCCCGGGGCAGCGAGGGCCTGGGCCTTGCGGCTGAGCTCCGCATACTCTTCCCGCGTGTGGGCAAAGTGGCCGATGCCGTTTAGGAGGTCGTTGACGGCCTCGTCTAGGTCGACAAGCGGATGCCTAGGTAGCTCCTTGCTCGCCCGGCAACAGTGGAAGCTATGATTCGGCTGGAACTCGCCATTCGTAGGGGCATTCCCTTCTTTCTCCGCCGGTTTAGTGGTTTCCTGTGGCCGCGATGATTGCCGGATCTCGTCGGGGATCAGAGTCGATCGCGAGGCGACCGTTGCCGCCAGTGCCAGAATGCTGCTCGCACCGCCAAGCTCCGACGTCTGGAGGTTGATCTGGAACGCGCGCACCATCCAGTTCTTCAGCTCGATGCTCACGAGCGAGTCGAGACCGATGGTCGCAAGCGACTGATCAACCCTGATGTCGTCGATCGGCCGGTCAAGAAAGACAGCGAACTTGGTCAGCGCTGCGTCCCGGATGAGCTGCTCCGCTTCCTCCATCGTTGTCACGCTACCCAGAGCCTTTTTCAAGTCCACCTTATCGGTCTGCGTGGCGCTCGCGGCTTGTTTTCTTTGGGAATGAGCCAGCTGGCTGAAAACGGGATTTTCAAGAAGGTGCTCGTCGTTGGCGTCCATCATGGACTGATGCGTGACACCCTGGATGGTCTGGTGCATGTGCCGCTCGCGAGCGAGATCAGTCATGGCATACTCAATATCTGCAAAGAACTCGTCATAGGAGATGTCCATTGCGCTGTTCTGCCGAAGAGACGCCCTCAGGCCGCCGACGGACATTTCGCCTTGTTCTGCGCGGTGCGCTTCGACGGAGACGGCGCCGACGTTGACTGAGACGT